ATTCATTTAAGCCCATTGAGATTGACTTTCAGCAGTGGTTAGTTTAGAAACTAGATAATGTTAATTGAAACATAGCTTTAGATGTTTAAATTCCCAGTAGTAAGTTATATGGTGCAATGAATGTTCCATGAATACACAATAACTGTCACGTTTCCTTTCATCTTCTACAGCCTCTTAATTCACTTCAAAATAAACTTACTACCCTTGCTAGAAGAACTGGGTATAATACTGAAGTCTTGGTGCTCTCATAGAGAAAATTGACTTAAAGCATTGATGTTTTTATTATAGGTATATCGACGGACATCTCTTTTTTGATTTTCATTAAACATGATGTTTATTCAATAAGTTATTTTCATTAATACAAAAGTCAATGTGATATCCATTTGGCCGTGAATTTGAATATCTTATTAGGTTATGGTTTTGTGTTACATATTGACATGTTAGATGGATGTGAAACTATCTTATCAAAACAGCCCCATGGCATGGAACAACACAGTTCAATTTCCTCAGAAAAAATTGTATCCAGGAAAACTGGCACAGACTTAAAGATTAGAGTCATTTTGACCGAGATAGTTTTTTTTATCACTGATAGTGCCGTCATTTACTATGATTAAGAAACTCTTCTTTCAAATTATTCCAAAATGCTCAGTTTGAAAGTCATGGCTGTAATGGATGGGCCAGTTTGTCATATAGCTCTGTTGTTAAAGCATTTGACATGAGATCAAAGGGTTCTGAGATCAAGTCCCATAAGTCACATTAGCAGAAGATTAAAATCCTGTTTTTCAAATAACTTGATTTTGCCTGGTAATCATCCTTCATTCAAAGGGCTTCATTTATATGGTAAGAAGTGAAATACCCTTGGCCCAAGGATGCCTGGAAATTATTGAAGAGCATTGCTACAATCCTCAAAGGATTTATTGTTAAAAAGTTTGCCTCGAGTATTAGAATGACTTGGCCAGAAATGCCAAGAGAATATGCTGATATTCTAAACTGGCAAGCACAGGTGAGGTGTACATTCGATACCTGGCCGTACCTGTAAAGGTGTGAAAAGAATCAGCCTTTCATCTTTCAAGTATATTAGCAGCATCGTTAAAGGTCGATCAATCTCTAACAACCAATCATAGTTTCTTTTGTTGTTTGTTTTGTAATGGAAGTTCTTGTTCTGAGGAGTCTTTCATTTCTAGTATATTTCTGTGTTTCTTCTAAACGCTGTTTTCACTGTCTGTCTCTACAAGGTAACCTAAAGAATATTTTCAAAGTATTCTCTTCTTAGCATTATAATGCCAGTTGCTTAAAATTCTTTGTTGCTTTCTTCTTGTGCTTAAACTAATAAGTTCACATTTTTTTATGAACTCATTTAGAATTTCCTGGTTTGTCTGATATACCATAATATAGTGATTAATAAATATAGATATTATATAACCTTATAGAATGATCAACTGTACTTAAAAATGTTGTATATTACATTCAGGTTATACATTACAGTTGACACAAATGTTACATATTGTAGTAGATGACACAAATATTACATATTGTAGATAACACAAATGTTACATATTGTAGATGACACAGATGTCACATATAATAGATGACACAAAAGCTACATATTGTAGATGACACAAACGTTATATATTGTTGATGACACAAACGTTATATATTGTAGATGACACAAACGTTATATATTGTAGATGACACAAACGTTATATATTGTAGATGACACAAACGTTACACTTTTTAGATGGAACAAACATTACATATTAAATATGACACAAACGTTACATATTGTATATGACACAAATGTTGCATATTGTAGATGACACAGATGTCACATATAATAGATGACAAAAAAAAATACATATTATATATGACACAAATGTTACATATTGTAGATGACACAAAGGTTACATATTGTAGATGACACAAATGTTACATATTGTATATGACATAAATGTTACATATTGTAGATGACACAGATGTCACATATAATAGATGACACAAATGTTACATATTGTAGATGACACAAATGTTACATACTATAGATGACACAAAAGTTACATATTGTAGATGACACAGATGTCACATATAATAGATGACACAAAAGCTACATATTGTAGATGACACAAACGTTATATATTGTAGATGAAACAAACGTTACACTTTTTAGATGGAACAAACATTACATATTATATATGACACAAATGTTACATATTGTAGATGACACAAATGTTACATATTATAGATGACACAAATTTTACATATTGTAGATGACACAAATGTTACATATTGTAGATGACACAGATGTCACATATAATAGATGACACAAAAGCTACATATTATATATGACACAAATGTTACATATTGTAGATGACACAAAGGTTACATATTGTAGATGACAAAGATGTCACATATTATAGATGACATAAAAGTCACACATTATAGATGATACAGATGTCACATATTATAGATGACACAAAAGTTACATATTGTAGATGACACAGATGTCACAAATTATAGATGACGCAAAAGTTACATATTTTAGATGACACAGATGTCATATAATATAGATGACACAAAAGTTACATATTGTAGATGACACAGATGTCACATATTATAGATGACATAAATGTTACATATTGTAGATGACACAGATGTCACATATTATAGATGGCACAAAAGTGACACATTACAGTCACAAATGTGACAGATTACAGATGATACAGAAGTTACACATAGATAGTAAAGTCTGAAGCTATTAATTCTTGAGTTATCTATTCTGGAATGATCTGTGGATGTAGGTCTTGACAATTCAAGATAAAACAAGATAAGTGAAGATATCATTGTACATTGATTGTACATATCCTGAATATAGGCAATATCAGTGGAATTCAGAAGTCAAAGTGTGAACCATAATCACCTAATCATTGCTGTTATTCTTGTATTGCTAAGTTATCACCATGGTGTTATCATGTTTAATCCAATTGTGATGCTTTTATCTCCTCTATTGTCAGATTTATTTCATGTTGATGAGATTTTCTAATTGTACAAAGATTTGGGCTGTTTTAGGGTTACCTTCTTTAGGTACCCTGCATGCAGTTTAGTTATAAACTACCCTCTGCCTAGCATAGATTATAGTGAGTTTGGGCAATCTGCGCGAGATTCCGTTTTTACTTGGTTCGGTTTTTCATTAAAGGAAGTACTTCATTCCCATGATTCAAAGTGCTTTTCTGCCATCGGTTCGGTTTAAGTTTGTACAACACACGTCTACAAATCCGGGCCAGATTGATATTATGTCATTACATTTATTTTGGGTGTATACTTTTTGTTTTGGCACTAAACAAAAATATTCCCGCACTATATGGTGCATCATGGGTAGGGACTGCTGTGAAATAATGAACGTAAGTGACATCTATCTCAAATTAAATGTTCTTATAAGTTATTAATTGCGCATGCATTATAATAATCTGAACCAATTTAATTTGGATTTAATGCGCATGCGCTAAAAAACTGAACCATAAAATGGAATGGCAAATATTTCTCTATGAAAATTGAGATGGTTTAGGCCTGTAGTCAGCTTTTGCTAAGGGAGAGGGCATTTTCTGAAAAATTCCAAGGGGGTTGACATTTGACAATATTTGCCCAAAATAAGCAAAAACTGCTCAAAATGGTGAAAAATTGCATGATTTTGAAATAATTTTTGTCCAAGCCGAGAAGGGATGAACCCCCTCCCTAGCTCCAATCTCCGCCAGACTCAGGTTTTTGACCAAATTTGAGAACACTGCATGGAATACATTTTGAACTGTTTTTCTTTGCTTTAATCAATTCTGACTGAACCTGGATATGTAATTAAAAGTAATTATTTCATTTGAAGATGTAATCAACCCCAGAGTCAGATTTTATCTCTTCTTCATGTTAATTGCAGTCATAGATTACCAGTAATTAAACAGTTAGAACTTTAGAGAGGAGTAATTAGCACCAAGACATAGCAATCAAACAGCCAGGGAGCAATTATTCTCCAGCTAAGTTAATTCCATTTTTCACTCAAAAATGTAGTCCCAAGTTTGTCTGCTAAGCCTAAATAAGCACATTATAGTATTGATGTTCAAAGTACTTATACTGTAAGTATGATTGACATTTATAACTTGGGCTTTATGAATTTCCATCTAATGTGAGAAGATATAGCAAAGCTAGGCTTTTAAAGTGTCTTCATGTGTTCTAAAAAGTAGAGGGAAAATAGAAAGCATGGCAAGGCTTTAATAGTGTACATAGGGTCTTTAAGAGTGACAGAGGAAGATATAATGGTAACGCTTTAAGAATCTACATTTGGTCTTTGAGAGTGGTAGGGGAAGATATAAAACGATACAGGCTTAAAGAGTTTACTTGGGTTGGCAAAATAAGATATTACATGGTAACGCTTTAGGAATCTACATTGGTTCTTTAAGAGTGGCAGGGGAAGATATAAAATGGTAAGGCTTTAAGAATCTATATAGGGTCTTTAAGAGTGGCAGAGGAGTATATAACAGGGTGATCTACATGGAGTCTTTAAGAGTGGCAAGGGAAGATTTAACATGGTAAGGCTTTAAAAATCTATATGGGGTCTTTAAGAGTGGCAATAGAAGATATAACATGGTAAGGCTTTAAGAATCTACATGAGGTCTTTAAGAGTGGCAGGGGAAGATATAACATGGTAAGGCTTTAAGAATCTACATTAGGTCTTTAAGAGTGGCAGGGGAAGAAAAAACATGGTAAGGCCTTAAGTGTCTACATGGGCCTTTAAGAGCGGCAGGGGAAGATATAACATGGTAAGGCTTTAAAAGTTTACATGGGGTCTTTAAGAGTGGCAGAGGAAGATATAACACGTTAAGGCTTTAAGAATCTACATGGGGTCTTTAAGAGCGGCAGAGGAAGATATAACACGTTAAGGCTTTAAGAATCTACATGGGGTCTTTAAGAGCGGCAGAGGAAGATATAACATGTTAAAGCTTTAAGAATCTACATGGGGTCTTTAAGAGTGGCAGAGGGAGATATCACAAAAACATGGTAAAGCTTTAAGAATCTACATGGGGTCTTTAACAGTAGCAGAGGAAGATATCACACCTGTAGGCGCATTTAAGCAGTAATCTTTCACACACAACAGTATAAGTAGAGAGTATAGCACCGGAATCACATGTATCGCATAACCACTGTAGGATATTACTCCAGAACAATCAAAAGGAATTATTCCTGATTCATAAATTAACACTTTTGGACATGTGATAAATGATCCACACAGCTCCAGCTTTGTGTTTTGGTTAATGAGTTAATAAGCTTGATCCTGGAACCTGGTGCCAGAGCATTAAGAGGATATGAAGCTACAACATAATTAAAGTCTTAAACTATTGACTCATTAGCAGAGACTGGAAATTCATCAGCGTTGGAACAGTATCTTAATTTTAGTCGCTGTTGGATAAATTTTGTACACTATCATTGGTGATTGGAATATTGGATTGGATTACACACACATTTTAATTTTGTGAAAGGTAGGGGTTGTTGTGAGTTTATTTTAAGGGAAATTTTGGCGGTAAGTAAGTTTAGGTCGTTTTTATTTGAAGCTCTGTTTTGTTGAATGGCTTCATTTCACTGATCAGAGGGGGTCTTCAATTCATAGGCAGTGATGCTATAGTATTCTATAAAGTTTACATCATAAAAAATTCATGCTGTTTTATCAATTCTCTGACACTAGAATAGATTAACGCAGTCAAGTGAGGAAATACAATAATATTACAATAAGATTTAAATTTAAGTTGTAAACCAATTTTGATTTCATAGACAAATCATATCGGATTAGGAGGTTTGGTTGCTAAGCCAATTGTTAAAATGCATAACACAAGATTTTAATAAATTGTGCAGAAAATTGGGTCTGAACGTGTTGGATGGATTCCATTTATATTTTTTGAGTCCATGTTTAGTAACATGAGTTTCATCACATAAAATCAAGCGAAAGGTAAGATTGCATTAAAATGTTGCATTTATGTATTTTTCATGCAGATGGGTTTTCATTAGAACTGTAATCTTATTTTGTTTCATGGTAATTAGTGATTTATCGTAAATGTTAGATATTGCACCTGGTTTCGCCTATCATCTCTCGTCTCTTAAAAGCAACTAAAATGTGTTTTAAAGTTTAGGCATTTGCTATCTTCATTAGTACAAAGTGTTATAAAAAAGATACATTGAAGTATGCTAGATTCCCCAAGCAACAAATGAATGCATGCATACAGAATCTATTTTTATGATATAACAGATATATGTATAAACTTTGACAAAAATAAGTTCTCAACTTCTTGCTTAGAGAAGAATTTGAATTTAACATGCGATTGTGTCAAATAAATGGCATCATCTTCCTTGTGATGCTTTGTTCTATTAAGGTTGCTCTATACGATGAGAATAGTGGAATACACAATTCAAAATCAAAATGTTTCAATGAATTGGAATAAAATGTCATTTCGCCAATTTTTCAGTCTCTTACAAGTGCAGGAAGTAAAAGACGAATAAACATTGTCTGGTTAGCAAATTGTTATTATATAAAGAATAGAAAAGTTTTTATTTGACAAATTAAATGCTCAAATATATCCAGAGTAAAAGAAAACTCAAAGAAAATATATTTAAAATATTAAAGCCACAATGTTTAAGATTCATGGCTTTACCATTTATTTATTTAGGCTTCTTTTAAGTGATAACCCACTTGTATTGTAAACATCAAAGTTGAGGTTTAATTTTGTAGCTAATTACCAAGTCACATATTTAATTTATCATATTTATATGTACATGGTTATTTGTGGGAGATCTTAAAGTTGAATATTTTGTATTGTTGAAGCTTGTGATCTTTGGTCTTTTGACCATGATGCTTTAAAGCTGATATTAATCCCTACTACATATAAGACTAGTAGTCCTGTTATATATTCTCCTCCAACTCTTAAAGGCCCCATGTATAGTAGATTCTGTAAGTTATCTTCCTTCCTCTGTTTTTCAGTGAAATAAAAAAGTCAACCTAAAAGCTACTAAAGAAAAGTATAGTATTTTTGTTTTTATTTAATTGGTAAAGGCAAAATAAAATATCATAAGAGAGAAAATGTCTTTTTAAACACAAAATTCAAAAATAATAAAATTCAATATTTATTGAAGTTGTGCTAAGAGAAAACACATCTCAGATCACCATGGAGATGTCCTTGGTTGTTAAGAAGTTGTGATTCTGTTGCTATAGATTTGTTAATTATCTTTGTTGTTAAAATTTTCTATTATCTTGTTTGTTATGGCTGTGGCTAGGCCTGCTTCAAATTCCTCTTTATACGCCAGGTACTTGTTGCATACAATCTGATTAGATATCAACTGTTTAGTTCGTAACATTTGTTGAGGTTTGTTCAAATAGATCAAACATTTCAATTTCTCAAGAACAAAAATACAATCAGTATAAAGTATCTTCAGAAAGTTCAGTTTTAGACATGCCAGGTTTAAATCCGACCATGGTCACTTGATTTTATCAAATAATAGTATCTACAAAAGTTCTGAACATTATAGACATGATAACATCAGTGTTTTTGGTAAGAGAAGTTGCCATTCTTTTGAGCTTACAAAGTGAGATGCCAGGATAGCCATTCGATTTTTATATTAATTTATATGTATATTGAACAACATATGCAGCAAAATATATTTTTGCCTTGGCATTTATGTTGCATCAAGTGGATTTTTGAGATCCATACAATCCAATGGATACTTTTAGAAAATCAGTGTCTAGTGCCCACATCATATGGGAACATGGATGGTGTGATACTTTGAAAGTTTGTGGTCTGCCACAGTGGCATATGATACATGTTTGGCGAATCTCCTATTAGATACAATATAGACATCCAATAAAGTGTGTACACTTTAACAAAAAGTTCCTTTGTATCCCCAATGGCTGATGATGCCGTCTTATTGAAATTAGAGATCCCAGAGATAAGATTCATTTTTTGCAAAGTCCTGTCATCACGTTGACACAAAGTTGAAAATAATGACACTGAAAGGTGGGAGCGAACATGGGAAGTGGTGTAGATCACAGTGTGAGCCTAAATTGAGCGAGGGATGAAATGTTTCAACAGAGCTGTCATATGAAATGTTTAAACGATGCAGAGACATGAGTGATAAAAGGGCTTGTCATGTTTCATTACCTAAAATCTTGTTTTTAATTTTTCTGTAGGAAATTAAAAGAAAGTTGAAAAGTTTATGAGGGTAATTATGCGTGGCATCTATATAACGCTAAATGACAGTGGTCTCTGGCTGATTATTCCGGAATTTAGACAAGCTCAAAACAAATTATCTTATCTGGATTTTATGAGAATTGAGTCATTGCTTGTCATCAATTGATCATTTGATGGTTGGTATCATATATAAAAGGACTGCAACATGTGAAACATTAAATTAGCCATCAAGGAGAAAATAACTAAGCTGAAGAATATATATAAGTCTACGAAGTTATGAAATGACGAAAATATCTGAGCAATTATAATCTTATATTCTAGAAAACTTTAAGTACGTTTGGTAGAATAATGTGATCAAGAAAAATTAGACATTAAACATAAGTTTCTTTACAAATAAGGTAAGTTCTTTTCATGTACAATTTGTTCATTGTCAAGAAGATTTAAGACAGTCAGTATTGGATAGATTATGCAGCCTTATTCTTCCTTAATCTAAATGAAGATCTAAAGAAAGAAATAGAGAGAAGACTGACATAAATTGTTGTTTAAAGTCCCCGTCCCTCATTCATTTACTAATTGTCAGGACTTAAAAAGTGATTTAAGAGATTTTTGAACAAAAAAAAAATTTTGAACAAAAAAGTTGTGAGCATTTCATTTCTCAAATATTCAAATTTCCCGCCATTTTTCAAAAAAAGTTGAAATTTCTTAATCATCAAATATTTCTTAATGCATTTCAAAAAAGATTCTCTTTTTAACACCAATGCAAAGGTTGAACAAAGGACACACTATTTCAACAATAAAATGCCATATTTAATGGGCCACTTCAATGTTTTAACATATCAAAAATATTTTGAAACATTAGTGATGTCACTAAGGTACCAAAAACTTTTTGAAAAAAATTGAAATTTTTTTTTCGATGTCAATCTTTTCTAAACATGTTAGACTTTCATAAAAAACCAATGTTGATTGTCTAACCAGGTAAAAAGGAAGAATAAATTATGTTTTAAATATCAGTGTACCATTGGCTTCTATGAGAACTAAAATTTTGAAATGCATTTTTCTCAGAACCATTTTCATGCACTGATAAGTTCATTTCTCGCTTATTTATGAACCAATTTTCTTAATTTTTTCGGCAAAAAACATGGGAGGATGAATGCTATGCATTGGTATGAATTGTGGCTAATTAGAAGATATGAGTGACCTCTAAAAGTTGGTTTTAAATAAATTCACAAATTTTGGAACTAAAAGTCTATCAAAAACCACTTTTTTAAATTAAAAAAAAAAGTTTCACATATCACACTTTGATAACATTGGGTAAGACTACAATATAAGCTAAAGTGGTTTAAACTTTACATGGGGCCTTTAATAGTGTCAATGCTCAAATAGTTTGAATGAAATGGCTTCACCAACTACAGCTGTTGCAGATACGTTTTAGCTATAACCCATTGTGTGAAACCTGGCTGTTGTCACAAAAAGTTTAAAACAAAAATGTGATTTCAACATTTGATATCCCAATATATTGATTTTGAACTATGTATCCTACAATAGTTTATAATAATTATTCACATAAAATCTGAAAAATATGAAGTAATTAATTATCCAGAATATTAACTAATTGATTATCAATTATTGGTAATTCAAATCGTAAAAATTCAGCAAAACTTTTCATCTTGTGGAACTACCTTAAAACCTCCACAATCACTTGTTGGTATATGTAACATATCTTATGTTAATAACATGTGTTTATGGAGCTGTTAATGAAATGTGATCAGGTGTATCATGATAATTAAGTTATTATGTTAACACGTAATCTAATTTAATTACAATAATATTCAGGTGTTTAAAACATTGCTTGTGGTATCGTACTTAAATTACACGTATGTCAAGAGTTGAGTAAAACTTATCAATAATATAAACAAAAAATGATTTTGGTCAAATTCATTCAATGTAACATTTGGATGTTAATTAAGGGGAATTTAGGTACGTTAGATGACTTGCTCCCCCCTTGACTATAGGGCTGACATTAGATATTTATCTTCTGAATAAATTTTTTCTAGTAAACTAGTAATACTAAATACAGATCTCAAATTCTTTTGTATTGCCTAATGGGAGTTTTTCTCTTCTGCGCCCTTTCACATACTTACTAACAATTTTTTATGGCGAAGCTGAAACTCATTATATACATCCATGATGAAAGCATATCATCAAGATAATTGTTTTACTAGTTTAGGTGGGGCATTAAAAATGCTCCACATAAGCTCTTCTTCAGGAGGAAGAAGGGGAGGTGGAGGGAGAAATCGTAAGCTGCTTACCTCAAATCTTTATATAAGTTGTGTATCAATCGAAACGAATCCAGCGAAGTTTCAATCCTTTGTTTTGCTGCTTTCGGGGACGCTATTTACCTGACCTAATTCTCCGGCTTCTGATTGGTTGGTTCCAGCGCGGTCTTTTCAAAGCTGGTTTAAAAGTTGGAAACAGGCACAGAAGACTCCCTTACAAAACTTCATTGAATATAAATCCATTATTTTAACATAATGGTTATTTATCTTCTGAATAAATTTTTTCTAGTAAATCATTTATATCTACTCACACATTTTTTTTACGACTGAGTATTAAAGGTTTGTATTTGAGATAAAGCTCTCTTTTAAGAGGCAAAATACACTGTAAACATTATTAAAACAATGTCATATGGATTATGGCTTCAATGACATAACTGGTATCAGCTTGTTGTATTTTGGTTCTTCGTTGGTTCAACTGAAGGTTTTCAATAGCTTAGATCCCTCTGAACATGCAGAATGAACTGAATGTTGAAATATCTCACAGAATGAGTTGGAGTGTTGGAATACCTGAACGAGTAATAACTTTCAAATAGCTGAGTATTGTATCGCATGAAGGTAATCAGCAAAGCCAGGAGAAGACATTAATCTCTAAATAACCGTTCCTGCTGACATGAACATTCAACGCTTCAAGTAGGCAGTTTCTCACTCTTGGCAGCAACCAGGAAACTGAGAATTTGATTGTAGCTAACAGTTTGTGAGTTTAAATCATTGTTTGAGTTTTGTCAGGAAGGTCTGGCTGATTCTGCAATTGTAAATCAATATTTAGTAGGAACCTCATGCTGAATTCTCAATATGTTCACGCTGATTCCGCTCACTTTTTTTTTGACTTGGTTTAATGACTGACTCTAGTGTATTTCAATGTTGATTCTTAGTAATTTCATGCTTGTTGAAGCTCACAAATTTTCTTTTCATTCCCAGGTTTTTAATTTGTTTAAAACTTTTAAAAGTTATGCGATTTTGTCTGGTAGATGTTTGCAGTATTGTGAAGTGCTTTCTGCTTTAGCCAATATCTCAACTTGCATATCCTTCCATACCTGGTACCAACTCATTTAGCTTTCTCACCTGATTTATGGGCAACATTATACTTATGAGCTGCAATTGATATTGTTCATTAGACATTCCTGCTGTAATTGCTTCATGCTTGGCTTCTTGGAAGAACTACTTTAAAATGTCAATTTTTCTCTTTTATGGCTTTGGTCATTGGGTCATTGTGGCTTAATGATTTTTGTATTTTAGAGTTTGTTGCCTTACTCAAAACTATGTTGTGGAACTCACCTTTATCAGTATAAAATGAAGTTAATTAATCAGAATGAAGAAAATCAAAAAATTGAAATTCATTTATAATGATGAACATTTTATGATTTTTCCAAACTCACAGCTGGTTGCAAAAGAACTCTGAAGGCCCCATGTAAAGTTTAAACCACTTAACTTATATTGTAGTCTTATTTTCAAACTTTGCATGGGGCCTTTAAACTGTGTAAATTAGATGATTGTCAAATTTTCAACAGGTAATATTGCGTGCATCACATTCTGCTTCTCTGCTGGGATTAAATAACTGCTTCTATATATTGTTGGGTCTCTATGAAACGATGACGCCAATATGATAGGACAAACTTCAGAGTTCAGAGACTGTATATTGTGTTCATCTTCATTCACCCAGCTCTGATTGGTCAAATGCAGTGAAGACCAAGCATACAAAGATGTGTCATATTTTAATTTGTGTATATTTCTATCTCCAGGTATGTGGGGTTAAAGAGGCAGGATGAGACAGCCCAACCCCAGTCTGCTACATTTACTAGTCATCATACTGCCCACTGTCGTCACAAGCATCAATATCATTGACCGCAGAGAGGACAATGAAATCAACTTCAACTATGACATAGGTATGGAGATCAGATAAATAAATAAAAAATGTTATGAAGAAGTGGTGACATATTGTCATAGTCTTGAACTTTTTTGATGGACAGTGTTTGGCATTCAGCAGTTGGTGTTCGGCAGTTGTTGCAAAGATAGGTGGTGACATTTTGCATGTTAATGCCCTGTTCCCATTTTATCAGTCTCATTATTTTGCTATTATCATATTAGGTAGGCAGGAAAGAACAGAAAATATTTTTAACATTTTTGACCTGCCCTGTATACAAATGTATAATCAGGTTCAAAATGATTCCAATAGGTCTTTCAAAGGAGCAGTTGACATTACAGTAAAATCTCTGTAACACCTCTCTAATCTGAACATCTCTCAATGTAACACCTTTTCAATCCCATTTAAATTACCATATATGCAATGTAATGTGAACACCTGGCAATTTGAACACTTAAACAGTTCAGATGAGATAGAGTTTACTTTATACAGAGAACAAGTGCTCTTTTTTACTGTATGGTAAGATACAGATGGATGTATAAATTGATTAAAGATTTGTGCCACTAGGCCTACCTAAAGCTTTTGAATAATTGACATTACATTATCTGGTAATTGAAACTATATGAGGAGAATTTATTTGTGTTTATTGGTTTTTACTGATTTATTTTCTATTCTTTGAGGTTTGGTTAATCTCACTAAGATTTCAAATTCTATTAAATCAGTCAGGCTGAAAATGTCTATCGAACTAATTAAATCTCTCAAAAAGTCACTGCGGGATATCAATTGATTAGAAACTTTGAGTTGATTGAAATAATTATCGCTTTCGGGCATCTGAGAATATTTATCTCACTTGAGTGGATTGCTTAATTGAGAGACTGCTGAGGGGTTAGGGGAGGAGGTAATCGCATATGGGGACCACCTCAAAATTTCCTCTTATTTTACGAAAACATAATCTCACTGTGACTTCCATGTGGTTTCAACAGTCTTTTTCTGTGCCTTTTGTAATGACTTAAAATCAGAAACATTTTACTCGAGGAATTTGAAATTAGCAAAAGAAATAACTTGCAGATAATTAATTGTAATTGTTGATTATTGTTTTGTACATTAGCCCCCTAGAAATCAAAGGGTCACAGAGTCCAACTTAATTTAGCTACAAAGTTTATTTTACTGCTAAACAATCTCCCAGAAAATGAGATAAAGCTTGATTATTAAAGTAGTGGTTATCTAAGTCTAAACAATTTTAGAAATTACTTTACTCTGTTATTTCCAAATGTGGTTTTATTTGACAGATGAGCTGCTTTTGTTTTATAATGGAATACCAATCATTAGCACAACACATTCCTCAACATTTTCTGGGATGGCTATTTACAAAACAACAAAGCATACTGAGTGATTTCTACATTTTGTTATATTAAACCTAACTCTCCCGCAGTCAAGGAGGTTGTTGGAGATCCGTTTAACTTTTTATTGTTTATTGATCATAAAAACCAAATGAAAACATAGAAAACTGGCAAAGAGAATATCTAAAACAGTAAAACCTGTTGAAGCGGAACAACCTTAGTTTTGTTAAAAGTGATAAATACTATAAAGGTGTTTCACAGTAGTTTGTTCTATTCGAAACATAGTAGAGGCTGTTGAACCCAAAAATGGTGAATTGGCGATTTTTGAAAGTTGTATTTTATCACCCTTTGCTCCAGAAGCCTAATATTATCTAACCAAAATATATTGTCCATATGTGAAATCTGTGAATCATTACCCTTTTTGCGAGGCTGGTCTATACTTAGGCAACCAGATGTTGGATTCTAATAATCATTCTTTTAATAATAGAGCGATTGCTCTATTTTTAGAAAAACATCTTTGAGGAACACGTTGGTGTCTTATAGTGAGATTGTGAGCCTTAAAATATGTGAGCTTCTAGGTATGAGCATGTGTTGTATTACAATGTGCTTCTGTTTATAAAGAGGTAGTGCAACCATGACAATGGCATATGTTACAGTATACTCATTTGGCTTACAGAGCTGAGGCTTAGTAGACCCTTCGCACATGTTAAAGAGATAGTTGAACTTACACAACGACTGTGTTCAGCTTTAGATAATGTCAGTCTGTCCATTTGTTCATGATAGCTCAAGTACATGTTGTTGAATTTGATTAAATGTGTATAGGCTGATTCCTAATGGGAATAGGACCTCCGCTAAAGAATTTTCGATATGACTGCTCAGATGTTTTGTAGCACGCATCCTCTCTTTTACTAGGTGTAACAATTTTGGACATGTGTTTTTCAGATTCAGGCTGTAGAGATGGTACAACAGAAGGCTTCTCCGACCACCCTAGAATAGCAGCTTGTGCAGGGGACTGGAAGGGGCACATCAGCAACAGTAGTGCCATCTGTGCCCCTGGTTGGCGAGTCTGTGGATGGTATGTTAACTCTTACTCATTTCCTCTAGTTTTAATCTCAGACAGATGCTTCAGAAGAAATTAACATGTAACAATTTTATTTATGTTTGCTTCACAAAAAAAAGTATTTAGTATTGGAAAAATGTCGTTTTTGATGACATGATTTTGTTTTGCTTTTGAAATGTTGCCCTTTGTAATTTTGAGTAGAAATGTTTTGTTTGTTCAAATATTGTAAAAAATTTATTACCTTATTGCCTGCATTGACAATTGTACAAATACACTTATATTCACAGACATCAACATTTTTTATCTGAAACTGTCGCATCCTTAAACCTTCTCTTCTTACCTTATAAGGTATGACGAGTATGTATTGAAGACAATAAAGTGGCGAGAAGCTGTGACAGTGGCGGGATGTTTCGCCTTCAATGCTGCACAGGATAGAGGCAGGTGTCAGGAATGCACTAATAACCTTGAGCAGGTAAGATTGGATTGATAAGCTAACTTTTTGAATATCCAAATCTGTAGCTGGATGGTCGCATGAGTAGTATGAGTGCATCTTGAGTGCAATGAGTGTGGTATGCATCATATGGATTCCGTATTATCTAATCAAAACTGAATCATACCAATTGCCAGGTTTTCTCCCACATACACCAGCAATATGAATTGAAACTAGCAGACTTTGGGCATCTGGAGTAACAATCATGTTGCACTTTGTTGACTCTTGTGAATCAGCGATCTCGTACTTAATTATCAGCATTCTGCATTGATATAATAGAATTGAGTAAAAATGAATATTCAAACACCTTTCTTATCTGAAAACTTGTCAATGTCCCAATTATTATCTGCCATAGATTACCATGTTAAAAATCTTGAAATGTGAAAACCTGCAAATATAACATTTGTGGCCCATATCAGTGATGTTCAGGGTTTTTGTACAATTAAGTATTTGGATGGTCAAATTTTATCATTTTCCTTATTTTAATTTTCCTAATGATAACAAACTTCCCATTGAACATTTATGAAGATAATATTTCCAACATATATTTCCGAACCTGGCAAAGATTAGGCAATAGGCAAATTAAATGGTTAGCCAAAATTACCACTTATACTGTAATCAATATACTTTTGAAATTATTGCGTATGATTGTAATTGCAGGATGACTTGGCTGCTGTGGGGAGGGGGTGCCCCCATCAGACTCTTGGCCAGCAGTCCTGTATATCTGGGGGCAAAATAGATGCCTCCTGCTGCGTGGACTCCAGGTTGAACAGGGCATGTCAGTACAGGCCAGGGGTGACTGGAATCCTCTGTTGTAAAATACCAGGTTGGTTGAATCTACAATGTTTGAATCTACAATGTTGAATTGAAAATTGCATACAATAAGATCATTACATGGCTATTTCACCATTTATTATACATTGTATATGACTGTATAGGGTGTTTCCTATATATACAATGGGACAACATAAAAAAGTAAAATTGGAATTTGAAAATCTGTACAACTTGTTTCCTACTTTGTTTACTTTTCAAAGATTTGTAACTTAGAGACCAAATACAGTACAAGAGACCTAATAAGCACAAGACCAACTTTACAATATTAAAGCATCCTAACTGGATACATTAATATCACAATTGATGTGTTTGCAGGTATTGCCCCTCAGATCATTGTCCCACCAGAGCCAAGAGAGCACTTTGTTATGGGACTCTCTTATACTCTCACCTGCCAGGTGTCTGGTATGCCACCCCCTCGTATCACCTGGTGGAAGTCAAACATGCAACTTCCTGGCAATAATACGAGGATTGTCAAACTTAGCTCAGGTATGTTTGTGATTATTGTTGATATGAAAATTCAAATCCAGTTAGCTAAATTGTTATGGTAGCTTTGGTATGTGTTACAGATTACATTATGCTAATTTTGTTATGAAGTAACCAACAGTATTCTCGTCATTTTTTAAATTTCAATTTTTGATTATAGAGTATTTAGCTATGAATGTTGAACACAAGTGTATTGAAATTGTAAGTCCAAAACAGAGGCATTTCATATCATAAAACTAGAGTAAAATACAACACTTTTGGTACCTGAAAATAGTATCCCACTTGGGAGGTGTTCCATTTTGTGAATCACAAATTAAAAGCATTTCACAACAAGTCATAGATTGGATTAGTAGAATGAAGCTTGAATTTCTTATACCTAATATGCTGTGATTACTCTTATAGGAAACTTACTTATCGTAGAGGTCCAGAAGTCAGATATTGGGACCTACACATGTATTGCCAAAAACACCGAGGGGATAGTGAAAGCCTCAAGTAAAGTCTATGTCACACGTGAGTATCTTTACATACAACTGTGAAAATACTTTAGAGTTATTGTACTTGGATCACTAATTTTGATATTTAGAGAAATCATGCTTCACATATTTATATACTCTATTACCATTCCTGAATAAATTGAATGACATTTTCAGTGATTGTTGCTAATGTATACCGTATATGGAACTTTCTGGAGTGTCATTTTTATTGAATTAGGGATAACCTGATTATTTGTTAAACAGATGAGCAATTTTTATGATACACAAACAACTGAGTACTCTGTAGCAGTTGATTAGTTAATATAAGATGAATCTAAAACTACTTTGAATGCCTTAAAACGATTGGAAGTACAAGTATACCCTGAATTCTAATTAATAAGGAAGATAAATCATTGATAAAAATTAAATTACCATGAATGTGTTTCAGAGCACAAGTCAGGCTGTGCTGATGGAACCACTGAGGGTCTACATGAAAACAGGGACATTCAGGCCTGTTCTGGTGTCTGGTACGGTCACGTGAAGAGAGCCAAGCATCTCTGTGCCCCAGGATGGCTTGTCTGCAGTCCGAGGTAAGTGTCTTATTATATACAATGATTAAACTTCATGGAAGTGGAACACCTTTGGTACCTCAAAATTATATTCCATTTTGTGAATGGTATTTGGCGTTTGGCATTCAGTATCTGTAACAAATGGTAGGTAGTGACATTTTGCATGTTAATGCTTTGTCTCATAATTATTGTATATTTACGTAACATAAATTGTATTGTATCATATCATATTGTATATTTATTGCCTTATTTTGGTGTCCATTACAGGTATTCACACCTCCTTGAACAGATCACTTGGGCTGACACCACCAATATTGAGGGCTGCTATGCTTATAATGCAGAAAACTCTTATAATAAGTGTAATAAAAGGTGCCATAGGTACAACATGGCGGGTGTAGGTAGTTCTTGTGCCCGCCACAAGCGCCACCAGACGTCATGTATTGCAGAGGGACGCGTAGATGTATATAGAGGGCGCTTCTTCTCAGGCTGTTCCTACAGAGCAGGAGCCACAACAGGAGTCATGTGCTGCCACAAGTCATCAAGACATAAAAAAGGTAAAGCAAATATACCTACAAGTGTTCAGAATATATTTTCTAGCACAACGTAAATATCATTCTATATACATGTAAAATATAATGATGTTGACAGACTTATCGTGCGATTTCACCTTTAGTTTGGCTGTAACTGACAAATGTGTGTGTAAAATCGAAAATGTATTTGTATTAAAAACCTTGTATTTAATACTTCATTTGTGTTATCTCTCCAATGAGATCATGTCTAAGTTAACAGTTTTCATATTCTACCTAGTGTTATGATCTACCTACTGTATGTTTCAGTAACTACTATACCTCGAACGAAAAAGAAGAAGCACCAACACAGTAAATTATTGAATTTCTTCAACACGTGTAGTCCCAGCTGTCAAAATGGTGCTCATTGCTTATCTTACAATAGATGTCAGTGTGAGCATGGCTACAAGGGACATCGCTGTCAATTACGTGAGTCTACATTTTAATTGACTTCCGTCTGTTTACGTATATTGCATTGATTTTGTAAATTACAGGCCACTAATTTTTCAAATATTTTTATAATTGAAACATATACCAATCAGAACTATCAGAAAATTGCTTGGAACAGATTAAAGACTTTTTAGGATAGAGTTGTTTGAAATAATTGTTTGTTTGGTCTGTTATTTTGATGAATTGTAAAGTTTACACATATGTTTTATTGATGTCATTTTCAGCAATTTGCCAGCCTGGCTGTGGCCCAAATGCTAAGTGTGTCAAGCCAGGGGAATGTCAGTGTAATGAAGGCTATAATGGGCCAAAGTGCAAACGAGAGAGACATCTGACGTGTAAGCTGCCATGCTACAATGGAGGTAGATGTCTGGATGGGGAGTGTCAATGTCCAACTTCCCATTGGGGACCTTCTTGTGAACGATGTAAGATATTATAATATAAGTCATCCAATCTTTACTTCAGCTCACATTTTCTCTTCTTTTTTGTCAACACCCGAAGTGGCAACATATTGTTATAGTCTCCATTTTGTTTGTTTGGCATTCAGCAGTTGTTTTGCATGTTCGTGCATTGTTTATCCATTGAAATAGTTGAAGAACTGTTCAAATTACAGAGATCAAAATCATTTGTTTTTTAGCACCTAATCTTGTATATACCTGTCTAATCTTTATCTATTCTATATTAGCTGTCCAATATTGAACCAGTTTTTTGGCTGAACATTATTATAAATCATATTGTATTTTCTGCTTTCAGTGGTCACCTGGAGGCCTTTAACAGAGCAGAATCGCACAGAACGATAAACTAATATGTACATTATGACATAGTGAACCTCACCATACAATGTTGAACAGTGAACACATGTCTATTATGTAAACCTCAGATATATGGTTTACAGTGCACTTAGTGAACCAGCAGCAGGACTAGCCAGGCACAGGACATAGTGATATGACTGACCACTAGATGGTGCTGTGTAATGCAGTGTACACCAGAGGGCGCTGTATAAAAAGTGCACACCAGAGGGTGCTGTTTAAAACAGTGTACACTAGAGAATTCTGTGTTGAGCCGAGTACATTAGAGAAGCCATGAAGTTATTTGTATATGTGTACAGTGGATGTGTATATAAGAAGAGGCCAGAGATTTAAATCTGTTTATTAATGTTTGTAAATGCCAATACACTGAAGATGTAGTTCATGTGTGTAGATAAATAACTCACAAAATGTGAGTACATTACTAAATGTGAGTACATTGTTTATTGGAAAGGTCTTCACATTTGAATTTGTACTCTCTTGCCACCAAAGCTTAAACATAATGAACTAAAGTTGCATATACTGCCAACCAGAAGTGATTGTATATTCATATAGATAATGAACTTAAGTTAATATTTTGAGCTAAAGTTGTACATACATGTACTGTCAACCCAGAAGTGATCGTTTATTCTGAAACATAATGAGCTAAAGTTACCTATACTGCCAACTTAGAAGTGATTATGCATTCTGATCTAAGTGTGACCAAGTATCGAGTCCAGGAATAAATTAATGAATTCTCCATTGAAACAAATACCTGAAAAATCGAATTGTTCATCAATTGGGGAAGTGGGTTTGCAATGTTTCTTTACCATTGTCATCTAAGATTGCTTGCAATGCTTCTATTTATTTGTCCTGTATGTATGTAATGTGACTAAACAAAAGATGCCTATGTAAGTTCTGCTACATGTATATCTGAACATTTAAGAAACCTTTCCAAAAGTTCAGAATATTTGCAATAGATGTACAACTTTAAACATACTTGTGTGCCATCTATACTATAATTGATGGAACTTGAGAGTCAAGATTTATGAAACCTTTTTGTTTGCCTATAAAATCAATCCAAAGATCTTTTACTTGTACGAAAAGTATGAAACTTTCTCACACAAGACATGTTATAAAATAAAAATTACAAAATCATGAAATTAAATTATATACGATTTTATAATTAAATCATAGAATAGTCTGTAGATTTTGTATAGTACTGTCTCAGCGCTGTTAAAGATGAAGATTAGAGATATGTGCTGCTGTATATTTCAGAATTAGTCCCAAGTCCCAAAATCCTAATGTTAGGAATTTATCATTGTCATTGATAGGTGTCACTACAGGCTGTTCATCTGCAAATAGTCATTGACATAGGAAAATGTAGATATTCCTAGATTATGATGCCCAGGGCCAATTTGAGTTTATATGTTAAAGGGACAAAGTGCGTAAATGAAGTCTCACTTTTGATCTTCATAGTATTTGCAATGGATAAATAAGTACCCGATCTTTCATTTGACACCAAAAACAGCTCAAACAGACCACATCAGAGTTGACACTAGATCATGAAAAAATATTTTTGATCTATCAATTTATATGTGTCAAGTTTTTAGCCATGCCATAGAAAGATGGCATTGTTGTTTGCATTATGCATTCATTTTGATAGGATTTTCAAGCATACGCCATCTTTTAATCCAAGAGTTATTTAAAACATACAAATGTGAAAAGTGGTAATTCACTTTTTTCAGTCTCTGAACTTCAAATGCCGTTTTCTTTGCGAGTAATTTTTTTTCAGTTCAGTATTATGCCAAATTAAAGTTTTTATCATATTTGATTGGCTGTGTGAGTGACATGTCTCATATAATATTTTGTCCCTTTTCCTTCCAAAATAGGCACATTGGCTGTAAAATTGTTATATTATAACAATAAGAAAGAAATCTTAGGAACCATAATAATTAAAATCCATTAGTTGCGTCATACTACATTATTGTCTTGCATGATCGTTGGCCCTCTCACACAATCTCATTGTGATTTGTTTGAGATTGAGAAAGAATGAAAGGAAGACCTAATGTAGGATTTATTCATCGACTACAACATAGATATACTGTAATGTACATGAGCATTGTAACTGCAAGATGGGTCAAATGGACACCTAAGAAAGTAACTTATACTTTATAGGATAACCTATAGTGCCAGAAATGACTTGTGGGAAGGTAGCTCTATGTACTGTAAAGATAGTCCATTGTTTACCCCTAATAGAAATTAATAAGAACCTCTATTGTGCTCTATTATATAACAAGTCACTGGGTATTTTGTGAGTTTCTGATGAAAATCAGTATTGTAGGTTATACTGTTTGCATAGTTATGCATTTTATATGTGCTTTATTGAGCACTAGTGTCATTATTGGCCCATTTTGTATTCTGTCCTAAATATGTTGTTATACACACTGTAAAGTTTGTTATATATGTTTCATTGTCAAGTTTAAATATTTTATTTTGTAAATGAAATTGTAACTTAGTGAAGTATCAGTTTCTGGTAAATAAATTATAAATTCCAAAATGTATTTGTATATTGTTTTTCTAATTTATTTTACAGAACGAGACATATATTATACAAAAATATATTATGAGCAAACATTGAAATTTGGCAACAAAAATAGATTTGATTTGTAGTACTTTTGATACAATAACTTAAGGTAAAACCTGTACATGTATATCCAAACAACTCTCTTCGAACATCTCTCTGAACACTTTTTCACTAATTTTTTAAACACTCATAAAAAACTCCAAAATGTATATCTTCAAAGTATATCCAAACAGCTCTCCAAACTGAACACTTTTGTCTATTATTTGGATAGGACAGGTTTTACAGCATGTTCATATAAATACTGGTACTTTGTGTATGGTCAGTACAAAAATCTGTTATAAAAGAATCAAGTCAGAAATATTGAAATTGCAAGTTAATTTATGGTCGCTCATTTTGTGATTTAGCCTACTATACTTGTACAATAGTCAATTAATATTTGTTCACTTCATAATGTTTTTCAAGAATTCTGATAATGTTTTATGACTACCTATGTACATGTCAAATTATTTACTGCATTTAAATGAATCACAGTCTTGCAATATATATATTTGATTATAAATAGTAATTATTATGATTTAATAATGCTAACTTCATATTATTCATGGACTTCCAACAATTCATATCCAAAACTGCATTTCGTGATTTTCTACTTTTGATAGAAGAAGACTTGGCATTTTATGTTTATATGGCATTTAGAGGTTAGTTGGAATACTGAATTGTTGGAACCTTTGAAATATACTGTAAAATCTGAGTAACTATACAAATTATTTCATGATTGCTTATCATTTGAAATTTGTTTCTTGCGATTTCTATCTGAATACATTTAGTCTTGTGTAAAGGCAGAATCTGACCTAGCTAGCCAGCAACCTTTCCCCAAAGTGTATCAATTTTAGAACAATTTGGGTTCAAAGCAATCCTTGTCATGTCTATGTTTTTGAAAATATAACCAAAGTTCATAATTTATTCCAGGATAACTAAAGATTCTTACATTGATGTGTTGATTTCTATAAAATATGGTTTGGGAAAACTGACTCGTAATTAATCTGTGAATCTTAAATAACAAGTTGATAAGGTTGAAGTGATCTTTGAGAGAAAGAATAACCATGAGGTCAATTATACATGTACTGCTTGCAATTGCGTCACCCCTATATCTGTGATCCTGCCCTTGACTGTCCAATGTCCTTGTATATATAATTATACTGTATATATCTTTCGAATTCAGGAATTTGCTTGATTTGGATTTTGCAATTACAGCTTAGTTATAATCTTTGTCTGGTCTGGCTGTGACAAGTCAATAAGATCTTGGACAATAGGTGTTTCCTTTGCATCAGTCACAGACACACTTCTGACAGTAGTGCTTGTTGACTGTATGGCATAAGTGCCGTCACTGATCCCAGGTCTCGAGGGTGTTACGAGTTGACGTTGACTGGATTCTCCATCAAAGGCATCGTTTGAGTGACTGCTTGATGAACTACGATAGCTCCCACTGGCGCTTAGGTGTTCTCCTTCAAATGTGTTGAAATTCTTCTTGTCTCGGTACATGGACATTCCATATATCTTGTTAGAAACACCGAATCCTTCTGTTTTCTGAGGCTCGCCCTCGTTTACGATGTAGTTAGCCCCCCAGTGATTTGTGCTTCGCCTACAAGTAAGCATAAATATTGGCAATGTTATCAAATAACACAAACATTCTTTTACCAGAATGTTAAATTGATCTATTGGGTAGTTTTTTCACATTATGAATCTTCAGTTCATTATTTTCTGTTCACAAATCTTGTTTGTGATGTCCTGTCCATAATCAACCCTTGCTATTCAACTTTGAAATATCATTGTTACTTCTGGATGATATCAGTGCGCATTTTATGTATAACACTGTAACATCATTACTATTACAAGTTGCATTTTTATTGTGTCACCCTGTAAGATCTCAGAGCCACCTATTCATATTTGTTGAAACTTACTTCCTGAAGCAGAACCTGTAGACAAGGGCAGCAATGATGAGCAGCCCAATGATGACAGAGGCCACTATGATAACAATAAGGGCTGCTTGGGAGGGCCCACTAGGAGGTCGATCGACTATTGGGGATGGACAACCATCCGTAGCTACAATATTGATTATTATGTGGTTACACAATTTTAAAAGAATATGAGGCTTTATTGCATGATATGGAGAAGTCTGAGTTATTAAATTGTTGTATAATATGCGTCTGAGTTGATAAATAATTGTATGATTAAAAAAGTAAAAAAGGAGTAATTTATGAGTCTGAATTGTTAGTTTACAGCATGATTTCTCTTGAGTTTTATTTATGGTATTGAATTGTGAATTGTTAAATCATTGTATGATATGAAAAAGATATGAAGTATGAGCTTTACACGATGAAAAGCTCCAGTGATATTGAATTGATGATTTTATGGTATGTCCCCTTACTTCTATAACTCCAGTCCTCTGAACTGTTGCTAGGGTTACAATAGAGGCAGTTATCTCCAGGGTGATTCTCCTGACTTGCATAGCACACACCATTGATAATACAGTTGTTGGGCTGGAAAAAGGATGTAGGTGTGTAGTTAATTACATCATAGATTGAAAATATCTGGGTTTGACTCTAATCCCAGATGTACATTAATAGAACAGCTTTGTAGAAGAGGGTCAGTTATTTTTTTTATTGATCTCCTTTAATTTGGATGTTGGGGTTTTGCTCCCATACTATATATGGTCATGATTTCGGATGCTTTTTTACACTATTATTGGTGTGGTCTCCGATTTTTGTGACAGCCGTTGGTGATTGGCATCTGTAACAAATGATGGTGACATTTTGCATGTTTTAGTATGTTATTTATGTCATTTTCCCATCACCCACACTTGCATACATGTAGAAGTTTCTGTGTTCAAGGAGATGTGGTTTAATTGTCAAAAATACCTTTCTGAGACAGGTTGGGTTCTGCTCAAATGTATTGCATTCGTGACATGCAGAGTCGTGGACATTGAACAACAATCTCCCGTCATACCGTTCACCATCATTAGACACACCAATGAGGTACTTGGTGTTGCTTTCTCTGGCGTAACATTCTATTTGTGTCTGAGATACGAACCCTGCAGCTATGGTGTATGTGTCACCCGTGGAGTGCATTCCCGTGGAATTCACCTGGAACAAACACAATGAAATGATCGTTTTCAGTGGACCACCTCTCCCATGGTATAAAATGGCCTGTTCTTTCCTCTCCCAAACAAGGGTTACACTTGTTTGAAATGTTATTTTAATGAAATATGACTAAATGCAATTCACACTTTTTCTTAGCGACTGTTCCTCATCACTTCAAAGGCTGTATATTGTGGCCACAGGTTTCAGTCTTCACAAATTCAAAATCTGCTATGGGACTATTAGCTTCCCAACTTGTGTGATCTACACGAGGCAGTCTCATAATTGCCATTGGCTGTGGTAATCTTTGAGCGCATATAATCAGAATGAATGAGACTGAGATATAAAGGATTAATATGATCATCAAAATGTCTGAATCAGAATGCGTCTTACCTCGACAACTTCCATGTGACAAGTAAGCTCTCCATCTTCCAGGAAGTTGTCACCATACACCATCGTAGAGTTACAGTTCTGGTTTCTAAGAGACCTCAAGTCACAGCTCCCAAAGAAATGGAGATATTGAAGAACTGGGGGCAGCTCTGTGTCAACAGAACAATCCTCTCCACCCCAGGGGTCTTCACATGTACAGGTTCCTGGAGGAATACCATAGGTACAGGCATGGAGGAAATGTGGTTAGATGACACAGTTGAATACAATAGAGCAGCCCGTAGAAGTGAGGAATGCAAGCCCAATGAACATACAGGAAGAATATTGTCGGACAAAATGGTCTTGCCAAAGTTGATAGCAGGATTTTCAAATGTTGTTGGAGCGATGCATGATGTATATATTTTTTATAGAGCATTTAAATAGTACACCATCTTACCATTTGAGCAGACACCATTTCCATTACATTCACTGATACACATTGTGTCAAATATGTCATCTTTGAGGTCTGCACCAGTGCCATTAGCATATGTCATATTCTGGTTCAACTCCTCTCTACATTGATCTTTCAGGGCCTCCAGGGCTGCTCCTGCCCATGTAGTATTGTCTATGTACTGAAATGATGATATATAGTTATATACAATAGCATTGGTCATATTTTGGTTCAGCTCCTCTCTACATTGATCTTTCAGGGCCTCCAGGGCTGCTCCTGCCCATGTAGTATTGTCTATGTACTGAAATTACGATACATAGTTATAAACAATAGCATAGGTCATATTTTGGTTCAGCTCCTCTCTACAATGATCTTTCAGGGCCTCCAGGGCTGCTCCTGCCCATGTAGTATTGTCTATGTACTGAAATGATAATATATAGTTATATACAATAGCATATGTCATATTCTGGTTCAGCTCCTCTCTACATTGATCTTTCAGGGCCTCCAGGGCTGCTCCTGCCCACGTAGTATTGTCTATGTACTGAAATGACGATATATAGTTATATACAATAGCATAGGCCATATTCTGGTTCAGCTCCTCTCTACATTGATCTTTCAGGGCCTCCAGGGCTGCTCCTGCCCATGTAGTATTGTCTATGTACTGAAATGATGATATATAGTTATATACAATAGCATATGTCATATTCTGGTTCAGCTCCTCTCTACATTGATCCTTCAGGGCCTCCAGGGCTGCCCCTGCCCATGTAGTATTGTCTATGTACTGAAATGACGATATATGGTTATATACAATAGCATAGGCCATATTTTGGTTTAGCTCCTCTCTACAATGATCTTTCAGGGACTCCAGGGCTGCTCCTGCCCATGTAGTATTGTCTATGTACTGAAATGACGATATACAGTTATATACAATAGCATAGGCCATATTCTGGTTCAGGGCCTCCAGGGCTGCTCCTGCCCATGTAGTATTGTCTATGTACTGAAATGGTGATTTAGGTATCAACCTTTGTCTTTTTGGATTTTCACAGCCTTTCAGGCTGATCATGTTCAGATATATTATTCCATGGTGACCCATGGGGATTAGTCCCATTTCATTCAATTTCATAACATTTTAATTGGGTGAAAGTTCTAAGTATCTGCACAAAACTAAAGGAGTTTTATACACATGGATATAATATTATTATCTATATTAGGGAGGTTGTGCTGAACACATTTTTAAGAGAATATGTGATGTACTTGAATGAGTAATTTTATGACCCTCAGGCTGAATTGGCTTTTCCAGGACCATGAATACTCAATTTGGGAAAGTAAATGCATGTACTATGCAGGAAACCACTAATCCCTAGAGGACCATACTTCTTCATGTTCACATGAAAGTTCTCTTAATCCAGAAGATCCTGATGGGGTAGATTTAAAATTGTACCTTGATATCTGAAATACATCCAGCAAGGTCATTGGCTAACTGCACATTCTCTATTAATTCGTAACACTTCTTGCCGGACTCAGACTCCTCAGTTAGGTACTTCTCACAGAATACTTGGGCCTCTTGCTCATCCCATTCTGGTCCCCATGTTGAGTTCTGAAACATGTTTATGTTGGTTTTAGTTTCATTCATTGTTACAATCTACTTGGACATTATATTAAATTAAAAACGCTTAACTTGTACCTGACATTATATACTTTGCTTTTTATGGTATATTGTTACATTGTTAATATTTTATTTACAATTTTGAATGAGAGAAAAGTGTCTCTCACAATTTCTTGAGATAATTTTACAATAGTTTGTGACAAAAATCAAGGGGAATGTTTCCTCTCATCCTCTAATGGAAGTTTTGCGTTTTCCTCAAGTTGTCATTGTTTCAATACCCCACAATGAGATTAACCTAGAAGGTTTATTCATTGGTATTTTATCACTAACCTCTGGGTCGTATGTCTCATCAATGTTGATTGGTCCCTCCCAGTCTGTGGAGTTATAATCCACTGCTTGTCTCCGTACCCGCATCCTCATCATCACAGGCATCTGCTCTGGCACTTGCTCTACGTCGTCGCCCTGGAAGTCTTCCATGTTCACAATGGGTAGTCTGTCAGTGATGTCTTTTGTACCTGGTAAGTAGATAGAGGAACATTACTTAATCTTCTGTGTTATTAATTGAAAAAATGGACAATAACAATATATGGTATGTTGATATTAAGCCTCATATTACCCTATTGAACCCCATTGAGGAAACAACTGCGACATCAAAGAATGTACATTTTCACAATAACTAAAGTAAAGTATGGGACAGAGCCCATACTTTACTTCTACTGTATATAGCGTTGCATTGATTAAGATTGAACTTATTTAATGGATCAGAAGATGTTTAAAAACTTACTTCAGCTTATATTGGTATTTTATTGAAATGTATGCATGTACAGTTATTTTACCTCTCTCTATCTGGTCGCAGTGCTCATTGAGGTAGTCATATCCACAAGGGTTGTTATCCTCCAGTTCATGGCACTCACACACCATTGGTGGACGCCAGCCTGTCTTGGCCACACCTCCAAATATCCTCTCGGCTTCAGGTACTCTGAAATAGGAGGCTCATAAAGTGTTCCTGCCGTAATGTACGAGTAAGTATCAGATCATTCATAATACTAAGTTATGCTAAAAACATTTACTTTTCAATTATTTTTGTTGTAACTAACAGCTATAGAACCAAAAGAGAAAAATATTTTTGTGTTTTTGTCAGAAGTTATGGTTGCTTATGTTACATTTTATCTGATAAAAAGTTCTTTTTTTATATTCTTCTGCACTGTGACACTGTATTTACATATTTTATTAAAAACTGAAGGAACTCATCTCCATATCTGGCTTTCTATGTATTTTAGGGATTTTTAATATATATTTTAGGTGTCTATCCAGTACCTCCAGCTATGTAAAAATCCTTTCGGTGAACCTTTCTTCTGCTGTCCCTCCCCAGTATATACTGTACCATTACGCATGGTAAGTTCATTTGAATTGTTACGATCAAATGTACCACACAGGCCTAGAATTGTGTCACATATTCATATACCGGTCATTTTACTTTTTTGTTAGTATCAGTGTATTCATTTTGTTAGTTTCTATTTTGGTTAGTGCAAATACAGTTTGGTTAGTTTATATATTTGGTTAGTGGTACATTTGGTTAGTGTATATACATTTGGTTAGTGTATATACATTTGGATAATTTATAAACATTTGGTTAGTGTATATACATTTGGATAATTTATATACATTTGGTAAGTGTATATACATTTGGATAATTTATATACATTTGGATAATTTATATACATTTGGTAAGTGTATATACATATACATCAGGTTAGTGTATACATTTGTCAAGTGTATATATTTGATCAATGTATATACCGGTACATTTAGTTAGTGTATATTTGGTTAGTGCTGTATTAGTATGTAATGTTAGATGTGTATGTTAGTATTCAACTATCTTACAGACCATATAAGCCAATTTTTTGAATTTCCCTAGTACATGTAATTCAGGCTTTATTCGGTCATGGACATGAAATCAAATTAATTTGAGGCATATGCTGGAACAATGGGTGAGCCAAACCCCCAGATGTTTATAGGACATTAATGTCTGGAAGGACCTTGGGTTATTTCAAAGTGAGGTGGCTCACATATATTCCATTACCTCCACTCGTTATTGAAAGGCTTTGGTTGGCCACCACGTCCACTGCCCCAACCTGTATATATGGAGCCGTCACGCATCGTGTAGTCATCTCGTTGATTTCCATTGAATGTTCCACAAAGACCTATGTTTTCATACAAGAAGCCATGCATAGGTTAGTCAAAGCAATGTGTTAATAGGATCCGGAACATATTCATTGTTTTGCATAGTTTGTAATGTTAGTACAAAATGATCATGCATTAAGTTGGTTAGAGTAAAAATAGCCATGCATGATACGGTTAAATAAGAATGCTTATGTTAGTTAAGATACATGTAAATACATAAAGTTAGTTCAACATTTTTAAAAAGGGATTATGCTGCATTATCATTTTTATCAATTTATAACCACAGGCCATTAAAATACTTCAATCATAGTTCAACTAACACATATGGAATAGACAGGGAGCTGATGTTACATCATGCTCCTAAGCAGGTGTTCAGAATCCGTACCTCCTTCTTCCCCCTGCTATAACCAATTTGGAACCGATTTAACCGATTTAACTGAATCATGTGATCTATTTATGCGCAATGACTAATACATGATTTCTGTCGCAGTGTTGCAACAGCCAATCAGACTGTGAGTTCTAAGTCGGGGAAATGGTAACTGCTTATCGCAGGGGGTAAAAAGAAAGAATATATTCTGGATTTTGAAGCCCTGTGATTGGAGGATGATGTTACATTTAACAATACTTTTTGTTTATATGTTATGCCTTTTTTAAAAAAGGCCCAATAGTTTCAAAGGTCATCTGACAACCTTTTTCAATTTCAATGAATCTGGACATTTCTGCATTTAAATCTTCAGCAACTTCAATATTTGATCAGATAAATAATTCAGAAAATAAATTTAAGTTTCATCAAATTAAAATACATGATTAATATTCAATCTGGAATAATTAAAGAGAAAATGTTACATACCAACTGTATTGTCATAATCCCCAGCTCCACCAGTTACATAAACATTTATGAAGTGGCCATATGACTGTTCAATTGTGATCTTTGTACCAGTTGGCAGGTATACCTAGAATAAAGCCAGTCATTTGAACATCATTGGTATATGGTAATCTCATTGGCTATGCATTTATTATGTAAATATTACAGTATCAAATGGTGCTTTGGTTAAGCACTATTATTTTGTGATCGTTAACTATTTTTACTTTCATGGGTCACAGTTTCTATCGTCTGAAACTTTTGTTCATTCAGTTTGTTCAGTCATACACTGGTAACTTACAATATATTTCTTTCCTCCACTCTTACTGAGGATGCTAACTCCAGGAGTGAATTCATCGTCCCAGACATATGCAAATGTCTTCATTGGGGGATTGTGCCATCTTCCTTGTGCACGTCCAAATATGGGTTGATCCAGCATATTGCGTTCACATCTGAATAAAAAATTGTAGCTTGATTTATACTGGTATTCATTACTAATTATGGGTTACCATGGATATCTCTACCAAAGTAAAATATAGTCTAATTTGAAGGCACATAGAAATAGTTGATGTCTTACCTATCAACTACAAATACAGAGTCTCCAGCTTTAACAGCTGCCCCACAGTTACATGTAGCATGGGCCTGGTAGCATCGTTGATATATCACCTGTACTTCAAATGGTTGGGTCTTGTGTTTGTACAAAACAAAATGTCCTTCGAAGTGATTTTCATAATTCCTAAAATAATGATTATGATAATGCTTTGAAGAGGGAGCAAAATTAAAAATCATACATAAAATACATTTTGTAATAAAATCGTAAAAACATTAAAGTAATGAAATGTGAAGAAAAATTATGTAACATAGGGTGACACAAGAATGTTATTTCTAATTTTAAACGATACGAAATTGGATTAAACCATGATAGATAAGCAACAGTTTTGGCAAGTAGGTGATGGACTTATATTACATATATTATTAGACATATATTACTACTAAAGGAATATATCTAGCTAGTATTGTAAATGGTGCTGACTTTGTCTGAGTTCATATGCCCAGATGTTTATTCTCTTGACTCACCAGCTATCAAATGTGAACAAATGAGGATCATTCACTGATTTACACTGTCTTTCCCACCTGTCTCTTATGTTTATCTAATAAAGCAAAAGACAACACAGCTTAAATAACAGACAAGCATTATCATAATGAGAACTTAATACAAATGGGAAAACATACAAGTATAAAAGGTGGTATAAAATGAAAACACAGAATAAGCAAGACTAAGGGCTGTTATAGAGAAAATACATGGTAATTACTTATTTATTTGAATAACTAATTGTAAGAAAAATACAATTACATAGACATAAGCAGCTTTGGAAATAAGTAATGAAATGAAAATGATGTAATGAAAATAATACAAAGGCTATTAAGACTATTAGGCAAGGAGTGTAACTTTCAATGATGCAGTTTAAAGGAGTTAAATAGTTTAGAGTACATAGGATTGTGCCATACCGTACAAAATTTCACAGTTGTTAAATACTAATTGTGAGATCAAGTATGTCATTTCTATTAAATTTGATGTAGAAACAGGGATTATGATTCGCTAATGATTGTTAAAATTATAGCCAATTTATTGTGTTGCCATAATCCCCATTTTTAATCAATTTTTGGTGAGTATCTGAAACGACACATAGTGACACATAGTACCACCCTCGGGAAGCCTTTAGAAAACTTAAAGGTATTACACATCCTTATATACAATTAACTATTTAACTTCGCAAATCCTCATATCTGCTCCAAATCTCCCTTATCTACTGGATTTCTACAAGAAATGTATATATCCTCCAACACATCGAAAGCAAGTAAAACTAACACTAAAAGAAAGTAACATTTTTATAACCCATTCCCCTTACCACTCATCAAATGTTCTCAAATGTGGATCATTAACACTTTTACAGAATCCTCTGCGATCTCTGTCTTCAATATGTACCTAAGTATATCAATTGCACAAATTAGAGTAACACCCCAATTTACCTACACTTTTTGAGAACTTGAACGTGAATGTATAATATGAACCAAATGGTTTACTGGCCCCACTCAATTGGTATTTCTAGGAATCTTTTTGTGTCACAGGGTGACACAAAAAATTACACCCACCTTACGTTGCATAACTTGTTTGTCTATTAACATATAGACTTGCCCTTTGGCACATTTAAAGTAGACATAATGCGAAAGCACCTCGAGAAAGGTCAGAGGTGTAGCTCGAATTTTATGAGCGTTATAACATTTTTTCTAAATGTTGTCCATTCCTTTGCAGGTACACATGTATTCTACACAAAAAATGTGACCTAGCTTTTGTAACATATCTTTTATTTAGGTAAATACTAATGATTTCGGCTTGTACTTTCAGGGAAATGAAGTCCATTCACTTTAACACAAAATAATGTGGTTGTCGTTGATAAAATTATTATGTTTTATTTCCAAAATTATGTTACAACAGGTGGGTGTCATTTTTTGTGTAAGATCCAGTTGTGCCAGCAAAGAAATAGACGACACATTTTGTAACGCTCATAAATGTGCATCTAGGTGAGCTAGTCATCTTAAACTTCTTGTGGAGTTGCAAAATGGAGTATAGCTTAATATGGGGAAAACAAGTCAGACATTCTTTAGACAAAATAGTTATGAAACAATATTTGTGTGTGTGTCATTTTTTGTGTCATGCGGTAATTACCATAAAGGGGACAACTAATCCATGAGGACCATATTTCTACACATTCCCACACAAGCTCCCTTAACATGTAGATCAACCTCACAACCAGTTTAGACGAGACACAGCACCGTAACTAACAGAGTTGCACATGATTAAAGTGTGGAATAAACTGTGCATATCTTCATCACGTCAAGAGATTATAAACAAGTGAAAAACTATACAGGTGTAAAAGGTGATATAAATGAAAACACCGAATAAGCAAGACTGAGGGCTGGAACTTGAAAGTATATGGTAATTACTTAATTATCTGAATAAATAATAAAAAGAAAAATACAATTACACAGAGAGTGGAAGCAGCTTTGAAAAATAAGTAATACAATAAATATGATGCAATGAAATGTAAAAGACGTTAGAAAAGATAGTTATGATACATCCTTATATGGTAGCTACTATATAATTTCGCAAATCCTTATATCTGCTCCAAGTCTCCCTTATCTACTGGATTTCTACAAGACAAGTATATATCCTACAACACATTGAAAGCAAGTAAAACTAACACCTAAAGAAAATAACATCTTTGTAATCTCTCCCCTTACCACTCATCAAATGATGTCAAGTACGGATCATTAACAGTTTTACAGAATCCTCTGCGATCTCTGTCTTCAATATGCACCTAAATATATCAGTTCCATAATTAGAGTAATACCAAAATTAACCTACACTTTTTGGGAACTTGTACATGAATGTATACTATGAACCAAAGTGGTTACTGTCCCCACCACTCAGTTGGTACTTTTAGGGACCTTATAAATGTTTCTGTTTACTTGTACCATTATACTCATCAGGCAAGTAATTTCCATAAAAGGGAGAACTATATATGCCTATTCGATAGAAACAAAAAACATTCATTTCACCAAGATGGTCCATGGTTTACATGGACATGATACAGCAACAGCACATACTAGTAACACCAAACACTTGGTCAAGGTGTGTTCCTTTGTTGCAGACGTTGATGTCTGAGAGCTGTACGTAATGTTTTTATAAACGTTCACATATTACAATGGGCACTGAGGGGATAATGATAAGAGGCATGGAGTACATGTCTCTACCGTTGTCTGTCTCACATTTTCGATAGTCTGCTTCATCTCTGTTGTGAATCTAAAACAATACTATAAATGTAAACATTGTAATAAAAAATTGTTTTTTTGGGAATGGGAATATTCAAACACTTGTGTTCACTATACTCACTTCGCACGTCTCTAGATCAATGTACTCTGATTCTCTAGTGTCTTGCACAATACTCATTCCAATTGTCAGTTCCCTTATCCGATGACCATCACGTCTAAATGAAAAATACATTGTCAGTGTTATTTAAAAGGAAATGTTTCAATACCATGTATCATATGAATATTTTTAAAAATGTTGTGACAGTCTATGCCAGGCTACAGTTAAATCATTTGCTTTCATTGGAATATATATTAATAGCATTATTTTTGTTAAATAGTAAAATCATAGTACCTATTGTCTAGTTTTGCATAAATTGGAATTCTGTTATGTTGTTGCCACGTTGAGTCTTGTACATTTATGCCGCATGTTGTGTCATCCTCTGCATATGTGTGATCTCCAAACACTGCCTGGGATATGATGGTGGTCCTCTTGTTCTTCTTGTGCTTCTTACGGCACCTAAAATCAAGAGACTGATCAGAATATATTCACAATATGTACATGGGGAAATGAGGTCAAAATTGTCTCTCGCTTGCATGACTGCTTGGCATCTACATTTAGTATCACTATGTGTATTTCAAAGAAGGGATTTAAATAGGTTCCATAGAGAAAATATTAAAAATAGTGCATCTCATTTGGGCACTCTTCACATACGCTGGTTGTACTCCTAACTCCAGGTCAAATGTAATAGAGACGCCACAGTCATCGTCTAGGTCATTGTCTCTGCATATCTGTGTTGGAGATGTTCTAATATCCACTCCCAGGTATTTAGGACCACCTCCTTCAATAATCTCTATGATATCCGTACAGTTTATCTAGAGTAAAAATAAAGCAATGAATACAGCAGAATGCCAAAGAAGGGAGAATCATTAATGATTTTGTTTTGAGCATTCCAAAGAAACAAGGGGTAGATAACTTGTCGTCTTGCAAAATCAGACTATTTTATTACCTGTCTAAGTGTTTTTCTAAGATTCAAATATTATAGATAGAGTTACATGACATACCTTCACATAGCATTGTTGCCTGACTTCCAATGTAACAACAGAATTGAAATAATCCCATGCCTGATCTATCAAGTTTTGATCACAGGCAAATGTCTTGTTGGTAATACATTCCCGTGTTGCTTCTATTGTTCTAAAATAATAAAAAATATGAAATGAAAAACTATACAACTAAAAGTTAAGTTCCACTTTTGGACCACTCTGTAGGTGGCTGATACATCATTTCCATAAATTTCCAATTTATTAATACGATTGATTTTGTGTGATTTTAACTTTAATTTCTTTTTCAGATTATCCCCTTACATACTTGATTTCCAATCCACTTATATCTATAATTGTCCATGTTTCCATCACTTTAACATACCCGCAGATTGTTTCCTTGTCTGATCCATTCTCAATAATACCCTTCAGGTAGTCAACACATGCAATTGCCTCAGCGTATCTACACTGTGAAGCAGTGGTGGTAGGAACCCTAGTAGTTGTTGTTGTAGTAGGAGAAGGTGTTGTTGGGGTAGTAGTTGGAGCCTGTGTAGTTGTGGCTTTTGTTGTTTGGGTTACAGTTGTTGTTGGGACTTTTGTTGTAGGGGCTTTTGTTGTTGAGGCTTCAGTTGTTGTTGGAGTTTGTGTGGAGGTGGTAGTAGGTGCTTTTGTGGTTGTTACTTCTACTGTCTCACAACAACGCTGTACTTGACGGAAAACAAAGTCCAAGCTGGTATTCAGACGTCCACAGAAGCAGTCTCCACAATCAACCGATGTTTCCATCACACATTTCATTGCGGTTTCACGTTCACTGCAAAAATTTAAAGTTTTCTTTGCAATGCAGGTCTTCAGTGTTAAGTTTACTTTATATCATTAAGATATCAATATTTCTCAATAGGTAGCATAACCCATATCCAAAACCTCCTATTACAAAACCCTTATATGTTTTAAATTCATGAATTACTCATTACCTGCAAACTTGTCTAAGATTTTCATCTGGTCCTCCAATTACATTAATGATCCTATTATTGAACTCAAGCACACAGCTAATGCCAGCTGTAGTGTTACATGTTGGTGGTTGGGTGGGACAAGGTGGCTGTGTTGGTGGAGGGGTTGCTACAAATATACAATAAGAGGTCTAACTCATGCAAATAAACATTGGCAACTCATGCAACTAAACATTGACAGGTCCAACTCATGCAACTAAACATAGACATGTCCAACTCATGCAACTAAATATTTGCAGGTTGAACTCATGCAACTAAACATTGACAGGACCAACTCATGCAACTAAACATTGATAGGTCTATTTAACTCAAGAAACTAAACGTTGACAGGTCAAACTTACGCAACTAAACATTGACAGGTCCAACTCCTTTGGAACTACCTTAACAATGAACTATCACATAAGTACTTTGAATATCAGCAGAAGGACGCATTTACTTACGTGATTCACAATCTTCAATCTGCACCAATGTTGCCTCCAGAGTTAAATTAAACCTTGCTTGCCAGTCGGGGTGACAACCAACCACTGCATCCATGACACATTTAACAGTGGTCTCCCTCATACTGTAAACATACATGAAATAGTATTGAGTATGTTCTTCAGGTTGATTTATAACAAATAACCATTTTTCTTTATTGCCCATACGTGTAGAAGCCAATTGGTTAATTTTTCAACTCACACCGCGACTAAATTGTAATAACCATAGAGTTTGTTACAGCAACACCAAACAATATTACCGTCCAGTCAGCAAAGGAAATGAAATACTGCTTGAAGATCGGTGTATTTGAAGGCAAGTTCCCAAAGGATAATTGTTAACGTCATTCGATATAATAAAGTTGTTTTGCCACTTAACTTCAGAAATGTAATTCTATTGCCAATTTCTTCTTACCCACATACTGCTGTTTGATTCTCTGGTGAGATTATTTCTGCGATGATTCGTTGACTTATATCTACCAGGCATCTACTGGCAACGTCTACCTTGCAATCTGGTGCCAGAGTGGTTGGTGTAGTTGGAGCCAGTGTGGTCGTGGTTGTCTAGAATAACATCATCACATAAGGTTGAAATTGAATATGATGAATCTGATTCTGACACTTTTGAATCAAGCACACATGCAAAAAGAACAAGACCAAAATAACACTTTTCCGTACCAGAGAAATATCAATGAAACTCAAAAACAGAAACACACACTATGCAGTCAGCTACAAATCGAAAGTCCAAAAGGAAAACTAAAATTAAAAGCACATGTTTCCACATTGAAAGGAACGCGGTTCTACTCACACTTGTAGTTGGTGGTGCAGGAGTTGTGGGGTCACATCTATTTCCTATTAATTCAAAGTTGTAATCTAAAGTTGAATTCACTCTTTCAACAATGAAATCTGGACACTCAGCCGTATTTTCCTCAACACATTTTAATGTGTCTGTTGTGAGAACACTGGAATTTAGTATTTTTACAAAATAAATAAACTAAAACTTCATTCATTATTACAATTGACATGTAAAAATTAAGTCTATTTTATGAAAACCAGTGCATCATTTCCCATTTAACAAAATTTTGTCTCGTTAATTTAAATTTGTTTCGCCTATTTTCTTTCATCGTATGTACTTACCCACACACATATGTCCAATTTCCATCTTCCTTCTTGAGAATCTCAGACAGAATTATTTGGTTGTGATTAGACACGCAGCTCAATGCCTCAAGGACCTTGCAGTTTGGTGGAACTATAATGGAAGAATACTATTAGCGTTTGTATCTTCTTGCCATGAAGCCCCCTTTAATGGTCGATTGATGATTACTGCCTTCTCACTCGTTTTTGTTCTCTTTTTTAAATTTGTTTTTTTATTTATTAAAATCACATAAAATTGTGCACACAAGTGCAAAAGGGAAAGGACCAAAAATTGTTACTGAACACAGTAAATAAAGAAAACATCTAGGTGTACACCAGTCATTAGGAAAACAAATCCCAACTATCCCAAATCATAATCCAACGTGAAAAGCAACAATGTCTTATACCCCCCTTCACCATTCAAGTTCTATGATCACAATCCAGGACCATAACACCAAGGGGCATTCATCTGGTACAATATATCTTGAAGAATAAATATAAATTGATAAACAAATACTCATAATTAAGATCAAAAATAGTAGATTAGTATTCATTCCAAATAGTACATTTAGTCTCACAGCCATTTGCAAACATATTACATAACACTGATAAGGGGGTATATGGGTGTATGCATAACCACCATCTAAATACTTCTTTTCGACGCTATTGTTACCTGTTGTGGGCACAGTTGGCGTGGTGGTAGGTGTAGTTGTAGGAGCTGGTGTAGTTGTGACGAGTGTCTCACAACATGTAGATATGATATCTACAACAAAACCCAAACTGGCATTCACCTTGTCCTGGGTACCCCCAGTACATTCTGTTGTCGCCCCAAGAGCGCATTCAATTGTTGCTTTCTGCTCACTGAAAACAAAAGGAAGTTCAGGAAATTCAAAGAAATAATAAATCTCGTGGCCAACATTTATTGTTTTTTATACATATTAGTAATATTGTGCATCATTCGAGATAGGTACTAAACAACCTACTTGCAGACTTGAGTGATATTGCCATCTACCAGTCTGTTGAAGTATCTCCTTGAGAAGTCTAGTACACAACTAAGTGCAGTATCAACTCTGCACTCTGGGCTTTCAGTTGGGGCGGGTGTTGCAGTTGGCGGTGGTGCTGTAGTGTGTACAATGTAAGAATATTAGTTTATATCGTGTTATACAATAATGTAATATGTCTAACAACGAGTAGGTGTCTGTAGATGTATCGTATATAATAGTATAGTGGTTGTATCTATTATTTTAGAAAGTGTTACCTGTCACTCCCTCGCAGGTCAGTCTGTTCATAGTTGCCTCAAATGTAAGATTGTATCTGAACACCAAATCAGGCGGACATTGTACCAGGCTCGTCTCCAAACAGACCCTTACTTCTGTAATCTTACCGCATACACCAGTAAAGTCACCACTTCCAGTGGCATTAACAACTTCCTCAATGTAGTTGGACATGCAAAGTGCTGCTGATTCTGCACGGCATGTTGGAGCGAGGGTTGTTGTGGTTGGAGGTTGTGTCGTTGAGGTAGTTGTTGCAATTGTTGTGGTAGAAGGAGCTTCCGTAGCTGAAAATGAAAGTATTCAAAAACAGCTCCTTCACACTAGGTCTATACTTTTTATCATTTTTAGGAGATCGCCACATTGATGCAAAACACATGATGAAATAATCCATGTAATTAACATTCGATATTAATCACACTGGTTATACTACATTATGTCTTAGACATAGTACTTACAGAAATGATAAAACATGTAACTATCAAGTATTATATTCTCAACCTACTTGTTGGACAGGGTTCAATGAGACATCCGCATGTTCCATCCAGTCTGTTTATTTGAAGAATCAACAGTTCTCTAAGAGATTCCCTCTCTTCTTCATTACAATCCACCGTATTTTCAAAGTAACACTCGATTGTCACATTAGCTTGCCTATAGATAGAAAATAGTCCTCAATCAACTTTACGACAAAGACAAATCGTAAACATTTTATACAATATTATTAATGAATTAATTAAAAAGCATAAGCTTAATACAACTAAATTATTATCACTTTTATATTACATTACATATTCTACAAAGCCATTTATATTAAAACATACTTTAAGTGAAACACGTATTGACATCCACATATTATCACACACCCTTCACACATGAGCATGCCACACATCACATATATGTTTTACAATATGATCATACTTAACAACACAACGTATATTTCTTATACAACAATACAAACCTGCAAAAGCATAGTGTATATTAGTATTTTTAGAGTCATGCATTTTAGTAAAATAAAATATACATGGTTTTACAGTTATTATGGTTAGTACAGGATGCGAGGTTTGCAACACACAAAAGGGGAGTAAGTAGGGTATAGCATATCAGAAATCGTCTCCAATATAGCTAACAATAATAATATAATATTATTTTAGTATATTTGACTTTCAAAATAATGCAGTACTAACTATTACATATATATACACATTGTTAAAAAGCCATTTTGGAAAGCAGAAGTATCATTTGATATATAGATACATCTGTAATGATAATTATTGTTTCCAATGTAGTCATGCAACAGATTATTAAGTTACCACAAGGTTATAATAAACACAAAGCTTAACATTTGAGATAATGCAGTTAACAATTTAAATACTAGTCATGCAACGGATTATTAAGTTACCACAATGCTATAATAAACACAAAGCTTCACACAATTATTGTTTCCAATCAGAGAATATTATATGTCTCTGTTCCAATATAGGACTATGTTTGTGATAATGCTGGTGACATAACATGCTAGTCATACAATGGATTATTAAATTACCATAACGTTATGCTAAAGACAAAGTTTCACATAATTTTTCTTTTCAATGTTGATGCAATTGATTGACTGCAATGTGATATTAAACACAAAGCTTCACATGGTTATTTTGATAAACTTTGTGTTACTTGCAATATGCTTTTTTAGTTTGTCTCCGAAATACACTTGAATTGAAGAAGAGGTAACTACAGTAACACGTGGTAAGTAAAAAGTGAACACACTCATGGATGGGTTAAAAGCAAATGTGATGTGTAAAATTGCAGTTTTAGTGCTTATATAGTAGAAAGTTGAGCTACACATTCTTAAAATAATATGTACGTACACAACAGCAGTTATAATTATGGTAATCTAGGGATCAGTTCCCCCTGCCTTGGTAGTATTTGATAGCGCGATTGAGTATTAAGGAATTTATAAGTTCTCTTAAAACGTGTAGCTTAACTTTCCTAGTGTTGGGTTAAAAGATGACATCACCACTCTGAATGCGAGTTTTGTACACACAGATGATTTGGTGATACTATCCAAATGTTACGGAATTATTAGTAATATGTTAATGTGCAGTGTGTAAAAGCTACTCAGGTTCAATCCAACTTACCCACACACTGCAGCATTGCCATTCTCAGGGAACGCTATCCATGCTAATATCTCAGCGTTAAGATCAGCGATACATGTCAGTACTGCAGATTCCCTACATATCCTTGTTGTTGGAGGAGCTGTTGGTACTGTTGTTGTACTTAATGGTTTGGGTGTTGTACTTGGCGGTTTGGGTGTTGAACTTGGTGGTTTGGGTGTTGTACTTGGTGACTTAGGTGTTGTACTTGGAGGTTTGGGTGTTGTACTTGGTGACTTAGGTGTTGTACCTTGACTAGTTGAAGTCTCCAATTTTGTTGTTGTTATTCCTATGACAATTGCACATTATCCATCCATACAATTATATATTTACATTTTTGTTTCTTAGTGCCATTTGTGGTTTCTATGGTTATTGTGATAAATATTACAATGATGCCATAGTTAGGTAGCATGTGTAAAATAGTTTATCAGTCGAATTTTCAAGTTGTGATATTATTGCTAATAAATAATCTTTGTCGACTGTAATCACTTTTAATAATGTTTAAATGTACCTATTGGAGGATTGGTTGTCGGGCAGTCTCCATCCACCAGACATCCACAGGAACCATTCAATCGTCTTAGTTGGACCTCCAGTATTGTTCTCAACAGAAACTTGTCATCTTCGGAACAATCCACGGTGTAGTTGTAATAGCAAAGAATGGAATTGTTTGCCGTGCTGAGAGACAAGTATACAACAATTGTGATGATGATGATGAACAGAACAATGCCACAAATCCTATTAACAGAAATACTCACAAACACAACCACTGACACGCTCATAATAACACTGACAAAATCCAGACACACCATTGCATTCCTATGTTATGAGACTATTCATATACTGTATGCATTCCTGCCACTAGAAAGCCAACTACACCTTACTATACACTAGACCGATGCCCTTCCAACCTATTCCCAGATATCCACTATATGTTACAAAGTACTTACGCACATAGTTCCTCAATAGGAACTTGTTCGGGCAATGTGATCCATACAAGGATGTGATCATTTAATTCTTGGATGCATTCTTGAACCCGTCCGGTTTCACAAACTAATGGCCTTGTTGTTGGTGCTGCAAATAAAAGGTTAAGAATATTGATTAATATGCCATCAACATTATGATCACATCAGCATATCATTTGGACCAGAGGATAATGCTAAATGCCCTAAGCCCAGGTCTCAATGATTTGTGAGTGGTATTATGCACTTTATTGTTTTTGTTTGCAGTCTATAAACCCAGACCTTTTGATCCAGCACTACTTTAAAGGCTTGCACCGAAAAACCTGGCACATAAAATCATCCCTATTTTCACACATAGTAAAAGTGAATGCAATGTAGAAATACCCAATGTTGTCGTTGGAGCAGTGGTACTAGGTTCCTCTACAGCCTCGCAACACTGTTGCACAGTTCTGAATACAAACTCCAAACTTGCATTCAGGCGCCCACCAAAGCATGTGCTGCAGTCAACTGACGCATCAGCTACACATCTGAGAGCAGTTTCTCTCTCCCTGGAATGTCAATGTGCCCTGAAGTGATTTGTCGATACTGAACATTGTTTTATTCATGGAAAATATTTATGAGAACGATTAATGTTCAATATCATTCTATATTATTTGGATACACAATTTTAAAGATTATCTGATGTGAAGAATGTAATCTGATAAAACACTTACAAACAAACTTCTCTTAGGTTTTCATCTGGACCTCCAACTCTCTCAAGTATTCTTTGGTTGAACTCAAGAACACACCTTAATCCAGCATCCACTCCACAAGTTGGAGGTTCTATAGTGAAATAAATTGCAATAGGTTAATCATAAGATTTTGATTAGAGTATTGTTAAGAGACTGGTATGCAATTATTCATTGCTAGTTATACCACATGCAAATCATTGAACACAAGGAGGATGGTCTTACCAGTTGGACAAGGGACATCAATCGGTGCAGGGGTAGTTGATTCACAAGTACCATCTATTTCTCTTAGTGTGGCACTGAGTGTCATGTTGAACCTTGCTATCCAGTTAGGATGGCATCCTACAACTGCTTCTTGAACGCATGTTATTGTAGTTTCCCTTTCACTAAAAATGATATTTAGATTTTAAATGCATGTTTTCAGGTGGTCAATGCTTTTATTTTTTATGATCAATCTTGCAGTCCTCATAAATATACAAAGTGAAAAGGGTAAACGTTACATAATGTTATTACCTGCATATGTTGCTGCTATTTCTGTAGATTATTTCTCCAATTATTTTTTGGCTAATGTCAACAAGGCATCGACTTGCTACACTGACTTTACAATTTTCAGCCGGTGTTGTTGGTATAGTTGGTGTGGTCGTGGGTGCTAATGTTGTAGTTGGTACTTCTGTTGAGGTTGGTTTCTTTGTTGTTGTCGCTGGGGGCAAGACCGTTGTTGTTGGTTCAGGTTCCACAACTGCACAACAGTTCTGAACTTGCCTGAACACGAAGTCTAAACTAGCGTTCACCCGGCCACAGAAACACGGAGAACAACTAGCAGAGGCATCCATGGCGCATTTCATTGCTGTCTCACGCTCCCTACAATGGGAATCAATCAAATTACTGACAAATTATTTTAACGTTTATTTCATAAGTGATAGATAAAATATCTATCTAGAATATAATATCATTAATCATGGAAAGCAATGTAACATGGCCTAACTTACCTGCAAACGGCGATTAGATTCTCATCTGGTCCTCCAATGACATTGATGATTCGCTCATTGAATTCCACTACACATCTTACACTTGCATCCACTCCACAACTTGGTGGTTCTGTTGGACATGGAGGTACAGTTGGTGCTGGGGTTGGTGATTCACACGTCCCTTTGATTTGTGAAATGGTCGCCTCTAATGTCATGTTGAATCTTGCCCACCAGTTAGGATGACAAGAGGCAACAGATTCATGGACACACCTGATCGTTGTAGAAATCTCGCTACAAATGGCACTCTGGTTTCCAGGTAAAATTATCTCGGCAATTATTTTCTGGCTGATGTCAACTAAACAGCGACTAGCTTCTGATATTTTACAATCTGGGCTTGTTGTTGTTGCTGGAGTAGATGGTGTTGTTATTGTGGTTGTCGGATCTCTAGTAGTTGATTGAACATCTCTTGTGGTTGAAGGTGGTTTAGGTTGTGTAGTAGTTAATGGGGTTCTTGTTGTTGTAGGAGCCATTGTGGTGGTCTGTTCAACTACTGCACAACAGTTCTGGACTTGTCTGAACACAAAGTCTAAACTGGCATTTACCCGGCCTGAGAAACATGGGGAGCAACTGGCAGAGGCATCTAGTGCACATCTCATAGCTGTCTCTCGCTCTCTGAAATGAATAATCCGCATTCTTGACAAGCTGATCAATCACTTTGTGTATATTAAAAGGCATGATGTGTAAGTACTTCCTTTGTCTTTTTAATATTTAAATCATAAATCTGTTTTAGACATTTTAGATTTTGTATTTTCTTGTGAATGGACAGACTTGAGAGAATTAGTTTATTTGTAACAAACCTGCAAACTGCTTCCAGATCTCCATCAGGACCCCCGATAACATTTAGTATTCTCTCATTGAATTCCACTACACATCTGACACTTGCATCCACTCCACAACTTGGTGGTTCTGTGGGGCATGGGGGTACAGTTGGGGCTGGGGTTGGTGATTCACACGTCCCTTTGATTTGTGAAATGGTCGCCTCTAATGTCATGTTGAATCTGGCCCACCAGTTAGGATGACACGAGGCAACAGATTCATGGACACATCTTATTGTTGTAGAAACCTCACTACAAATGGCACTTTGGTTTCCAGGCAATATTATCTCAGCAATTATTCTCTGACTGATGTCAACTAAACAGCGACTGGCTTCTGATATTTTACAGTCTGGGCTCGTTGTTGTAGCGGGAGTAGATGGTGTTGTTATAGTGGTTGTCGGATCTCTAGTAGTTGATTGAACATCTCTTGTGGTTGAAGGTGGTGTCGGCTGTGTGGTTGAAGGGGCTCTTGTTGTTGTAGGAGCCTTTGTGGTGGTCTGTTCAACTACTGCACAACAGTTTTGGACTTGTCTGAACACGAAGTCTAAACTGGCATTTACCCGGCCAGAGAAACATGGGGAGCAACTGGCAGAGGCATCTAGTGCACATCGCATAGCTGTCTCTCGCTCTCTGAAATGAATAATCCGCATTCTTGACAACCTGTTCAATCACTTTGTGTATATTTAAGGCATGAAGTATACTCTTAGCAAAAACGCATGAATCTTTTTCATCATGCAAAGTCCAAGCAATCTAAAAAAATCTATGTGAGTCCATGAGGACGTTGAACAGAAAACCCTTGCACTTATCCATGCAATCACCATGCAAAACAAATGCAACGCACATTGACTTTGGTATTTGCATGCATGCAAACACTATACAATGTCCATGCAGGCTGCTTGTATAAAATACTTTTATAGATTGGTATCCATGCAAGTCCATGCAATTTTGCGTGGTATTTGCATGGTCATCAATGATTGGTTAAAAATTTCAGCTCTTTTTAAACAAAAAGAAATATGGCTGACAAAGAATGTTCAGCTGTAAGAGATTCAGGTAATTTTTATGATTTTAGAACAATAGTTTGAAAATGACCAATCAAATATAGATTCAGAAGTTACTGACATACTTGGACATTCTCGTGAGAGGTTAAATGCAAGTATTGCTGTGGTTACTCTATTTTAGATGGGCATATTTTATTTTCTCAATGAATTTATATAGGCCAAAAGTTTAACTCTATTCATTATACATACAGTCAAGGTGGTCAAGCATTTTGTTGTGTATGATCAATTGTACCTGTAACAATAAAAATATAAGGTATTTTGTAGATACTGCTGCACCTAGAGGGTCCTTCATCAATCATTACCACTGTTAGCTGCTGCCAATAGATCCGTATCTGAATGGGTAAAATTACCAGAACAGGCAAGTCTACTAACTTGATCACAGAGAATTCCTAAATGTATGAGACACATTAATCTTCAACTAGTTTGTAAAGGATTACCTTCAAAGCTTTACACGCATTATACGGAAGGATTTGAAATCCCAATATCACGATCACCTGATGTACCCCATTCGGTCATTTTTGCCAAAAAGCTGTGGCTCACCTGAATGAGCAATTTTTCATGTTTGAGCATTCTTAGATTCTATAGGGTTCTCTCCCGGAAAATCAGCGATATCCCGTTATAATGGCTTATATCAAAACATACCTTATGTATATCATGAAACCCACTTGGGGGTATAATATTGCTGATATATTGAGAAAATCAACAGAACAACCAAATGAGTTCGCAGCAATTGAAAGGATTCCCTGTCAAGTGACACATACCAGCCACGGGGATGTTACGTGATTTGAGCAAATCACATTCAAAGTCGCTTTTGAATTTTCTTTTTGTATTTCAGAACTGTTATTTACAGAGTTCCCTTAGCCATGTGCACAAAATGATAATCAACTTTTCCAGAACTGTTATTCACAGAGTTCCCTTGGTCATGTAAACGAAATGATAATCAACTTTTGGCCAAGCAAATCCATGCAAAATTGTATGGGGATTGCATGGTTTTCATAGAAGCCCGTTAACAATAGTTCTCGCAGCCTGCCTGGACTTTGCATGTGGATTAACGTGCTTTGAATGGATTTGAATTGATGCCGCATGGACTTTGCATGCATTTGAATGGATGTTGCATTGGCTTTGCATGGATTTGAATGGATGTTACATGGACCATGCAAGTTCATGCAAAATTGCATGTGGATTGTATGGTTTTCATATAAACCCATGCAGATGCATGCAATTCTGCATGGGTGTTGCATGGGTATTGCATGGAAAGGTTTCATGGACTTGGCATGCATGCGGTTTTGCCTAGGGTAAGTACTCCCTTTGTCTTTTTAATATTTAAATCATCAATCTGTTTTACACTGGTGATCCACTCGATTACGCTGGTTACCGAAACGGTTCGTTTTGGTAACAAAATGTCGGAACGTCATATACCTATATACCCTTGTAAACTAGTTAGACTATATATATATATTTTTTATATTTGCTAGTGATACTTTTTTTTTGATACTTGACATTATACTTTTATATGCCATTTGGTGTCAGTATTAGTCATGTATTATTATTGTATATACATTTTTCTAAATAAATAAATAAATAAATAAATAAACGTCGAAGGTACAATTTTTCTTTTTTCCTTATTCATGCGTTGTAGGCAGAATCCCAACGACGTTTTTCTCACAAACGTGTATCAGTATCATATGTTTTAGAAAAAGTTCATGTTTGCGAAAAAATAGCTCAGAAGACAACAGAATCGTCGATTTAATTCCTCACTTAAGTTACAAAAACGATTTGGGTTGAAGGTGCAGATCTTAACTGTTTTTCGAAAAACCGTTTATGTAACTTAAGTGAAGAATTAAATCGACGATTCTGTTGTCTTCTGAACTATTTGTTCGCACATATGTATATTTTCTTAAACATATAATACTGATACACGTTTGTGTTAAGAAATGTCGTGGGAATTCTGCCTAAAACGTTTGAAATAAGGAAAAGAGAAAAGTCGAACCTTCGACGTTCCGACATTTTGTTTCAAAAACGAGCCGTTTCGGTAACAAGCGTAATCGAGTGGATCACCAGTGTTTTAGACATGTTCGATTTTTTCTTGTGAATGGACAGGCTTGAGGAAATTAGTTTATTTGTAACGAACCTGCAAACTGCTTCCAGTTCTCCATCAGGACCCCCGATAACATTCAGTATTCTCTCATTGAATTCCACTACACATCTGACACTTGCATCCACTCCACAACTTGGTGGTTCTGTTGGACACGACGGTACAGTTGGTGCTGGGGTTGGTGATTCACACGTCCCTTTGATTTGTGAAATAGTAGCTTCTAATGTCATGTTGAATCTTGCCCACCAGTTAGGATGACACGATGCAACAGATTCATGGACACACCTTATTGTTGTAGAAACCTCACTACAAATGGCACTCTGATTTCCAGGTAAGATTATCTCAGCAATTATTCTCTGACTGATATCAACTAAACAGCGACTGGCTTCTGATATTTTACAGGCTGGGCTTGTAGTTGTAGCAGGAGTTGATGGTGTTGTTATTGTGGTTGTTGGTCCTCTGGTTGTTGATTGAGTATCTCTAGTGGTTAAAGGTGGTGTTGCTTGTGTAGTAGTTGACGGGGCTCTTGATGTGGTAGGAGCCTTTGTGGTGGTCTTTTCAACTACTGCACAACAATTCTGGACTTGTCTGAACACGAAGTCTAAACTGGCATTAACCCGGCCAGAGAAACAAGGAGAGCAACCAGCAGATGCATCCAGGGCACATCGCATAGCGGTCTCCCGCTCTCTGAAATGAACAATACTCATAAGTCTTTCACTACCTGATTAATCACGTTGTGTTCATTTAAATGCATAAAATATAATAACTTCCTTTGCCATTTTTATAATTAAATCATTAATCTGTTTTAGACATTTTAGATTTTGTCTTTTTTGTGGACAGACTTGAGGAAATTAGTTTATTTGTAACAAACCTGCAGACTGCTTCCAGTTCTCCATCAGGCCCTCCAACAACATTCAGTATTCTCTCATTGAATTCCACTACACATCTGATACTTGCATCCACTCCACAACTTGGTGGTTCTGTGGGGCATGGGGGTACTGTTGGTGCGGGGGTTGGTGATTCACACGTCCCTTTGATTTGTGAAATGGTCGCCTCTAATGTCATGTTGAATCTTGCCCACCAGTTAGGATGACACGATGCAACCGATTCATGGACACATCTGATCGTTGTGGAAACCTCACTACAAATGGCACTCTGGTTTCCAGGTAAGATTATCTCAGCAATTATTCTCTGACTGATATCAATTAAACAGCGACTGGCTTCTGATATTTTACAGTCTGGGCTCGTTGTTGTAGCAGGAGTAGATGGTGTTGTTATTGTTGTTGTGGGATCTCTAGTAGTTGATTGAACATCTCTTGTAGTTGAAGGTGGCTTAGGTTGTGTAGTAGTTAATGGGGCCCTTGTTGTTGAAGGAGCCTTTGTGGTTGTCTGTTCAACTACTGCACAACAGTTCTGGACTTGTCTGAATACGAAGTCTAAACTGGCATTAATCCGGCCAGAGAAACAAGGGGAGCAACTGGCAGAGGCATCCAGGGCACACCTCATAGCTGTCTCTCGTTCTCTAAAATGAAGGTTTCCAAAATAAATCCTTTCCAACCTGTTCAATTACTTCGTGTACATATTTATGCACATAATATACAAGCAGACAATGACATTTTTAGATATCTAAATCATCAATATTAATGTGAACGATATTGTTGCTTTTTGATCATTATTCTTTATGAGTAAACCTGAAGAAAATAGTTAAATAATACACAAACCTGCAATGAACAATCCTCATAAGTTCTTGACAACCTGATCAACCACTTTGTGTATATTTAAATGCATAAATGAGTTTAGTTTATTTGTAACAAACCTGCAAACTGCTTCTAGTTCTCCATCAGGCCCTCCAACAACATTCAGTATTCTCTCATTGAATTCCACTACACATCTGATACTTGCATCCACTCCACAACTTGGTGGTTCTGTGGGGCATGGGGGTACTGTTGGTGCGGGGGTGGGTGATTCACACGTCCCTTTGATTTGTGAAATGGTCGCCTCTAATGTCATGTTGAATCTTGCCCACCAGTTAGGATGACACGATGCAACCGATTCATGGACACACCTTATTGTTGTAGAAACCTCGCTACAAATGGCACTCTGGTTTCCAGGCAATATTATCTCAGTAATTATTCTCTGACTGATGTCAACTAAACAGCGACTGGCTTCTGATATTTTACAGTCTGGGCTCGTTGTTGTAGCGGGAGTAGATGGTGTTGTTATTGTGGTTGTCGGATCTCTAGTAGTTGATTGACCATCTCTTGTGGTTGAAGGTGGTGTCGGCTGTGTGGTTGAAGGGGGTCTTGTTGTTGTAGGAGCCTGGGTGGTGGTCTGTTCAACTACTGCACAACAGTTCTGAACTTGTCTGAACACGAAGTCCAAACTTGCATTAACCCGGCCAGAGAAACAAGGGGAGCAACCGGCAGAGGCATCCAGGGCACACCTCATAGCTGTCTCTCGTTCTCTAAAATGAAGGTTTCCAGAATAAGTCCTTTCCAACCTGTTCAATAACTTCGTGTACATATTTATGCACAAAATATACAAGCAGACAAGGACATTTTTAGATATCTGAATCGTCAATATTAATGTAAATGATATTGTTGTTTTTAGATCATTATTATTTATGAGTAAACCTGAAGAAAATAGTTAATAAATACACAAACCTGCAATTCACAATCCTCTTAAGTTCTTGACAACCTGATCAACCACTTTGTGTATATTTAAATGCATAAACGAATTAATTTATTTTTAACCAACCTGCAAACTGCTTCTAGTTGTCCATCAGGCCCTCCAACAACATTCAGTATTCTCTCATTGAATTCCACTACACATCTGACACTTGCATCAACTCCACAACTTGGTGGTTCTGTGGGGCATGGAGGTACAGTTGGCGCTGGGGTTGGTGATTCACACGTCCCTTTGATTTGTGAAATGGTCGCTTCTAATGTCATGTTGAATCTTGCCCACCAGTTAGGATGACACGATGCAACCGATTCATGGACACACCTTATTGTTGTAGAAACCTCACTACAAATGGCACTCTGGTTTCCAGGTAAAATTATCTCGGCAATTATTTTCTGGCTTATGTCAACTAAACAGCGACTGGCTTCTGATATTTTACAATCTGGGCTCGTTGTTGTAGCGGGAGTAGATTGTGTTGTTATTGTGGTTGACGGATCTCTAGTAGTTGATGAAATATCTCTAGTTGTTGAAGGTGGTGTTGGTTGTTTTGTTGATGGGGCTCTTGTTGTCGTAGGAGCTTTTGTTGTGGTCTGTTCAACTACTGCACAACAATTCTGAACTTGTCTGAACACGAAGTCCAAACTAGCATTAATACGGGCAGAGAAACAAGGGGAGCAACTGGCAGAGGCATCCAGGGCACACCTCATAGCTGTCTCCCTTTCCCTGAAAATAAACATCTCTTGAAAGATTTTGACAACTCTATTGTACTCTTATCTGCATTGTTAATAGTCTTTATTGTTTCTAGAATAATAAAAAGTGAACATGACTCTTATTGAATTTTTATTTGAAGAGAATTTTACTCTATAAAAGTCAGATATGTGTAAAGTACCCTTAAAGTACCCTTTCGTTGATTTCCATTTGAATTTTCTCAGATAATTAGATTCAAAGGATAATCCTAATGAAAGTATTCGTGATACTGTGTACTTATCGGACAGAAGTAGTTTTGATTGCCTTTTTATTTATGTAATGAGTTATACAACTAGTTTTAACCCCTTCTGATCGTGATGTCACGTATGACCTTCTTGACATTGGTGCCCCTGCATTCAATAAAAACACTTCAAATTTCACAGTTATAGAAATATCTATATGAATTGTACTTGGATTGACTTGTAAGAATTGTGTTTTGACCAATAAGAAAGATAAAAGAGTATGAAGAATAATGTGATCCCAAATTCACCAAAATGGCTCTTTAAACTAAATGATAACAAACCTGCAAACTGCATCAAGATCTCCATCAGGACCTCCAACAACATTCAGTATTCTCTCATTGAATTCCACTACACATCTGACACTTGCATCTACTCCACAACTTGGTGGTTCTGTTGGACATGGAGGTACAGTTGGTGCGGGGGTTGGTGATTCACATGTTCCTTTTATTTGTGAAATGGTCGCCTCTAATGTCATGTTGAATCTGGCCCACCAGTTAGGATGACACGATGCAACAGATTCATGGACACATCTAATCGTTGTTGACACCTCGCTACAAATGGCACTCTGGTTTCCAGGTAAGATTATCTCAGCAATAATTCTCTGACTGATATCAACTAAACAGCGACTAGCTTCTGATATTTTACAATCTGGGCTCGTTGTTGTAGCGAGGGTGCTTGGTGTTGTTATTGTGGTTGTCTGTTGTGTTGTACTTGAAGGGACTCTTGTTGTTGCAGAGGAAGACGGATCTCTTGTAGTTGATGCAACATCTTTTGTGGTAGATTCTTCATCGGTAGTTGATGAAATATCTCTAGTTGTTGAAGGTGGTCTTGGTTGTGTTGTAGTTGAAGGGATTCTTGTTGTTGTGGGAGCCTTTGTTGTTGTTTGTTCAACTACTGCACAACAATTCTGAACTTGTCTGAACACAAAGTCTAAACTGGCATTAACCCGTCCAGAGAAACAAGGAGTGCAACTGGCAGAAGCATCCATGGCACATCTCATAGCTGTTTCTCGCTCTCTAAAAATAAGGTATCAGGATACGTTTTTTACAACTTGATCACAAGCCTTGTCTGCTTCTTCATACACTTAAAGTATAAATTGTTTTTATCAATTTTGATATTAAATAATTAATATTATCTATGACTGAGAATAGTTGTTCACACCAATCTTTAAATAATATAGTCTGGGAAAAATAAAAGGGAAAAATGGGCTATGATAGACCTTGTATTTGTAATTTGTGTCAATCTTTAAAACATGCACACATGGACATTCATGTGACTTTAGGTTAAATGATAACAAACCTGCAAACTGCATCAAGATCTCCATCAGGACCTCCAACAACATTCAGTATTCTCTCATTGAATTCCACTACACATCTGACACTTGCATCCACTCCACAACTTGGTGGTTCTGTGGGGCATGGGGGAACAGTTGGGGCTGGGGTTGGTGATTCACACGTCCCTTTGATTTGTGAAATGGTCGCCTCTAATGTCATGTTGAATCTGGCCCACCAGTTAGGATGACATGAGGCAACAGATTCATGGACACATCTGATCGTTGTAGAAACCTCACTACAAATAGCACTCTGGTTTCCAGGCAAGATTATCTCAGCAATTATTCTCTGACTGATATCAACTAAACAGCGACTTGCTTCTGATATTTTACAGTCTGGGCTCGTTGTTGTAGCGGGTGTAGATGGTGTTGTTATTCTGGTTGTCGGTTTTCTGGTAGTCGATGGAATATCTCTAGTTGTTGAAGGTGGTGTTGGTTGTGTTGTTGATGGGGCTCTTGTTGTTATAGGAGCCTTCGTTGTGGTTTGTTCAACTACTGCACAACAATTCTGGACTTGTCGGAACACGAAGTCTAAACTGGCATTAACCCGGCCAGAGAAACAAGGAGAGCAACCTGCAGAGGCATCCAGGGCACATCTCATAGCGGTTTCTCGCTCTCTAAAAATAAGGAATCAGGATACTTTTTGACAACTTGATCACAAGCCTTGTCTGCCGTTTCATACTCAAATGTTTAGATTAAAGGCCCAGTGTACTTAATTTAGAATAAAAAAGAGAAAAATAATCCTTGACACATGTTACTCACACACTTGCTCAAACCACACAACGTTTAATTTGCTTTAATATTGACCAAGGAAAAAATAACTCAAATTGAAAAAGCATTTGAAATTCAGAGATCATTAATAGTGCACACCCATGTTAAAAGTGTATGTTTTAAATTACTCTTGATTTGAAAGATGGTGACACTTCCATTAAAATAATTGTATCGTACAATACAAACAATTTCGCCATCTTTCAATAACATTGATAAAAACGCGATAAATGAAGCTTGACAGATCCAAAATATATTTTTGATAATTTATTGTAAGCTCTGATGTGGTCCGTTTGAGCTATCGTTGGTGTCAAAAGAAAGATACCTGCAAACTGCATCAAGATCTCCATCAGGACCTCCAACAACATTCAGTATTCTCTCATTGAATTCCACTACACATCTGACACTTGTATCAACTCCACAACTTGGTGGTTCTGTGGAGCATGGGGGTACAGTTGGTGCTGGAGTTGGTGATTCACACGTCCCCTTGATTTGTGAAATTGTCGCCTCTAATGTCATGTTGAATCTGGCCCACCAGTTAGGATGACATGAGGCAACAGATTCATGGACACATCTGATCGTTGTAGAAACCTCACTACAAATGGCACTCTGGTTTCCGGGTAAGATTATCTCAGCAATTATTCTCTGACTGATATCAACTAAACAGCGACTGGCTTCTGATATTTTACAGTCTGGGCTCGTTGTTGTAGCGGGTGTAGATGGTGTTGTTGTTATGGTTGATGGTTTTCTGGTAGTCGATGGAATATCTCTAGTTGTTGAAGGTGGTGTTGGTTGTTTTGTTGATGGGGCTCTTGTTGTTGTAGGAGCCTTTGTTGTGGTTTGTTCAACTACTGCACAACAATTCTGGACTTGTCGGAACACAAAGTCTAAACTGGCATTAACCCGGCCAGAGAAACAAGGAGAGCAACCGGCAGAGGCATCCAGGGCACATCTCATAGCTGTTTCTCTCTCTCTGAAAATAAATAATCAGCAACGTTTTTTACAACTTCATCATAAGCTTTGTCTGCATTTTCATGCACGTGATGGTATATATTTGTTTTAATTTTGATATTAAATTCTTAATATAATTGATTGGAATAGTTGTTTACCCTAATCTTTAAATTAATATAGTCAGGGTAAAATAAAATGGAAATATGGGTTGTGATAGACCTTTATATTTGCAATTTGTGTCTTTCCTTAAAAGGACATATATGTGACCTTAGATGAAATGATAACAAACCTGCAAACTGCATCAAGATCTCCATCAGGACCTCCAACAACATTCAGTATTCTCTCATTGAATTCCACTACACATCTGACACTTGCATCCACTCCACAACTTGGTGGTTCTGTGGGGCATGGGGGTACAGTTGGGGCTGGGGTTGGTGATTCACACGTCCCTTTGATTTGTGAAATTGTCGCCTCTAATGTCATGTTGAATCTGGCCCACCAGTTAGGATGACAAGATGCAACAGATTCATGGACACATCTGATCGTTGTAGAAACCTCACTACAAATGGCACTCTGGTTTCCAGGCAATATTATCTCAGCAATTATTCTCTGACTGATATCAACTAAACAGCGACTGGCTTCTGATATTTTACAGTCTGGGCTCGTTGTTGTAGCGGGTGTAGATGGTGTTGTTGTTATGGTTGATGGTTTTCTGGTAGTTGATGGAATATCTCTAGTTGTTGAAGGTGGTGTTGGTTGTTTTGTTGATGGGGCTCTTGTTGTTGTAGGAGCTTTTGTTGTGGTCTGTTCAACTACTGCACAACAGTTCTGAACTTGTCTGAACACGAAGTCTAAACTGGCATTAACCCGGCCAGAGAAACAAGGAGAGCAACCGCCAGAGGCATCCAGTGCACATCTCATAGCTGTTTCTCGCTCTCTAAAAATAAATTATCAGCAACGTTATTTACAACTTCATTATAAGCTTTGTCTGCATTTTCATGCACGTGATGGTATATATTTGTTTTAATTTTGATATTAAATTCTTTATATAACTGATAGGAATAGTTGTTTACCCTAATCTTTAAATTAATATAGTCAGGGTAAAATAAAATGGAAATATGGGTTGTGATAGACCTTTATATTTGCAATTTGTGTCTTTCCTTAAAAGGACATTCATGTGACTTTAGGTGAAATGATAACAAACCTGCAAACTGCATCAAGATCTCCATCAGGACCTCCAACAACATTCAGTATTCTCTCATTGAATTCCACTACACATCTGACACTTGCATCAACTCCACAACTTGGTGGTTCTGTGGGACATGGAGGAGCAGTTGGTGCTGGAGTTGGTGATTCACACGTCCCTTTGATTTGTGAAATGGTCGCCTCTAATGTCATGTTGAATCTGGCCCACCAGTTAGGATGACATGAGGCAACAGATTCATGGACACATCTGATCGTTGTAGAAACCTCACTACAAATGGCACTCTGGTTTCCAGGTAAGATTATCTCAGCAATTATTCTCTGACTGATATCAACTAAACAGCGACTGGCTTCTGATATTTTACAGTCTGGGCTCGTTGTTGTCGGGGGTGTAGATGGTATTGTTATTAGGGTTGTCGGTTTTCTGGTAGTCGATGGAATATCTCTAGTTGTTGAAGGTGGTGTTGGTTGTTTTGTTGATGGGGCTCTTGTTGTTGTAGGAGCCTTTGTTGTGGTTTGTTCAACTACTGCACAACAATTCTGGACTTGTCGGAACACAAAGTCTAAACTGGCATTAACCCGGCCGGAGAAACAAGGAGAGCAACCGGCAGAGGCATCCAGGGCACATCTCATAGCAGTTTCTCTCTCTCTAAAAATAAGGAATCAGGATACTTTTTGACAACTTGATCACAAGCCTTGTCTGCCGTTTCATACTCAAATCTTTAGATTAAAGGTCCAGTTTTCTTAATTTAGAATACAAAAATCACTGACACATGTTACTCACACACTTGCTCAAATGTGACACACAGTTTTATTTGTTTATCTTTTTTAATACTGAACCACGGAAAAAATAACTCATATAGAAAAAGCATTTGAAGTTTAGAGATCATAGTAGTGCACGCTCATGTTAAACAAAGTGCATGTTTTAAATTACTCTTGATTTAAAAGATGGTGACACTTCCATAAAAATGATTGTACCAATTCAAACAATTTCGTCATCTTTCAATAACATTGATAAAAACGTGATATATGATGCTTGCCAGATCGAAGAAATATTTTTTTGATAATTTATTGCAAGCTGTCATGTGGTCCGTTTGAGCTGTTCTTGGTGTCAAATGAAAGATACGGTTCTTATCAATACACAGGACATACTATGAAATTCAAATTTAAGTCTTTATTCTGCCAAAAAAGTTGAAAATACGCAAAGGAAACATTTACTGTGACAGGCTTTTGCATTTGTAATGTTTGTCTTTCGTTAAAAAGACGTATTTGTGACCTGAGGTAAAATGGTAACAAACCTGCAAACTGCATCAAGATCTCCATCAGGACCTCCAACAACATTCAATATTCTCTCATTGAATTCCACTACACATCTGACACTTGCATCAACTCCACAACTTGGTGGTTCTGTGGGACATGGAGGAGCAGTTGGTGCTGGAGTTGGTGATTCACACGTCCCCTTGATTTGTGAAATTGTCGCCTCTAATGTCATGTTGAATCTGGCCCACCAGTTAGGATGACAAGATGCAACAGATTCATGGACACATCTGATCGTTGTAGAAACCTCACTACAAATGGCACTCTGGTTTCCAGGTAAGATTATCTCAGCAATTATTCTCTGACTGATATCAACTAAACAGCGACTGGCTTCTGATATTTTACAGTCTGGGCTCGTTGTTGTCGGGGGTGTAGATGGTGTTGTTAATTGGGTTGTCGGTTTTCTGGTAGTCGATGGAATATCTCTAGTTGTTGAAGGTGGTGTTGGTTGTTTTGTTGATGGGGCTCTTGTTGTTGTAGGAGCCTTTGTTGTGGTTTGTTCAACTACTGCACAACAATTCTGGACTTGTCTGAACACGAAGTCTAAACTGGCATTAACCCGGCCAGAGAAACAAGGAGAGCAACCTGCAGAGGCATCCAGTGCACATCTCATAGCTGTTTCTCGCTCTCTAAAAATAAGGAATCAGGATACTTTTTGACAACTTGATCACAAGCCTTGTCTGCCGTTTCATACTCAAATCTTTAGATTAAAGGTCCAGTTTTCTTAATTTAGAATACAAAAATCACTGACACATGTTACTCACACACTTGCTCAAATGTGACACACAGTTTTATTTGTTTTATCTTTTTTAATATTGAACCACGGAAAAAATAACTCATATAGAAAAAGCATTTGAAGTTTAGAGACAATTAGTAGTGCGCGCTCATGTTAAACAAAGTGCATGTTTTAAATTACTCTTGATTTAAAGGATGGTGACACTTCCATAAAAATGATTGTACCAATTCAAACAATTTCGTCATCTTTCAATAACATTGATAAAAACGTGATATATGATGCTTGCCAGATCGAAGAAATGGTAACAAACCTGCAAACTGCATCAAGATCTCCATCAGGACCTCCAACAACATTCAGTATTCTCTCATTGAATTCCACTACACATCTGACACTTGCATCTACTCCACAACTTGGTGGTTCTGTGGGACATGGAGGAGCAGTTGGTGCTGGAGTTGGTGATTCACACGTCCCCTTGATTTGTGAAATTGTCGCCTCTAATGTCATGTTGAATCTGGCCCACCAGTTAGGATGACATGAGGCAACAGATTCATGGACACATCTGATCGTTGTAGAAACTTCACTACAAATGGCACTCTGGTTTCCAGGTAAGATTATCTCAGCAATTATTCTCTGACTGATATCAACTAAACAGCGACTGGCTTCTGATATTTTACAGTCTGGGCTTGTTGTTGTTGGGGGTGTAGGCTGTGGAGTAGTTGTTGGAGCTTTAGTTGTGGTTGGTTCAACGACTGCGCAGCAATTTTGTACCGTTTTGAAGACAAAGTCAAGACTGGCGTTTATACGTCCAACATAGCAGGGGCCGCATCCGACATATGCCTCTTTTACACATCTCAATGCTGTTGTTCTCTCACTGAATTACAGGAGTCAAATAAATCAATGAATGAAACAAGGTAATAAATAAAGCATCCCAATACATGGTACAATTTCGTAATAATGTCGACTATATGTTGCCGGAAAATTAATGAAGTTAAGAATGCAATAAAATCCAAAATTAAAATTGAAATGCACGTTGAAATTAACATACCATCAGACTGGATTCTTTCTACTCTAAGTGATGTGTCATTTAGATGTCATTTAAACTTACACCTAACAAAACTAGACATGTTATCATATTTGCTCTTTCTGGCAGTTGTGACTCTTGTATAGTACTTACTCGCATACGGCCCTCAGATTTTCATCAGGGCCACCCACCACGTTTAGTATTCGTCTGTTAAATTCTGCTACACATCTTAATGAAGCTGTTGCATTGCAAGTTGGTGGTTCTGAAATATACATTACATAGCTAGTACATACCTATACCAGTCATTTACTTGGATTGATTATTCTGACTGTATTGAGACACTTTCCATAGAATTAAGTTTGACGATGAATAAAGGTTTTAAAACGTTCGCTTGTGAATATTTTGACATTTGCCAAGTTGGTTGTGTAATAAGTTTCAATTCCACACTTGGACGTGTTACGGGTACATAAAGCAAGTTTGTAAAAACTTAAATTTTCTTCAGCGGGCAGATATAGCTTTACGTTCCACTCTGAGCGGGCAGATATAGTATATCTGTCCGCTACGTCAAAATCGCCATTTTTATACGAAACTGGACATGGATATTCTAACATAATTCCACGGTTGGTTTGGGATTTTCTGAACTGTGGACAATTGAAGAATGTGAACCAGATGACCAAGATTGGTATGGTATAAACAGATCATCATATAGTCGGTTCATGATATTGGGATTATCCCTCGGCCAATATAACATATCTACCCTCGGAACATACGGTCCTCGAGCATATTTTATTTATATACACTGGCCTCGGGATAATCCCAATATCCTGAACCTCATATAGGGAAATCCCCATATATGTGCGTACCAGTTGGACAGGGTGCAGGTGTTGTAGGGGTAGGTCCTTCACATCTGCCTTTGATTTGATCCCAAGTTGCCTCCAAGGTCATATTAAACCTGATACCCCAGTTTGGATGGCATGTTGCCACAGAGTCAAGGACACATTTGACTGAGGCCGAGTATTCACTGGAAAAATGAGTGCGGCAATTATTACATGTGGTTGAATAACGGCATTCTTGAATATATAGAAATATATAGAATATCGAAACAGTTCTTCCAATAAATGCTTTTGAATGTGTAAACATGACCTTTATCAGGACGTAATACAGAAAATACCAGTTTTAACATATTTCTAGATTGTTTAGGATTTCTTCTTAAAGTTGATCATTTTAAAGTCCATAAATCATCTTTTCGAGTGTTATACCCAATTTGGTTGTCTCTATATTGATCAAAACGAGCGAGCTCACCTGCATATATTGTTCTGTCCTGGGTTGATAATTTCTCCTATAATCTTCTCGCTGACGTTCACCATGCACCCACTTGCTATTTCTACCTTACATGTTGGGGGAGGAGTTGTTGCTATTGTAGTGGGTGCGGGAGTTGTAGGAGGCACACACGTTGGGGGTGGTGTAACATCAGTATCATTTGGACATCTGTCACCTATAGCCTTCAGTACATATTCTAAAGTATTTTTTATTGTAGTTCGCTGTAGAGTTGAACAACCGAATAACGCTTCGGAAACGCAGTTAATAGTTTCAGGAATGCTTCTACAAATTGAAAATACATTATCGTGTACAACGCTTGTCATTTTAAGGAAGATTGTTTTACGCTTGGAAATGATGCATCATCAGGATTTTAACTGAGAGAGACACCCGAGGAAGGACAACATAGATACAACATTATTCATATCCACTTGGTCTTCCTGTGTCGGGTAGATACCAGAATGGATCTCATGCTAAGAATAATTGTTGAAGTGTCGCATTGGAAATTATTTATCAATTGGAGTTATACCTGCAGAATTGAGGTAGACTGGTACAAGGACTGACCATAGCCTGTGACACGTGGTCACCAAAGTCGTTGACACATTGCCATGCTGCTGTAGTATTACATACCTCTAAAAATAACAATAAGATACATTAGTAAAACAACTTTTTATAAAACAATGTAAAAATATTTCACAATTTGAAAAGCGCGAGTTTTTATTAAGCATGCTTTAGCTCCGGAATTGACACTCGTGGTAATGTTTCTCACTTGTGATCAAAAATCCAACACCTAAGCAGATAATACGAGGTAAATTGTCGGCATTCAAGATGATGTCTATGAAAACTTTTTTTTCATTTCGTACTACACCTGTATTTCCTCAGTTACTTGTTAAACACCCTTATTGGCCTTAAGTATATTTATACATCATAAATAAACCAAAGTGGACATTGACGATGTATGATCTTTACCATCTCATGTTCTTGGTATTGCATTTGAAGAACAATTATAATCATGATGGTGTTTATTTTAAATTTCACATAGGCTTCCATGTAACGCCTACGCCAAGGGCTGCGTCGGGTATTGGTAGCTGGTATTGACGTAGAAGAAGTACCATTGACCGTTGATACCCGTTGTTAAGATCAACTTATGTGTACTCTGAATAACACATTTGCTTATAACATCAAAGACTGTGCACTAATACATGTTAAGACTCATATTTGATATATTCTTAAGATGATGTTAACTCCCAAAATTCCCTATCGTGACATGTGACCTACATTGCCCAATAGGTGTTGATTAATTACCTGCCCGATAATCCTAAAAGTACATGCTATCTTATCAACAGCTGATGGACTTTTTGTCCATTTTGCCGATTGCAAGCATTCACGGTCATAATAAAGTTTTATTGTAAACACTTTGATAAGAAGCAGCCATTAATTACTTTTAAGTGACATTTTGTAGGAGAAAAGGGCGAAAGTTTTAGCCCGAGTATGTAAAGATCTATGTGATACCTCTCCTTACAAACTTATTGACCCAGCCATAGTTTACAATGTATCTTATATAAAATGTCCGTATTTATCTGTTAATCCACAAAAGTTATAAGTCAGTTTCGTGCGATTTAGTGAGTCATACTTTAGATTTGAACACCTTGATTTGACTTAAAACTTTTTATAATTTTGATTGTTACTTTTGCATTTCTCTGATATCCCCTTTACACGCCCAATGCCGGAGTGTGAGGGGAGAGGGATGTGGGGACCCGTTCCTCTCTAGTTCACCGACGAATGAAAAAATGGTTTCTGCATATTCCCAAAGAAGGTCTTATGTCTCTTTTTTGGTTTATTTCTGTTGTGTTCGACATTTAATATACATTCAATCGACATTCAATATACATCAGAACTTGCTGTAGTACTAAGTGTAGCTGTCAAAACCAGGTATGGTGACACTACGAGTAGATATCTCATGTTCTCAAAAGAGGACATTATCCATTTTGACTAAATAACTTACTAAGTCATTTTTATCTTATTTCAATCTGAGACTAACATACCTCAAATTGGTTAACTTACCACAGAAGGATATGTTACAGTATTCCCAGCGCACTGCTGACGTGGTGAAGCACCAAGGGCCGCCAATATTTCTGTCCGGATTACGGCATTTATTGCCTGCTTTTTCCAATGTGGCGTCAGGGAACCGACTTGGGTCGTTATGGTTGTGTTGGTGCGGATGTTGGGAGTTCCAACTCTGACATTGGCGACCCATAGCCGTTTGGGATTGTTCCCCTAAATACTCCCATCCTTCTTGAGAAGTCTTACATTCTGCATATACTGTAATTTAAATAATTTTTCACGATATACATCGTTTCAGGTAGAAATAGTAATCAAGTAGTATTCTAGTAAACAACACAATTAGTGTACATATCTCTTACTGCAACACGCCTTTACGATGTTTTAGGCTTTTCATTGATAATATTTAAGTAAAATTTGAAATTCCGTTTTACTTCTAAATATACCCTGTTATGTACTTATTAGTTTAGACAACCATAACTTTAAAGATTTTGCGAAAAGACAAATGAATCCCACAAGAGTGCGTTTTATCTTGTACCTTCTAATAAACAGTGAACAAGACAACATCATAATGTAGTTATATGATAAAAGAGATGACTTCAATTTTGATTTTGTGAATTTTCACATTTGGATAGTAATTTTCCATTGAACCCAACATACTCGAGTGTGGGATCTATGTTTCCTAGTAACAGAGCATGCTCAAAATATTCTCTTAAATCTAGACAATGATTTAATGATTGAACTCTTAGGCTAATGTTATGCATTAAAGAAATACTTTCTCGACTTCACTAAAAAATATAAATCACAAGCTCTGAAGTTTCGCCACTTGACATGGGATGACACTTGGGATGTTGCTCATGCTCAAGAGTTTTTACGATTTGCACCGAGCTCACAATTTTCTCACTTGGCACCCTTTTAGGTGGATCCAGGCTATGGCATTTGTAGTGAGGAATAGGCATCGAAACCAGCCATAGTTTTCTCCTAATGACCATTGTAAAATATTATATTTTTTGCTTATGGCGATGGCTTTGTGGATGGATGTTGACACTTTATTGATACGCTTATGGACTTCGAGACTGTACTTTGTCTGTCCCACATCTTATGAGACTGAATGCTCTATCTTGTATAAATATCATAACCTAGTTTCTAGAATTATTTTTGATGTTACGTGTACTGGTTCTCAGTTTGAATTTATTCAATATGTATTGTAATGATTTCAGTATGAATGAAATGTTCCTTGATGTCGTAGTTACGGATTGCGAGAATGGTACTTGAATGGTGGAGGAGGGGTACAGTAGTAAACATTTGTAATAGAACTGTGGGACTTTTGGCATGAAATATCTGTACAGCAAAATATATTGTAATATTGTGACAGTTTTAGAATATGACTCTCACCCAATCGCTCCTCTTTGTTAGCCTTTGGAATACTTTTGCACTACTTATATTAGTTGACACTTCCTCAATGATTGTGAAATTTTGAATTTTTTTACTTGTGAATTGCGGTTTCTTATCGATCTCATTGAAAATATTTAAGAGGTTATCCGGAAGGTTATCACGATTGCCATATTCTTAAGGAGTCAATCAGTGTTCTGTTTCATTATAACTTTTTATTAAAAACATCTTGAAGTAGTTGGATTTCCAGTAATTTCTAATAAGGTGTAGTTCATACGAATGGGCGAGTGTCAGTGTCAGTAGTATTAGGGCCGACCAAAGCTTGGTCCATCACGTTCAGAGGACGGCCTGGGCAGTGCTGCATTTCTCCCTTTAATCAGACCCTTCTAATATGTGACAATTATACTTAAAGATCATTGGTGTAGTGTTTGAACTCGAACTTCAAGATTTTACAATTGCACATTTACCAGTTAACGTTTATTTCAAAATTTCGACATCGTTTTTATTCTTCATAGTTATGAACGTTTTTTAAATTAAAATATTTTTCTTTACTAATCTAGCCAGAATAATTTGGAAGCACTACTAGTTTATTGCATTTAATGTAAACCTTATAGTACTTTCATTGTTGAACAACCCTTTCTAGATAGAAATTCGAATTGTCCGAAAACACGTTGGTCAACATAGCTATTTTCTGAGGTCCACTTGAATTTGTGATTTGTGATATCTCAGATATGCAAACTTGTTATACTTAAAACATCCATATTGATTCTGATCAAAAATGTCAATTCCAATAACTGAAAAATGTGGATTTAACCAAGCTGTTAACCTTGGATATTAAAATGTTTCATTCAAAGGATTTGTTGGGTTGTTATCAGTTTTGACAATAAATTATCCACTTTCTTATATGTCATACTCAAGTGAAGTAACATCGGTTAGAACTCGATGTTCAATAAGACCGAACTGAAAGTCATGCCAGTGCGAAATGTCTTCTGTTCCTTTTAGCGGTCTAGAGCGCTGAAGAAGCCAAGTTAGGCGTCGTGTCGTAACCATGAGATCGTCAGTTTGAGACATGCTAGCTCCTTGTGTTTATTCATTTACCCTATTATCACACCGAACTAGTTCTCACTACGTTCTCGAAAACGTGCATAAACTGTGCACGAACGGATTTGACGTACTGAGAACCCACTAAGAACCGTTTGGGATCTGTTTACAAACTTCATGAAACTACTCGAACGAGTAGGTCCTCCAGAACTAAGAGCATGCTAAAAAAATTTTTTGGTTGTCACGTTCTGCAATCAGAACGAGTGACAACGTACTTAATAACTGGGCGCACTGGGGACACACTAGGAACGGAAGTGTCATCTACTAGGGACGTATTACGACGTTGTGTAGTCAGGCGTAAATTGCAGTTGTGAGTACCCCAATCTAGTCCGTTTGTAGCTCGTTCATTCTGTTCGTAGACAGACCCAACTCGACCGAATAACGTCCTTCCCGTTTATATAAAGGTTCACAGTAGGTTCTCATAAAGTTCAACCGTAGGGGAATTTTTTGGATAATTCAGTACATATTAGGACGTATTGAGAACGAGGTACAACTAATTGTCAACTGGTTTAATCTGATTAAGGACGTAATTGAACTGCTTGGATACGTTGTGTAGACGTATTAAAAACTGCTTATGAACGAATTAACAAAAATAGCTATCACACCAGAACCAGTTGTCACTGCGTTCATCAAAACGTTGCCGAATCGGTTTTAAACTGTGTACGAACTGAATGAACGTAGCTACAACTTCATGGACTTTCCCGGACGGGTAATGTGATTTAGAATGGCGACATACCGTTCTGTAATCAGGTCATGACCTTCTAGACTAAGGGGCGCGTTATACAACGTTGCACACCGACGTGGTGCGACTTGAACGAACTGCGAATGAGATGGCCGTATTGAAGACTGTTTATGAACGAAGTAGCTAATTATTTTAGACAGTCATATTTCCCGACCACAGCCAGATTGAGCCCGTTTTACGACGTTTTCGTAGGACTGGCAAAAACGGGTAAGAACTAGTTTGGTGTGATAGGGGGGGGGGGGTAAATCACGTGTGGGCTGTGTAAGAAAGAGGAAAAGGAGCAGCTCCACAACATTATGTTTTTTAATAATACATGATAAATATCGGAGTTTTGTCATTGCAATCATCCAATAGAATTTTTAAAATATTTTTGATTAATTATTTTTAAAATTTTTTTTTAAAATTATTTATTTATTTTTAATCCAAGATAATTTAATAATGATGGAGATGTTACCAAAAAACAAATGAAATATTATTAAGAATACAATTGAGATCAAAACATATAGAATGACTATTTTAGGTGATTTTCATAGGGTGTGAAACATTTTAAAGAAGTCTCATTACTGTATTATTTCCCTGTTAGTTTATTTGCCTCGCGATTATAAATTCGCCTCGTCTATTTTCAAATCTTTGCTATGCCCATGAGGATACAGAGGATTCTGAAATAAGCATGTAAATATATCAAATTACGAAAATTTGTGAAAAAAATAATTAAAAAAGTTGTGAGCGATAATCGAGACATTATTGCACATAACTTTCACGACTGGTGTCAAACTAAAACAAATTATCTTTTGGCTTCCTACATTTTTCTTAACCATGTAAGGCATGTTTACACAACTCTTAGAATATGGTACTAAGCAAATAAATTTCGGTTTTTAACATGGATGTATAGCATACCACAATATGTCGCATCTTTTTGCGGTGAGATAACAATTAACTACATTTTCAAATAAATTCCAATTTCTAAATCGTAAAACGATGTTCTCAGATATTAGTCTTGTGGTATAAAGGATTAGCGTCTATTCACCTTGTAAAAGTACAACTTATATATCATGGCATAAAACGCACGCAATGTTATCGTTGTCAATTGTCAAATTGTCGATGAATTATGTGAATCTTGGCATAAATTAATTTTTTTGTGTTATTGAACGCTGTTAACTTTTTAACTATTCTTGACCCTGTGGCTCCAACGTGTTTATGTTTTATTTATGACTATTTGGGCATACTAAGTTAGAAACCAATACACCACTGTCGTGGCACACCTAGCTAAGGTGTTACATCGAGAAATAATTCAGAAAAAGTCCTTAAAAGATATTTTGAATAACATCTTTAATAATGCACATTCGATGTTTGATCCATTCCATCCAACCAAATGATATCTTAAAAAAATTGCAAAATCAAATTATGTTTTATCAAAATTCACATATGATCGGGATATTCGTTTGAAATTATAAGACCCCAATTAAATATCGCTCTCGAGGAGCTCATTGTCGATATATCTGTTAATTAATCGTTACCTTGTGATTGGGTGAGATATAATATACATTATGATACAGAAAATAAGTCAACAATCGATCAATTCGAAATTGAAGATTAATCTTTTCTTTATTGGGACTTATGATCATCATACTTGTTGTCCGTTACAATGCTAGTTTTACCAATGCTACTTTGTAAATGACTTACATACAAGGACCAAATACTTCAAACTATAAAACACAATGGGAAACATCGAAAGAAATACAAAGCCTTTTATTATTCAAGAAGGTTCCATTATATCATTGAAAGTTTTCAAAAATGAGAGGGTTTAATTTTTTTGTCACCCTGTATGTCCAAAATTCTGGTAAATTTCATCAGTTATACGTATTTCCAAATTCACATATTTTCAAATAAACGCTACGTTATGTTATTTCAATCGTCGGGATGTAGTACGCATTTTTATTACAAAATTGAACGGGATTGAATAACACTATCGACTTACCTTGCGCTGTTGCATAAGACAAAAGTGCACTTAGGCATAACAGCAAAAGGGGCGTCCTCATTCTAGAACACCCTATAAGAGTAGTAGGTCAGACGTCCCTGTCGAAATCAGCCTCCTGCCACAAGCCAAAAATGTGATAAATGTCCTTATTCAAATGTTGCTTGTTTGACGTTTGAATGCGTAACGTCGCAACTTTTTCGATTGCCCGAAATGTTTTTTTTAATCCTTTATATTTTACGTTTTTCTTTTCTAAAGTTTCGAAATCCAAAGTGCGATCGACAGCAGGGCAGAAGACTGTAGAAGTGAAGTGAAGAGGAGAAATTCACTAAGATTAAAAAACTAACTTAAATTAATAATTAACAGACGTGGGTGGGGTGGATTAAACAAAGATTATAAAAAAACTTGAAGAGATTTAATGTTTACTTTGAATAGTTTAAGAAATTCGCTAATCGTAAGGGTGAGACATTTATTGATAATGCAACGCTTTTGATTTGTGTCATATTTTCTGTTTTAAAACAAGGAATCTTTCTTCCTTTTTGAAAATTAGAATATCTTGTTTTTTTCTTTAAAGTTTGAAATCCACCCACTCATATTAGACGTTGGCTTTCATCTTATGAAAGTTGCACTCCACCCTCTTAGCCCTCAGAATTCAAGAGTTAAGGGAGTCATTTATTTTGTTGCAGGTACAAAATATCATTTGAACTATAATAAATAACATCGAGCTATTTGTTTAGCATTTTCTGTTTAATATTAAGTTAAAGATTAAGGTTAAACCATTTATAGATTATTAGTTACATGTTGAATACCCAAGACTTCTGCCCTATAGTTAAAAATAAATTACTTGCAATTGATAATAAATATTGTCAATAATGGAGAAGTTCATATTAATTTTCGATCTATTTATTGTATTATACATACATTTTTATTGTACTACGTAAGGGACCAGTCATCAGATACTACACACCGGTTCAGATAATGTGTCATCATGTATTTAAATAACTCATATTTTGTAATGCGTCCTTTTCCCAAAACATTTCACACACATCTTGTAATTAATTACCTGTATGCCAATAGTTAACTAACATATGCACATATTTTATTTTATTTGTTTATTTTTCAAAATATAAATTTGCATATTGTACAAAAATAACATTCATTTTTTAGCGGAGAATAAATACTGTACCTCATAACGTTGTTTTACATATTAATAAATGCAAGCTTAAAAGACCAAGAGCATGTATACAAGGGGCGATCCATATATTCTGATAAAAATGCTCTCATTTTGTGATTTTTTCACATATTCCTTTCATTTTTTCAGAACATGTAGATTATGTAATTACACATACGATGCTAAAATATTTTAGCTGTATCTTAAATTTATTTTGAAATAAGGTTGCCATGGTAACCTGTATTTAGGGTAGGCAGGTCAGTTAAATTATAACGTCTAAAATAGATAAATATGTTAATTTAATCATTCCTCGGTACCTATTTTAAGCAGATCAAACGCATCTTCCAGTCATTGTCAACTATTCATTGATCTGTTCCATACCCCTGTTGCCCTTGTTTGATAATTTATACAGTGGGATAGCTATCTTTTCATAAGTAATATCTCAATTTATCGTAGTGTTATTCTCTGTCCGCAAGCTCTTCTTGCAACCAGATTGCGGATGATCTTCAACAGTGACCATGCTTTCCTCTCTACAATACTACCTATATATTCTTTATGCAGATATAACACTTTGTCCATGCACTTTATGAGTCAATGTATGTCTCTGACAGTGTCCTCTTACTTATTCTTGAAAGAAAATCAAATCTAATGGTATTCCCTAATGTATCCGTTAATGTGACACTCTGCATCAGCCACATTACCTAATCTGACAATTTGATTTTTGGTGTGTCTCATAACATGTAATGTCAATTGGCCCATTCTATCCTACAATGCTATTGTGATTTGTTGTGATGTTATAGTGAGCACATATAAACATTTGTTTAGCAACAAACAACGAGTAATAATACCAAACTTATTTAGAAAAATGCATGATTTCTGCATGCTTTAAAATAAATAATATAACAAGTTATTTTGATATTTATATGTTATAATTAAATTGACCTGCCTACCCTTAATACAGGTTACCATGGCAGCCTTATCTCATTGATAATTTAAGATATAGCTATAATATTTTAGCATTGTATGTGTAATTGCATAATCTACATTTTTTGAAAAAATGAGAGGGATATGTGAAAAAATCACAAAATGAGAGCATTTTTATCAGAATATATGGATCGCCCCTTGTATATATTATATTAGTATATTTTATATACAAATGTTTTATTGGATTCTTTTGTTATTCTGAAATCTTCAATTAGTAAATCGTTTTTTTTTTGTAATTTGAAATATTGTCATTTCTGATATGTAAATATGTGCATAAATACTAATTTAGAGTTGAATAAACTTCTTTATCTCGAGATATCTGGAGATCTTTCATAGCTTGGTAGGCTGTAAAAGGAAAACCCGTATAGATCTCCAAATATTTCAAGATAAAATTAAAGCAACAACTCTAAATAATAAGGCACACCCAATGTGAGTTTTAGCACCTAATGCCAACAAGTGCTTCTTAGACTAATAAACGGTTTGAAAATGATGGTTGTTTAATAAGACAGTCTTGAAGGTATCCGGATTCTTAGGTGGCTATAACGATTCCACTTTTTGAATCTGGACATATTTCCCGGGATGGATGACCTTTTTTTATTTCTGTTTGCTGGTCCTTCCTGTTTTGAAAGGAAAATTGACGATTTTCTATTTCGAAAAGTCGACTTCCTGTAAAGGGGTTTGAATCAAGGCTATAATTGATCAAATATTTGGTACAATAGCACGGGCTACTAGAGTTTCCACGTATATGTAGTATGACCGGTTCTTAGGCTACGAATATGACCTGTTTTGGAAAGTCATGAGAGGCACAGCTGCTTAAAAATGGAAAATAAAGGTTAACTTCTATATTATCCTTTTTGAAATTGTGTTTGTTGAATATAGTATATGCTGTATTTAATAGTAATGTAACAAAAAAATGTTAAACATGAGCTATTTTAGCAATGTAACTGTTCATAATGGAATATCAATCAGTAAGTACAGATTTCTCGCCTTAGATTAATATCACAGTAGAAAAAAACAAATCCCAAACCTTTTTATGGCTAACCTGAACAAGATCTCCAAATCTCAGTTTATATGATCCCCCGTAGAGTGAGGAAGAGAAGGATTTATCTTTTCCCAGAGGATACGCTTGTGAAATGTCATGGAAACGAGTGTAACACGGCCCACTGATTGATGTGATCGGAATGTTACCGGTGTAGAATACGAGTGTATGCGGTGCATTATAGGAATTTATCCGAATGTGAGCGGTGTAGAATACAAGTGTATGCGGTGCATGAGACGAATGTATCCGGTACAGGATTACAGCAATACCAACAATTCTCCAAAGTTTATCCCACTGTGATCGTTTTGGCATTAAGTGAAATTTAAACCATATGTTCATTTTTGTTCCAGATCCGAGGAAGAAATGTGGAATATGCACTTTTAAATCACATTACCTAAATGACTTCCTGAGGCATTTCAATGATGAACACCCATTTGCAAACATTATTATTCATATGCCTGTTCAGAAACAAGGAAAGTGGAAATACAATGAACTTAACTATGAACTTTCCTTAATAAATCACAAATTGAGTGATTTGTCATTTCATGGACCTTCCTTATCTCCATGTACTTGAGATTCATGCTTTCTGAGGCTTCCTCTGGTGGAGAGTTATTTGAAGCATTGAGAGCACTTAAACTCTCCATTATGGTACCCTCGAACGTGATCGTTCAAGGTGTCCTTGCTTTTATAAATCTTGCCACACTGATCGCATTCAAAAACATCATAAATAGAGGTGTGCTTTCTGGACATATGCCTTGTAAGACTATTTTTGTGTGTGGTGTTAAATTCACACAACGCGCACAACAGTATCTTGCGTTTTGTGGCATCGGGATCGATAGTACCAATCAGCTGTTGAACACCTTTAGGGGTAGACTGACAAACTTTATCCAGTTCATTTCTGTTTTCATCCAGGTACATAATATGCATTTCCTCTTCTGCGCCAACACTGATGACACTGAGGTCAAGCTCCTCAATAAGAGGTGTTACTGATGCTGCCATCTAAAAAATGTTGTATTTTAAGTTAAATGTGTAGTTTCAGCAATTTGGTTACAGAGTAATATGTTTATATTTTCAAATACATGATAAACCTTTCTTTCCATACATTGTAATGTATTGGTATAAAACCTGTCTTATTATATTACTGAAATTCGATAAAAAATGTTCTAAAAGCATATTTTGCCATTACTTTCGCCAACATTCTGAAATCGGGTCAACTGATTTAACCACAAATCTACAAAAGGTCTGAAATGGGACAACATAATTATAATCAAACAAGGCTATTGTTTTCGGTCTACGTTTAACTGAATTATTTTGGAAAAAATAGGCTCTTGACACTATGAGTCATCTACTCTTATTTAGTTCTTCCCACTTTATATTGGAGACCTACTGCAAGCGTCTGAAGAGCCTCAACATTCTGGTATTTCGAATTACCTTTTGCATCTGTCACCGCTAAAAGTCGTATCCAAACACCGGTTAAATGCCGATCCAAGACATTTCACAACCGTATTCTCCAATAATGGGGCACCAGTGACATTCGTATTCTCAAAAATTCAAAGATGTATCATATTTGGACAGAGCAGGCTAAATTATTTAAAATATTCATGACTAATTCGTAGATCTAGCTATATATTATACATAAGATGTGTCATCCTCTTCGGAGTTGTGTTATGTTACACAAAAACTGATCAAAGATGCTGGAAACTAGGATTTTACGGCTTCAATCTAATATTAATACATTTTCTCTTGATTAAGACCCCTTGTGATATGCCTGGCATTATAAGTATACCAAGTATCATTCATTGACCAAGTAGGATAAAAAGAAAACGTTCGAAAGTGTTCATAAAAAGCAAGTACTCACCTCGTCTGTTTATAGGAACAGAAATACGGTCACACTCGTAAGCTTAGAACCGGTCATACTCAACATACGCGGATACTCTAGTAACCCGTGAATAGCCAACAACCACTCGTGCATGTAGTTACGATCAAGATCGTTGAATTCAAAAATGTAAATGTAACTTATCGAACAATAAAGACTTGTGAGGCCATAAACTTTCGACGGGGCTTGCAAGTATAAAGTTACATCAAATGTTTCACTCTAGTCTGGAATATGTAAAATCCAGTTTAAAATCTAACTGACTTAAAATCAGTTTGGAAAAGTATATGAATCGCATCACTGGTTACAGTTCGGTCGTATTCTCCTTTCCAAGCTCCACCAAGTTAATATGATCTTTCGGAATATAAGTGGCTGGTACAGGCCCGTACACTGCAGTCTGGGTAGCTCTACTAGTGTACTGCGTGTAATAAGTGTCATAATTGAGCCCAGTACACGAGGTCGTCACGTGTCGACGCTGACTGGATTCTCTCTCATAACTTGAGGGGCTATTTAATGCACTGCGGTAGCTCCAATTGGCACTTAGGTGGTCTCCCTCAATAGTGGCAATGTTGTTCTTGTCCCGGAACATTGGCATGCCATAATCATTCTCATAGGCTTCATATCCCTGATTCTCGTCATCGTTTACAGTGTAAAAGGCCTCCCGGTTGGCATTCCTGAAGTAGAAGATTGCAATATTTATATCATCAAAACTTTATTTCATATTATGTATCATATACAGAAGGCGCAAGCTAGTACTCATGAACGCGTCCTATCGTCATGCATGGCATACTATCCCAGATTCATTTAGTTACTCTGGCGGGTCGAAAGAAGTGGTTGCTAACTTGCAACTTACTTTGATAACTTGTATTGTGTTCTGGTCATGCGGGTACATAAAACACTCCATCTAATACAAATTAATACTGGTTAGAATTTTCAAGGTCTTTGTCGAAATGATTTCTTATCCATCAGTGCATTCAACATCAAGCTCTTACTTGAAGCAGATCCTATAGACAAGGACTGTAAAGATGATGAGTCCAATGATGACTGAGGTTACTATGATGATAATGATGACTGCCAGAGAAGGTCCACTCGTGGGTGGTTGTTCTTTTATTGGAGACACACAACCATTAACGTCTACAACATTGTCGATAATCAAAATACAATCGTCGAAAGTTGAATAAACCCAGCTTAGGAAGCAACATGAACTGTATGTGAACTGTATTATTTTAAAGACTACATAACATGATGCCTTTGGCAAGCTACGTATCAATAGTTGAATACTAGTGTTCAATACAAAAAAATCAAACTTTAAATGGATCATGGTCCATTTACCTTTCATAATAGTAAGTGTGGGTTTGAATTCGTAATTGCTCTTACGAGAAAAATATTGGATCGGGTCTACGGCCCTCGGCCATTATTTTACCTAATAACCAGTAGTCATGGTTTATACAATACATAATCGATCTTAATGATAAATTGTATGGCACTGGTTTACCTATAAAACTCCAGTCATCTGAACTGTTGCTAGGGTTACAATAGAGGCAGTTATCTCCTGGGTGATTCTGTTGACTTGCATAGCACCAGCCATTGATAATACAGTTGTTGGGCTAAGGAAGCAAAGTTACGGGTTACTATAACGAGAAGCAACCATACGTAATCGGTAAAATTATTTTGAATTAATTATTTGACTTGTTTTACCTTTCTGATACAGGATGGGTTCTCGTCAAATATATTGCATTCGTGGCATGCAGAGTCATGGACATTAAACAACATTCTCCCGTCATAGCGTTCACCATCGTTAGACACACCGATCAGGTATTTGGTGTTACTTTCTATGGCGTAACATTCTACTTGTGTCTGAGACACGAATCCTGCAGCTACGGTGTATGTATCACCTGTGGGGTACATTCCCAAGGAATTTACCTGCAATGGAGGTGACTTTGCTGGGACAATTGTTTTTATCTGTCCACAAGAGAGTATTTTACTAAGTAAATTATGCATTTGTGGATGACCATTTTATATGGACGAAATCAAAAACATTGTTTTTGACCGGGATTTGTGATCAGAACCAGCGATTGATGACATCAATGACATCAACTCAGAAGTAAGTTTGCGTTCTATTCTAATTTACTCTCTAAACCCTATGTTTTTTTAAATTGCATGAGGTACCATTGGATTCAAAGAAGATTCTACATACAGAGATGATTCTTACCTCGACCTTTTCCACGTGACAAGTGAGCTTCTCATCCTCAAGGAAGTTGTCACCATACACCATGGTAGAGTTACAGTTCTGGTTTCTGAAAGACCTTAGGTCACAGTTCCCATAGAAATGAAGATATTGAACAACTGGGGGCAGTTTTGTGTCAATAGAACAATCATCGCCACCCCAGGGGTCAATACACGTACAAGTACCTAAGGGTAGATTTGATTAAGGAAAATGAAATAGGGTATATGGACGTATAGTGCAAAGAGCAATGGGTGTCAGGTATCATACATGTATAATGTTCATACACAAAATAAGGTAACGCTAACGAAATGAACCATAACAGCTTCATTAGAATATTCACATTACCATTTGAACAGTTCCCTTTATTGCTACACTCGTTAATGCACATTGTATTAAATATGTCATCCTTGGTTTCTGCACCAGTTCCATTAGCATATGTCATATTCTGGTTCAGCTCCTCTCTACATTGATCCTTCAGAGCCTCTAGAGCAGATCCTGCCCATGTAGTGTTGTCTATGATCTGAAATGACGGTCTAACATTAGCATGGGTCAGGTATTCTTATTCAGTTTCTCTCGTCATCGATCTTTCAGAGCCTCTAGAGCAGATCCTGCCCATGTAGTGTCGTCTATAAGCTGAAATGAAGGTCTAACATGAGCATGGGTCAGGTATTCTGATTCAGTTTCTCTCGTCATCGATCTTTCAAAGCTTCTAGAGCAGAGATCAGTGTTTTCAGAACATATCCTGCACATGTAGTGTTGTCTATGATCTTAAATGATGAGCTATACATAAGGAACGGATGTGGATAGCCAATGCCGGTCATGGATTTTGATATATCATTGTTCATTTATCAAACGCTTCGGTAGCAAATCTTTTTTTGATATATTTTCATATGTTTTAATTAATTATTTCTTTTTATGTATATCACCTTAACATACTATATTATCATTTCAGCCTTTGAGAATTCACAAGATCTTAACCAGTTCTACCTTGATATCTTCCACACATGCAGCGATGTCATAGGCAAGAAGCACATTGTCTGTAAGTCCATTACACTTTCTGCCAGATTCCGATTCCTCAATTAGGTATCTCTCACAGAATTCTTTGGCCTCCTGTTCATCCCATACGGGGCCCCAAGTTGAGTTCTGGATTATTATGGTTGAACACATGAATATTTACTCATAATTAACCATGCTAGGCATCTTTGATCTATATGCCTAAGTAAAAATTCCAGCATTTAATTCATTCTAGGACCCTAGATTCATTGGAAAACTATTACCAGAGAAGAAGTAAGAAGTTATAAGTGTTTTTAAATGACTTTAATGATGTCAGAATGGTGTCCATCACCAACCTCTGGGTTGTATGTCTCATCAATGTTGATTGGTCCCTCCCAGTCTGTGGAGTTATAATCCACTGCTTGTCTCCGTACCCGCATTCTCATCATCACAGGCATCTGCTTTGGAACATCACCCTGGAAGTCTTCCATGTTCACTATGGGGAGTCTGTCAGTGATGTCTTTTGTACCTGATAAGTATAAGTGTACTTGTATCACGGATTTCCCCTTTTATACCTGATTAGTGAGGTTATGATTACAAGGCACTAAGGTCAGTCAAAATTAGGAATTGAGAAATGAATTAATTATTATTGAAATATGCCATGCCTTTCTCTATCTGGTCGCAGTGCTCAGTGATGTAGTCATATCCACAAGGCTTGTTATCCTCCAGCTCATGGCACTCACACACCATTGGAGGACGCCAGCCTGTCTTCGGCACACCTCCAAATATCCTATCAGCCTCTGGTACTCTGACAAGGAAATTCGGAGTGATCATTAAGAAAGGGGGAATGGGGTATTGTACAAAGATAATCAATTTTGTTCAAATGGTTTCATGTTAATGCATCTTAAATGTAGAAATTACTTTTTGTACTTGTTTAAGTTTCAATGTGAGGGTTGGGATCTCAATGTAAAGAATAACCATGGGCTACTTTATATTTGTATGTTCCAGCTTGAATAATTACCTCCATTCTTGATTGAAGAGCTTTGGTTGGCCACCACGATCACTGCCTGGTCCTTGGTATATGGATCCGTCAAGCATCATCAACTCATCTTGGGGATTGTCATTGAATGTTCCACATAGACCTATTTGGATGTAGAGGTACCATGTTTTCTTGTGTTTTAGATGATACATAAGGATACTGAATTGTAAGTTCGATTTCCCCTTAACTTGTTGTGCACTAAGATGTTTGTTATTTAATTTGGTCGTTTCCCCCTTTGGGACTTATTTATTCAGGGAAGTTTTTTTGAATTAATATCTAAAACTGAAACAAATTGGGCATGTACAGGCCATTTTGAATTTTCCTTTTTAAAGTCTTAGAAATAAAAAATACAACAAGGAGTTTTATGCAACATACCCTCTGTATTGTCAAAGTCCCCAGCTCCACCAGTTACATAGACATTGATGAAGTGGCCATATGACTGTTCTATTATGATTTTAGTACCAGTGGGTAGGTAAACCTTGAACATATTATTTATATGTACGATCAGATATGTATGATCATTTACATTTTGGCTTTTTATGTTACTGGCGCACTGTGGTAAATACACTAAATTAAGAAAGTAGTATTTCCAAATTGCTCCTTTTAAATCATAAAAATAACTTACAATATATTTCTTTCCTCCACTCTTACTGAGGATGCTAACTCCAGGAGTGAATTCATCATCCCAGACATACGCAAATGTTTTCATTGGGGGATTGTGCCATCTTCCTTGTGCACGTCCAAATATGGGTTGATCCAGGACATCGCGTTCACATCTAAATAAAAAGCTATGTCTTAATCTGTGCTGATGGATATCTCTACCAAACGAAAATCTAGTACAATTTGAAAACACACAGAAATAGTCGATGACCTACCTATCAACCACAAATACAGAGTCTCCAGCTTTAACAGCTGCCCCACAATTGCATGTACCATGGACCTGGTAGCATCGTTGGTATATCACCTGTACCTCAAACGGTAGGGTCTTGTGTTTGTATAGAACAAAATGGCCTTCAAAGTGATTCTCATAATTCCTAAAATAATCGCAATTCTCTCATGAAATAATGCCAAATGTTAAATCTTTGAGGGTCCATGTTTTTATATACTTTATCAAGTGATGCGAAACGAGGTGGTGTTAGACTAGGTGATGAACAAATTAAATCAAAAGATGCTTCTGTTACCATTTGTTGCTGACCTCAGAGAGTCACCATGAAACATCAAAAACTTTTTCAAACATAGCAATGCAAAGAAACTCTACCGGATTTAAATGAGGTCCATGTAAAATGAATCAAATGTGAACAGAAGGCTTTTAGCCTACATTTAAAGCATTCTTATGTTCAGATCATCTTTGCCTTGTAGCTCTAAATGCTGTTCTGCAAAGCCGCTACTTTTGTATGTAATTCGTTATATTTGTGTATCTTCCCTTGCTCTGAGTCAGTTGCTTATTGAGTATTCATATTTTCTATGGAAATTAGTCATATATAACAAAAAAGGAACTGCCTTTCTCTAATGCAAGGTTGTAATCACTTAAAATGCATAAAGGAGTCCCAATATGCGCTAAAACTTTCTTCCAACAATTAAGGCGCATAGGAAAGCTACACATGCACATGGAAAACAAACAGAACTGGTTTTAAGCTTACAAATAGCGAAACAAAAAACAGAAGTCAATTAAACATTTGGGACAAGTGACCAAGCTGTAATACGTAAATGTGCAAGTAGATTAGTAGTAAGGAGAGAACACAGTCGGTACCATCAACAGCCACTAATCGTGATGGTAATCGATTTTATAGAATCTCAAATAACCATTCATTAGTTGTAAAAATATAGAATGTTTAGTATAGTACATTCTACTATATTGTATGATGTGTTTTGATTGACTGGAAGTTGATATATCATTCCTATGTGTGAATATATAGAGATTATCCTATATGAGGTTCGGGATATTGGGATTATCCCGAGGCCAATATAATATATCTGCCCGAGGGCCGTAGGTCCCGAGGGTAGATATATTATATTGGCCAAGGGATAATCAAAATATCCTGAACCGACTATAGGATGATCTGTTTATCCCATACCAATCACATTTTCCAATTGGCCACAGTTCAGAAACTTTGCAACCAACCGTGGAATTATTTTAAAATATTCATGTCTAGTTTTGTATTCTTGTCCGGATTTTTGATATTAACGGGGCATACAGCTCCTTCCCTTCTTTAAAGCATCAAACAGATCGCGATATTTGTCTACGTTTTTCTCCATTGTCGTTTACAGTATGCGAACGTTACAAAAACGAACCAATATGGGAACAGCGATTATGACGTAGCGGGCAGATATACTACATCTGCCCGCTCGGAGCGGGACGTAAAGATATATCTGCCCGCTGATGAAAATATAAGTTTTTACAAACCGGCTTTATGTACCTGTAACACGTCCAAGTATGGGATAAACAGTAATACACAATAAATGTTATAACAATCATCCGAACAAAACGTCTCTCCTTACGACTTAGATTGGTTTCACGCAGTTTAGTCAGAACACGGGACGTACTACAGTTCCTACCATGTGTCAAAGGTAGACAGATGAGGATCATTCAGCGTTGAACATGTTCCTAACCTTAGTCTGTCTTCAATATGAACCTAAAGCAATGCTATATTTAAGAAGATAAATGCTTATTTCAAGTATCAATAACATCTAAATCAAAAATTGGGAAGTTGGTTTGACTGTTTCAATAGATTACAAGGGGTTACAAGGGATCTAGGAATTCTGAACTTTACGAAGTTTGTTAGTGACATCCAGGCTAATGAAATTCATTTTTTATTAGATACCAATTGCTGTTGCCTACTGTACTCACATTGCACCTTTCTAGCTCAATGTACTGAGATTCTTTTGCGCCTTGTACTACGGACATACCAATTGTCAGTTCCCGTGTCTGAGGACCATCACGTCTAAAAGTAAAAATATCATAGTACTAGTTCAGATGGGACCAGAATAAAATGCACAGTAATCATTGACAAAATACTTTTATGTTGATCATATTTTGATTTTATTAATGTACGCAGTGGAGTTTCAGGTACTTAAGATATGTAATATATACTTTTTTTTTTTTTGTGTATAAACATCAAGTGCTTTGCTACATCTATAGGACTGTTCGTGAGCTGATGATTGGGATGGAGCTTTGGGTAGTATAAGCTTGGCTGTCTCTGTCGTCAGGCTTGTGACTGACCTTTGGCTGGTTTAAGATATTTGATGGTACCAACACTCCCATTCCAGAGACTGAAGCTTTGGGACATTTCATTTGGTGGTTGAAGAATGATGGAAAACTTCTTCGTTTTATTGGTGGGTCCATTTGTCACGTCTTCTTATCCAGAGCCACCTGGAGCACGATTCTGAAACTGCTCCAATTCCTCTCATTGCTCGTCTGAGTTGGCTAGAATGTACCCCAATGTCTTTGAACAATGAGCGTAGAGACAAAGCTGGGAAGCCCCTGCATCCTACTTCTACAGGGTATAGTCTTGCTTGCCATCCTTTGCTCTGGGCTTCATGGATTAGATCTTGGTATTTGTTGTACTTGAGTTGGTGGGATATGTCTATTCTTTCCTCCCATGGTACTGTAAGTTCTATCACTAGTATGGTCTTAGAACTTTCTGATAAAAGTAGCATGTCAGGACGTAGTGTTGTTGCTACTATGTTCTGAGGAAAGATTAACTTCTTATCCAGGTCGACATGCAATTTCCAATCAGAGGCCTTAGACAGTGACGAGAGAGGAATTGATGGGTCTGCATTCTTAGTCCTTGGAGTTGGTTGCTTTCCCTCCAGTTGAAATGCTGTGAATATGGGCTTTGTGGGGAAGAGTTGCTTGTTGTGTGTTCTAGCTCTGTCGACCCATTCAGCAATTTTCTGTAGGACTTTGTCGTGTCGCCATCTGTACCGGCCTTCACTCAGTGCTGTCTGGCAGCTGCTCAGGATGTGGGTTAGGGTACATCTGGGTCTTTTGCATAGAGGGCATGTGTTGTCATTTTCAAGGCCCCAAGTGCTTAGGTTCGTTGGAGTTGGTAAAAGGTCAGTAAAGGCGCGCAATATAAAGCTGAGGCTTGCTTGGTCAACTGTCCAAAGATCTTTCCATGTAGGAGATCTTTCCATGATTGATTCCCATTGGGTCCAGTTTCCCTGCTTGGAAAGCCCCACTGCTTTTACAAGGCGTTCTTCTTCCTGCGCTTTACGCGTTTGCTTTACCAGGCGGTCTTTCTTTGCTTTTGGAGTCTTTTCTAATAGCTTGGAACCATAATTGCCTAAGCCTAATCGACCTTGGCAAACAACTCCAACTATCTGCTCATGTCGCTCCCGTTCGTCTGCTTCTGCTATTGCTTGCTGAGGTTTCCATTTCCTTCCAGTTGATATTGATTCTCCTGAGGAAAGGACCTTGGGATCCTTGGACGTCCGAAGGGTTGTAATGGCCCTGACTTTGGCCACCTTAAATTCCTCCACCAGTGAAGAAATTGGGAGGGACAACTTTGAAGATGTGCTGTAAAGGTTACAGGAGCTGAAGCTTGGAGGTACTCCTAACCATTTCCTCAAAAATCTGTTGCACAACCTTTCCATGGAATTGACAAGGGATAGAGGGAATTCATACAAGGAGAAAGGCCATTGTAATCGGGGGATTACTCCAAACTGGAAACACCATACCTTGAATTTACCTAGGAGGTGACTCTTGTTAATAGTTTCCATCCATCTTTCAAGTTCCTTGAAGACTTCCTTAGTGGTGTTGCTATCCTTTAAAGTCTCGTCATAGACTTTCCCTAAGCACTTTATACGTTCATCTTGGATGGATGGGATAGCTGCTCCTTGGATGTTGAAAGTGTGTCTTTGGGTCAGTTGTCCTTTGACGATGGTCATGCTGCGTGATTTCTTGGGCTTAAACTGCATACGGGACCATGTAGCCATTTCCTCGAGACTTGTGAGAATCCACCGCATGCCAGGGATAGACTGCGTCATGACTGTGATATCATCCATGAATGCCCTGCAGCATGGGTGTCTAGTGCCATCCTTTGCTTTTGGCCCTTTGCATTGCGCTTCTCCAACCTTCAGAAGCATGTTCATTGCAGCTATGAAAAGTATGACGGAGATGGTACATCCGGCCATGATGCCTTTCTCTAGTGGCTGCCATGAGGTGGTGAAGTTCCTTGTGGTGAAACGCATCTTCATGTTGCTAAGGTGGTTTGTTGTAAGGTTGATATAAAATATAGAGATAAACCAAAACTAAAAGTACAATCAGTATTACCTGTTATCTATCTTTGCATATATTGGAATTCTGTTATGTTGTTGCCATGTTGAGTCTTGTACATTTATGCCGCATGTTGTGTCTTCCTCTGCATATGCGTGGTCTCCAAATACTGCCTGGGATATGATGGTGGTCCTCTTCTTCATCTTGTGCTTCTTGCGGCACCTACGACCATGAAGGATAGTTTTACGTTAAGCATGCTGAAAACATGTACACTTCAAATAAAGAACCTGTCATTCTGACATAAGTAACGTATATTTCATTTGAATTTTTTTGTCACAATTTTCACAATTGATGGTCATTACTATAATACAACATATACCATAACGTTATATTTCGATTCCAGATAATTTTACGAATATACTGCGTCCTCTTATTATTTAACATCAGCCTGAGGTTCTTTTCAAATATTTGTCATAGCATCTTTACGTACTGGGTATGCAGAAACATTGTATTCGGAGAGTTCAAAGGTCATATCAATGAAATACTACTTCACAAAAATAGTACAATGCAAATTTTGTACTCACGCTGGTTGTACTCCCAACTCTAGGTCAAATGTAACAGAGACAAGACAGTCATCATCTAGATTATTGTCTTTGCATATCTGTGTTGGAGATGTTCTAATATCCAAGTCAATGTATTTAGGGCCACCTCCTTCTATGATGTTGTTGATATCCGTACAGTTGATCTAACATGGGTAAGAGGAAAATCAATAGATATGAGCAGAAGCTTTTATTGCCGGAAATTAGTTCTCATAAAGATATGTTTTGGGCATAGTGAGTACAAATACTGTAACTGGAGAGAAACGATACCTTTGCGTAGCACCCTTGTCTGATTTTTACTGTAACTTTAGAGTTGAAATAATTCCATGTCCGATTTATAACATGCTGATCACAGGCGAATGTCCTGTTGGAAATACACTCCCTCGTGGCCTCTATCTCGCTAAAATATAAAAATGATTACATGATTACACATGTGTAACCTAATCCAGTGTTTTATTTCTATTCTATTCCATGACATTGTTTACGGTGATCTTACCTACATAACGTGTCTCTGTCTGATCCTTTGTCAATATGTTCCTTCAGGTTATCAATACATTCAATTGCTTCAGTGTATTTACAATTCATGGGTGTAGTTGTACGGGCACTGGTAGAAGTAAATGTAGGATAAGCTGATATAGTTGTACATATACACGATGTGGTTGTTTCAGTTGGTGTTGGGGTAGTTGGGACTTTTGATGATGTCGAATTTCTCGGAGATGAAGTTCTAGAAGGAGGAGTTTTGGTAGAAATGGTAGAAGGAACAGCTGTAGGATCAGTACAGACACATGGACACATACAAAGAGGTTCAGTTGTTTGAGCTGTCGTTTTCGCTGCTGTTGTTGAGGCTGTGGTTATTTTAGTAGTAATACTGGGCAATGATGTATTAGAACCACCATAAGTGGTTGGTCCTGTGGTTACAGAACTTTCAGTTGTTAGACCTATTGTTTTAGTACCTAAAGTTGTTGGACTTGTTGTTGTAGAACCAGAAGTTCTTTGATCTGTTGTTATAGTAATTGCACTTGTCGAACTAGACGTTTTTGAAACTGTCGTAGACGAAGTAGTTCTTGGACCAGTTGTAGCTCCATCAGTTGTCTTAGAATTAGCAGTTGTTTGATATGTTGTTGTCGTACCACCAGTTATTGGGCCTGTTGTTAACACAGACGTTGTTGGGCCAGTTATAGTAGTTCCATCGGTTTTGTTATCAGATGAAGTAGTACTAGCGGTTGTCTGATCTGTCGTAGAACCAGTAGTTGTTTGACTTGATAATGTAGGAACTACAGTAGTTAGACCGGTTGTCGTAGTTCCCCCAGTTGTTGGACCATTTGTTCGAGTAGAAGCGGTTGTTTGATCAGTTGCTGTCATACCTGCAGTTGTTTGAAATTTTGTTGTCATACCAGCAGTTTTCTGATCAGTTGTTGCCCTACCAACAGTAGTTTGATCTGTTGTAGAACCAGCAGTTGTCTGATCTGTTGTTGCCATACCAGTAGTTGTTTGATCTGTTGTTTTCATACCAGTAGTTGTTTGATCTGTCGTAAAACCAGCAGTTGTCTGATCTGTTGTTTTCATACCAGTAGTTGTTTGATCTGTTGTTGCCATACCAGTTGTTGTTTGATCCGTCGTAAAACCAGCAGTTGTTTGATCTGTTGTTAAACCAGTAGTTGTTTGCTCTGTCGTTGTAAAACCAGCAGTTGTCTGATCTGTTGTTGCCATACCAGTAGTTGTTTGATCCGTCGTAAAACCAGCAGTTGTTTGATCTGTTGTTTTCATACCAGTAGTTGTTTGATCTGATGTTTTCATACCAGCAGTTGTCTGTTCTATTGTAAAACCAGCAGTTATTTGATCTGTTGTTTTCATACCAGTAGTAGTTTGATCTGTCGTAAAACCAGCAGTTGTCTGATCTGTTGTTTTCATACCAGTAGTTGTTTGATCTGTTGTAAAGCCAGTAGTTGTTTGATATGTTGTAGAACCAGCAGTTGCTTGATCTGTTGTAGAACCAGCAGTTGTTTGATCTGTTACTTTCATACCAGTAGTTGTTTGATCTGTCGTAAAACGAGCAGTTGTTTGATCTGTTATTTTCATACCAGTAGTTGTTTGATCTGTCGTAAAACCAGCAGTTGTCTGATCTGTTGTTTTCATACCAGTAGTTGTTTGATCTGTTGTAGAACCAGCAGTTGTTTTATCGTTTGTGGAACCTGCAGTTGTTTGATCTGCTGTTGTCATACCAGCAGTTGTCTGTTCTATTGTAAAACCAGCAGTTATTTGATCTGTTGTTTTCATACCAGTAGTAGTTTGATCTGTTGTAGAACCAGTAGTTGTTTGATCTTTTGTGGAACCTGCAGTTGTTTGATCTGTTATTGTCATACCAGCTGTTGTTTGATCTGTTGTAAAGCCAGTAGTTGTTTGATATGTTGTTGTCATACCAGCAGTTGTTTGATCTTTTGTGGAACCAGCAGTAAGTTGATCTGTTGTTGTCATACCAGCAGTTGTTTGATCTGTTGTAAAGTCAGTAGTTGTTTGATCTGTTGTTGTCATACCAGCTGTTGTTTGATCTGTTGTAAAACTTGCAGTTGTTTGATATGTTGTTGTCATACCAGCAGTTGTTTGATCTGTCGTAAAACCAGCAGTTGTCTGATCTGTTATTTTCATACCAGTAGTTGTTTGATATGTTGTTGTCATACCAGCAGTTGTTTGATCTGTCGTAAAACCAGCAGTTGTTTGATCTGTTATTTTCATACCAGTAGTTGTTGGATCTGTTGTTGTCATACCAGCAGTTGTTTGATCTGTTGTTGTCATACCAGCAGTTGTTTGATCCGTCGTTAAACCAGCAGTTGTCTGATCTGTTATTTTCATACCAGTAGTTGTTGGATCTGTTGTTGTCATACCAGCAGTTGTTTGATCTGTTGTTGTCATACCAGCAGTTGTTTGATCTGTTGTTGTCATACCAGCAGTTGTTTGATCCGTCGTAAAACCAGCAGTTGTCTGATCTGTTATTTTTATACCAGTAGTTGTTTGATATGTTGTTGTCATACCAGCAGTTGTTTGATCTGCTGTTGTCATACCAGCAGTTGTTTGATCTGTTGTTTTCATACCAGTAGTTGTTTGATCTGTTGTTGTCATACCAGCAGTTGTTTGATCTGTTGTTGTCATACCAGCAGTTGTTTGATCCGTCGTAAAACCAGCAGTTGTCTGATCTGTTATTTTTATACCAGTAGTTGTTTGATATGTTGTTGTCATACCAGCAGTTGTTTGATCCGTCGTAAAACCAGCAGTTGTTTGATCTGTTATTTTCATACCAGTAGTTGTTTGATCTGTTGTCATACCAGCAGTTGTTTGATCTGCTGTTGTCATACCAGCAGTTGTTTGATCTGTTGTTTTCATACCAGTAGTTGTTTGACCTGTTGTTGTCATACAAGCAGTTGTTTGATCCGTCGTTAAACCAGCAGTTGTCTGATCTGTTGTTTTCATACCAGTAGTTGTTTGATCTGTTGTAAAACCAACAGTTGTTTGATCTGCTGATGTCATACCAACAGTTGTCTGATCTGTTGTTTTCATACCAGTAGTTGTTTGATCTGTTGTTGTCATACCAGCATTTGTTTGATCCGTCGTAAAACCAGCAGTTGTTTGATCCATTGTAGAACCACCAGTTGTTTGATCTGTTGTAAAGCCAGCAGGTGTCTGATCTGTCATACTAGCTGTTGTTTGATCTGTTATAAAGCCAGTAGTTGTTTGATATGTTGTTGTCATACCAGCAGTTGTTTGATCTGTCGTAAAACCAGCAGTTGTCTGATCTGTTATTTTCATACCAGTAGTTGTTTGATCTGTTGTTGTCATACCAGCTGTTGTTTGATCTGTTGTAAAGCCAGTAGTTGTTTGATCTGTTGTTGTCATACTAGCAGTTGTTTGATCTGTCGTAAAACCAGCAGTTGTCTGATCTGTTATTTTCATACCAGTAGTTGTTTGATCTGTTGTTGTCATACCAGTAGTTGTTTGATCTGTCGTAAAACCAGCAGTTGTCTGATCTGTTATTTTCATACCAGTAGTTGTTTGATCTGTTGTAGAACCAACAGTTGTTTGATCTATTGTTTTATTACCAGTAGTTGTTTGATCTGTTGTCATACCAGCAGTTGTTTGATCTGTTGTTGTCATACCACCAGTTGTTTGATTTGTAGTAAAAGCAGCAGTTGTCTGATCTGTTATTTTCATACCAGTAGTTGTTTGATCTGTTCTTGTCATACCAGCAGTTGTTTGATCAGTCGTAAAACCAGCAGTTGTCTGATCTGTTGTTTTCATACCAGTTGTTGTTTGATCTATTGTTGTCATACCAGCAGTTGTTTGATCCGTCGTAAAACCAGCAGCTGTCTGATCTGTTGTTTTCATACCAGTAGTTGTCTGATCTGTTGTTTTCATACCAGTAGTTATTTGATCTGTTGTAGAACCAGCAGTTGTTTGATCTGCTGTTGTCATACCAGTAGTTGTTTGATCTGTTGTTGTCATACCAGCAGTTGTTTGATCCGTCGTAAAAGCAGCAGTTGTCTGATCTGTTATTTTCATACCAGTAGTTGTTTGATCTGTTGTTGTCATACCAGCTGTTGTTTGATCTGATGTAAAGCCAGTAGTTGTTTGATATGTTGTTGTCATACCAGCAGTTGTTTGATCTGTTGTTTTCATACCAGTAGTTGTTTGATCTGTTGTAGAACCAACAGTTGTTTGATCTGTTGTTTTATTACCAGTAGTTGTTTGATCTGTTGTCATACTAGCAGTTGTTTGATCTGTTGTTGTCATACCACCAGTTGTTTGATCTGTCGTAAAACCGGCAGTTGTCTGATCTGTTATTTTCATACCAGTAGTTGTTTGATCTGTTCTTGTCATACCAGCAGTTGTTTGATCCGTCGTAAAACCAGCAGTTGTCTGATCTGTTGTTTTCATACCAGTAGTTGTTTGATCTGTTGTTGTCATACCAGCAGTTGTTTGATCCGTCGTAAAACCAGCAGTCTGATCTGTTGTTTTCATACCAGTAGTTGTCTGATCTGTTGTTTTCATACCAGTAGTTGTTTGATCTGTTGTAGAACCAGCAGTTGTTTGATCTGCTGTTGTCATACCAGTAGTTGTTTGATCTGTTGTTGTCATACCAGCAGTTGTTTGATCCGTCGTAAAACCAGCAGTTGTCTGATCTGTTGTTTTCATACCAGTAGTTGTTTGATCTGTTGTTGTCATACCAGCAGTTGTTTGATCCGTCGTAAAACCAGCAGTTGTCTGATCTGTTGTTTTCATACCAGTAGTTGTTTGATCTGTTGAGGAACCAACAGTTGTTTGATCTGCTGTTGTCATACCAGCAGTTGTCTGATCTGTTGTTTTCATATCAGTAGTTGTTTGATCTGTTGTTGTCATACTAGCAGTTGTTTGATCTGTCGTAAAACCAGCAGTTGTCTGATCTGTTATTTTCATACCAGTAGTTGTTTGATCTGTTGTTGTCATACCAGCAGTTGTTTGATCCGTCGTAAAACCAGCAGTTGTTTGATCCGTTGTAGACCCACCAGTTGTTTGATCTGTTGTAAAGCCAGCAGGTGTCTGATCTGTTGTTTTCATACCAGTTGTTGTTTGATCTGTTGTTGTCATACCAGCTGTTGTTTGATCTGTTGTAAAGCCAGTAGTTGTTTGATATGTTGTTGTCATACCAGCAGTTGTTTGATCTGTCGTAAAACCAGCAGTTGTCTGATCTGTTATTTTTATACCAGTAGTTGTTTGATCTGTTGTTGTCATACCAGCTGTTGTTTGATCTGTTGTAAAGCCAGAAGTTGTTTGATATGTTGTTGTCATACCAGCAGTTGTTTGATCCGTCGTAAAACCAGCAGTTGTTTGATCTGTTGTTTTCATACCAGTAGTTGTTTGATCTGTTGTAGAACCAACAGTTGTTTGATCTGTTGTTTTATTACCAGTAGTTGTTTGATCTGTTGTCATACCAGCAGTTGTTTGATCTGTTGTTGTCATACCACCAGTTGTTTGATCTGTCGTAAAACCAGCAGTTGTCTGATCTGTTATTTTCATACCAGTAGTTGTTTGATCTGTTCTTGTCATACCAGCAGTTGTTTGATCCATCGTAAAACCAGTAGTTGTCTGATCTGTTGTTTTCATACCAGTAGTTGTTTGATCTGTTGTTGTCATACCAGCAGTTGTCTGATCTGTTGTTTTCATACCAGTAGTTGTCTGATCTGTTGTTTTCATACCAGTTGTTGTTTGATCTGTTGTAGAACCAGCAGTTGTTTGATCTGCTGTTGTCATACCAGTAGTTGTTTGATATGTTGTTGTCATACCAGCAGTTGTTTGATCTGTTGTTGTCATACCAGCAGTTGTTTGATCCGTCGTAAAACCAGCAGTTGTCTGATCTGTTGTTTTCATACCAGTAGTTGTTTGATCTGTTGTTCTCATACCAGCAGTTGTTTGATCCGTCGTAAAACCAACAGTTGTCTTATCTGTTGTTTTCATGTCAGTAGTTGTTTGATCTGTTGTTGTCATACCAGCAGTTGTTTGATCCGCCGTAAAACCAGCAGTTGTTTGATCTGTTGTTTTCATACCAGTAGTTGTTTGATCTGTTGTTTTCATACCAGTAGTTGTTTGATCTGTTGTTGTCATACCAGCAGTTGTTTGATCCGCCGTAAAACCAGTAGTTGTCTGATCTGTTGTTTTCATACCAGCAGTTGTCTGATCTGTTGTTTTCATACTAGTAGTTGTTTGATCTGTTGTTGTCATACCAGCAGTTGTTTGATCCGTCGTAAAACCAGCAGTTGTTTGATCTGTTGTTTTCATACCAGTAGTTGTTGGATCTGTTGTAGAAACAACAGTTGTTTGATCTGCTGTTGTCATACCAGCAGTTGTTTGATCTGTTGTTTTCATACCAGTAGTTGTTTGATCTGTTGTAAAACCAGCAGGTGTCTGATCTGTTGTTTTCATACCAGTTGTTGTTTGATCTGTTGTTGTCATACCAGCTGTTGTTTGATCTGTTGTAAAGCCAGTAGTTGTTTGATATGTTGTTGTCATACCAGCAGTTGTTTGATCTGTCGTAAAACCAGCAGTTGTCTGATCTGTTATTTTTATACCAGTAGTTGTTTGATCTGTTGTTGTCATACCAGCTGTTGTTTGATCTGTTGTAAAGCCAGAAGTTGTTTGATATGTTGTTGTCATACCAGCAGTTGTTTGATCCGTCGTAAAACCAGCAGTTGTTTGATCTGTTGTTTTCATACCAGTAGTTGTTTGATCTGTTGTAGAACCAACAGTTGTTTGATCTGTTGTTTTATTACCAGTAGTTGTTTGATCTGTTGTCATACCAGCAGTTGTTTGATCTGTTGTTGTCATACCACCAGTTGTTTGATCTGTCGTAAAACCAGCAGTTGTCTGATCTGTTATTTTCATACCAGTAGTTGTTTGATCTGTTCTTGTCATACCAGCAGTTGTTTGATCCGTCGTAAAACCAGTAGTTGTCTGATCTGTTGTTTTCATACCAGTCGTTGTTTGATCTGTTGTTGTCATACCAGCAGTTGTCTGATCTGTTGTTTTCATACCAGTAGTTGTCTGATCTGTTGTTTTCATACCAGTTGTTGTTTGATCTGTTGTAGAACCAGCAGTTGTTTGATCTGCTGTTGTCATACCAGTAGTTGTTTGATCTGTTGTTGTCATACCAGCAGTTGTTTGATCTGTCGTAAAACCAGCAGTTGTCTGATCTGTTGTTTTCATACCAGTAGTTGTTTGATCTGTTGTTCTCATACCAGCAGTTGTTTGATCCGTCGTAAAACCAACAGTTGTCTTATCTGTTGTTTTCATACCAGTAGTTGTTTGATCTGTTGTTGTCATACCAGCAGTTGTTTGATCCGCCGTAAAACCAGCAGTTGTTTGATCTGTTGTTTTCATACCAGTAGTTGTTTGATCTGTTGTTTTCATACCAGTAGTTGTTTGATCTGTTGTTGTCATACCAGCAGTTGTTTGATCCGCCGTAAAACCAGTAGTTGTCTGATCTGTTGTTTTCATACCAGCAGTTGTCTGATCTGTTGTTTTCATACTAGTAGTTGTTTGATCTGTTGTTGTCATACCAGCAGTTGTTTGATCCGTCGTAAAACCAGCAGTTGTTTGATCTGTTGTTTTCATACCAGTAGTTGTTTGATCTGTTGTAGAAACAACAGTTGTTTGATCTGCTGTTGTCATACCAGTAGTTGTTGGATCTGTTGTAGAAACAACAGTTGTTTGATCTGCTGTTGTCATACCAGCAGTTGTTTGATCTGTTGTTTTCATTCCAGTAGTTGTTTGATCTGTTGTAAAGCCAGCAGGTGTCTGATCTGTTGTTTTCATACCAGTTGTTGTTTGATCTGTTGTTGTCATACCAGCTGTTGTTTGATCTGTTGTAAAGCCAGTAGTTGTTTGATATGTTGTTGTCATACCAGCAGTTGTTTGATCTGTCGTAAAACCAGCAGTTGTCTGATCTGTTATTTTTATACCAGTAGTTGTTTGATCTGTTGTTGTCATACCAGCTGTTGTTTGATCTGTTGTAAAGCCAGAAGTTGTTTGATATGTTGTTGTCATACCAGCAGTTGTTTGATCCGTCGTAAAACCAGCAGTTGTTTGATCTGTTGTTTTCATACCAGTAGTTGTTTGATCTGTTGTAGAACCAACAGTTGTTTGATCTGTTGTTTTATTACCAGTAGTTGTTTGATCTGTTGTCATACCAGCAGTTGTTTGATCTGTTGTTGTCATACCACCAGTTGTTTGATCTGTCGTAAAACCAGCAGTTGTCTGATCTGTTATTTTCATACCAGTAGTTGTTTGATCTGTTCTTGTCATACCAGCAGTTGTTTGATCCGTCGTAAAACCAGTAGTTGTCTGATCTGTTGTTTTCATACCAGTAGTTGTTTGATCTGTTGTTGTCATACCAGCAGTTGTCTGATCTGTTGTTTTCATACCAGTAGTTGTCTGATCTGTTGTTTTCATACCAGTTGTTGTTTGATCTGTTGTAGAACCAGCAGTTGTTTGATCTGCTGTTGTCATACCAGTAGTTGTTTGATCTGTTGTTGTCATACCAGCAGTTGTTTGATCCGTCGTAAAACCAGCAGTTGTCTGATCTGTTGTTTTCATACCAGTAGTTGTTTGATCTGTTGTTGTCATACCAGCAGTTGTTTGATCCGCCGTAAAACCAGTAGTTGTCTGATCTGTTGTTTTCATACCAGCAGTTGTCTGATCTGTTGTTTTCATACTAGTAGTTGTTTGATCTGTTGTAGAACCAGCAGTTGTTTGATCCGTCGTTAAACCAGCAGTTGTTTGATCTGTTGTTTTCATACCAGTAGTTGTTTGATCTGTTGTAGAAACAACAATTGTTTGATCTGCTGTTGTCATACCAGTAGTTGTTGGATCTTTCGTAGAAACAACAGTTGTTTGATCTGCTGTTGTCATACCAGCAGTTGTTTGATCTGTTGTTTTCATACCAGTAGTTGTTTGATCTGCTGTTGTCTTACCAGCAGTTGTCTGATCTGCTGTTGTCATACCAGCAGTTGTCTGATCTGCTGTTGTCATACCAGCAGTCGTTTGATATGTTGTTGTCATACCAGCAGATGTTTGATCCGTCGTAAAACCAGGTGCTGTCTGATCTGTTGTTTTCATATCAGTAGTTGTTTGATCTGTTTTAGAACCAACAGTTGTTTGATCTGTTGTTGTCATACCAGCTGTTGTTTGATCTGTTGTTTTCATACCAGTAGTTGTTTGATCTGCTGTTGTCTTACCAGCAGTTGTCTGATCTGCTGTTGTCATACCAGCAGTTGTCTGATCTGCTGTTGTCATACCAGCAGTCGTTTGATATGTTGTTGTCATACCAGCAGATGTTTGATCCGTCGTAAAACCAGGTGCTGTCTGATCTGTTGTTTTCATATCAGTAGTTGTTTGATCTGTTTTAGAACCAACAGTTGTTTGATCTGTTGTTGTCATACCAGCTGTTTTTTGATCTGTTGTAAAGCCATTAGTTGTTTGATATGTTGTTGTCATACCAGCAGTTGTTTGATCCGTCGTAAAACCAGCAGTTGTTTGATCTGTTGTTTTCATACCAGTAGTAGTTTGATCTGTTGTAGAACCAGTAATTGTTTGATCTGCTGTTGTCATACCAGCAGTTGTTTGATCTGTTGTTGTCATACCAGCAGTTGTTTGATCCGTCGTAAAACCAGCAGTTGTCTGATCTGTTATTTTCATACCAGTAGTTGTTTGATCTGTTGTTGTCATACCAGCAGTTGTTTGATCCGTCGTAAAACCAGCAGTTGTCTGATCTGTTGTTTTCATGTCAGTAGTTGTTTGATCTGTTGTTGTCATACCAGCAATTGTTTGATCTGTCGTAGAACCAGCAATTGTTTGATCTGTTGTTGTCATACCAGTAGTCGTTTGATCTGTTGTAAAACTTGCAGTTGTTTGATCTGTTGTTGTCATACCAGCAGTTGTTTGATCTTTTGTGGAACCTGCAGTTGTTTGATCTGTTGTTGTCATACCAGCTGTTGTTTGATCTGATGTTGTCATACCAGCAGTTGTTTGATCTGTTGTTTTCATACCAGTAGTTGTTTGATCCGTTGTAGAACCACCAGTTGTTTGATCTGTCGTAAAACCCGCAGTTGTTTGATCTGTTGTTGTCATACCAGTAGTCGTTTGATCTGTTGTAAAACCAGTAGTCGTTTGATCTGTTGTAGAACCACCAGTTGTTTGATCCGTTGTAGAACCACCAGTTGTTTGATCTGTCGTAAAACCAGCAATTGTCTGATCTGTTGTTGTCATACCAGTAGTTGTTTGATCTATTGTTTTCATACCAGTAGTTGTTTGATCCGTTGTAGAACCAGCAGTTGTCTGATCTGTTGTTGCCATACCAGCATTTGTTTGATCTGTTGTTGTCATACCAGCAGCTGTCTGATCTGTTGTTTTCATACCAGTAGTTGTTTGATCTGTTGTAGAACCAGCAGTTGTCTGAACTGTTGTAGAACTAGCAGTTGACTGATCTGTTCTTGCCGTACCACTAGTTGTTTGATCTGTTGTTGTCATACCAGCAGCTGTCTGATCTGTTGTTTTCATACCATGCCAGTAGTTGTTTGATCTTTTGTAGAACCAGCAGTTGTCTGAACTGTTGTAGAACCAGCAGTTGTCTGATCTGTTGTTGCCATACCAGTAGTTGTTTGATCTGTTGTAGAACCGGCAGTTGTCTGAACTGTTGTAGAACTAGCAGTTGACTGATCTGTAGTTGAGGAACCGGCAGGTGTTTGATCTTCTGTTGTCATACCAGCAGTTGTTGGAACTGTTGTTAAACCAGCAGTTGTCTTGTCTGTTGTTGCCATACCAGTAGTTGTTTGATCTATTATAGAACCAGCAGTTGTTTGCATTGTCGTTGTAAAACCAGCAGTTGTCTGATCTGTTGTTGCCATACCAGTAGTTGTTTGATCTGTTGTAAAACCAGTAGTTGTTTGATCTGTTGTTAAACCAGTGGTTGTTTGATCTGTTGTAATACTAGTGGTTAATTGATCTGTTGTAAAACCAGTAGTTGTCTGACCAATTTTTGTCATACCAACAGTTTGATCTGTTGTATGATCTGTAGTTATTTGATCAGTTGTTGTCATACCAGCAGTTGATTGATATGTTGTTGTTATACCAGCAGTTGCCTGATCTGTAGTAGAATCAGTTGTTGATTGCTCTGTTGTAAAATCTGCAGTTGTTTGATCTGTTGTTGGCATACCAGGAGTTATTTGGTCTGTTGTCATACCAGCAGTTGTCTGATTTGCTGTTGTAGAACCAGCAGTCGATTGCCCTGTTGTTGTCATATTAGCATTTGTTCGATCTTGGGTTGTAAAATCACCAGTTGTTTGATCTGTTGTAAAACCAGTAGTTGTTTGATTTGTTATAAAACCAGCAGTTGCTTGATCTGTTGTAAAACTAGTAGTTGTTTGATCTGTCATAAAATCAGCAGTTTGATCTGTTGTGGAACCAGTAGTTGTCTGATCTGTTATAGACCCAGCAGTTGTTTGATCTGTTGTTAAACCAGTAGTTGTTTGATCTGTTATAGAACCAGCAGTAGTTTGATCTGTCGTAAAATCAGCAGTTTGATCTGTCGTAGAACCAGTAGTTGTTTGATCTGTTGTAGAACCAGCAGTTGTTTGATATGTTGTAGAACCAGCAGTTGTTTGATCCGTCGTAAAACCAGCAGTCCTTTGATCCGTTGTAAAACCAGCAGTTGTTTGATCCGTCGTAAAACCAGCAGTTGTTTGATCCATCGTAAAACCAGCAGTTGTTTGATCCGTCGTCAAACCAGCAGTAGGTTGATCTGTTGTAAATTCAGCAGTTGTTTGATCACTGGTTGTTATAAAACCAGTAGTTGTCTGATATGTTGTTGTAATACCAACAGTTGTTTGATCTGTTGTAGAACCAGCAGTAAGTTGATCTGGTGTTGTCATACCAGCAGTTGTTGTTGTAGAACCAGTAGTTAGTTGATCTGTGGTTGTCATACCAGTAGTAGTTTGATCTTTTGTAAAACCTGCAGTTGTTTGATCTGTTGTTATCAACCCACCAGTTGTTTGATCTGTCGTAAAACCAGTAGTTTTCCGATCTGTTGTTGTCATACCAACAGTTGTTTGATTTGCTGTAACAGTTGTAGAACCAACTGTCGTTTGATCTGTTGTAAGACCAGCAGTTGTTTGATATAATTTTGTCGTTTCAGCAGTTGTTTTGTCTGTTGTTGTCATACCAGTAGTTGTCGGACCAGTTGTTGATGAACCATCGGCTTCATGAGTTGTGCTTGTTGTCCAAGTAGTTGATTTCTCTGCTAAGGTAGTCGAAGCCGCAGTTCGAGTTGTGGAGTTTGGGGCTGTACTTACTGTTGACCGGCAGTCAACAGGTGAACAACATCCACAACATGAACATGTACATGTAGTAGTCGCTGTAGTTAGGTTTTGTATTGACAGGTCTTTTGTTGTTATTGCGATTTTTTGAGTTGTAGCTGTATCTATTTCAGCTGTATCTGTTGCAGCTTTTTCTGTTTCAGCTGTAGTTGTTGCAGCTGTAGTGGCGGTTGTAGGTAAACATATTGGGGGTGGAGAAATATCCGTTTCATTTGGACATGCTTCATCCATTGCTTTCAGAACGTAGTCTAATGTGCCTTTTATTGAAGCTCTTTGGAGTGTTGAACAACCAAATAAAGCTTCCGAGACACAGGCGATGGTTTCCGGTATACTTCTGCAAATCAAAATTGCATCTGACATGTATGGTGCTAAAAACCTTTTGTCGTTTGTATCCATTTTCATGCTGTTGGCATGTTAATGATGTAATGCGCATGCTCTGATGTAGTACAAAGATTTCCGAAGTCTACATTTATGGAACATGCATATGTAAGACGATAAGGTCAACCTTTACGAATGTATGTTCAGGTCTATAGAAAAAATTGATCAACCCTAAATTCATAAGTAAAGAATATCTACTGAAGATGTAACTCTTCGCTTTGTGCTTGAAACCTACCTGCAGAATTTATGTAGGCTGTAGCAAGGACTGGCCATGGCCTGCGCAACCTGATCTCCAACGTTGTTGATGCATTGCAATGCTGCTGTAGTATTGCACACCTCTATATGGTAATAAAGAATAACAATTATAAACATATATAAATAATTAACCGTGTGTATATTATGATTATATAATATACATTATGATTACACTGAAGTTCTTTCTGAACATGAATCGATCTGAATCAGAAAATGCTCCCAAATCAATTCTTGTAGGAAGATGCATATTCCTACAAGAATTGTGATACGTTGAATATGACATGTGTACATATGTATATTCATGGTTGCGCTGTATTTGTGATACGGGCCGGTGAATATGGCATGCTCATATGCGGTATATTGCATATTCTGCAGGTTAGTACGGCATATTTTGCAGTGAATGGATTTCAGTGAATACCCGATACTCACCTGCGGTATCGATGTCATACTCACTTAAGTAACATACCGCAGGTGAAAACGTGATACAGAAAGTTTCGATTTGTTTGGTTGCAAAAATCGACTCTAAATGTAAAACTACTCCGTAATACGAATACAGTTAGCGCTTCTAATATATGAATCCTGAATTTATTGACCTAGTTTATTACGTGTGATTTGTGTGAAATACTTCTGCTTAGTTGATATATTCAATGCACTGTACTGTTGATTCAGTAATCATTATAATAATTTATACTTTTTTACCCGTTCGTACAATTGATGCAATTGCGTATTTCCGTATCACGTTTTAATTGGTTAATGAGTATGACATATACTCCAGGTGAATATGTCATACACCGCAAGTGAATATCCCATATTCTTTAGGGAATATGACATACATTTGTATTGTGTTTATCGCATAACAATATGTACAGCACAGAGGTGGCCGATAAACAATTGATTCCATACGCCAATGCATCTGCTGATTTCAGGAAAAAGTAGCATCGATCAACATGAAATTAGAAATATCACTAGATATTCGACCTTGGTCTTTATCGATATCAACATTGAAAATGTTCTCAACAATGTCGTTATTATAACTGACTATAAATTCATAATCAGCGATTCAAAAGATTTGTACTAATATCTTGATCGTGTTTGGAAATAAAACCGAAACTTGCAATTCAAATTCTGAAGTGAAAAAATGGCGGCTGTGATTTTGAAATTCGTAGTCACGACATCCTTCTATATCGAATCCATTGTAGGAAAATGTCGAGATTGCACTCTGGGAGCCACTCCTCCTTGCATACAAATAACATACCAATCTTGGGATAATTCAAATCAGCAAACATCTTTTTTTAATTCTTCAGACCTTTTTGATGTTCATAAATCATTTCATAAATCAAAACATATACCTTGAAGAAGTGTTATTGAAAACACTTTGTCATGAATTACTCGTAATTTACATTTTGAATGAGAAAATAAAAAATCTCACTAGTTAAAAGTGGCTTACTTACCTTTTAACAAATGATGACTAACATGAAATAATACTTGAAAACATTGTGATGTACACTTCAATGCCTATCCTTCAAAACGAATTGCTTACCTTAAAATATTTGATAGCGTGGGACAATAGTATTTATAATCAGGGATTATTCTCCTTTCGTTTTCTCACGGCATTTTTTATTCATTGTTCATGCGTTTTCGCCTTTGCGCTTACATTCATTAGTTTAGTTCAATTGGACCGGCTTGGCTTTAACTATAAATGGGAAAGTATGCCCAGTGGCAACATTAAGTCACATCAAACCTACCACAGAAAGATATGTTACAGTATTCCCAGCGCACTGCTGACGTAGTGAAGCACCAAGGGCCGCCAACATTTCTGTCCGGGTTACGACAATAATTCGCCGCACCTTCCAATGTGGCATCAGGGAACCGACTTGGGTCGTTATAATTGTGTTGGTGTGAATGTTGGGAGGTCCAACTCTGACATTGGCGACCCATAGCCGTTTGGGATTGTTTCCCTAAATACTCCCATCCTTCTTGAGAAGTCTTGCATTCTGCATAGACTGTAACAGAAATGAATACTCATACTCTGAACTCAGCTGGGACCTAGACATCATTCACTCTGTTCTGGGAAGAAGGGAGAAGGAGATTGGACGATGCGCTGCGTAGAGCCCTGCGTTAGAAGGGTGCGAGCAATCAGTATATATCATTGACAATCGATTCAGTAGTCTAAATGAAATTTAATTAAAATACTTCATTTCAACAGTTGAATTTTATTTGGGGGGGGGGGGCATTTGCCGCGCCTGCATCATGTCTGGCTACGCCCTTGATATGGGATGGGAAGAATTTTCTGAATTACTGAGGAGCATAGATTTAACAAACATCTTAGAGCGGTAAATCTGTCAGGACTGGTCTTGATATATAGGTTATTCATGGTGCAGTAACAATTCAAGATATGGTGTTTTATTGTCAACTTGGGAACGCTTAACCTATTGGACCAATTGTAGTTATGTTTTATTTATGATTTTGCAGGTCACCGCGGTAAAACATTCAAGTGATAAACAGGATCAGTATGACTAGGAAACAATTGACAACATATCAGATAGTGCAGTGTAAATTCCTCAATTCAAAGATTTGTTTATCAATGAAGGGCACTCCAGCAGACGTTTTAGATAACTCATGTATTGTCAAGATCAAGCGAATCTTCACCAAGGAGGATCTATTATTATCTGTTATTAAGCTTCATTGAAAAATTTGCATTTGGTGGGACTCGATGGGACCAGTGGGATTTTGCCCCATTGGTGAATGTTGGGTATATGACCCTCCTAAATCCTTTATTGGAAGCTTCTTGGAAAATTTGCACTCAGTGGGACTCGATGGGGCAAGTGGGATTTTGCCCCATTGTACGTTGGGATTAAGGCTCCCTTATATATAAAAACATTCTATACGGTCTACTCGCTATATGACCCTTCCAAGTCCTTTATTGGAAGCTTCATTTGAAAATTTGCATATAACGAGACAAGGTCTAATATCTCTTAGAACAGAGGGTTTAAGGTATAATTGCTCTAAACTAATAGGTAAGAGATCTTAGGATTACCGATAGACATCAACCCCTTGCTTCAAAGTCAAATCACTTTTATGTGTGACTTTTTAACTTGATTGCTAAAATATGTAAATAATATAAAGATTCTCACGTAATTTTACACGTAATTCAAATTTTTAACGCTATTCAAAGATTATGCAGTTTGTTCATTGATTTTGCTGTTTAGTTTAGTTTTAAATTAATGCGTTCATGTAGGTTTTTAATGTAACCAACAGTTTTGGTGGAATGGATAGAGTTTAAAAAGCTAGCAGGGCAGTATTTTCAAAATGCACCCTTGTAATCTCGATTTTTGAAAAACGAGATTTCTGATCAAACATAGAATTTATTGAAGATTAAGATACAGAAATGTTCAAACTATACTAAACTTTTTCATTGGTTTGCTAGAAAACCTTAAAATCAGGGATTAACCTAAAATAAAGTCAGGAATGTTTGACTTTTTAGAAGACAGACGTGGCATTTAATGATAGCAAAAATATTGAAAATTATGATATTTTTTTAAAATTTTATTCTGAACTCTTTTCAATCGTTTCTTTAATCGAACGGGATTATGAAATAAATAAAAATATGCAGTCATTCAAAACTTCACTCACCTTGTGCTGAAGCATAAGACAAAAATGCACTTAGGGTTATCACCAAGAGGATCGCTTTCATTTTTGAGCATTGCATAAATTTAGGGCAAGAGATATAGATCGAAAAGTTCCTTTTCCTAAATCAGCCTTCTGCTACAATTCCAAGAAACGCCACCTATTGCACGAAACGTTTCTCCTAGTGTACGATATATAATCCTACCCTCTTTATTTCATCACTTTATGAGCATTCGAAAGGCAATGTGTTGTGATTAACATCTCTGAAAATGCTGGAGAAACATGGGAACCATTTGTTTATTTCAAAAAATAGTTTTATTAATGATTAACCCTATTGTTATGATTAAACAAACACTTCCAAATGGTGAATTTGAATTTAATTTTTAAGTCTTTCTTAACACTAGCCATTCATCCAGATGGTTCAACCAGGCACTGCCACCTATATTCATTAGCCACTCAGGAACATAGACTAAATTAGAATAATAAGATAGTATTTGTCTCCTTGTGCTGCATTACATTTTACTCTCTATGCACCAAGGCACATCTTTTCCGTAGATCAAATGTGACTAAGGCATGAAGGGTATATATACTTTATTTTTACCGGAAGTAATTCCACCACTCCACACTAACCAACATGACGATACTATGTTACCAACAGCAGTAAGTGGAAGTTAATTTGACATAATTAGATGACTACTACAATAATGTTATCTGGCAGTAAATTTATTTGTGTTTAACAACACTGTACTATCACAAAAGTCATTCATTAATTAACGACCTTATACGATCCGAGCATGATGGTTTATGCATATTTAAATGCAAAATCGTGAACTTAATCTTAAAAGGCAAAGGGTAATTTTCGTAAATGTTATTTATTACAGTCGTATTTAGTAGGCTACTTCAGTTGATACGTTACTAAAGTGAAGACATCCCCCATGCATTATCTTTGAGGATTGGTCTTAACCTTCAAACCCACCCTACATCTAATACATTTAGTAATCTTAAATCTCTGTTCTTCAAATTTCATATCTTAACCCGTAGGATTCGGTTTTAAAGTACAGTTAGTATTCGAACTGTGTCTGAATTCTACATGTACCTTCTGATTTCGGGTTTTTGCTAGGTATTATTAGGGAGTTTAAGACTGTTCTTATTCATTTACTTTTTCCGGAGACACTGTTTATAGAAGGCGTAAATACAGTCATGTTCGAATCCGTTTAAAAACATGAAATCCTAATAACATGGCTCTTATCTCTATAAAACAGCTAACCAAGAGACGGGCAGTGTCCTGAGAAAAATCGGGGTTTAAAGATTTTGGCTTTCCACTTTTTACTTTTTGGTTAAATATCAAAAATAGAGAGGTTGAATATTTTTCTATTAATCATTAATCCAAATAAGTTATTTATCCTGGTGAATACCTTCACTCTATAATGAAGTCGTACATGTAACTGTTGCACCCTAAGGCCAGACTGTATAGCCTACTAATAAAACGAAAGAAAAAGGAATAACACGTGACATTATTGAAAACCTAAAGAACATGTTTTTAACTTGTGGCACTATAAAGGAGTATTAATGCACGGGTGAATTTGACCATTCTTCTGATTCTATGGTATCTTTAAGAATGTGGACGACCCTTTGGATTATGTGCTTAAGCTCATTGCTGTCTTCTGCAACAGCACAAGGTAAGTGTGTTCAACAAATATTTTGCCCAAGAGGTTCCCAAATCCCGCTCATTAATTGCAAATTCAAAGATATGTGCTGTATTGTATTGTATTGTATTGTATTGTATTTTGTTTACCACCAATGAAGGTGAGCAATACCTCTTGGGTATGTCCCGTATATATAAGGTCGTAATTTACGTAATTAACATGGAAGATAGACCCAGAAACCCCTCCTTGAAGGAGCCCTGTGTTCTTTTATGTGCACTTATACATAGACATACAAGTACACACCACAGCCTTTGTACGAGTTGCGGACCACTCAGTCAAACACCCTGAAGTACTTCACGCAAACAAGCAAATTTAGTCTTGCCTGAACCGGGGATCGAATCGGGACCTATTGTGTAAGAGGTACCTGCGCTACCGCTGAGCTACACGGGTGGACTTTTTGCTACATGTGGCTTAACCTAATCCAGGATATTCATTATACTCGAAATGTATATTAGGTAATTGTCACATTCTATAAACACATGTATACTAAAAGGAAACTTGGGGGAACCGCGTAGCTTTACAATGACTATACATGCATTTTAGTGGGACTCAAAATTATTTGTAAATTCAGAGGTAAGCAAAATTGTGTATCTTTGGAGGCAATTTCATTCTTATCACGGACAAATATCAATCATCCACATAATGGTGCTTTCAAATAAAGCACCATCCACATTATGGGGCTACTGATTCTCATTTGCCATGAAAGAGAATTCAACGTTCATTAACATGTCGCAAGCGACTTCATACGCTAGAGAGTGTCAGTCATGAGATGGCCAGTATATACTATAGTACTATTTTCTGTTTTAGTGTATGCAGAATGCAAGACCTCCCAAGAAGGTTGGGAATACCTAGGGGAAGAGTCCCATACGGCTACGGGAATCCAATGCCAGAGGTGGGACGCACAATACCCACACCAACATGACAAAAACGACCCAAGTCGCTTCCCTGACGCCACTTTGGAAGACGCTGCAAATTATTGCCGAAACCCGGATATGCATTCTGGTGGACCGTGGTGCTATACAGTGGATCCGAACGTGCGCTGGGTTCCCTGTAGGATATCGTTCTGTGGTATGTTAATCTTGACTGTAGGTCCTGGCGTTCCATATTAGTCAAAATGCTCACCAGTGTCCTTTCGACTTATCATATGAGCAGCTGCTGTTCACCTTATTATGCCACCGAACGTCTGTTTGCCCGTGTCCGTTCGTCCGTCCGCCTGTTCGGACGATAACTCAAATACCGGTTGACGGATTTGATTCAAATTTTATAGGTTTATGCCTATGGCCGCTCCAAAATGGCCACCATTTTTCGTTAAACATGTAATCTTTGGTTCAAATGTTATATGCTGATGCCTGGGGACACAAGAGCTCTGTTCGAGATGAAATTTTTAAGATGGCAGCTGAATTTCAAAGTGGCCGCCATTTTTCATAACAGAACGTAATCCTTGATCACTCAAACACCAATTCTCAAGTTTTCTCCATCCCTTCTGCACCGATCTCCAAAAACAAATGTTTGAACTCTGTATGTACACAGAGGTAAGTTTTACTATTGTTCATATTCAGGAGAGTACCAGGGACTTAGAATGATAAATTAAGGATTTAAGCCCTGGACTCAGTGCATTGTGGGCTGATTATCATTTCTCCAAAGTGTTGTTCCAAACTTTGCACGATATTCGCAGAATCGAGTGCAAAGTTAAGGAAACAACGCCTGAGTGGAATGAATCAGCCAAGTCAAGTTGGCAAAGTATGAATTTCAGTCGTCAAGTTGTCAGTCACCTTGACAACCATTCAAAAGATGACCCTGTATGAATTGTTAGTTATATAATACAGTTATATTCAAGCCCTAATAATGTGTTTCACACTAAACTCAAGTTTGAGCTAAATGCTTGTGTAATCTGTTGTGCCACTTCATCAGTATATGATACGTAACGAGTGCTTTGCAAGGTTTTTAAAATGTAAATGAAATAAGCATTGGTTCTCTTTAGATAAAACTCACATAAGACTTAGCTTCCACCTGTTTATAATTCAAAATGTAACTTTATTTGTATTATCGATCCGTTATCATCATATTGACAGTAAATCCTCTGAAGTATGATTTATTATAGGGACCGATATGAATTATCAGAATTAGATTTAAGAGACCCCTTGACAATGATTGAGCAACCGTGGGTAAATGGGATACGAGATTCCTCAGGGTTTGAATTTTCCAAAGGAAAGAAGAATGACTCGGGAACTCGGTACAAAGTGATTTAATAGTGGTGCTTCCACAGAAAGTGGCAATTTTGATATTTTTTATTGTAATTTTTGTAATTCCGGTGTGTTGGAAGATATTATTTCAGTTAGATTAGGCCTTTGTCAACAAATTACCTAATGGAAGTCAATAAACTTTTGAAAGATATTTTTTGCTGGAATGAAAAGTTCATTTTCCTTTCTAGAGGTTTGTAACATAACAGCAGCATGGGGATGTGTCAAAGACTTTACTGATCATATGTCACGAGCTATTGCAAGTCCTTGTGACAGTCTACCAAAATTATGCAGGTAATTACAACAACATGTGTCAATAAAAGTGAGTAATTTAGATAACACATTACTTTTTATCTCGAGGTATGTCATTTTGACGCTAAATTCAACAGGGGTCAATACTAGTACTACAGTAATTTCTTAATCGAGCCCCCTTCCTTCCTAAAATTAGCTAAAATTGTGATAACATTTAGATGTTATTCGTTTTGATACATGTCGTAAGATTGCTGAAGTAAAACTACGAGGGGTGATCCAAAAGTCTTGGACGCCCTGCTCTAACTTTGCTATTTTCTAATATAATTACATGAAACTTTCAGATAATAAAGATCAACATCTTAACAACTTTGTGTATAAGTTTTAACAGAAAATAATATATTTTAGCTACTTTTCTAGATAGTTTTTAATAGCGGGTCCCTGCCACCCGGAACGGTATTTGAATATAGCAAATCACGTCACAACTGTTATAATGTGGCAAATACTTTAGGTGCAGGTGCAGAACCTAACACCAGTCATGATATGAGAAATTTCTGATTTTCAATCTGAGTGTCATCTGCCATCATCATCTTCACATATCAAGACCTACTTTTCAACGAATTTTCCACGAATTTGAACACATTTTTCATACCGCTTTACCAATGAATGGAAGACATTTATGAAACCGCCATTGCTTATGTGATACAAATGCTGCTGGAGTGCCACTCTAAACCTCATCCAATGAGCAAAAAACATTTTCTTTCAACCTTTCTTCTTTCAACTTTGAGAAAAGGAGGACAATCACACAGAGCCATAAGACTGTATTGTGCATATGGTAGCTGCTCAAGGTCAATAATAGTGAGAATATATCGTAGTATACTTTGTTCCACTTTGATTTCTTTCATGTTCTCCATTTCAGCAGTCATCTTTGAGCAAAAGTGATACCAGAATGAGGGTTCCTTGACTGATGTCATTTTCTTAGAATTAAACATATACAACCATTGTCATATATGACATGATAATTAAAGCACACTTAATTGATTGCCTGATAACAAAGAAAGTAAACTAACATGGTTTAACATTCAAAATTCAAAGAAAGATAGTGGTCAAGACTTGCGAAACAAGTGAAATGGCGGTAACATTTAAGGCTGAAAGTTGTCATGTGCGAATACCGTTCCGGGTGGCAGGGTCCCTATCTTAAAAACTACCTAGAAAACTATATCAAATAAATAATTTCTCCATGAAATTAACACACAAAGTAGTTAGGTTGTTGGTCTTTATTATTGGAAAGTTTAAAGTAATTTTATCAAAAACCAACAAAATTAGAGCAGGGCGTCCAAGACTTTTGGATCACCCCTCGTATATCTGAAAGGTGAGATTGTCTGCTAAAGCCATACAGAAAAAATATAAGGTAGTTAAAAATCTAAGCAATATCATGTCAAAATCATTATATTATCTTGATACTGGGAACTGGGATATTACTGAAAGATACCTGAGATTTCTCAATTTGAAGCCAACTACTCATTTGTTGTTTGAATGACTCCTCAAGGGATTGTGAACTGACCTTGATGACATCATCAATAGTGTGGTTGGAGCCTCATTCTGAATATAGATCACATGATGTATACATGGTCAATCAAAATAATATTTGAGAAATAAGAACATTGTCCTTCTGTTGAAAAAGAAGTTCAGTGAAAGTCTTACACATTGCAGATTAGTTAAACCAAGTTATATTGCTTGGAGAGTTGATATTTCAGCTAAGAAAGAAACATTTTACATGTTCTATATGACTTTAAAGCTAGGATCCGAGTTGGTTTCAGAGGTTCACTGATTATTTGCTGTAAATGCAAATTGACACTTACACGCCCAACCTTGCTAGAGGTTCCGATGTTAACTGATGATCTCACTTCGGGACTTGACAGTTGTCAGTCAAGACTATAACATGATGTGTTTTTGATTTTTAGAACTATTCCAGAGACTATCAGCTGCGTCACGGAAGCTCTATTTGGCTGTTCAACTTTACAACGGACTACAATAAGAGACACACTAGACAAGGTACTGAAGGCTATGGGTGATAGCTGTCCAAATGATACTGATGTAACCCAACCCCCAACATGTGTGCCTCCTACAACCCTTCCTACAGCTCCTATTGTATCTGACACTCCATCGACTGCAGCTGTTACTACTGCAGCTCAAAGAACTACAATGAAGGAACTAACAACACAAACACATACTACACCTACCACGACATGTACATGTTCGTGTTGTGGCTGCTGTTCACCTGTTGACTGTGGGTCAACAACAGCTCCAACAACTACAGGTCCATCAATAAATGTAACTGATGCTGAATTTACGACAACCGTGCAAGAGACAACTACTACAGAAGCTAAAACTACAGAGGTAGATACCACTACTGTGGGTCCAACAACAATATCTTTAACAACTGAAGCTGAAACAACTGTGGGTCCAACAACAATAGCTTTAACAACTGAAGCTGAAAGAACTGTGAGTCCAACAACAATAGTTTCAACTACTGAAGCTGAAACAACTGTGGGTCCAACAACAATAGCTTCAACTAATGAAACTGAAACAACTGTAGGTCCAACAACAATATCTTCGACTACTGAAGCTGAAACAACAGTAGGTCCAACAACAATAGCTTCAACTACTGAAGCTGACACAACTGCAGGTCCAACAACAATAGCTTCGACTACTGAAGCTGAAACAACAGTAGGTCCAACAACAATAGCTTCAAATACTGAAGCTGAAACAACTGTAGGTCCAACAACAATAGCTTCAACTACTGAAGCTGAAACAACTGCAGGTCCAACAACAATAGCTTCAACTACTGAAGCTGAAACAACAGTAGGTCACACAACAATAGCTTCAACTACTGAAGCTGAAACAACTGCAGCTCCAACGACAATAGCTTCAACTACTGAAGCTGAAACAACTGTAGGTCCAACGACAATAGGTTCAACTACTGAAGCTGAAACAACTGTAGGTCCAACGACAATAGCTTCAACTACTGAAGCTAAAACAACTGTGGGTCCAACAACAATAGCTTCAACTACTGAAGCTGAAACAACTATAGCCCCAACAACAATTGCTTCAACTACTGAAGTTGAAACATCTGTAGGTCCAACAACAATAGCTTCAACTACTGAAGCTGAAACATCTGTAGGTCCAACAACAATAGCTTCAACTACTGAAGCAGAAACAACTGCAGCTCAAACAACAATAGCTTCAACTACTGAATCTGAAACAACTGTGAGTCCAACAACAATAGCTTCAACAACTGAAACTGAAACAACTATGGGTTCAACAACAATAGCTTCAACTACTGAAGCTGAAACAACTGTGGGCCCAACAACAATAGCTTCAACTACTGAAGCAGAAACAACTGCAGCTCAAACAACAATAGCTTCAACTACTGAATCTGAAACAACTGTGAGTCCAACAACAATAGCTTCAACAACTGAAACAGAAACAACTGTGGGTTCAACAACAATAGCTCCAACTACTGAAGCTGAAACAACTGTGGGCCCAACAACAATAGCTTCAACTACTGATGTTGAAACAACTGTAGATCCAACAACAATAGCTTCAACTACTGAATTTGAAACAACTGTAGCTCCAACAACAATAGCTTCAACTACTGCAGCAGAAAGAACAACTGCAGCTCAAACAACAATAGCTTCAACTACTGAAGCAGAAACAACTGCAGCTCCACCTACAATAGCTACGACTACTCAAGCTGAAACAACTGTAGGTTCAACATCAATAGCTTCAACTACTGAAGCTGAAACAACTGTGGGTCCAACAACAATAGCTTCAACTACTGAAGGGGAAACAACTGTGGGTCCAACAACAAAAGCTTCAACTACTGAAGCTGAAACAACTGTGGGTCCAACGACAATAGCTTCAACTACTGAAGCTGACACAACTGTAGCTCTGACAACAATAGGTTCAACTACTGAAGCTGAGACAACTGTGGGTCCAACAACAATAGCTTCAACTACTGAAGCTGAAACAACTGTGGGTCCAACAACAATAGCGTCAACTACTGAAGATGAAACAACTGTTGGTCCAACAACAACAATAGCTTCAACTACTGAAGCTGAAACAACTGTGGGTCCAACAACAACAGCTTCAACTACTGAAGCTGTTACAACCGAAGCTCCAACAACAATAGTTTCAACTACTGAAGCTGAAACAACTGTAGCTCCAACAACAATAAATTCAACTACTGAAGCTGAAACAACTGTAGCTCAAACAACAATAGCTTCAACTACTGAAGCTGAAACAACTGCAGATCAAACAACAATAGCTTCAACTACTGAAGCTGAAACAACTGCAGCTCCAACAACAATTGTTTCAACTACTGAAGCTGAGACAACTGTAGGTCCAACAACAATAACTTCAACTACTGAGGCTCAAACAACTGTAGTTTCAACAACAATAGCTTCAACTACTGAAGCTGAAACAACTGCAGCTCCAACAACAATTGTTTCAACTACTGAAGCTGAGACAACTGTAGGTCCAACAACAATAACTTCAACTACTGAGGCTCAAACAACTGTAGTTTCAACAACAATAGCTTCAACTACTGAAGCTGAAACAACTGCAGCTCCAACAACAATTGTTTCAACTACTGAAGCTGAGACAACTGTAGGTCCAACAACAATAGCTTCAACTACTGAAGCAGAAACAACTGCAGCTCCAACAACAATTGTTTCAACTACTGAAGCTGAGACAACTGTAGGTCCAACAACAATAACTTCAACTACTGAGGCTCAAACAACTGTAGTTTCAACAACAATAGCTTCGACTACTGAAGCTGAAACAACTGTAGGCCGAACAACAATGGCTTCAACTACTGAAGCTGACACAACTGTAGCTCCAACAACAATAGCTTCAACTACTGAAGCAGAAACAACTGTGGGTCAAACAACAATAGCTTCAACTACTGAAGCAGAAACAACTGTAGGTCCAACAACGATAGCTTCAACTACTGAAGCTGAAACAACTGGAGCTCAAACAACAATAGCTTTAACTACTGAGGCTCAAACAACTGTAGCTCCAACAACAATTGTTTCAACTACTGAAGGGGAAACAACTGTAGGTCCAACAACAATAGCTTCAACTACCGAAGGGGAAACAACTGTAGCTCGAACAACAATAGCTTCAACTACTGAAGGGGAAACAACTGTAGGTCCAACAACAATAGCTTCAACTACCGAAGGGGAAACAACTGTAGCTCGAACAACAATAGCTTCAACTACTGAAGCTGAAACAACTGAAGCTCAAACAACAATAGCTTCAACTACTCAAGCAGAAACAACTGCAGCTCCAACAACAATAGCTTCAGCTACTGACACTGAAACAACTGTAGCACCAATAACAATAGCTTTAACTACTGGAGGGGAAACAACTGAAGCTCAAACAACAATAGCTTCAACTACTCAAGCAGAAACAACTGCAGCTCCAACAACAATAGCTTCAACTACTGAAGCTGAAACAACTGTGGGTCCAACAACAATAGCTTCAACTACTCAAGCTGAAACAACTGTAGGTCCAACAACAATAGCTTCAAATACTGGAGGGGAAACAACTGAAGCTCAAACAACAATAGCTTCAACTACTCAAGCAGAAACAACTGCAGCTCCAACAACAATAGCTTCAACTACTGAAGCTGAAACAACTGTGGGTCCAACAACAATAGCTTCAACTACTGAAGCTGAAACAACTGTAGGCCGAACAACAATAGCTTCAACTACTGAAGCTGACACAACTGTAGCTCCAACAACAATAGCTTCAACTACTGAAGCAGAAACAACTGTGGGTCCAACAACAATAGCTTCAACTACTGGAGGGGAAACAACTGAAGCTCAAACAACAATAGCTTCAACTACTCAAGCAGAAACAACTGCAGCTCCAACAACAATAGCTTCAACTACTGAAGCTGAAACAACTGTGGGTCCAACAACAATAGCGTCAACTACTCAAGCTGAAACAACTGTAGGTCCAACAACAATAGCTTCAACTACTGAAGCAGAAACAACTGAAGCTCCAACAACAATAGCTTCAACTACTGAAGCTGAAACAACTGTAGCTCCAACAACAATTGCTTCAACTACAGAAGTTGAAACAACTGTAGCTCCAACAACAACAGCTTCACTAACTGAAGCAGAAACAACTGTAGGCCTTACAACAATAGCCTCAACAACTGAAGCTATAACAACTGTAGCTCCAACAACAATAGCTTCAACTACTGAAGCTATAACAACTGTAGCTCAAACAACAATAGCTTCAACTACTGAAGCTGAAACAACTGTAGCTCCAACAATAGCTTCAACTACTGAAGCTGAAACAACTGTAGGTCAAACAACAATATATTCAACTTCTGAAGGGGAAACAACTGGAGCTCAAACAACAATAGCTTTAACTACTGAGGCTCAAACAACTGTAGCTCCAACAACAATTGTTTCAACTACTGAAGGGGAAACAACTGTAGGTCCAACAACAATAGCTTCAACTACCGAAGGGGAAACAACTGTAGCTCGAACAACAATAGCTTCAACTACTGAAGGGGAAACAACTGTAGGTCCAACAACAATAGCTTCAACTACTGAAGCCGAAACAACTGTGGGTCAAACAACAATAGCTTCAACTACTGAAGCCGAAACAACTGTAGGTCAAACAACAATAGCTTCAACTACTCAAGCTGAAACAACTGTAGGTCCAACAACAATAGCTTCAACTACTCAAGCTGAAACAACTGAAGCTCCAACAACAATAGCTTCAACTACTGAAGCTGAAACAACTGTAGGTCCAACAACAATAGCTTCAACTACTGAAGGGGAAACAACTGTAGGTCCAACAACAATAGCTTCAACTACTCAAGCTGAAACAACTGTAGGTCCAACAACAATAGCTTCAACTACTCAAGCTGAAACAACTGTAGGTCCAACAACAATAGCGTCAACTACTCAAGCTGAAACAACTGTAGGTCCAACAACAATAGCTTCAACTACTCAAGCTGAAACAACTGTAGGTCCAACAACAATAGCTTCAACTACTCAAGCTGAAACAACTGTAGGTCCAACAACAATAGCTTCAACTACTCAAGCTGAAACAACTGTAGGTCCAGCAACAATAGCTTCAACTACTGAAGCTGAAACAACCGAATCTCCAACAACAATAGCTTCAACTACTGAAGCAGAAACAACTGTAGGTCCAACAACAATAGCTTCAACTACTGAAGCAGAAACAACTGTAGGTCCAACAACAATAGCTTCAACTTCTAAAGCAGAAACAACTGTAGGTCCAACAACAATAGCTTCAACTACTGAAGCAGAAACAACTGTAGGTCCAACAACAATAGCTTCAACTACTGAAGCAGAAACAACTGTAGGTCCAACAACAATAGCTTCGACTACTGAAGCTGAAACAACTGTAGGCCGAACAACAATAGCTTCAACTACTGAAGCAGAAACAACTGTAGGTCCAACATCAATAGCTTCAACTACTGAAGCAGAAACAACTGTAGGTCCAACATCAATAGCTTCAACTACTGAAGCAGAAACAACTGTAGGTCCAACAACAATAGCTTCAACTTCTAAAGCAGAAACAACTGTAGGTCCAACAACAATAGCTTCAACTACTGAAGCAGAAACAACTGTAGACCCAACAACAATAGCTTCAACTACTGAAGCAGAAACAACTGTAGGTCCAACAACAATAGCTTCGACTACTGAAGCTGAAACAACTGCAGCTCCAACAACAATTGTTTCAACTACTGAAGCAGAAACAACTGTAGGTCCAACATCAATAGCTTCAACTACTGAAGCTGAAACAACTGCAGCTCCAACAACAATTGTTTCAACTACTGAAGCAGAAACAACTGTAGGTCCAACAACAATAGCTTCAACTACTGAAGCTGAATCAACTGTAGCTTCAACAACTAAATTTCAAACATCTAAGGCTACAATAACCGAGCCTTCAAAAACTACTCCTTTATGTATGTGTCCATGTGTATGTACAGATCCAACAGCTGCACCTTCAACCATTACTACACAACCTTCCACGGCTACAACAGAAATTCCTATTGATACAACCACAGAATGTATATGCACAACGTATGCTGCTCCTGTCATGACTACGGCGAGAACTATACAGTGCAGACAAACTGAAGCAATAGCATGTATAGATGGCCTGAAGGACCTAATCGCGAATGGATCAGACGGAGAAACAGTGTGTCGGTAAGCCAATCATAAGTAGGTTGATAAAGGCCATTTCAAGTAATTGGAGAAGTTAGTACATGGATTGAAAGAAATGTGAAAATGTCATTATATTTGTATTGTTCACTGTTTCTGAACTGTTATGTGTTCCTAATTTCAGTGAAATTGAAGCGACAAGGGAATGCATCTCTAATAAGACATTTTCCTGTGATCAGAATACCATACAAGGAGCATGGGCGTATTTCAACTCCACAGTTTCATTAGAACGTAGACAGCAGTGTTATGTCAAGGTATGGACTACGAAATAGGGAGTTTAAGCTTGCATATAAAATCGAAATGCCATTCTTTACGTATGACCAATCGCCTATACAAATGCACAGCTTAAATATTCTCCGTTCACGTTTAGGTTGTGAAAAACATTTCAAGCTTAAACTCCCTATATATTATATCAAATCTATGAAAAATTGCGAATATATATTCATACAATACTAATCAGTATTCTACCTTTCTCGTTATAGATAAACTGCACAGACTTCATAGAGGTCATAGAAGGAGGTGGCCCTAAATACATGGAATTGGATATTAGGACATCTCCAACACAGATATGTAGAGACAATAATCTAGATGATGACTGTCTTGTCTCTGTTACATTTGACCTGGAGTTGGGAGCTCAACCAGCGTAAGTGAAGTAAAGTTATTAATACTTGTATTTTGTGCAAACAAATTGGATGGAAGTATTTATGGCACGCGATGTAACTGCCCCACCAGATATTTATAAAAACTGTATAATATTTATTTCTGAAGACCTTTTTTGCAAATAAGGAAGTACCTCATTTTGTTAACATTAGTCTCGTTACGTACCATACAAATCATCTCGGTCTACATGTATAATCACTATAATCGGTTTAAGCTTGCAATGTTTATCACAACCTAAACGTGAACGGAAAATATTTAAGCGATGCATTTGTATGGGCGATTGATCATACGTACAGGTTGGCGTTTCGATTTTATATGCTCGCTTAAACTAAAATATGGTTGTACGGATAAAGATGTAATAATTTTGGATCTGACCAAAATTGAAGGTGCCGTAATAAGGATAAAACGAACAAAGAGACCACCATCGTATCCCAAGCGGTGTTTGGTGAGCACACCTATTCAAAGGGAGACTCAACATGCGGCATAAATGTACAAGACTCAACATGGCAACGTCATAACAGAATACCAATATATGCAAAAATAGACAACAGGTACTTAGAAATCTATCTATGATAAAATTCATCAGTCTAAGACAAAATCAAATTTACATGTTAGTAATACAAACCAAACTAGTGTATCACTTTCCAGTAACGGTTACAATTAAAATATTTTAGACGTGATGGCCTGCAGAGACGAAGGCTGACAATTGGTATGACTGTTTCACAAGACACACGCTCGCTAAGAGCGTACGAATACATTGATCTTAAGACGTGCAATGTGAGTACAGAATTGAAATATATAATTAATTGATCTCTTAAAATTGCAATACACCAAAGGTTACTCTCTTGGACAATCAAATTGAATGATATCCCATTATCATTTCTTATATTTCTCCACAATGCACCATTTCACAAAGCAAAGAAAACAAATCTTACAATTCAATGTCTTGACACTAAACCTTTTCATGTACAACGGCCCATATTTCCTAATAGTGTCCCGTTGGACTTCTACATTAATGAATACTGATATTTTAAAGCAATTTTAGAATTTCAACATAAAAATGAGACTCTGCTTGAAGCCAATGTTATCAGCAATCTGGGAGATGGACAGCAGTGGTTTTGTCAGGTCTTTGAATCTCCGGTCAAGATGCACCACGTCAATGTTTAGATAATGGTGGGAAATACATAATACTTATACGAGGGGTGATCAATAAGTAATGGACGCTTTTTTACACGGATGCTTTTTATTGACCAATAACTTCGATTTTCTTACCAGTGATACATCATTCAATTATCTATCAACTCTGAAGATTTGAAAACAAAACATGTAAAATATTTTGATATATCTTTATTTCCGTGAAGGAGGTATAGGTACCCCGGGACCGACATTTACGTCAAACATTCTGAAGTTGTTTTAGCTTGTTTAACATGCAACGCAGTTGAATGCAGGCTGAACAAAACAAACCATTATGGTCATGAATTACCCCATTTTGTGATGCCATAGTTGATTTGGAATATTTTATCATCACTATGTGGTATTCATGCCACATTCATTCTACAGGGCCCTCTACATAGGTTCCATCAAGTGCAACATGTACACAATTTCTCATCCTCTTAACTCAAGATTGTGAGACAAGGCTGAATCCATTCTCTGACATCGTAGCAAGATGCAGTTGCACGGGTTGTTTTATTTCATCAATGTCAATAAACCTGCGTCCCTTCTTTATAGAAATAAGTAGTATAGGAATAAATAAATCACATGTGGGCAGATCTGGACAATATGGTGCATTGGCCAAGGGCTCAATTTTGAGGTCCATGGATTTGTTTTCTGAACATTTTGAGATATGTGGGCAGGTGAATTGTCCATATGGAGTGGGGTGTTTCCTTCTATCACCAACCCCTTCATCCAAAATGCTCCCTCAAATTGACCTCAAACCCGACCATACAACACTCAGACATCACATCACTTACTGTTTTACGTGTAACCAGTCAGCAAAATTTTTCAAACAACACAACACTTGTTGCATAAAAAAATGTTTAAATATAGCTGAAATCTGCCAAACAGGCTAAAAACTGAATATGTGACGTAAATGTCGGTCCCGGGGTACCTGTACCTCCTTCACGGAAAAAAGGATAGATCAACATGTATTATATATTTTGTCTTCAAATTTTCAGAATTGATAGATAATTGAATGATGTATCACTGGTAGGAAATTCAAAGGGATTGGTCCATAAAAAGTATCTGAGTAAAAAAGCGTCCATTACTTATTGATCACCCCTCGTATAACAGTATTTGTCAAATAATTCTTTTGCTGTTGTGGTACATAATTTGATGTATAATGGCATCAGATGATGGATTGCTAAGATGATATGAGCAGGAGAAAAGAATTAAAAACACAATTGTGACGCTGCTCCACATTACCACGACTTCTGTTACCATAACAACCATAAAATTTTCCTTTTGAAACAATTTATCATTCTACAATCGGTAGCAATTTTATCTCACAACAGGTAAATCCATTGAAATTAGAGCATTTGTATCTTTACTTTCCGGACACCCTGTAATGTAACATATTTTTGAAGTTAAGTGAATTTTATTACGAAACGTTCAGAAACAAAAGTTTAATTAACCGAAGATTGTCGGCATTTGTTTTGGTCTCCCAGGAATGCAACGGGATCTTATATCGGAAAGTTTACCCCCTTTATCTACTAGTGTAACGACCATGCAGTCCCGGATGTCGTGTAATTTTTTGTACATACAAACATACATATATACTGTAAGTCTCGGATATTTAATGGACCCTTGGTACAATCAAATAAGTAGCACATCAAGCGGCGGATTTGGTAAGTGGACAGGTGAATATATGGAACGACTCAACATGCAAAACAGTCCAGGGGGTCTTAATTGTGCTCTCCTATCTCCAACATCCCTCTTTAAATGTTTGTACTTTAAATACGAGAGGACATTTATATTATTGTTTTAATTACCTTGCATTGATATCTATGATTGGTCTAGGTTAATATCGGAGACACACCAAACTTAGGAAAGTGTTCATCTGTGAATGACCCTCATCTTTCTACTTTTGATACTTGGTAGGACAGTCGTAAGACTATTTTTCATACAGCTCTATTTCTCTCTGTAACGTGTTCGCATTGTCTCGTTGTGTTTGTTCGCTTGAACCAATTAGTATATCTAGTATATGATGTTTCTCTGTACAATAACGAGAACGTTGGGAATGTTATTTTTGTCTGACTGACATACCTAAACTTTGCTGGCATATACGTGTAAGTCATAGCTTTCGGTGCTTTGAATGTTTCGTCTATATGGTCAGGTGTAAAATTAATCTGTCAATGGACTCTGATAAACGTTGACTTTGAAGAGAAGTGTGCAACTGTTATTGCTTGTTTTAGTATAATCGTAATTGCTTCCTAGGCTAGTTGATTGTAAGATTGTTGTCTGTATAGTCTTTGCCAAAATAGCTGAACATAATAGTAAACAGACAAGGCAGAGATTGCTATTGTAGTATCTATTGATAATTTATAAGATCCTCGCTTTGTGTTGTACCTGACGTATACACGAATTATTGTTTCGGTATATGCATTATTACCTACGAGGCCCGATCTCGTACATGATATTTTTGGGATAGTTAATATGATTTTTTTCAAGTTCCTTATATGGAAATCAAATGAAACTTACAATTCCCATTGTGATATATAATTGTTTGCCATAACTGACCAAATAAGTGACCGCAAAAACACAAGGAGACGGTTGTTGTGATATCGTTCCTTAAACATTGATGCCAAAACTGTGACTCACCTTGGAGGTTTCAAATGTGAGTTTGTTGTCCTTGTTGTAATATCGATGTTTTTTATTACTGTGCTTAGTAATCGTCATTGATATTTTCGTTTTCGGTACTAGGTTTGCAAATGTAAACCAATCTATGTCGGAACAAGCAATTGTCTTTCCGAAGTATATTCACTGGATTATTTTAGGAATTATGAGAATCACTTTGAAGGCCATTTTGTTCTATACAAACACAAGACCCTACCGTTTGAGGTACAGGTGATATATCAACGGTGCTACCAGGTCCATGGTACATGCAATTGTGGGGCAGCTGTTAAAGCTGGAGACTCTGTATTTGTGGTTGATAGGTGAGTAGCCATTGTATTTAGTAATATAGTCCTGCATTGAAAATATGTCTTTGTCGGCTTCAAGATATAATGTAGGTTACTTTGTAATATCGGAATGAAATCAAATTAAATTGTTTTTTAAATCAGATGTGAACGTGATATCAGGGATCAACCCATTTTTGGACGTGAGGAGGAAAGAAGGTACAGCCCACCAATGAAGACATTTGCGTATGTCTGGGATGGTGAATTCACTCCTGGAATTAGGATCCTTAGCAAAAGTGGAGGAAAGAAGTACATTGTTAGTTGTTTGTCTGTCATATGTCATATAATTCCAGAGAAGTGACAGATAGGAATTCCAGATAGAAGTCATCAAATAAAGAAAATGTTTTTTCTAATAGTTTTGAATTGGTAGATTTTCTTGAAGAATTATAAGTAACTGACAATAAAAAGATCGGTCATTTATTGAAACTATCGTTTATTTTATTTAGGTTTACCTGTCAACGGGTACAAAGATCACAATAGAACAGACATACGGTCACTTCATCAATGTTTATGTAACTGGTGGGGCTGGAGACTTTGACAATACAGAGGGTATGTAGCATTAATATTTACTAGTTCATTTCATAAGAGCATATGAAACAAACATAATATGATTGTAACATCATCAAATAATAAAAAATGTATTTACACAACATTGACTTAATGGTTTCGCCATCTGAAAATGCATTCATTTATCCTGACTATCCATTTACATGCAACATAATCAATCATAGTGGGATATGTGTTTCTTTGCTGGCTCACCAATGAATGGCTTTTTAATGAGTGTATCTATAGGTCTGTGTGGAACATTCAATGATAATCCCCAAGATGAGTTGATGATGCGTGACGGAACCATATACAGAGGGCCAGGCAGTGATCGTGGTGGCCAACCAAAGGCCTTCAGTCAAGAATGGAGGTAAACAAGCCATTTTGTTAGTACCTCAGTGTAAATACTCGCATCTGATTGGTCAATTAGCGGTCAACATTTTTGCCTGTACCTCACTTGTGCATCATGGGATATCATATTATTGACCGCGTATGTTACTGTACTACACTTGTGAATTATGGGAAATATGACGTCACAATGTTTACAGAAAAAAACATGGTAGTCCGACATTTTGTACACGTTGATGAAAGTGATATTTTGACTTTTCTACACGACGAGTATAGCAACAATACAAATAGAAACGCAAAATTAACATTAATTTACTAGTGAGTACGCAGTTATGTGCCGAAAACAGAGAGTTTAGCTTCCACTGTCTTCAGATTTTCTTAAAAATTATTGCTGGCGTGGTTCGTAGAAAAGATTGTGAAATGAAGCCATGATTGATGACTGTCGTATATATGAGTATTATTAGTTTCTTCTGACTAACAAAACAATTGTAGACCTCTCCATTCGGTCAACCGTCAAAATCATATACCTCGACTGTAAACCTTGAAACACTGTTGACCTCGACCTTCGGTCTCTGTCAACAGTAGCTTCTCGGTTTACAGTCTCGGTATACAATTTTGCCGGTTGACCTCTGGAGAGGTCAACAATTGTATACTGTTACTTCATGATAACACCAACAGGAAACAATTTCCGCTCCACTCCACACTACAAATGAAGTGTAATACTGATAATGAATACCAGATTGCTTATTAGAACTATTCTGTCAACCCTTTGTTTCAGAGTACCTGAATCCGAGAGAATATTTGGAGGTGTGTCCAAGACAGGCTGGCGTCCACCAATGGTGTGTGAGTGCCATGAACAGGAGGATAACAACCCATGTGGATATGACTACATCACGGAGCATTGCGACCAGATAGAGGAAGGTAGCATAAATGCACAAGAGTACATTTGAGACATTTTTGGAACATTATCTAACCCACTATTCTCTAGCTAATCAGAAACTATTATCACATCATCAAACAAATATATTAGCTGCAACACTATTTGACATTTCATTCATACTCAAAGGGGGAAACTCTGGCTGGTTTCGATTCCTGTTCCTTAACCATTTTGCCTCAACTGGGATCTGATTTGAAATGTGCGAATTCCTAACTTATCTCAATCCATATTAATTTATGCAACTTGAGCAAAGATAGGCTTGTGTAAATCAGTTGAAAGATATAACATAAGTAAATAATAATTATCAATGTTTTGGACTTACCAGGTACAAAAGACATCACTGACAGATTACCAATAGTGAACATGGAAAGTTTCCAAGGTGATGTTCCGATGCAGGTGCCTATGATGATGAGAATGCGGGTACGGAGACAAGCAGTAGATTATAACTCAACGGACTGGGAGGGACCAATCAAAATTGATGAGACATATGATCCGGAGGTTAGTATAGATTTCGTTCTTATATCAAAGTCATTATTTCACAAGAAATATTTCAACCCCATTGTCAAAATGAGAATAACAATAACATTTATGGAGAGTTAAACTGCAAATGTATTACTTGCGACAACTTCCAGGAAAGTACATGGGGCCCAAGCTGGAATGAGCAGAGAGCTCGTCAGTTCTGTGAGAAGTACCTTACAGAAGATTCCATTTCTGGCAAGAAATGTCATGAATATGTAAACAATCTGTTTCTGGCTAATGACCTTGCAGGGTGTATGGAGGACATTAAGGTAGAACTTATTACCTAGACCGTTTGGAGCTTTCAAGATTATTTGAGTTTATTAAAACAATTAATTTTGTTTTTGAATTATGGTAGAATAAATATACAATTATATTGTTTATGGTCAGATCCAAGACTACTACAAGACTACTACTACTACTACTAGAAGCTCATGATCAAAATAATCTATTCAAATCATCTAGTGTATAGCTCATCTTTCCAGATTACAGACAACACTACATGGGCAGGATCTGCTTTAGGGGCTCTGAAAGATCAATGTAGAGAGGAATTGAACCAAAATATGACCTACGCCAATGGAACTGGTGCAGAAACCAAGGATGACATATTTGACACAATGTGCATTAACGAGTGTAGCAATAACGGGAACTGTTCAAATGGTAATAGGGAATTTGAAATACATAGCGGTCACATTTCAATCTACTGATGTTGGTCGGTTGGCACACATATCCCGCTTCCATCGTTTTTCTGCATTCATCTGATGTAAACATGTTTTTGTATCATAAAGGTACTTGTGCATGTAATGCACCATGGGTTGGAGAGGATTGTTCCATTGACACCAGAATGCCTCCGGGTCTACAGTACCTCCACTACTATGGACTATGTGACCTCAGATCCATCAGGAATCAAAACTGTATCGCTACCATGGTGTATGGAGACAACTTCCTGGAGGATGAGAGGCTCACTTGTCACATGGAGAAAGTCGAGGTATGAGACATTTATCCATTATATTCTACATGTTATTATATTGTGAATTACCGCTCCCAGTATTGCACTTGTCCTCATTGAAATAAATCCATAGCATCTCAAACGATGATCCAAGGTAGCCTACGGGGAAACCCCAAACACCCCCCCATTTGTTACAGGTTGATGACACAGGGATGCACAGTACAGGTGACACATACACCATACCTGCAGGGTTCGTGTCTCAGACCCAAGTAGAATGTTACGCCAGAGAAAACAACACCAAGTACCTGATCGGTGTTTCTAACGATGGTGAACGTTATGACGGGAGATTGTTGTTTAATGTTCATGACTCTCTCTGCCACGAATGCAATACATTTGAGCAGAACCCAACCTGTAATAGAAAAGTAAGTATTTTCAGCAAATGCCCTTTAAATATATCTCTGATACAGTTGAAGCACAGACACTTTGTTCTCCAATGAAAATTAGGATTTTAATTTATTGTAATTCAATAAACAACCAAGGTAAGGAAAACTCAGACGGTGTAAACCGACGATATACAAATTGATTCCAGCCTGACACCTGTATTATCAATGGCTTGTGCTATGCAAGCCAGGAGAATCACCCTGGAGATAACTGCCTCTATTGTAACCCTGGCAACAGTTCAGATGACTGGAGTCATAAAGGTAAGAGACAACAATATCGTTGATCCAATGGATATATTATCTTTCAATCATCTTCTAAACCTTATACTATTTCAAAATGTAACAATCTTATAATCAATATTGCAGGTATTGATGGTTGTGTGTCTCCAATAAAAGAACGACCACCTACGAGTGGACCTTCCCTGGCAGTCATCATTATCATCATAGTAGCTTCGGTCATCACTGTACTCATCATCATTGTGTCGCTGGTCTACACATACTGTTTTAAAAGGTAAGTGATTTGTGTTTGGCTTACAGCCGAGAACCAAAATATGCTTATGCAAGATATTTCTTTGTTTCAATTTTAATAATGTCAATACTTTTGACAACATTTAGGAAGACCAAACATTGGGAAATCGGTTTAAACACGAGCGATAGTGAGACTCAGACAACTCAGGGAGCCAAGCCTAACAATGAGGTATTTGGTATGGCATTATACCAGAACAAAAACAACTTCATCACATTTGAAGGAGAACAACTGGGCACAGGAGGAAACTACCATAGTTCATCAAACAATGACACCATCGATGGCTATGAAAGACATGCACCCCCTTCCTTTCCCACCCAGTCGATGAACACAGATTTGTAGAGTCGTATGCCCCTGGGCGTACAAAGCAGAATAGAAACAAATGTATATATATCGTATTCCCTCCCTGGCCCTGATACACTAAGACATTGAATAGTTATCAATTAACTAATGTTAGATTTTCATTATACCTGAGATCACAAAGGATAATAGACAGAGAAAACAATCATGTGACGATCATAGTGTAGGTCGCGGATGGACTGTAACCGTATTGAAACAGGGTTTAGGTTTTCTCATACATTAAATGTTGGTACAAACTTCATTTTTATATTGCATTGGTTTTTAGGTTTCAATATATATTTTATTGTCCTCTTTAGTTCATTTGCACTCAATATGTGATATCATTCATGAATAACATTAAAATCTTGGCTCTTTTCATATTGTTATGTCTTTTCTATCAGGAAAGTTCCAATTCCCATAAAGGAGGATCTTAACTTCAAGAAATTCTAGTTTATTACATAATCTACTTGACTTTCTATTGGTTCAAATGTTGGTTCCTTATTGGAACCAACATTTGCCTCCATTTAGAGGAGGTTTAGGAAGTCCAGTAGATTTAATTTGATATTATCTTTAATTTGTTCATTATTGGTTCATTTATTTGGTAATTATGGGAAATTAGTATTCGCCTCCTTTTTGGAACCCTCCCTGTGGAACTTTCCATACTTTCGGACTATTCTTGATTATCATCTCAGGATATCATCATCAGAACAGTTTTTATCTACGATCACAACACAACGTAGGGAAATATGTAAAATATTGTACTTGGATTGAATTTTAAGTTGGAGTATCGTAAATAAACTTTTAGGCCATTTACTTACTTTTCATGTTACTTTATTAGAACCTGGAATAAACTGTTTCAGCATTGTCTTGTGTGGTATAGTTTTTCATTTTAGAGATCTCATTGTTGTTGTTATATATTTTTAATTAATTGTTCGCTTTATTGGACGTCATGTTGCTGTTGAAGAGACCAATAAACTAAACTAATATATATTATTTATTTTTCATCTGTCATGAAAAATACAAATGCAATATTGATTGTCGTATGTCTAAAACGACAAGATTCCATTTCGTTTAAAGCAAACTATTAGATATAGAATAGAATGTTTTAATCAACATTATATATTAGATATATTTTTATAAATTTTAATAGGGTAAAAACATTATTAAATTACTATGCAGATACACTGAAGCTAGTTGTTTCACCATTATTCATATTACTAGAATAGTATATTAACTAAATATGTGGATATTGATCATTTTACAGGAATAATATTTTCTTTATTAACTTGGGGCATGAAGGGACTCGAACTCTACATGTACGTCTATACATAACACCTAAGCCATCCCACATTCAGACTGTATTACATGTATGTAGTCGACTATGTACCTTTAATGTCCTAGCAAAGTACATCTCCATTATTACCATAATATTGAAAATCATGGGAAATCATAGTATGGTCCTGAATATATGTTGATTTTAAAAGTTAAGTGAATTGAGTAAACCATTACTGTAGTATCTTGCCGTCGTATTGTGAGATAAGAAAATACTTAAAACATATTTCAAAATATTATCTTTTTAATCTTCCTGTTTTGTCTTGTAATAAGTATATTATTATTAAAACGCTGTTTAGATAATTATGAAACGGTGGCGAAATTTCACTTGGTTCCTTACAGGGCGACCATAGATAAATGGGAAGGCGATGTCAATTATGGCGGACGGAAGAACTTATTTAATTCGGATAGTAACATTTATATTATTTGCAGGACAATATTATGGCGTTAATGGTAAGCAAAGTTTAATGATTTGTTTTAAAATGATACAAGATATCCACTATTTTGTTGATCTGACGTACAGTATTATTAAATGTCCATTAAGAGAAACAGCGAAGGTTTATCAGCAAAAGCTTCTTAATATGCAAAGATACATAGACGCGGCATCTTAAATTCAAGCGAAATTGTGCTGAATAGCGATTTGGAGATCATGTTGTTAAATTCCAACCATAAATGCTATTTTACAGGTGGTTGTGCTACGGGAATCGACGGGAGTAGTCCTATAATACCATGCGAGTCTACAGTAGAAGAGAACTGCTGCGGGTGTCCCTTTAAGTTTTACGATCCTGTCGATTCAGTGAGGAAGTTTAATAAAGTTGACTTCATGTTACATTACTAACACAGGCTGGTATCGAAAGATTTGTCCGCTGTGACGGAGCATGCTATTTTTCATAAAAACACTAAGAATGCTTCACGATTTATTTTTTAACTCATACGTTTCGTTATATCAAAGATAATTACTTACTCCATGCAATGGATATATCATTTGCGTGTAACCTTCACTTCTGTTTGAAGTCCAATAACGCTAGGAGTAAAATCTATTGAAAACGGCGCCAAAGTATCAAACTCTAAAATGTAACATTTCTTTTTTAACTTTTTAATGGCATGATATAGTGACACGATAATATTAACATATGTTTTCAGCATAACTCTGAATGTATTAATGATATATTAATGCATTGGGTCTTTTTAATTCTTTTATAAAAAATAATATTAATATTTTTTGTCCGCTGTGACGGAGTATTTTCACAGTTCACATTTGCAACTGCTCCGTCACAGCGGACAAAAAAATTAAACATTATTTTTTATAAAATAATTAAAAAGACCAAATACATCAACATCTCATTTATACCTTCATAGTTATGCTGAAACCATGTGTAAATATTATCGTGTCACTATATAGTGCCATTAGAAAGTTAAACAAGAAATGGTACATTTTGAAGTATGATACTCCGGCGCCATTTTCAATAGCTTTTCTTCCCAGCGTAATTGGACTTCAAACAGAAGTGAAAGTTACCCGCAAATGATATATCCATTGCATGGAGTAAGTAATTTTGTATGGTATAACGAAAGATATGAGTTAAAAAATAAATCGTGAAGTATTCTTAGTGTTTTTATGAAAAATAGCATGCTCCGTCACAGCGGACAAATATTTCGATACCAGCCTGTGACTTAGATTTATTTTCCTTGTGCCACTATGGCCTATGATGTGAATGTAAGAATGTGATCAAGTATTAGGAATTAAATTATTTTCTGGGAAAGGGTGAGGGTTAAGTTGTTAGAACGTTTGATTAATGTTAGCATGCTGGGGTTTGCTTTTTTGGTTATGCTTTTTTGATACACATTTTCTTTCTTAAAATGTGTTTTTCGCTTTCGCTTTGGCTGTCTTCAACAGCTGAATGAATCTAACTGCAGTTAGTATCATTCAAGATGGTGGCCAAAATTCATTCGTTTTCGATAAAACTCCAATTCAGCTATACTAAGTCTGGATTCCAAATATTTCGCCATGCAAACTAATAAAGTTTGGTTTGTAAACAGAAACAAGAAAATGTTCAAACAACCGCAATATTGGAGAAAAAAGAAATCGGCCTCACTAAAATGACCCTAACTGAACCTGATGATGATGTTGTACTATATTTCTAGCTATAGCGTCGCAGGACAACAATAGGAAGTTAAAGCTTGCATCGAAACGCCAACTTACACGTATGACCAATCACTCACACAAATGCATCGCTTAAATATTTTCCGTTCACGTTTAGAATCCCTATCATCATGTTACAAGACGGTGCTATTGTGCTTACAGATTTGCATGTGATGAAATGTTGCATTGTTTTTCTAGCGTCCCAAGACACCAATATCTGTGATAAGATGGGGCAAGTGCACAGATGAAGAGTGTATTGTTCCTTTGGAAACAGACGTATGTTCAAAGACGTTACAAGGTTAGAACTACAATTTTTGCTTGCTTTTCATTTCATGTTTTTCAAAAATATGTGAATAGTCCATTTTAATGACTGTTGTGTATAAATACCATAAGTTTGCCTCACTTTGTCTTTTAGAACTCAACAAGGTAGCGGAGCTTCCGATACGTAAATATATCTACATTTTCCTACCTAATAATGAAAATGTTAGGACTGATCTTGATGAATATAAAATGCACGGATAATTGTAGCTTACATAAAGTCCCTTTATTAGTTGGAATTACACCTACGATGTAAAAGCGCTTTTTAAAATCCTATCGGGTTTCCACCCGCCTTTAGAGTCAGGTGTAATCACGATCGCGGATTTAGAAAAGCGCTTTTGTAATCCTCCCAGACCCCTAGTCATTAAAAACCGCTTTCACACCCAAAGGCGGTTTAACGTGTAGGTGTAATACCGATTGGTTTTCAAGGCGCTTTAACTCGATTTTACACTGAACGAAAACTATATTTGCGCATGAGCACCAAGCATGTTATTGATTTCCGGTGTGGAGGAAACTTCAAAAAACAAAATTCAAATATTGTGCAAAGCTCAATCAAATCACCAAAATGTCGAAACAAAGTAGAATTTATTGGGACCACGTCAATACTGAGCGTATGCTTTTGATTTGGGCTGACAAAAAGATCCAGGCCATGATGAACGGCACGTTAAAAAATGCGATTGCGTATGACCTGATCTCGCACCCTGACTCACACCCATCATGTGCCCTACTGTGCGTTGCAAATCACCTGCTGCAAGCAGCCACAGTCCAATTGCAACTTGTAGTCTTACCGGTACGGCATTCCTGAAACGCGTATCCTGTCGACGAATATGAGGTTTCAGCAAGTTCACTACATTGCCAAATGTCTCTCACCCATCCGAAAGTTCCTTCGGAAATCATCATTATTCCACGTTCTACAAAGAACAACGCAATTTGTAAATAGAATGACCGTAAATTAAATAAATAATATAATACTATTGACGACGGATATTGATGATTCAGCATCCCGAAAGTAGCTAATATTTTTAGCACCATAGTATTATGATAATAGCTCTTCTCGATCACTTTGACGCTCACTGGGCCAAAAATCTAAAGTCTTATATTTATACGCCCATGATAAAATAACGGACGAAATTACCCCTTCTTTCAGTTATACGCCCAGGGCTTATATACGAGAAATTCCGGTACTATTGTAGATTGGGGAAGGCGAGGGGAGGGGATGATTTAATAGTTGAAATTACCTCTCTACAATGAAGTCAAAAAAATGACGAGATCTTTGTCTTGTCCACATCGTTCGTTCCTGTCCCATAGTACCAAGGATGCCAAACAGCCCCAGCAAAAGTACCATCTTCATTTTACTGGATCTCTCTTGGATCTCTCCTAACGACCGAGCTCCTCTCTTTGCGCGCTTGTGCATTGTTTTCCATGCTTTCTTTAGCACATATTTGTTAACGCCAGAGGTAGATTGAATACGATTTAAGAAAAAAAGGAACATACAGTATCGGATCATTTTGAATCTCCAGAGATGGCGCTACGGTTGAAAGTGTATATCTAAATAGCAGATTTTGATGCAAATGCGATGGTTGATGGCAAATTTTTGTCTTAAATCAGTCTAAAAGCGCTTTAGAAAAATCAAGTGTAATCACGAAAAGTTGTCTTCAAGGCGCTTTTAAAATTCTGGTGTAATCAGGATTGCGGTTTTCTAGCCTACGTTACCCAAAACGCCTTGAAAACGCCTTTAGCCATGAAATAGGTGTAATTCCACTAATTATTAACTTACAAATCGGTTTAGTTAAACGTAATCTTCATTATATTCTCATTATGTTTTTATTGCTCATGAGCCGTCAAACATCTGTGCATTCTTGCCCTGAGTAAACTCACAAAGTGCGAAGATTCTGTCTCGTCATTGTGCTCCATATGCATAGATCTTAGATTTAACAGTTGGAGATGATTTATCGTTATTTTATTGTTCATATTGTTTTTTTCAGCTGAGCGAGAGAATAAAAAACGTGAGTTGAATTGAATTTCTTTGCAACTCGCAATACGTTTTCTTGTTTCATATCCACTGGTCTATAAATGCACAATCACGAGCTGAGATAACTAAAGAATGACATTTTGTTTTACAACTGTTCTAAGATGTTATAAACATAAATGCTGGATAGGACTGCATCCTGCACTGTTTCAAAATACTAAGACAATTCTCTGAGAAACCAGCGATCTATTACTAGACGAAAATTTTGTCTCTTTTTAGTAAGAGTTCAGATTTTAGATTCACACACACGTTCATTATTAGTAGGTGGATAGAGGTTAAGCTACACGTTCTTAAGTATACCCCCTCGTGGATCACTGCCCCTTCCAGAGACTAAATTACAAGTATTTTCCTTAGACCTTTATACTCAAGTAAATACTATGAAGGTGAGAACGAATCCCTCCAAGTTTAGGTACAAGTTTTCATGTTTCGTGTAGTTTAACCTCCCTAACATAAAGACTATAATTTTAAGTATATTACTTGTAGTAAAGGTTAAAACATTCTCGTGTATTTTAGTGTTGTTAATCTGTTCAGAGAGGTAGCAAATTAAAGCTGCCCGACCTCATTTGTTTCAATACCTTTTACAGTTTGTGGTTTGGACATAATAGTGACAGTGAATGTCAGATCGGGCGTAACAAAGGGAGTTGATTCTAATCTAGTCTACGAGAAGATACGTCAGTTTCTGGTGAGATTTGTAGAGGAATCACGTATAGGCCCAGATAAAAGTGGGACACAAATTGGTCTTATTTCTTACTACAAATTCCTAAGAACCCATTTTAGTATGGACGCCTCTCTAGATGCATCGACTCTGCTAGGTCAGATCAAAAGTGTCGACTTTAATACTGCTTTTGGTAAAAAGGCCCATCCTCACAAATCATTTACTGAAATAAGAACCGGAGTGAATAACTTCAACAACAGCATTCTTGGGCATCGACCGAAAAATCAAAATGTGGTCATTGGTAAATTTATATTTTTTATTGCAAATATAGTTAAATATCTCACTATGTAGTTTAATTACTGACTCGAGATAATATCTCAGACACGTTTGCTATGTGGCTGTCATATGCGCTCTAAAAAGTAACGTTTCGGCCGCGACTCCATCAGCGCTTTTAGGGTAATTTGCGTCTCGCCTAGTTTTTTGCCAGGTTCGGAAAATTGAATGTCGGAAATATCATCTTCATAATGTTATTCAATGGGAAGGTCTTGTCATTAGGAAAATGATTGGATTTGACCATTTGGCAAATTAACCACTTGGATTAAATGTCACAATATGCAAGGGGGTACGGGGGGGGGGGGGGGGTACGGGGTATTTTATGGAAACAGAAAATCAGCAACCACAGATTTTCTGCGGTCGCCGCATGTATTTCTCGATTTCGGGGAACTATGGCCGCCGTATCTTAGCCATGGAGTAAATGTGACTGAGGCATTTTTTATAAATAAATATTTAATCACTATGTATGATGATAAGACTATATACATCTCAATGAAGAAAAAATGTTATACAAAAATTTCTTCGTTTTGATATTCTTATGTTTTTTTTTCAGTTTTCGATGATGGTAAACCAACACATCGCACGTACAATAAAATGTTGCAGGCTGCGAACAACTTGAAAAAGATTGCACAGGTTTTTGTGATTGGAATTGGGGTTCAAGGTAAAGACAAACAAAAATCAAAAGGTAGGTACATGAGGAAACTGAAAATATATATAAACTAAAAACACACAGTCCATTAACCCTTTAAGTGAGATATACGATGATTCTGTTTCTGTATTAAACACTATAGCTTTATTTATAGTTTATAATAATTTCTAAGGGTTGTTATTAAAGGTTGCACATCCGCACATGAACCTTCTCATGAATAAAGATAACAATATGTCACCACTTGCGGTTTGCGGTGGTGACAAAATAGTACAGCTTTATTTGAAATGGAGAAATATTCCAAATTGTGAGCAATATATATCAGTCAAGCTCATTTATGAGAGTGTGATGGACATGAAATAGTGATCAAGACATGCCCTATAGAAAGAAAATGTGGTTATTAATGTTTTCTGAAACGAAATTTTGATTATCCATGAATATGTCTTATTGAAATGATAACAGTAAAAGGTTGGTTCTGATTTTTAAAGAAAGCAGTCATAGATTGCCGAAAATCTAATTATTTATTTGTTTAACAGTTTAATTCGCCTCTCATGATAATGGCATACAGTTCTGAATTTTCAGACATTCCTTCTACATTGGATACACAATGTCGTTCAGACATTCCTTCCATTGGAAACACAATAGGTTTTAGATATTCCATAAACACATTGGATATACAACATCTTTAAGTATTCCTTATACATTAGGTCTTTTAGACAGTCCTTATTACCTTTGACAAAAATGTATTTAGACATTCCTCACACATTGGATACACAACGTTTCCTTACATTTGATACGCCTTTCAGACGTTCATCACATTGGATACATAGTTAGGTTTAGATAATCCTTATACATTGAATACACAACATATTTTAGACATTCCTTATACAGTGGATACACAATGTCTTTCGGACATCCCTTGTAGAGTGGATACACAATGTTTTTCGGACATTCTTTAATGTCTTTCAGACATTCCTTATACATTTGATACAGAATGTCTTTCAAACATTCCTTGTGTCGAATACACATTTGTATTTTAGACATATGATAATCATTGGATACGATCAGACATTTCTTACATTGAACACGCATGTCTTTATATTTCAGAGCTTCGTATTTTGAAAGAAATGGCATCTGTGGAAGATCAGGTCGTAACGACGTCAATGTGGGATTATAGGAACAACATAGACGATCTGGTGTTCAAAACCATTGATAAGCTGCCAAGATATTGTGAAATAGTGTTGCATGGAGGATCATCTTAATAAATTGGTCGTTTAAAAGTTAGCAACAGTTCATGTTTTCCATAATAAAATACTGTGTGAAAATGTCGCGTATGCCCGTGGCAATGTTAATAAAAGTACGAGGGTGCTATGGGTGCTGTCCCCTATACAATCTTTGATTGTGCTTTGAGACAGTTTTGTACTTTCAGAATAAATATTGACAAAATTTGGGAAATATTGTGTTAATTTCCCTACATAGGCTATGGCGGATCCGCATGGGGCCCGCCCCCCCCCCCTAAGGTTGGCCCAGAAAAAAAAGGTTGGGCCCAAAAAAGTTTTAGGCCAAAAAGGCCTTAAAGCCCCAAAAAGTAGGCCTTTGGTCATTATTGGGCCTTATAAGGCCCCCTCCCTGTTGGTTCCTGGATCCGCCACTGATAGGGATCGTGGTTTATCTTTCTATTCTGAAAATGTGTAAACATCCAAAGAAAAAAGTCTTACAGTATTGATGACTTAAGAACGTATTTACTATCGATAAGAATCAGGAACATATGATAAAAATTCTAATCATGCATAAGTACCTTAACTATACATGTCCCTATACAATACGCGCAGGCCTCCTTAAGAAAAGAGATACTAGTATATAACATTGCAACCGCTGAGATTCGTCTTCGTTTATAACCAGACTCTGCGCGCAGGGTACGCAACCACCACAACAAAATATCCTTACAGATTAATGTAACTGTATGGATATACTTTAATAATAAATTAATTCCATATAACCTACTGTACATATACTACGTTTACTCCAGAAAGGCTGACTAACACAGTTTGCGTAGTAAATATATATATTTTTTATTTTTATATTTTTAATATTGCCACATTAACTTTATAATTATCATGTACTCATCTGCATAGGTGGAAATAAAGATACATAAACATAAACATAAACATAAACAGGGCTTTTAGCAGGTAAAGGTTACGAGGCAGATAAGGTGTTTGTGCCATAAACATAAAACAAAACATTTCTAAACCTACAGGGTGATCCAGAAGTAACGTCAAAGACATTGTAATTTCAAAAGTATTCATCAGATCTTCATGAAATTTGGTATACATGTACCCACAACATTTCTGAGTTACCATCTCAAAGATTGGAATTCAATCATTTCATTGGTTGAAATTATGGTTGCTATAGTAACCCGATATCGCGTAACCCGGGGCAAATTGAAGAGAAACCATAACGTTTTTGTGAATTTCTCTAATTTAAAAAGTCAGTAACATTTGAAAATGTTCATTGTTTGTTTTCTATGATTTTTATATTTGTTGCCATGGTAACAAATATGTAATAGTTGTGATGTCACAATAGGCATTCATAAAAAGTTTTCAATTTCTTTGAATTGCTTCCATCATCCATGACAAATACTAACATGACCAAGGACACTAACCCACCCAATTCAAGATGGCGCCAAGTCAGAGTAAAATAGAGCAAAGAACAAACATTAAGTTCTGTGTAAAGTTGGGGAAAGGTGTAAAAGAGACTATAAGACAGATAAAGAAGGCATATGGTAAAGCTGCCATTGCTGAGAGAAACATTTACAGGTGGTTTAACAAGTATTCCAGTGGATATGATGAAGTGGTAGACAAGCAGCGAGGAGGCAGGCCAGTGTCGTCATTCGATGATCAAACCATCAAAGCAATTGAAGCTGATGTTATGGACAATAGGCAAATTTCTATCAGAGAATTGGCTGAAAAACACGATCTGAGCTATGGGACTGTGCAACGGATACTGACAAAGAACTGTCTGTTAAAGAAGGTGTCTGCTAAATGGGTGCCGCATGACTTGACACAGGAGCAGAAAGACCGGCGTGTTAAGGCTTCAAGGGACTTTCTTGCAAAATATCGGAGAGATGGAGATGACTTTCTTAACAAGATCATTACGAGTGACGAATCATTGCTATCATTCTACATCCCAGAGACCACGCAACAAAGTTCATCGTGGAAACATGACAACTCCCCAACACCAACCAAGCCAAAAATAGTACCAGGAATTCCACAAAAGAAACAAATGGTTGTGACATTCTTTGACATTAGAGGAATGGTGTTAACCCATTTTGTTCCCATTGGCCAGAGAATTAATGCCGTTTACATTGCAAAGGTAAGATATCATTTGTTCTAATAATACATCATACTGTGAATTTTATTTTTAAATTAAAGTATTTAAATGTTGTTCACTGTCAATATAATTATAACTCCATGGCCATGATTCAAATCCAAATCCAATCAATGAAACAACTGGTTTAACAACCATTAAACATTTGTTTTTCAGGTTCTGAAGCGTGATCTTCAACGTTCCCTGAGGATAAAGCGTCCCGGACATCTGCAGCAGTTTATCTTGCATTGGGACAATGCCCCTACGCACACTGCAATCCTGACCAGCAACACAGTCCAAACACTTGGATTTCAACAACTTGAACATGCCCTTTATTCACCTGATCTTGCCCCCAGTGACTTTTATTTGTATGGGGAACTAAAAAGAAACCTTAGTGGAAATAATTTTCAATCCTGTGAGGAATTGAAAAATGCCGTAGTACTAGCCCTACAAGGAATGAGTTCTAATGGATTTAATTCTGTGTTCAAGGAATGGGTATCCAGACATGAGAAATGTGTTGCAAATGGTGGCAATTATGTAGAATGAACTATTATTAGTAACTGTGCAATAGTATGATTTATATTGTTGTGAAATAAAATGTTGAGGATATAACAATTTCAGATCTTGTTGATATTTTGAGATTACGCATTACACGTTAAGTAATTTGCCCCGGGTTACGCGATATCGGGTTACTATAGCAACCATAATTTCAACCAATGAAATGATTGAATTCCAATCTTTGAGATGGTAACTCAGAAATGTTGTGGGTACATGTATACCAAATTTCATGAAGATCTGATGAATACTTTTGAAATTACAACATCTTTGACGTTACTTCTGGATCACCCTGTAGATAACTACTCTACTGCGGAATACACAGATTCGTGTATAGAGTGACTGTTATTAAGCCTATATATTAGTATTCAACAAGTTCCCGATCGTGACTATGTCTATTCTGCACACCGAAGAAGACTACGCAAGGTGTTTCAATCCTGTTGAGTATGTGGAAGAATGGAACAATATACAATATATGTTATATCCCGATTTTCTTCACGAACTATTCTCCAGTGGTAAGATTTTATATGTATGTATCTCAATTATACAAATCTTGCTGGCAACAGGGAAAGGGAAAATGGCATTGCAAAACAATGCAGGAGAAAACAATGCACGCCATGTATCTGTGTAAATGGAAGTAAGTACAGGTATGATTCCAACACATATCATACAGAGCTACACTAGAGTGGGTGTTTCTAGATAGTGAAATTGAAATCAATTTGAAATTCATATTTTCAAGTTGGCAGTTGAGAAAAAACTTTAAATAGTATCATGTTGAATTGGTACATGCAAGTGCTAGGTCAGAATGTCAAAGGGTCAAACCTTGCAAAACCCTTGCAAAAAGGTTTCTGGTTAGATTTCAATATTTTTTTGAGATACCTACTGTACAAAATCAAAAATATGCGTTGTACGAGGGGTGATCAATAAGTAATGGACGCTTTTTTACACAGATGTTTTTTATAGACCAATCACTTCGATTTTCTTACCAGTGATACATCATTCAATTTTCTATCAACTCTGAAGATCTGAAAATAAAACATGCAATATATTTTGATATATCTTTATTTCCGTGAAGGATGTGTAGGTACCCCGGGACCGACATTACGTCAAACATTCTGAAGCTATTTTAGCTTTTTTATTATGCAATGCAGTTGAATGCAGGCTGAACAAAACAAACCATTATGGTCATGAATTACCCCATTTTGTTATGCGATTGTTTATTTTGAATATTTTATCATCACTATGTGGTATTCATGTCACATTCATTCCAAAGGGCCCTCTACACAGGTTCCATCGAGTGCTACATGTACACAATTCCACATCCTCTTAAACTCATGATTGTGAGACAAGGCTGAATCTATTCTCTGACATGGTAGCAAGATGCAGTTGCACAGGTTGTTTTATTTCACCAATGTCAATAAACCTGCGTCCTTTCTCACTATATATATAGAAATAAGTAGTATAGAAATAAATAAGTCACCTGTGGGCTGATCTGGACAATATGGTGCATTGGCCAAGGGCTCAATTTTGAGCTCCATGGATATTGTTTTCTGAACATTTTGAGATCTGTGAGCAGGTGCATTGTCCATATAGAGTAGGGTGTTCCCTTGTCTCACCACCCCTTCCACAATGCTTTCTCAAATTGACCTGCAAACCCCAAGGAGGATTGGCTCCCAGAATCGAAGTCGATATTTTCCAACAATGAAAACGCCGAGATGTCGTTATTTTCTGAAATTATAACCGATTATAAATTCAAAATAAACAGTTCAAAAGATTCGAACCAATATCTCAATCATTTCCTGTGAGTTTTGGAATTTTTCGTCAGGAAATAAGACCAAAATTTACGATTCAAATGTTGAAGTGAACAAAATGGCGGCTGTTGGAATTCAAATTTTGTAGCACGACATGCCCATATATGGAACAGAATATCGATGTTGCACTCTGGGAGCCAATCCTCCTTGTGCAAACCCCTTCCATACAACACTCTGACATCACAATGCTTTCTGTTTATGTGTTACCAGTCAGCAAAATATTTCAAACAACACAACACTTGTTGGTGTATATAAAAAGTTCAAATCTAACTGAAATTTGCTAAAATGGCTAAAAACTGAATATGTGACGTAAATGTCGGTCCCGGGGTACCTGTACCTCCTTCACGGAAATAAGGATATATCGACGTATATTATATATTTTGTCTTCATATCTTCAGAATCGATAGATAATTGAATGACGTATCACTGGTAGGAAAATCAAAGGGATTGGTCTCTAAAAAGTATCTGTGTAAAAAAGCGTCCATTACTTATTGATCACCCCTCGTATTAATATGTCAGTAATTTACCTCTATTTGTAATAAGAGAGTTGCTGAATAATGCTGCATAAATAGGTGTTACTACTTATAGGCGTAACGGGGGGGGGGGTGCGTTGGGTGTGATCGCATCCCCCTATGACAAATAAAAATAAAACCAGAAGAAAAGAGCTTTGAAATGCTTTTTATTTGAAGCTTCTAGATGAATTTTGAAGGAAGTTGCATCAATTTTTGTAAAATTCAAAACAAATCTTAAAAAATTGTTTTGACTTGCTTACCCCCCTATCACACCAAACTAGTTCTTACCCGTTCTTGCCAGTCCTACGAAAACGTCGTAAAACGGGCTCAATCTGGCTGTGGTCGGGAAAAATGTCTGAATAATTAGCTTCTTCGTTCTTAAACAGTCTTCAATACGTCCATCTCGTTCGTAGTTCGTTCAGGTCGCACCACGTCGGTGTGCAACGTCGTAGAACGCGTCCCTTAGTCTAGAAGGTCAACATGACCTGATTACAGAACGGTATGGTCGCCATCGAATTTTGAATCGATTCAAAGTTCTAAATTTACATTCCCGTCTGAGAATGTTCATAAAGTTCGTAAATAGACCTTAGAAAGTTGCAGCTACGTTCATTCCGTTCGCACACAGTTTAAAACCAGTTTTGAAGAACGCAGTGGCAACTTGTTTGGTGTGATAGCTGTATTTTTGCTAACTCGTTCATAAGCAGTGTTAAATACGTTCTTAATCAGTTTAAACCCGTTTGCAATTAGTTCTACCTTACTCTCAACACGTCCTCAGACAGTTCAACTCGTTGTTAAAACGTCCCTAGTAGGATTGAAGTACGACGGTTCCGTCCGTAGTACGTCCAGCTCGTCGTTAGTACGTTGTCACTCGTTCTAATTGTAGAAAGTGACGACCACGAGAACATTTTGAGCATTGTCTAAGTTCTAGAGGACCTACCCGTTCGAGTACGTTCGATGAAGTTTGTAAATAGATCCCAAGCGGTTCTTAGTAGGTCCAGTCCGTTCGTACACAGTTGAAGCCCGTTTTCGAGAACGTAGTTAGAACTAGTTTGGTGTGATAGTAGGGTTACACCGCCCCTGACTGAAAACCGAAAAAGATTTTGGCGATCGCCCCCCCCCCCCCCCCCCGCCACCGTGACCGAAAGCTTCTAACGCCCCTACTACTTTTTCTTATTTTGGTTGGGCCAGATTGCTAGTGGCTGCAATAGACACATAACTTTATGTTTTCATAATTTTGTTTGTCGATTGAATAGATCAAGGTTTTAAAGAATTTTACCATAGCAGCAATGGATACTTGGCCCACACTTCGTGTAAGTCATGGAAAATGATTCAAATAGCGTAACTGTATAAATCAAAGTTATTTTAGTAACCTTTTACTGAACACAAATATGCTACTTAAAATCTCATAAAAAACATGAATTAGCGAGATTTCTCCTCTGTAATGTTTGTTTTTGTGTGCCAGGTGTGATCAAAGGCGATAGCTATTTGGAGTACGGTGCTGGCCCCAGTCTTCACTCTATAGCAGCTGTGTGCAAGTTCGTCAAGGAGATAACCATTGCAGAACTATTGCCTCAGAATAGAAAGGAAATCGAAAAGTGGTTGGAGGCTGACAAGGATGCAATTAATTGGGATGAACATATACAACACATTTGTGAATTGGACAATAACAGGTGACTTCACAACAAACATCTTTTGAAAGTAGGGCAACAAGTTCTAGAATATGTTTTCTCCTCCGCACTCCGATTATCAATTACTCGATTGTAAATTACGGTAATCTGATTTAACAGCTTTTGGCCTGTTACTGGTAAATGAGCATCCTATGCCCGAAAAGTGACTCTATAAAGAAAAGAAAAAAGAAGCTATCTTAACCAGATTCAAAAGAATGTTAAGACCGCGGTCTCTTTTCCATAAAAGGAACACTCTTTATTTGCTTATATATCCAATCACTATTTATGTCTGGTCACAAACAAGGTAATTTGGGATAATCAATGTCATTGTACCTCTCGCAAGGTGGAAAGTGGCGAGATAAAACATTTATTTTGACGGTTGCCGTCTTGTTTTATTTAGGAATATCGAAGCCAGAAAATCTCTAATGAGATCCAAGATCAAAGATGTGATTTGGTGCAACGCACTACTTTTAAACCCGATCGCACCCGTTGATGCCACATTCGACGTAGTTGGGACAAGTTTCATGTTGGAATGCGCGGCAGGCTCCGATACACCCGAGACATTCAGACAACTTATTAAAAACGCATCCAATCTTGTGAAACCTGGTGGATTCCTTGTTCAACTATTATCTGGGCCTTGTACCTACTGGCGAGTTAAAAATGTCTACTTCAGGAGCAATGCCCCTACTCGGGAATATGCTGAGGAGTCTATACGCCTTGCAGGATTTGACATTTTAAAAAGTCAATGCTACGATATACCAGGGGATCTAGATAAACTTGATGGGAAGGAAATGTATTTGATCGTTTCTCAGAAACGTGAACAATTGTAGAAATCTACCATGCTACGATAAATACCAGGGGATGATCTCGATAAACAAAATGGGAAGGAAATGTACTTGATCGTTTATCAGAAACGTTAACATCTGTAGAATACCACCAGCATATGCATAGCCTACATTCAACTTTATGGCACTCTTTAAAATTCATAATGTCCCGAGTATTGCGCTGTAAAATATCATAAGGGTACCTGTGATGTCACGAGTGTACAGTGTAGAATCACGAGGGCATCGCTTAATGTCATAAGAAAGTGCTTTTTATGTCACGAAAGTATTTGTGATGATACGATGATGCTGCTGTAATGTCATGAAGGCTTGGACATTTTTTCAAAATCCATGATTTTTCTATTGTAAATATATTTAAATAGTGTAACTTTAAATCGAATTAATTGCGATAAAACTAACAAATGCCCCACGTTAATGTCACATAGGAAAAGCTCATATCATGCTTTACATTCTTTTTAAAAATGAGAATTATAAAAACAAGTTCCTCTAGATCTTTTTAAAAAAGATGTCCAAAAATGTGTTGGGGTAAGGTCCTATCTTATCAATTGATTTTTCGAAGAGTTGGATTGATATAATTCAATCACCATGGCAACCATACTTGGGGGAAAACATATTGTCCGATGAGAAATTCGTACTTACATATTGTATGGTGAGAGAATATTCATGGTGTTAAAGATATGTCTGTCTTAAATCATTTCCCTACACAGTCCCAACCATTTCATTAACTTCTGATTTAATTGTACCCTTAGAAAAGGAATGACTCTGAAATAATAGAACAGTATGCTTCGATGACAGAGATTCATTTCATCGTTTATTCTGTTCTATATACAAACATGTACAATTAGCTTTAGGGTGAAGTAACCTCATCACTAAAGTAAAGGCAGCACTTTATTCATATTTATTAACTGTAATGGTAAAACAAACGCTGTCATGCAATTAATGTATTCAAATGCTCTGTTCCCGTGCTTTACCCTTATTGTAAGTAATGACCAAAATGAGCGAGGTAAATTAAAACAGGCGAGGTAGAAAAAATAAGCCGAAAAAGAAGTGATGCAGGCCCGTAGCCAGCTTTTATCAATGGGTGGGGAGGTCATTTTATAAAAAACTCCAGAAGGGGTACACTTTTGACAAAAGGCTCAGAATGTTGAATAACTGCTCGATCTTGAAAGAGTTTTTTGGCCCGGGGGGGGGGGGGGGTAAAATCGTGTAAAATGTGAATCGATTGTGATATTTTGTGTCTATCGTTTTTACATTCAGGCAATCGGCCGTCATCTGCGCCAAGCCCTATTTAGAGAGATTTCTTTTCCAAATCTCTTTAAAATTTGGCACATCTCGCGCCTTCGCGATACTTTTCGAGATCTCGACCCCGACCTCTTTCTAGTCAAAAGGGGATCCCCTCCATGTAGAATGAATATGGCGACCTGAATTTTCTAAAAGGTAAGAAATTCTTCTTCAATTTGGTGTATAGAACGTTGCGATGCTTTGAAAAGAAGTATGTTTTTGGAGGGTCCGAACAACGAACATAAATTTTGAGTCGATGAGACCAGAGTACGCTGCAAACCATATCTTCAGCGGGCCATTAAACTTTGGTGTTCAAAATGGTTGAAATTCGTTTCAAAACATATCGTTTTTCGTTAATTTCAAGTAGTTTTGACGGGGCATCAGGTATCTTTCGAGATATATACGAAATAAAACCGATAATATGACTTCCGGTTTACCAATTTATCGAATAAATTGAAGGAGTTTGTACTAAAAGCCAAAGTTCTTGATCCGATTTTCAACAAAATTGGAGACCCTATCTGTTGCAAGACTTATGCCTGGCACAACCGTCAAAATTTGAGACCTTATCTGTTGCAAGACTTATGCTTGGCACAACCGTCACCATGTTATAGTGTTTTTATTAAGTTTCGCAAGGATCCTACCAGGACCGTAGTACCACCCCCATAAATGTGGGGTTATTTTGATGTTTTTTATATTTAGGACATTTGTTTGTCAAAATAATTATTTTGAGAAACAAATGTCTTAAATTTAAAAAAAACTCAATATAACCCCACATTTATGGGGGTAGGTATACCGACAATGCTATATTATATTGCAAGGCCTGTCGTGACCGTGGTAACGTTAAAGCCTGATATGACCGTGACATTGATATATTATATTGCAAGGCCTGTCATTACCATGGTAATGTAAAAGCCTTGTATGACTGAGGCAATGGTTGTAAAACCTGTCATGACCGTGGTAATGACGTTAAAGCACAGTATGACCGTAACAATGGTTATATTAAATTACATTTAGTAGCATGAGAATACTGTAATGAAAATTTTCATCGTTTATCTACCTTAAATATGTAAATCTAGACAACTACTACATGTACTACTACTTTAACTCATAATTCATTTCAACAAAATGAAATTCTAATTTCATTCAAGAATGTGAACATTGTCACTGTAAAAATAAGGCTTTTACATTACCACGGTCATGATATGCATTGCAATATAATATAGCATTGTCACGTTTATACCAGCGCTTTCATGATAACAATACCACAGTCATGGCAGGATCCTTGCGAAACTTAAAAACACTTAATAACATGGTGACGGTTGTGCCAGGCATAAGTCTTGCAATAAATAGCATGTGCAAAATTGAAAGTTTCATGTGTTTTTTAGGTGTGGTCTTCAGATATACTACCATATAGTTATGTGATACGAGATGCAGCTATCGATCACTCATCACCATCAAAGGTAATTATCATACTTTTTAAATTGTCTCTCATCAGTCAAACATTCACACTTAAGCCAACACATATGTAGGCTTATTTGATTTTAATCATAAGCCTATGTAGATATATTGGCCTAGCCTAATTCATAAATTTTGGGCCCCTGAAACCTTAAAGCCCAAATTTTGAGGGCCATTTTCTTCAGAATTTAGTCTTGAATTCAAAAATAAGGCCTCAAGGCCCACTTTTTTGGGCCTTAAGGCCTTCTTCGGGCCCAAAATTTTTTTGAGCCCAAAAAATCTTTGATGATGCCCCCTTCTCGAAATGTCTGGGAATGGCGCACATATGTTATATGCCAGGCTATGGAAATATTTGTTCATGTAATCAATTTCTTATTTCAAATTATTACTATTTTTCTTTTTTTTCAGGTGGGCCTCAATCCTATTATCATTCATTTGACCAGTGGATGTTGAGAAAAAGCAATGCTGTATTATCACTCTAGGTGCTATACAAGGTATGTTATTTCTATGCATTTTAAGTGGTGAATCCAAGAATGATAAAATTGCAAACAAGCAAAGGTATTCTAGAGTCATTGTAGAAACATATTGGTTTTCAACTCATACACAGAGGTTTCACTAGAATTTCCCACAGCAGGCTGTAAATGAAAACAACAGGCTAAATTAATGGAAATCATAAATTTAACATGGAAAACTTGAAAAAACAAAAGGCGACTGAAAATAACTGGTGAAAATATAAAATTGTAATTGAGTTTTACATATAATCCAACCTTAGATTATCAAGCTCACTTAAAACATGAACATGTGATTCTTAATAGCCTATATGATTTTGATGTTAAAACTTGCTGAAGAATATGAAATCAAAACACACATTTATATGTATATACCAGTATACACCTTTCAGTTTTTCAAATTATAAATATGAAATATACAGTAGTATGGTCTAGTTTTCAGTTATATGTAATGTTGATAGGGAAAAGCTTGGTGGTAGAGCAATCGCCTTGGAAGGGAGGGGTCTGATCAGCCCTTAGCACAGGATTTCATTCTTTGTTTTCTTTAACTGTACTCTTTTCTTGCTAGGTCCTTAAACATTTTGGGTAAAATATCCAATGTGAGCCCCTCTGGCTTCATTTGAATCAGAGCTTAAAAAGGGAGAATATCTAGTTTGGTTTTTGCAATGTTATTATCATTCTTTTTTGTTTGTTTAAGGTTGGATGGACTTTCCTGTTGTTATGCTGTGCTGGAGAAGCTGATCAGTAATTCATACTGGACTTGGAGGTGATTATATTCTTAAAACATAATAATAAAATCCTGCTAAGATATACCTGTACCTGTTTGTTGGCAATTCTAGCATCACCCCTGAATACTATGTGACAGAATACAGTTTTTACTCTAAAATACTGAAATAATATAAGGATTGATTGTTTTTGTATTAACCAGGACTATGCATCATAGGAAAAATAACATTGTGTCAACCTGTATTGTTCAGTATACTTCTGTGTTCAAGTCACCTGTTTATCAGTTGCACATATTTACTACAGATTTTAAGGTTGTGTACTATAGATATCAAAAGCATGCATTCCATTTTTAAACTTAAGTAACATATTTTCTGTTAAATTTAGGTTTTGGAAGGCGGGTAACAGGTGGGCATGGACTAACCGAAGATGGGGACCACACATGGACCAGCAGGAAGCAGGGGGTGAGAAGCAGTGGAAATAGATGGGATGCAGTGGTGATAGGCAGGATCTATTGGGGTTTGCTGATTGTTTAGTGCCACATATTCATTGATGATTAATGGTATGTAGTTATTTGTTAAGTATGTGAATATAGTAAAACCTGTGCACAATGAATATTTGTTAACTGTCTACAGGGGTTCAATAGAGAGGTGTTCATTAGCGCAGGTTTTACTGTATTAAAATTAATAAGTTTTAATATGGGACTCAATGGGAGAAAAAGCTTTTGCCAAATATAAATGTTAACTGATGGAATGGATTTGACAGAGAAGTGTTCGCTTGCTAACTAGAAAGGTTAACTGTTGGTAGGGATTCAATAGGACATGTTTACTAGTAAAGGTTCTACTGTATTAAAGTGTATGAATTTTAATTTTGTGTATGGGGGTCAGAAAACAGGAATTTTTGTCAATTTTGAGATCTTTCTGAAGTATAGCTTTATTATACTCAAATTAGAAAAAATCTAAAGTATATTGCAAAAATTAATAATTTTTCTGTCTCAGGCCTCGTAAAATTCAAAATGGCCGCTTAATGTGGGATCTAGCAAAAAATTTCCGATCAACATAATACTTATTAGAAAATAATAAATATTGTATTGTCTTTATGATTTGTGCCTTTGAAACTCATCAGTGGTCACACCAATGCTTAAACTGGTAATTTTGGTTGGTAATTTTCTAATGTATGACTTATATCTGCCAATTTAATTCAACTTTTACAAGTTGTTTTATTATAGTTTTCAAAAAAGAATAGCCCGTGGCTTGTTAATGCCCGTAATAACTAGTAATAACAATACATACAATTAACACATTATTGTCATGTATATTGCATTATTATTTAAAAACTTTTTTCTTTCAGTTGTTGTAATGCCTGAATGCTGGACAATGAAACAACCCACAGCAGTCATGTGCTTCACTACAACTCAACACTGGACTGTGTAATTGTGGGTAATTACTAATTAGCCTAGATCATATTTTACGTGTTTGATATCCCATTGCATAAATGCAAAGTTATAAGAAAGTTATGTTAAGTAAGAAGTTAAGATTTTATTTTACTAATTTTTTGAAAATGATGAATCTCATTTGAATATGTTTGACCAAATAAACAAATTTATGTTGATATGACTAAGAGGGTTTATTCTGATATTTTCTTTGTTATTTGATACACATGTAGGTATATCAGGCATATATAAGGCATCCGTCAATTAATTAGAGAGTCAGGACTCAGAATCAGCCAAACTAGTCATGGGCTGCTTTTTTATTTTATAAATTGGAATCATTTTTGTCCATGATTTTCAAGTGAAAAAACCTTGCCATGTTTGCACATATGTGTACAAGTAAAGTAGAACATATTGTACTGCAGTCTAGTCTAGTGTAAGCTGTCCTAATTTTTTTACTACTAGGTTTGCTGTCTAGCTGTCTGTAACAGTCATGAAATTGCAGATTTAATGCACCATGAGAATATATAATGCATTTGTATTTTACAGTAAACTTATATTTGCAAGTGCAACATATAATTTTGTAAAACAGGAAATGTCATACTTGAAACAGCTCTAATCAAGACAAGAATTCATGTTTATTTGTAAACACTACTGTTATTTGAAGAATGTGTAAAGTGTCCAAACTGTGTCAAACTGTTATACAGGTAAATAATGTTAAAGGTTCCCCAGGTATTAAAATGTTTTGCAATATAAACAATGTATATGTACATATAAATCTAGTATATAAAGATATCACTCTCAAACTTTAAGTAAAATAACATTATATTCAAATCTGTGCAATTACAAAAATATATACCTGAATGCAATACATGCATATTCTGCTAAATTTATATGACAGATGATCTTGCTCAGATGATATATATGAACATTTACTCCTTTTTTACAGGCGGTTATTATTATTAAGCCCTGTGTTATATAACGTGTATTAAATCAATGAAAATATGTAAGCGAGAAAATAAGTTTCAGTAGTTAGAAATAGTCAGAAGTCAATACAAAAATTTTGAATAACATATTAGTATAACATGAAGCATTGGGTACAAATATATGTAAATTTATGCAATGGTATATCTATGGCTTACAGATATATGGGTATTTACAAGTAAAGCCATGTTATGCAAGTAAATATAAAGAAAGATGTTCATGTGTGTAACGAATACTGAAGTAAAGTGCAATTCTCTAAACAATCATGGTATTTGAGGCAATTCATTATTGCTTTGTACTGTTATTCACATAAGTGTGCCATTGGCTACTATAGTACATTTTACCCAAGTTCTAGCATTTTCTATATTTTGCTTCAAATGATGACATTTGACCTATATTTGAACATTTTGGTATTTCTTTTGGGTGAAAATACACTTAACAAGTACTTTGTAAAAATTATTTGGTATGGGAACATGCTAATTGGCATTTAGGAAGTTTTTTGTATTGCAAATGTAGTATTGTTTTATTTTTTGCTTTATACAGGTTTCAAATAGCTCATGAACATTTGTATGGAAGGTGCTATGTTTTGTGTGTACATTTGAGCCCAAAAGAATCAACTGCTTTTTTATTTTGCATTAATGATATATGAATCTGTATACTATTCAGTATTCACAAAGATTTTACAAATACTGAAATATGTAACTTTTTACCAGTTTCACTGCAGTATATCACAATATATAATGATAACATTCCATGAAATAAAGCTTAGCAAAGACATGGAAATCATGATCTTTTGATAAATATATATAACTTTGTATATGAACTAAGCAAATACTTTATTCTGTTATAATATCCATGTAGGTTACTATTTCAGTATTGTACGCATACATAGATAGAGAAATATTTTTGAATTTGAATCCCCTTGCTTTCTTAGTGCACAATATGCTGATAATATGAAATGCTAGTTTAGTCTTCACACTACTGCACTAGCCCCAGTGCTACATGTCTATGTCAAGAAAACATTAACTTTTTGATGGAAAGAGTAGCCCTTGGTGTCCAAATCGATTGTTTTGTCGTTATTATTTGGTTCAGTTCTTGGTCTCTAGCCTTTACCCACTCTGTGGTGTACATGACTCCCAGTCAGTTTTGACTTTTCTACTTTCTGTTCACCCATGGACTACCACCATCTGGAACCCATGGTTCACCTGAAAACTCTACATATAGAACTTTTTTATAGTGTACGATAACCGTTTTCAAAACACTAATTGAAGAATAACAATATATCATTTGACAATTTTAGTCTTTTGATGGTATGACATGTACGAAGCGGATAATGACAAAAACATTCTAAAAAAATTCTTGAAAAATTGAAATAATCAATCATGGACGATTTTTACACGATTCACGAACCTAGGCATTCGTCTGGTGCTGGAATAGAAGTTATAAACATTATATTTAGTAATTATAACCTCGAAAAATTGAATACGACTCTGTTTATGTTAGTATCAAAGAAAATATATTCTGAATTGGACTTTTCGAAAAATTATTTCGGCCGCCATCTTGTTTTTTTCGATAAATCTACAAAACTGAAAAAGAAAAAGTGTATCTTCATCGGGCCACTCAAGGCTCACTTGTGGTTTTACGTTATTTGGAAACATGACATTAATGGCAATCGTTTAGTTAAAAAATAAAATCGGGGCAGAGTCGGCGTTTAGTCAAAATCTACGAAAAAGGGAAGATCAATTTTTCGAAAAAAAATTCAATCGGCAAGTTATACTCGATATAATTGATCAATTTCCACGAATTCGGTCTTAAAATGTTCTTCAATAAGTTCGCCAGACGTAGGTTACGAGTACTTTGATAGTTGGAGAGTATTTCGGGATGAAAATAGCCTAAATGTTTCAGCCGAAAGAAGATGCGCAGAAAACCTGCGCAGAAAACAAATATTGGTCTTTTTCACCCAGTGGCTCACTGCCTGCATTTGCATGCTTTACGGCGAGCGTGCGACGGCCATGATATCCCGAAATCGAGAATACCTACTACAACCGCTGGTGTCAAAATACACCCTACGGCTGTCGTCGCAAATGTGATTGCTAGTATGCGACTATTAAAGTATGTGACCGCAGACATTCTACAGCGACTGAAGGATTGCCGAAGAAATATTATGAGAACGCATGGTCACTGTAGCAAATCTGACAGCCATAAATCTACTTAGGCCTACATTAGATGGAAATTGAACTAGTTGGTTGGAAGTGAAGCCAACTTAAGATTCCTAACTAGGTCAAGGTCTTACTGCTTTTTGGGAAACAAGGTTTTATATTACTATATACAGCTACTAATTCTATTTCTGAGCTATTTTGTAAAAAACATTGTGTCAGGTCATGAACGATTACAGTACTGGTTATATATTGGTCGATGATGACTGCTTACGTAATACCGATGGAAGTGAAGTCAGAAATTCAGTCCTAAAATTGCTATTAAACCATCCATAGAGCAATGGGTTGATACACGCTGAGACCATAGCAACCCATAAAACTATGGCGTATGACAAACTGAATGTCTTATTGTAGAAGAAAAGTTCCTGCTTGAAGTCAACTAACAAATTGAGGAAGGTCATGGGGAACCAAACTAAAGCAAACATCACAATTATTGTCACGAGAAGTCTAGCGTTCTTGTAGTAGCGACGCTGGGTGTTCGTTCCGCCTCGCCTAATCGCCGATGACGTCATGGAACGTGGCAACGCATCTATTGTTGTATCACTAGGAGAACTGATCCTTCTCTTCAGGAATCTACATATCCTCCAGTGTAGCGTAGATAATGTAATCGCCGGTAAAAATAATTGCAAAACGAGGACCACTACACAGTATACTACTTTGTAGGAGTCATTAGGCCATGTTTCAATACAAACATACCGAGACTTCATTTCAATCCCTTCTAGAATAATATGGTTTACTTCATTTTGATAGATCATTATAGGTAGTGAAACTGTGATCGATACGAGCCAAATCGTGATTAAAAGCGCTTTTGTGTTGAACCGGCATTTCTGTCTTTGTTTATGAGTCCTGTTTCTAACAATTACATAGAATCTATCCAAGGCAATGGACGTGATTGATATAGTTGAAGCAAATACAATTATACATTGTAGTGTAGGAATCACTTTACATAACGCCTCTCCAAACACCCAGTCCTTCAAGGTAAGCCTAACTAATGAGAATGGAACACACACGAGGCACATAACCATATCGGATATTGCTAAGTTCACGATAAATGCGTTCACCTGGCTGTGTAGTTTTTTATTCCTAATAACGATACTTACTACAAATCCGTTCAATGCTGTACCGAATATGATAAGCAACGCAAATAATATCGTGACGGCTATACTTGTGGATGTGTCAAAATACGTCGTTCCCATAGCATTTATCGCATCTTGTTCGATGTCTTGGAAAGATGGATTTTCCGATATGGTACGGTTCGTTGCATTTTGGCTTGATTTGTTATATATTCTATATAACGCCTCCCTCTGTTCAGGTGTCAGCGCCCTTCCTTTTAGACACATGTTATAAAGTTTGAAATGTCAAGATACAAAGTTCTCCACTCCGATAAAGGCTTTACTAGCGTCTTTTCAAATTATATCCATCAATTTAGCACTCCGATAAAGGTTTGACCAGCGTATTTATCAGAGTATATATCCATCAATTTAGTACTCTGATAAAGGTTTGCATTGACCAGCGTGTTTTCAAATTATATCCATCAATTCAGCATTCTGATAAAGGTTTGATCAGAGTGTTTTTCTAGTTATATCCATCAGAAGTGAAACATGATGACGCGGAGGCGGCGGATCACCTACATCAATATTGTGGATGAGCAAGACTCCGATGTCAATCACAAGTGTCAAGTGTCAAAATACGAGGCTACTCACTCATCAGTGGTGCTTATGATGTTGTCCAATATTCAACTGTTAGAATTCTCCTTTGAAGATGTACAAATGTAGTGCCGACGAGCGTTTCATGGACTTGCTTATTGCCCTACCCCGTTACAATCGCACATCATCGACGCAAGCTGGGGTATGATTATTATACCACTATGGAATATAATCTACAGGAAATATGCAACTATTCTATTATCCACATGAGCATATATTTATATCACTATCACATTTAATCACAATGACTATGAGTTCCCAACTTAAAAGCATTTTTACATTATTGGATTTTTAGAACATCGTCAACATAGACATCAGTAGAGTTTGTTCACTTGAATTAGGTTTAATTTGAAGTATATTCTCTCTCCAATGCTTTCAGGCTTGGTATGAAATCATCTAAATCAATTTGATGGCTGTTTTGCGGCTATAATGTCAAGAGAATAGTGTATTAGTTCCGTATGCGACCCATTCTTCAGAGATCCACAGGGGATTAAAATTGTGCAGTGGTGCACCATGACCTTATATGGCAATGATATCCTGTAAGTAATTTCTAAGCGATGTTTGCTAATGGAATAAGTTGAAGTTAAAGACAGAAGTCAAACGCAGATTCAGACCAAGCAAACGATTGTGTTCATCGAAAATATTTGACTCGTTTCATATCTGTCATAGATTTTTCCTGAAAATCAAATGATTTCATACTTAACTCCAACTTTTAGAATTGTTTGCTTTCTTCTATATACATTTGCATACCATAAACACAAAATTTCAAGTTGTATTTATCATTTCGGGAAATATTTGCATTTAAAGTCGTAATAGCAATATTGTTATACGAATTCATCCGTAGGCATATTGGACAAGTTTCTTGCAATTTTGTCACTCCCGACATGTTTGATTCTGCCTATTGTCATTTTGAAGAATACACCAACATGCGGTGATTCCAGCATGGGAGATATTCTGTCAGCTCATATCTCGAGATTTCCACAAGGAAAACAATGCCAATTAGCCTAATGCACAAGATCCGTGGCGACCACATACCAATGTATTCATCAATATAGCACCCACGAACCTCTAGGCGTCACGAATTTGACGTAGGCCTAGTATGAGGCATTGATTTTATTTATTCACCCACCTGTTGTCATATTTCATATCAAGTGAATCGTTTGAAGCAGTAGTAATTTCGTAATTGTACATATTCGTCTATTCTATTTAATTACTTGATCGGGATGCATTCCTTTGGGGGCAATATGAAAAAAGACATATTTTAAGCGCCAAAAATATTGATATTCCAGATCTACTGTTTGCCTTCTTGAGAAAATCCGTTATAAAATCTTACATAGCACCATACAGTATGTATATCAAAATGGTATTATTTCAAAGATCAGGAACTTTACTGAAGTGTCTTGGATACAAAGACGAGGAAATCTCAAATTGAAAATATGTCGTTTCACGATGATGTCGGTGAACGCTAATTACTCATTTTCAAATCGGAGATCGTGCGCAACCGACACGAACAGAAGAAATGTATTGTACAAGAAATGGAGAACTCGAAATATATTTTAAATCAGCTATCAGCTTCCAATTCTAGTACCAAAGGGCAGACCATCTTTTGATGTAGGGATCCTGAGAGACAGAGACCGGAAACTAGGAGGAAATACTAGTATTGACTTTATTCAACTTGAAACTCCATCTTACACACAGGCATACACTTCCGATTTGTCATTAGTAATGAACAGCCCAAGAGATTCGATTCCCAAGGAAACGAAGTGGAAATATTCACGCAAGTCCTATTTATCTATGAATTACTTTCTTGAATTACAGGAAACCTGCATGATGTAATTGACACTAATGAACGTTTTTCAATTTATATATGTCCATCTAGGATGAAGAAAAGAATCCTCTTTTCTTCATCCTAGATGTCCATCAAAAGGTTAGTACGTATGGTGATGAGTGTTAATGTTACTTAGATAAAAAGACCGAAATAATGCCAAGCGAAAATTGATTACAATATTTACTTTAAAATACTTTACTGTTGAATATTATGATGCAGTCGCCCAATCTGTACCCTGTGCGCAGAGAATCTTGTTATAAACTACTAAACTGAAGACGAAGCTCTCTTTTAAGAAGTTAAGTCGAGCGAGTGCAAAGGTTGCCCAATCAACATAGCACCACTGGCGGATTTGGGGGGGGGGGGGTAGGAGCCAAAAAAGGCCCCAAAATCCATAAATAGGCCTTCTGAGGCCTTATTTTTTAATTTTAGGCCAAATTTTAAAGAAAATGGGCCTCAAAATTTCAAAATTTGGGCCCACTTTTTGGTTCTAGGAGCCTAAAGTTTTTTCTCAGACCAGAAGTTTGCCCCCCCCCCCCCATTGTTGGTTCCCAGATCCGCCCCTGTAACACCGGGGAGTTATTTGAAAGAGGGTGTGTATAGAAAAACTGTCCTTCTTTTAAAGAATAATAGGCGCAATTTGCGTATGCTCAGTGGACCAAAATAATCAAGTAACGGTTCTTAATGCCCCTACCACGTTTGATCTACGGCAACCGTACGACGACCGTAGCTCCCCAAAATCGAGAGAAATATGCAGCATTAATATAGGAATAGCATTTTCAATTTTTTAGTAATTGTGACAAATTTTATTCCAAAAATACAAAATAACCTACCAAACAGTTGCCGCCATAGTCGTAGGACATAGACGGCAATTAGAAGGTCTGTAGGAATTCATAAATTTTAAACAATGAGTTTTTTCATGTCATTTTATAGTTGAATCTAGATAAGGAAAAAAGCCAATAAAATATGACTTCACTACGCTCATGTATCATAGCTATATTAATATTCATTGGCCAGAGGGATTTCAGATGTATCATGTTAGACTTGTTTATTTGTTCAGTACCCAGTTCTAAACCATGGTGGATGTAATATATTAATTGGTTTTTCATTAACATCTGCTGGAAATTTAACATCACCAAGGAGTAAAAACTGGGCTTGATCAAACATATTAAGTCCATCATAGTGAGTATACGGATCATCATCTTCTGCAAGAAGTGTTGTTCTCTGTCCAGTCAGCAGTGGGCATTTCAACAGGAAATGAAAAGTTGTCTGGTTTAAATTATCACATAAACATTTTGGATTTGCAACCCGTTCAAAAGTGTGTGCATGAAGGTGGGCTTGCAAGAGAAGGTTAAAAAGAATTCCTAGGTAACGAGGCATGGCATTTTTAAGTTTTGTCGTTGATAGGATAGGAGCGGGACTTCTATCGCCTCTAACTATTCTATGGTCTGGTGGAAGGTTATTTCAAAGGGTCAATCCTTTGAAAATTGTTGATTTCTTAGCCAAGGTACTTGTTTGAAGGGGAATCTTATAGTCCCTGTGACTCCTTAATGAACGCACTTGTATGTCATTCTCATAGAACCTGACAAGATTACAAATGAAAAGAGGAATGTTGTTATATCTTGCTTGAGATGTTCCTCTCTTCTAGAGGATAATGTTTTCAAGTTTAACGATAAAAGAATTTTATCAGTGTTCGATCCATGGATTGCTCCGGAGACTAGACACGCTCTATAACAGTATAATGTAGTCGTTCAAGAGATTGCAATTTGGTATCTGTGATGCACTATTGTATATGATGTCACAGTTTCAAGATGCTGGCTGCTTGAATGCTGCTTATAACCTTGTTAGATAAGTGATCAATGTGAGCGTTGAAATTGAGGTGCTGGTCAAGAGTAGGTCCGAGGTGTTTATGAGTATTACATCTAGGGACTATTTCCCCATTCATTTTCAGAGGAGGAGGTTCAATATTGATGTTTCTATGACCAGAGATTATCAAATCAGCACTTTTCTGTGCTTTGTATAACATTTTCCATGTTGAGGCCCATTGGTCTAAATGGTCCAAATCACATTGAAAGGGTTCATGAATATCAAGAAATATTTGATTAATATGGAACGGATTATCAAGTGAGTTGGCATCAGCAAATATAAATGTACTCTTAGAGACGAGATTATCCAGCGGGTCGTTAATGTATAGCAAAAAATAGGAAGGGTCCTAATAACGAACCCTGAGGAACTCCTGCATTAATTTTAAAATTATATATAGCAGTACGATGTAGATTTCCACGAGGTCGTGAGTTGAGACGTGTGAGCTCCATGCGTTTACTCATTTGTGAAGCTACGGTCGCCGTAGAGCAAATGTAACAGGCATGTAAAATTGATTTAGAAAATACAAATGCTAGGCTAATTTAATTTGGTTTTAAACATAACTTTTCTTGCGTAATAATCGCCCATCACCTTGGAAAATCATCATTTCATGATCAATCCTTATGGTGGTCAATATGGGCCACATGACTACTTTTCGAGGGCGTTTAAAGAAAGGTCCATCTGGAATTCACACCATCGTGAGCATAACTTGCAAGAAACTCCGGAAAGGGGTTTCTTATAATTATGCTGTTGAAAAGGTACATATCTAACACTAACGATCCAACAGTTATAGGATTTGTTAAGACTTTTGAATGAAGACATCAGAAACGAAGAAATTAAGAGAAATTAAAAATTATATGTTTTCTGTAAATGTTTGATCGTTGGGAACCATTGTACTCAGCGTTGCAATCTAACTTTACGATGGGAATTAGATTCATATGTCTGATGTCAATATATAGATGGCGAATATATTAAAAAGGTTTGATTCTGCCATCTTTTTATGAATATCCTTACAATCAATCCAAACCGATGGTAACTTTGTGTTCAACGATTTTCTTGTCTGGACGTGGTATACTGTTTTATTTCAAGTCGACGTCTTCAAAGCTTATTTCGGGTCTGCGAAGCATTCCAAAACTCAGATAAAGAGCTCTAAAAATTCTTTTGAGTTCTTTCAAGTTTTCTATAACAAACTGGCGGTAGGACGGTTTAAATCAAGATGTCCACCGATTTGAGTCAACATTTCTTCCGAAACGATCCAGTTACTTCTTTTCTTTTAAAGAGGTATGTACTGTAGTCTATTCTAAAATAAACAGCGTGTCTAAAAAAACCAAAACTTGAGAAGATTTGCAAAGCTATTCGATGTTTTTGGAACATGACTTGGAATAGAAATCAAATTCAATATTTTTGCACGTGAAAACATTTCAGAATTCGAATATATAATCACACAAAATAAATCGTTGCGTACAATGTTTGCACTATATAAACACATTGACTGTATCTACCAAGTACCACGGTGTTATAGCATGACGGTTACGTCAAGGCGATTTGCAAAGTTTTGCGGTGACAGCATGTCCTCTTTCTCGCCTGTAGGTAAGATTCACAGATGAGATTTCATTTTCAACTAGTTCCATTCGGTGACGTATATATGGATGGTTATAAAGACTGGGTCGAATCTGCCAGGTGGTTTACTAGAAGCAGAATATAAGCTGTAAACTTATCGACTGAGATGTCCAAGTTCATAATTTTTAGTCCATTCTCGTGTTTTCTCAGTATATGTGCCTCAGAGCTATTCAAACTATTAAACTAAGTAAACTGTGTATGAACAAGCCATAAAATGACAAATCCTGAACAGGAACGTGGTGTATATTGTAAATAATAAGGTTTCAAACGCAATGTCGTTAGACGACTACATATGAATTCTATGGACAGCAACGTATTGTATTAGTTAGCGGACGGTTACGTGCATGTACACATTTCAAGTCAAGGTTGCTAGTTTTGATAGCCTCTTTTCATGTCATTGTTATATTGGGTAAGAAATGGAATATTAAATTGCTTATATTTGTTTTCAGGACTCGCAAGAGACGCTCTTGTTCGAGCCTCTATAAGGAAAAAATTGTGTCTTGCTTTATTTATGAGACCAATGAAAGTCAAAAAGATAGCAATGAAGAGGCAAAAGAAGAATTAGCATCAAGTACTGATGAATATGACAAAATTAATAACAATGAATTGGGGAAACATATTTGAACGAAGTTTGCGTAACCGTCCATCAATTTTTTGCGTAACCGCAAATTCAAAATTCATTATTATGGCTTGAGTAGAACATATAAGGTGGTTTCCAATGCTCGATTATGATCGTATGCAGGTTACATCTATATACCCCGAGGTCGTTAGGCATTGTAGACCATGCCCTAACGACAAAAATAAACAAATTACTTAATTTTGTATAGTTTTGATTTTCAAACTCAGCAGTTTTTCGCCTATTTCATGTTATCCCCGGGCATCAATTTGCAAAGACTACGTTCAATATATACATTACTAAATGCATCACTGAATGTGATGCTTACATAAATCGTTCATCCTTTCATTGACACACAGTAGTAAAAAATAATGCACCAACCTTAGTTTTCCGTTCCATCGCGGCCATTTTATTGGATAAAACAGTGAAGAAGCCGTCCAACCTCGTTTTCAGAGGTGGCGTAATCGTCATGCTATAGCAGGGTGAGTACTAGACTGTGTGCACAACTCTCCGATCATTCCATTTTAAATTAACGTATCACCCACTCGTATTCCCGGGGTCGTATTCGATCATTAGGGAGTTTAAGCTTGCAATGTTTTTCACAACGTAACCGTAAACGGAAACGATTCATTTGTATGGGCGATTGGCCATCGTATAGGTTGGCGCTTCAATTTTCACACTACGCTACCACGTCACCACGTTTAAAAAGGAAACAGAGTGCAGTTAAGTTGCAAATGTAAAATACATTTTACATTTATTTCTAGTGTTTTACCAGACATAAAATCGACTCACCAAGCAGTTTGTAGAATATTGTTGGCAAAAAACCATATAGGCAAAGACATGTAGAGAATAGTGGACACAGTGAAGTAAAACTTGGAAGCAATAAAATATACATTTCAGTTAATCTATTAACGTACAGAGAGCGTGTAAGTTTCACTCCGAAAATATTACTTCTTTTGACATTGATATGTAACAAAAAAATTGTGTTATATGTAGATACGTTTTCTAGTATGTTATTCAACTGTATTTTTGTGAATTAATTGTTTTTCTAAAAATCTTAAGATGAATAAAAAGTCGGCCCAGAAATATATGTTTACTTTGCCGAAAGGCAGAACATATTGTAAAATATTTTTCTTTTAGTCACAAAGAGAATAATGTTTGTTTTGGGGTGCCTGTTGATGAGCATGATTTAATGCAAAATCACTGGATCAGATACCATCCAAAAACATCTGATATTCAACATATAAGACTACTGCATCGATCTGGTAATAGTTAAAAGTATGGGTTAAGCATAGTTATAGTATTATGAATCCACTTCCTACAAATACACTAATTATACAGCACTATGTCCAGTCAACATTCAAAATGGCAGCGGTAAAGGTTACGCAGTAAACACGATACAAACATATGTCGTACTCCGCAACGGATATGGTATGTTCACTTGCGGTGTATGCCAGATTCACCTGCGCTATGGCATATACAATAACCAATGAGAACGCGATATGGAAGTTCGCAATTGCCAATAACATCGATTCATTGAACGTGATAAAGTATTTATAAATTATTATTATGATTACTGAATCAACGTCTTATATACTGAAGGTAAGTATGGTATATTCACCCGTATCACAAATACCGCACAACCATGAATATATGCCATATTTCGCGTAACACAATGCACATATAGTTATTTTGTAGTGTTTGGCAAGCACTGGATTAGGATATTAAGCGCATTAGAAATAATGATTGGGATATACGCTGTTATTGAACTCGTCTGAAAATAAAAATTGGATCAATTACATTTAGTGGTTCAAAAATATACTATCACGCTATTGCACAAAACATGATTCTAAAGTCTTTAGTATATAACTGACTATCTCAGAATTGGTTTTGGTATAAAATCAGCGAATCGTTCTGTACAATCAGCTTACTTTCTCGCTCCCTGTACTATTGAACAATTTAGATTCCTTGCGCCCTGTATTGATAACTTTTGAAACGTTGCACCCTGTACTATGACATATCAAGTATTTTAAAATTGAAAACGATATTATTTATATTCTTCCTCCAACCATCATATAACATGGACTTGTTGACTAAGCAATCGATATACTCAAAAGCGACCTGGTTGAAGTCAAAAATCTCGCGCGATGCGCGATCATGCGCGATCGAGATAGGGTGGTGTGATTTTATATGTAAGCTTAAACTCCCTATTGTTTATTTACGACTTATGTTTCATAAATGTTTATCCGTACATGATGCTGTCTTCACTTTGTGTGTGTAGGGGGGGGGGGGGGGTGGCGAAGGGAGCGGCCGCCCCCCCCCTGGCCAGAAATATATGTTTATATGTAAATGTCTGTAACAACATCCTAGACAGTGAACTTGACAGTGAATTTCATAATTAAACCTGACAGCACATATTTCACCACACTCATGTTGTATCTTACCCCGCGCCTTCAACTGTCTCGTTTATTTGGTACACACCCCGTGGTATTGGGTGATTGTTTGATATGTGTAGGGCCAAGGCAAAGGTGTACATTGTGAATGTTAAGGTCAGGGTGCATGATGGGAAATTTTCTGCATTCCTCAATTGAGTCACATGTTATTTTTCAAACAAGAATCACTCCTTCCCCAGAGAGTCTATATCTTCCAGGTTTGCACAAAGAGTGCTCTTATGTGCCTAGAAAAGACTTGTGGGAAGAATGTTTTGATAAAGTGTATAAAAAACAAGAAAATTCAAGAATTTCAGAATTTTTTTTCACTGAATTTTCTCGGTTTTTATACATTTTACAAAACAAATCTTCTCACAAGGCTTTTCTAGGCACATAAGTGCACTCTTTGTGCAAACCTGGAAGATGTAGACAATGTGGGGAAGAAGTTATTCTTGTTTGAAAAATAACATGTGACTCAATTGAGGAATGCAGAAAATTTCCCAACATGCACCCTGTCCTTAACAATCCAATCAGGCCAGGTGCATGTCCATTAATTTCACAATTTATGTGTGTCTGTTTTAAACATTAGTTTATACCTATATGTATATAGATAGTGTGACTGTGATTACCTGTAATATTTACAGTACAGACCGACACACTAAAATGTTCAGCAACTGACCCCTGGAATGGATAACGTTATCAGGAGTACTAAATCACTCTACTATACCTTGCATTTGGTGTTCATGAGCAGCCCATTTGGCTTATTTATAGTAATAATTATATTATGGTTTATCGGTTGATAGTTAGATGTTAATAAGGTACTTTCAAAAATATACTAAACAATGCAATCAGACAAACAGAGTACTTTATGTACTTCTAGGGGTAAAGTGTAAATACGAATTATTTGATAAACCAGTGTTTATAGTTGAACTTAATACTATTTATTGATCAACGCCGTGAAGTACTGGCGTTCACTAAGAAAAAGCAATACTAGTGCCTAGCACTAATATACATGTATATAATATTCAGATATCGGAACAGTATGAACACGGTGGTTCATATTAATATAGTACGGTAATAAGCATCATAACATGCTAGCTAGAATGAAAGAAAGGAAATGGTACTCGTTGTTAGCAGGAGACATACTAGTATAAGGTAAGTTCCAAATTACATTCCTACACATACACCAGGCCAACATGAATAGCAGGGGTTCATGGTACAATAACAATCGATAAAAAAATAACAAGCGATGGCTTACCAAAGTTGAAACACATCCCAGCACGAATAGTAGACCATAATATACAGTACAGCCAACTATATACAGCGAGGAACAAGGGTTGCAGTGATGTCAGATGATATAAGCATGGAATAAAACTGGATAAAGGCAAGGGAGCGACCGAAGAGCATACCTATTAGGGGAAGACTCTAGCAGGTAAATGACAATCTGAATGGGTGACGTCCATTTGAGAGGCACCTTCTTCAGGAGACAATGGACCAATGAAATGGTGTCTAATAAAACAACTAATAGGAAGATCTAAATGTATGTATACTGATCATTACCTATTCAGCAACCATGATGACCTACGTGCATCGTATTTTATCACTGCTCTACGCACGTACAAATGTATTAATGTTAAACACAGGGCAAGTATACATGTAGTACCAATAAACACAGGGCAATATAGTACCAATATCAGAACGTCCAGCTTGATATTGATTCATCCATAATGATCCATCACGTTGACAATTTTGAAAAACAGTGTGCTACCCGTATATTATCAGATATTGGAGAATCATTAAGGAGGTTATTAAGGTATATCCCATTGTGCGATCCACAGCAAGTATTATCTTTTGGAATACCAAAACGTTGGCTAAAGAAATCAGAATGGGTATATCCGCATGTTTAGAAATGTTAATGGACTCGAGGGTTAAGAGTCCAATGTTATTTTCAGGTACACAAAATTTCATAGCCTTAGGGTTATAGATATACTTTTTAAATAAAGATGACATGATAATAAATCAATCTGTGGTCAATCTTTTAATAGGACTCTGCTGCCATCTTTAATCTGCCTAAAACATGTACATGACTCATTCCAAACATGCTATCTTTCACTTTTGTACAAATAGTGCATGATAAGTTGATCATTCATAAATAAGCTAGATACAGATGTAAGGAAAATGAGAAAATTCACTGATCTTTATTAGGCTAGTTCTAAAGATCACTGTTACTTAATTAAGTTTTCATATATTGCAGAAAATTATAACCCCTAAATTATATTATAATCTAGCTATACTTGTAAGTACATTTATTTTCTCTTTGAACAAAATTGATGGATTAGACCATGGGCTTCTCTTGAAAGCCCATGCTTAGACCATGCATGGAATGAGTTACGTGTGTGTATCTGAAAATTACATGGGACTCCCATTATGAAGTTATCAAAATGTATAAACATACAGAACTACCTTAAAGGTAGTTAACTAATTTCAGAAAAATGGTTTTTGATTGGAGATCTTATTTTCAGGTAAACAAAGCTCATTCCATAAATGGTCTACACCCTTCAATTTTGCACAAAAAAGTACGTAAATGTTGATAGATTATCAAGGATAAATCAAGGTACATGTTGGAATTTTTTGCAGTTTTGAAAAGTAAACCACTGAATATTCTAGTTATTCAAACATTCTGAAGAATTATCAACACTCAATTAATAGTCTAGGTACACAAACGCATCTTTTGTGCAAGAATGAAAGATGTAGATGATGTGTGGAATGAGTTGTTTAATAGCACATGGTCATGAAATTTCACCAAAGTGCACCCTGACCTTATGAAAATCAAATGACTTTCTCTTTTAAAGTACAAAGAATTGTGAATCTAGAATAAATAGCAAATTACTATTAATTATTAATATTAGTCATTTGCCTAATAATAGTCATTAATATATTAATTATTAGTCTACTATTAATCACTATTACTGCTCAACTTATAATATAGCCATATTACTACACTATTTATGCAAAGCTTAAAGGTTTAAATATGCCATGTCCAGAAATGTATACGTGCCTGGAAATGACAAAGGTCTCCTTATTCAGGAAACCATTAAGATTTCTTAACATACAGAATTACCCTAATTCAAGAACTGTTCAGTGACTCACAATTTTTGGGTAGTGTAGGCTTGAAGAGTTTCTTTTGAAGAATATTTAATTATTAATTATGCTAATTATTTCCTTTTGTTTCAGTGGAATAGCTTTGGAACGATCCCTGATGTAGTAGAAAATGACAAACATGTGTCAACGTTGTAAAAAGTGCATGTCTGTACTTTATAACAGCGGACAATTCCTGCGACATCTTATGAAAAGTACATTTGTTCGAATTTGGTTCTTCATATATCTGTTAACATTTGGATTAGTTTTGCCTGTCATATTACGGGACTTCAGATTCTCCATCTACTACAGAAATAATGATAGCGAGAAATATGGACAAATGATTCTAAGAAAAACAAATGAAGAGAGGAAAGAAAAGGCCAATGAGTTTATACAACGATACAATAAAACATTTCATAATAATATAGAAAAGCACAAACTAGAAGTTACACATGGCATTGATACTAAAGATGGTAAGATGTTGGACTTTGTTGTTACCATAGTTACTGTATCAAGGAACAAACACACATTTGATAGCTATGAACCAAAATATCTGTCACAAACAGTGTGGAAATTCTTAGAAATGCCCAACCCAAACAGTTCCTCAATGAAAAATTTTAGACTTTGTATTTGTAATGTGGATGACGATCCCGAAAAGTATAAAGAGGCACAATTACTTAGAAGTATAGTTACTACATTCCAACGCTTTAATAAATCGGAACCAAATAAAGAACATATCCTGGAGAAAGAAAAACAGGACTATGTGTATTGCCTCAATAGCTCTCTTCAACTAAACCCAAAGTATGTTCTCCTTGTTGAAGATGATGCTCTTCCAAAGGAAGATCTATTTCCAGTCCTGGAGCATGTGATAGCACACAGAGACCTTGCTCATTATGAAACACTCACACATGCCTCAACAGATGACATTGCTAGTAATGTATTAAACCTGGGCACAAAATCAGAGATGTCAACTGAAAATAATTCAACAGATGCTGCTCCATATGCTCATGACAAAGTTTTATATTATAAGCTATATCATCCCGAGAGGCTTTTAGGTTTCATAAGCTTCGAGCCTGAACGACTACCCGAATTACTAGGTATAAGTGTACTGCTTGGGTACTTAGTGTTCATGATTTTGTTTCCATGTTCACGGTATCTCCAGCACAACAGAACTAAATCCCTGGTATTGATTTCTTTATATTGGTGCCTTGTTGTTTTGGCTATTGGAAGACCACATCTAGTAACTTTGCGCTCTATATCAAAATATCTCTACAGTGTAGTTCCAGCACCAAGCTGTTGCACTCCTGCGATGCTGTATCCTTCTGGTAGTGCAAGAGAAATCATTGAATATCTCAGTAAAGTTAAATGTAAAAAGGACTATGCTAAAGACATGGCTCTTGAGGACTTTCGAAAGGCAACTTTCCACAGATCATTAATGGTGCAACCCAACTTATTCTCCCATATTGGCCTTTACTCTAGTTTGAGAGATGCAATTCTGCCTCCTCATCTTATATATGACACTTGACATAAATACATATGCATTCCTGCGATAATAATCAAACAAATAAATGTTAAAGTAAACATTGCAAGGATACTTTCCTAAAAATTGAAATACACCCATGGTGTTTAAATATTGTTTTAAACCTGAAAATATCGAGGCAGGCCCAAGTCTGTGTTGTCTTGGATGTCTCTAGTTGGTTCTCCATCTCATAGAGAAGGTTTATATTTTAATAAAGAGAAAACTAATACATAATTTTACATTTAAGTGGTTCATACAAGTCATGAAATATGGAATTGGAAATAATTGATTTTATACAATTTATTTTACCATAGTGTGATGTTAGTGCTGCTTTCACATTGACAATGCTACCATCTATATATTTGTACATGGACAGCTGTTTGGCAGTGTATGCCCTCTTTTCAAATAATTAGTAACTAAATCAAACAATCCCGACCAATCTTGGAGATCCAAAGAAACTAGAGTGTATTGACAAGGTTTATAATGTCATCCTTTGCAGACAGTGCAGTTTTTAACAAAATTTTCCAATGTGATAAAAAGTAAGAATGACATCATAACCAATAGGTGGTATGATTTGTATAACACTTGTATAACATTCTTAATGTTAAGGTCGAGGTGCATGTTCGGAATTGTGCTGCAACCCTCAATAGGGTCACATGTTATTTTTCAAATTTGAATCACTCCTTCCCGACAGTGTCTACATCTCTCACTTTTGCACAACAAGTGCACTAATGTATCTAGAAAAGAATGTAAAGAAGAATGTTTTGATAAAATGTATAAAAAACAAGAAAATTCAGTGAAAAAAATTCAGAATATTTTCAGAAAATATTTTCACTGAATTTTCTCATTGTTTATACATTTTACAGTCTTTTCTAGGCACATAAGTGCACTCTTTGTGCAAAGCTGGAAGATGTAGACAATGTGTGGAAGGAGTGATTCCTGTTTGGAAAATTTACGTGACTCAATTGAGGAATGCAGAAAAATTCCAAACATGCACCCTGGCCTTCGGTCAATGCATTAGGAATGAGCATTTTTTGCTATAATTTCTAATGAAAAAAATGTTATCCACAAAAAGCAATTTGTTGCAAATGGAATGCCTCTGTCCCAAATGAAATTGTGATTCAATTATTTTAACTTCTGTTGATTTAATTTTTAAAGCTAGAAAACAAAATTCCAATGAGAGTTGAAAATGTTGCCCTGAATTTCCCATTGACATACAAAACCAAAGTGAGACCATAAACGTATTTGGAACCAGACTTGCTGTACAATCAGAGGAATACCAAGTATCTAAACAAAATGTAAACAAATCAAATGTAAACATGGGAGGCAACTGTAAATAGGCGAGGCAAATGAAAATAGGTGAGCCAAATGTAAATAGGTGAGGAAAATGTAAATATTCGAGGCAAATGTAAATAGTTGAGGCAAATGTAAATAGGTGAGGCAAATATAAATAGGTGAGCCAAATGAAAATAGGTGAGGAAAATGTAAATATTCCAGGCAAATGTAAATAGTTGTTGCAATTGTAAATAGGTGAGGCAAATGTGAATAGCTGGGGCAAATATAAATAGGTGAGGAAAATGTAAATACTCGAGGCAAATGTAAAAAGTTGAGGCAAATGTAAATAGGTGAGGCAAATGTAAATAGGTGAGGTAAATGTAAATAGGTGAGGAAAATGTAAATATTCCAGGCAAATGTAAATAGTTGTTGCAATTGTAAATAGGTGAGGCAAATGTGAATAGCTGAGGCAAATGTAAATATGGGAGGCAAATGTAAATATTTGAGGCAAATATAAATAGGTGAGCCAAAAGAAAATAGGTGAGGAAAATGTAAATAGGTGAGGTAAATGTAAATAGGTGAGGAAAATGTAAATATTCGAGGCAAATGTAAATAGTTGAGGCAAATGTAAATAGGTGAGGCAAATATAAATAGGTGAGCCAAATGAAAATAGGTGAGGAAAATGTAAATATTCGAGGCAAATGTAAATAGTTGAGGCAAATGTAAATAGGTGAGGCAAATGTAAATAGGTGAGGCAAATATAAATAGGTGAGCCAAATGAAAATAGGTGAGGAAAATGTAAATATTCGAGGCAAATGAAAATAGTTGAGGCAAATGTAAATAGGTGAGGCAAATGTGAATAGTTGAGGCAAATGTAAATAGGTGAGGCAAATGTAAATAGGTGAGGCAAATGTAAATAGGTGAGGCAAATGTAAATAGTTGAGGCAAATGTAAATAGGTGAGGCAAATGTAAATAGATTAGGCAAATGTAAATAGGTGAGGCAAATATAAATAGGTGAGCCAAATGAAAATAGGTGAGGAAAATGTAAATATTCGAGGCAAATGAAAATAGTTGAGGCAAATGTAAATAGGTGAGGCAAATGTAAATAGGTGAGGCAAATGTGAATAGTTGAGGCATATGTAAATAGGTGAGGCAAATGTAAATAGGTGAGGCAAATGTAAATAGGTGAGGCAAATGTAAATAGTTGAGGCAAATGTAAATAGGTGAGGCAAATGTAAATAGGTGAGGCAAATGTAAATATTCGAGGCAAATGTAAATAGTTGAGGCAAATGTAAATAGGTGAGGCAAATGTAAATAGGTGAGGCAAATGTGAATAGTTGAGGCAAATGTAAATAGTTGAGGCAAATGTAAATAGTTGAGGCAAATATAAATAGGTGAGCCAAATGAAAATAGGTGAGGAAAATGTAAATATTCCAGGCAAATGTAAATAGTTGTTGCAATTGTAAACAGGTGGGGCAAATGTGAATAGCTGAGGCAAATGTAAATATGGGAGGCAAATGTTAATATTTGAGGCAAATATAAATAGGTGAGCCAAAAGAAAATAGGTGAGGAAAATGTAAATACTCGAGGCAAATGTAAATAGGTGAGGCAAATGTAAATAGGTGAGGTAAATGTGAATAGCTGGTGCAAATATAAATAGGTGAGGAAAATGTAAATACTCGAGACAAATGTAAAAAGTTGAGGCAAATGTAAATAGGTGAGGCAAATGTAAATAGGTGAGGTAAATGTGAATAGCTGGGGCAAGGCAAATGTAAATAGGTGAGGCAAATGTAAATAGGTGAGGTAAAAGTAACTATGAGAGGCAAATGTAAATAGGTGAGGCAAATGTAACTACACGAGGCAAATGTAAATAGGTGAGGCAAATGTAAATAAATGACAAATGTAAAAAGGTGAGGCAAATGTAAATAGGTGAGGAAAATGTTAATAAGAGAGGCAAATGTAAATAGGTGAGGCAAATGTAAATAAATGACAAATGTAAATAGGTGAGACAAATGTAAATAAATGACAAATGTAAAATTGTGAGGCAAATGTAAATAGGTAAGGGAAATGTAAATATGTAAGGCAAATGCAAATAGGTGAGGCAAATGTAAATAGGCAAGGCAAATGTTAATACGAGAGGCAAATGTAAATAGGTGAGGCAAATGTAAATAAATGACAAATGTAAATAGCAAATGTAAATAGGTAAGGCAAATGTTAATACGAGGGGCAAATGTAAATAGGTGAGGCAAATGTAAATAAATGACAAATGTAAATAGCAAATGTAAATAGGTAAGGCAAATGTTAATACGAGGGGCAAATGTAAATAGGTGAGGCAAATGTAAATAAATGACAAATGTAAATAGGTGAGGCAAATGTAAATATATAAGGCAAATATAAATAGGTGAGAAAAATGTTAATATGGGAGGCAAATGTAAATAGCTGAGGCAAATATAAATATAAGAGGCAAAAGTAAATAGGTGAGCCAAGTGTAAATAGGTGAGGCAAATGTAAATAGGTGAGTCAAACATAAGTATGTGAGGCAAACGTAAATAGGTGAGGCAAATGTGAATAGCTGAGGCAAATTTGTGAGGTAAGCTGGTGAGGATAAATGAGATGTACAGTAACACTTGTCTATGTAGAGCACCTTTGGTACCTCTTAAAGTGTTCCACTTGGGAGTTTCATTCATAGAGGTTCATTTAACATAAGTCGGTTGTTTTTGGGACTCTGAGAAGTGTTCCACTTTACATTTTAACTACTATTGGACTCATAGATCATACAAATTCTGAATCATAAGACATATTTCTGTACAATTTTTGTGAGGCAATTGTCTCATCTGCCTCATGCCTGGCTATGACCATGACAGTACTGTGCAAGAGCATGGCATGCTGTTTCCCTCAAAAAAGCACTTTAGCTGAAAGTGGGAGTGTATGACAAATATCTTAGATGTGGCATGGCATTACTCATATATTTCATTTAAATATCGAATATTACATTTTATGTATATAATTAATTACCATTATACTTCCTGAACAGATTTTTCAACCGATTCCCCCTGTTCTACATTATTGAGAGAAGTAACCATGGTAATACCATCCCCGGAACCTTTAGATGTATCATTCGCATGGTCTTTGGCTGATATGATAACCACTTCTTGTTCAGTGTCATTATTCACACCTTTTGGGACAAGGAATGAGAACCTCTGATTTTCTCCCTGAAATTCTTCATTAAAGTCTGGAATGTCTATGAGATACGCCTCATTGTCTATCATGATTCTATGTTTCCCCGGAGGTAGCAGGTATTTCTCCTGGGATTTATCATCAGAGGTTGCATCAGACGCATTAGAACAAACCATTGTCCTCATACTTGGGCCTGAATAGTTCTGTACAGTCATCCAAGCCGTCTGAGGCTTAGTTGAGGCAGCTTCGGGGTACATTTTTGTGAAGTCTGTATTAGATGGGAGACTATCCCAATCCTCTTTGGTATGATGATGAGCTAAATGTCGGCTTAAACTGGCATTTGTGTCAGTTGAGAATGAACAAACGGGACATTTGAACTTCCCTGGTTTGAGATGATGTAGCATGTGTTTTTTCAGATTATTTTGACTTGAAGGCCCTTTTGAGTAATACTTACAATACAGGCACTTAAACAAGAGAGGGTCATCATTTTGTAGATCTTCTGTAGCAACTTTTGTTGATTCTGAGAAGTAAATAACATTTTCATCCTGATTAACTGCTGCCACAACTAAATCTTTTTTTGATTTTAAACGTTTTGCAATATCAGATTCTTCATTAGAGGCTGATCGTTTTTGCCCAGCTGAGAACACTGGGATTACATGACCTCCAGTGGAGTCATCAATGTCCATTACAAGAGAATCGGATGCTGGTATGACTCTGTTGACCTCCTCTGATTGCTGTCTGTCCACGAATGGAGACCGATGGAGTATTTCACTCCCATGTTTCTCCCGGAACATCTTACATATCTCCTTAAGAGAAACAACATCAAGTTGAAACGCTGCCTTCTCAATTTTTTCAAATTCATCCAGATTTATATTAATCTCTCCAACATAGAAGAATTTGATAAGTTTGCGGATGATGTCTGAGGGAAAATCAACTACAACAGATCTAACTCCAGTGGTGAACTTCTTTTTCAGGACAGGACTGACTCCGACTATGATGGTCTTGTGAACAGGAATGAATGCACCTGGAAGAAACAAAGTGGATCTTTCATAAACATGATAACACAATTATATAAGATGGTGGTTTCCTCCCACTAGTCCCATTGGTTTGTGCAGTGATCTCCCCAGCATTAAAGCAATTGGGCACAGCACCCACCTGAGATTTTAAAAACAGGCTTGTACCTACTTGAGATTTCATTTGTACCCACTTGAAAATGAGAAAATCATATAAAATTGGCATATTTTGACCAACTTTGGACTGAAATGTGAAAATGAGAATTTTTCACCCACTTGAGAAAAAATCCTGGTGAGAACACTGTTGTGTATAGATATAAGTGCATTTCTGATGTCTACCTTTTTGTCATTGAAAAGGTTTGGCAGTCAAAATTTCCGACTGTCAGTAAACAGTCGGCCAGTGACCAGATTCTTACTGTCAAAAATATGGTTAAGTATTGTTTTCTTTAGCTGTTGGTCGATTGTGATTCTTTACTGTTTCTAATGGATCTTTTTGGTCAAATATAGGAAAAATACATGTTTTTACATGTGCGGAAAATGTTTTACCTATAGAGTCATTGCTGACCAGAGCAGCGTCACAGTGCTGACCCTCCCGAGCCATGTTATAAAGTGTCTCCAGTAGCTCTATGCCATGGTGAGAATACACAAACATCTCTTCAATAGGTGTCTCTGGATCATCATTATCACTATCAACTGCAGTCTCTACAATATCATCTGGGCTAGAATCTGTGGAGACATTGTTTCCTAAAGAAGCTTTATGGATACCTGCGGCTGATAGATTAGAACCATTATCTGAGGTTTCACTGTGAAGTGCTTCAGGTGTCGCAGTGTTTTGTCTGCTTTGCACTGCTGCCATAGCTAGGCCTAGAAAGAAAAACAAACCTATGCAATTTACTATTTACTAGATCTACTTGACAAAGGCCTAAATCTTTATTTTGCGGACTCAGTCCAATTGGTCACTTCAACTCTCTGAGCATTTCTTTATATTTAAAACGTTTGTATTTCAAATACCATAAGATATATATTCTCCTGACCTGTAGGCTGGACTGAGTCTCAGTCTGAGAGTCTAGACTGTATCCTTCGTCTGAATAAATATTCAGACTGTAAGTCACCTATTGTAAAATGTGGTGTTGTATAAATGTTACAAATAAGTTTGTTTAATGATAAAATGATTACCTTATAAAGAACTTACAATATTATTTTTTCGTATATTGTCCTCTTACTGAAGATATTCATAAAATGTACAGACGCTTCTTGTAGCGAAGCCATTGATTAGGTCAAGCCATTTTGGCAATGCCAATTCTCACGATAAACTAGATTTAGCCAGTGACGTCAGTCTATTTGTAAACAAATAACACGTGGAGCGGACTGAGAAAAATTACGGAAGCGTATTGCTAAATTCCATTTGTGCGGGAATTTATTAGATCTAGTCATTTATTATCATTATCCCGATTAATTTTCTTCATTTATAGTAAATAGAGCGGAAATATTCATGAAGAAGGCCGAGGTAATCAAGTGGTCATGTGTTGTCAAAGTTCAAAATTTGCATATCTCGTTTGGATCTCGTGAACTTAAACGTCCTTGACATTGATTTCGCGATCTACTTATGAACACATCCAGAAGTTTTGGTGAGTCTGAACATTTCATTATTTTATATCAACTTGTACCCGCCTTATACAAATATTTTTGCTTCTAGTTAAAGATGAACATCTCTTCAACATATTCACCAATTTTCAACGTGAACATTCCTATAATAAACGAGAAATTAATGTGCAAAAAATATCACCGCGATTTCCACAGGAAATATATCAATCATAACAGACCGAATATTATATTCGGTCTGTTGGATACATACTATCTGAGAGTCTGAGACTTCTATTCTATGCTAATTGAATTGATTCTAAAAAAAAAAAAATCAAGTTTCACTGACCTTTTGGTGTGGAATTGTAATAGAACGGCCACTCTTTTGTCAACTTAAATAATACGCAAGTGATGCTTCTACCTTTATAAAATACTTTTACGAATCTTTTTTGAATGTGTAGCTAAATACACCGTGTTTTTCTAAAATAAGTGAAAACATTCCACAACATTTTCTTATGAGTTTTCAGAAAACTAAACCGGAAATGAAGAGTCATGACACACCAAATATCTAACAGACCGCCACAAATATTCCGAAATAAGTGCCATTATTATTCAGCGTGTTTTTACTAAAAGCAGTATGTATTCCACTTTTTCATTCCTCATCTGCTACTAAATAAGAGTAATTTATTAAGGCATATTTTCATGTAATGGTTTATTATATTGATTATGTATTAGATAGTACTCTTTTGTGAACTGTTGTTTTCCATGGCAAATCCAATTTCTGAATGTGAGACTGAGAGTGGTACACAGTGTACAATGACAAGCCAAGATTTAAATGTTTTGAATTTAGCCAAGCATATGGTGTACACACAGGGAGCTATTTACACTGCTCATAATCATTTTCTTTTTCTAGTGATGCTCTTCGTCATTTCGTTAGTCGCGTCCATCTCAAAAATATTTCAAATACTAGCCGTGTTGAATAATATATTTTCTTCATATATTTATATGGTGGAAAGATGTATCTTTGTAAATAATTAACGCATATTTTTATGATAAGAACATTTTTCACGGTGGCCACCTTTGGAAATGGCAACACTTTTTGGATAAATAAAAATTGGCAACCAATCACTGTGTCCTTATTCGAGTCTCTAGCCAAAACTTGGCTAGAGGAGATTTCATCTGGAATACTGTGAACTCTATTTGAAAAAAGCTGGCCATGGTGTCATAAATTTATTGAATATTTTAAAAATCGCCAGATAAATAAATCATTAATCAAACTGGACCCAGCTCGGCTCCTTGATGAGATATGACATGATTTCATCAGGATTTCGTCTAAAATTAAAACAAAATGGCTCCAAGAAAAATGGCGATGTTCGAAAACTGGACGAAATGTCGTTAACGTCTGACATTAGTAACTGGCTGTAAATTCTAAGTTAGCGATCCAGAAGATGTGAACTAATACACTGATCACTTGATGTGTGTTTTGGAATTTTTGGTGAGGTAATAAGACCAAAACTCGCAATTCAAATTGTGATGTGGAAAAATGGCGGACATATGATTTCAAATTTTATGATTACGACATGACCAGTTGTTCATGCAGGAATATATCTGTACTGAAAGGCCACGATACAGTGGCCTTAGAAGAAGGTAACTGTGTCCAATCACTAGATGAAGGTAGATATTTTGAATCTCAGGAGCACACCCCTGTACAAAAGTTGACCAGGGTTTTGCTTTGTATTTTTAATTTTTTTTTTTACTTCATTGTTGCATTTTTATTCTGATCTCGTTTCTAATACAGTAAAACCTGCCAAGTTAAACGCCACTATTTCGTGGAACACCTCTTTTAAGTGGATCAACTTTGTACAGTCCCATGACCCAATAACTTAATGGTAATCTAACCAAGGATATTCTACTTACACAGGTTCTACCTAATATCAAATGTATACAGTCCAGTGATCTCCCTAGCATTTAAGCAAGTGGGCGCAGCACCAACCTGAGATTCTAAAAACAGGCTTGCACCCACATTAAAATCCATTTGCACCCACTTGAAAATGAGAAAAATCTTCCAAGCATTACAGCAAGTGGGCGCAGCACCCACCTGAGATTTTGAAACTAGGCTTGCACCCACCTGAAAATCAATTTGCACCCACTTGAAAATGAGAAAATACATGAAAAATTGGCATTATTTTACTGATTTTGGTCCAAATAGTGAAAATGAGAATTTTGCACCTCCAGTGGAGAACTCTGCAATGTATGCTTATAATATAATTCTTAAATATTGTATTTAGTGTATTATATCGTTGCTACAGCATTCAGTATAAGCTTATATCATTCTAAAATGTTGTATTTAGTGTATTATATCGTTGCTACAGCATTCAGTATAAGCTTATATCATTCTTAAATGTTGTATTTAGTGTATTATATCGTTGCTACAGCATTCAGTATAAGCTTATATAATTCTTAAATGTTAAATTTAGTGTATTATATCGTTGCTACAGCATTCAGTATAAGCTTATATAATTCTTAAATGTTAAATTTAGTGTATTATATCGTTGCTACAGCATTCAGTATAAGCTTATATAATTCTTAAATGTTGTATTTAGTGTATTATATCGTTCTACAGCATTCAGTATAAGCTTATATAATACTTAAATGTTAAATTTAGTGTATTATATCGTTGCTACAGCATTCAGTATATAAGCTTATGTAATTCTTAAATGTTGTATTTAGTGGATTATATCGTTGCTACAGCATTCAGTATAAGCTTATATAATTCTTAAATGTTGTATTTAGTGTATTATATCGTTGCTACAGCATTCAGTATAAGCTTATATAATTCTTAAATGCTGTATTTAGTGTATTATATCGTTGCTACAGCATTCAGTATAAGCTTATATAATTCTTAAATGTTATATTTAGTGTATTATATCGTTGCTACAGCATTCAGTATAAGCTTATATAATTCTTAAATGTTATATTTAGTGTATTATATCGTTGCTACAGCATTCAGAACAATTTATTTACATGATCTGAACCAAGTTCATATTTTTAAATTTTTGTTCCAGATACAGGAGTTGTGGTTGGCTGTTCATTTATCTTGAACAACACTGGAGAACATACAAGTTTTGCTAATGAAGAACTCTAGTTAATGAACTTTGATATAATAGATCAATAGGATAAATATTGTAACTACTGGTGTCTTTAAAATTGACAAAGAGCAGACATGGGTGAAAGACGTGACTCTGGGCCTATACCTCCCAGGTGGCTGCACTGTCCAAGAAAGGGAGGCATAATTGTAAATAAACTCCTACCATTAAAAACACCCCTTGATGGAAAGTTTGATAGTCAGATACCAGAGGCTAATCGATTCGATATTGACATGCTCTTTCTGTCTCTGCATGGTCGTAAAATAAAGATGGGGCTATTGATCGACCTCACAAATACGACTAGATTCTATGACAGCAAAACTGTCGAGAACAAGCACGAATGTCGATATGTTAAACTTCAATGTAGGGGCCATGGGGAATGTCCATCTGTCGAACAAACTAACATTTTCCTAAGTATATGTGAACATTTCATTCAACAAAAGCCTTTGGAAGTAATTGGCATCCACTGCACTCATGGCTTCAACCGCACTGGCTTCCTTATTGTGGCTTACCTAGTGGAGAAATTGGACTGGAGTGTGGAGGCAGCCGTTCGCACGTTTGCACAGATGAGGCCACCTGGTATATATAAGCAGGATTACCTTGAAGAGTTATTCCGTCGCTATGACGATGTTGAAGACACGCCTCCAGCTCCTCCTCTCCCTGATTGGTGCACAGAGAGTGATGACAGAGAGGATGATGGGAGTTTAAGAGATGATGGGAGCAAATCGGATGGTAGCAGGAAACGTCAGAAACGAGGGGAAACTGTGAAACTGGATGCCAAGTTCATGGATGGGTTGATTCCATCAGTTGAGTCTGTAACATCGCAACCAATGCTCAGTCAACTTCAACAAAGATGTCAAAAGATGACCAACTTTAAACAGTATGTAATTAACTTCTTTTCTTGGTTTCAATTCAGGGGTTTCACTAGAATTTCTCACAACAGGCTAAATAATTGAAAACAACAGGCAAAATGAATGGAAATCATAAATCAAACATGGAAAAATTGAAAAGTCCCTCAAAACAACAGGATTTTGTGGAAACAACCGGTGAAAATCGCTTGATCCCTGCTGCTAATGATACCCTTGCATTTCCTTCTTCAATCCATTCCAGCCTGTAAACATATGGGATATACATTCAAAAAAGTTCTTAGAACACTGTTTATTGTAAAGCTAGATTGAACTTCACAATTACGATGAATATCTACAAAAGTAACAATCATTAGGTCTTGACTTTGAGATATTTACCAGATTGTTGACTTGATTCTGAAATAACACTATTTTTGCAAATTTTCAATTCTCATGATTACAATACATGTGTACAATGATGCTTCTGCGTTTGCCTGTTTATAGTGTACCATTCAAAGGTTTGCATGAGACTCCTACATGTACATGGGGAGGGATGGAGGTTATGAGAAAATGGAATGTCAAATTCCCTTCCTATGTTGGGACTAACCAAAGTTAGTCTATTTTTCCACCCTGGCAGCAATAATAGCTGGTCAAATGTAATCAGCATTTCAAAAATCTTACTTTCAAGATAGAGTACTGTACAATGTCAAAATCTCACCCACCCCTTGTGTGTGGGAGCCTGGAGGCGGGTCTCACAGACACTATTGATCTGAATGGTGCATTTTTAAACACATGCATTTTATATTAGATTTACAATGATTGGATTGTTTAGGTCAGGTTTCCCTGGGTCTCAGCCAGTCTCTATGGACATTGACAACATGGATTTCCTCAGGACGAAGCCATACAAAGTCAGCTGGAAGGCTGATGGCACCAGGTCAGTTTTTAAAAGCTTTTTTACCAGGCCTTTTATAAACATAACATGCAGTACAAATAAACAGTGAGCACTGGGGCCTTAAGCCAGGATCTAAAATCTGGCAAGGCATGTACATCATTTTCAAATCAAAATGAAAATGATCAAAATTACAATTTTCTGAAATTGAGATTTCTGTCTTAGTAATTATTTGAGTGTCTGAGTTGCTTTCACACATAATCATCAATAAGTAGAGGTACATATCTGTTTTCTCAATTGAACACTCTATGTGTGCAGAAAAAATCACAAAGATTACATCATATTTGAGAAAAATTAAGACTACTACAGGTGTATTGACAGATAAATAGCATGTTTATTGTTCAGACTAACTGCTGTACATGTGAATATTGTACAGACTAACTACATAATGTATATTGTACAGATTTACTTTATGTATACATATTAAATACATTGATAAATTGACAAATTAATAATGAACTACATGTAGATATTTTGTAAATTCAAACTAATTACATGTACATATATATAATAGTACTTAATAAAATATATCTGCAAAATGTTTTGTAGATATCTGATGTTGATAGATGGGGTGGATGCAGTTTATATGTTCGACAGAGACAATGCTGTATTCCACATCCCGCACCTGATCTTCCCGAAACGGAAGAATCCCAAACAGTGTTTGAGTAATACCCTCGTAGATGGAGAAATGATCTTAGATGAAGTGGAAGGCAAGAAAATACCAAGATTCCTCATTTACGATATTGTAAAGTTTGAAGGTATTGATGTCGGACAAACTGATTTTGATCGTAGAATGTTATGCATTAACAAAGAAATCATCACACCCCGGCATGCCATGATCCAAGCTGGGCAATTAGACAAAACCAGGGAGCCATTCAGTATAAGAATGAAACCATTCTGGGATCTGACACAAGTTCGAAAACTACTAGATGGTCAGTTCAGTAAGGATGTCAGTCATGAGGTGGATGGCCTCATCTTTCAACCAGCTGCAGATCCTTATGTATGTGGTCGTTGCAAGGAGGTGCTCAAGTGGAAACCACCAAGTTTGAATTCTGTAGATTTCAAACTTCAGGTTACACAAGAAAAGAAACCTGGCTGTTTACCAGAGACAATAGGATATTTATTCGTTGGAGGAATGAAAGAACCATTCTCAACGATGAAAATCACAAAATCTTTAAAACAATATGATGGCAAGATCATTGAGTGCTCATGGGATGCCAAAATGAACACATGGAAATTTATGCGAGAGAGGACTGATAAGTCATTCCCTAATGGCTACAACACAGCTGTCGGAGTGATAAAAAGTATACAGCAGCCAGTAAATAAAGACAAACTGTTTGATATGATAGATCATCATAGATGGCAACCTGCTGAGAAAGCTGACAAACAATTAATGCCACCACCAAAACTACCATAGAATCAAATGAACACTGGAAACTGTTTTGTAATATCACAAACCATGCTAGCTTTAAGCAGTGGACTGTTTTTTTGAAAATGCATCTTTTAATTATCTCATCAGGAGATCCTGTCGAGAAAACATATCAAATTATCTTCCAAGAGCTAAGATATCTGGAAATGATTTGTAGCTTAAGGCACAGCACGAATGGAGGAAATTATTGTTGAAATATGAACTCGTATGAGCTCTGAAATAGTTCTACACATGAATAATATTTATTACCCAATGAATAAATGGCAACTTGCAATATTTATGAATAGGCACAATATGACTGGTTTTTGGGCAGTTTGTGTTATATTTTGAAGATTCTATATTATATTAGTCATGTACATTTTTGACATTAGCTCCATTAGCTACATTTAGCGTGACTGGAAGATTTTATATTGAGGCAAGAATAGCATATAATTTTGCATTGACAGGCATCAATGATGTTAAACAGCCATACAGGCTATTACCTTTATTACCTTTTTAAACTGGGGGCCATTAACAGAAACTTCGTAAAGTTAAGAATTCGTCAAATCTATTGTTCTCTAACTGTGATGTCATTATATCCATGGTTACAACAAATGGTTTTGTTAATGACCTCGCAAACTTGTATCCATGATATCACTTTTCTATTAACATTTGGTGGAAATATTACATGAAAATCTAAGAGTGTCAGGGTACATAGTATAACGGTATTACTGCATCATTGCAGATATCCAGCCATCTTTGAAACCATTTGATAATACAAGTTTACCTCCGTCCGACGTCCGTAGACCAATTTCTACCACATCCTAATTACTAGAGATATATGAAACGTGGTGATGTAAGTTTGATGGGTTATTAAAAGAGATAATCTGCTCGTTTTTCTGTCCATTTGACTGTCATACTGGTTGATAGATTTGGTTCAAATTTTATTGACTGATGTCTTAAGGGGTATTAACAGTAGGATATCTGCTTGAGTTAAGAGGAGGGAAAGTACAGATTTCAAAGATGATCATAACTTCAATGAAATGATCATCATCGCTGATTGGTCATATGTCATAGACGCTAACTAAATTTTCTAAAAACTCAATTAGGGCTCAATTAGAAGGGTATGCAACTCTGTGAAATAACATGAGACCTTCAAAATGGCAATACCATGCTCTCCTTTTATAGTAATACATGTATTTCAAAAAGTATTAGATAAATGTACATGGTGTTTTAATTGATATTACATGTATATTTTGTTATTTGATTTCACGTCAAGATGAAGAAAGGAATAAGGATTATATTTACGATTAAAACATTACATCGACATTAGTGGTATTCAGAAACTAGGTAATTGAAATTTGGAGGCAATGTGGGAGGCAAGAGAGGTAATTACGAGGTCATCTCTGACCTCTGGGGTTTTCCCTCCTCCTGTTTGGGAAGAAATTTTCAATATGTCCACTCAAATCAAAATGGCTACAATATTTCATGAAAAATGTAAGTTTTGATAACTGGAATATAAATTGATGGATTTGGTTCAAATTGTATAGGCTCGAGAATGTTTTATCAAGATGCCCTCCGGCGATTTGTGTATACATAATATGGTGTCACATGACATCATGGGTTCTGATTTTGCCAAACGGAGGTAATGCAACTGACTTGTTTTGTGTACTATCATATAATGTTTAATGAGTGATTATCATTTGACAAAATGTTTTTGAATTGCTACTACGGGAAGTTGCCGTTTTTTCTAGTTGTACAAGATATATTGCATCGTAAACATCACGCATCCAACAAATGTTAAAAGTTGAAACACCAGCAAAAGTTGAAAAAGTCACATAAAAGAAACCAGAGTCTTATAAGCTATGAGACAATTCTCATATAAACAGATTGTTAACGTCTGCCTCAGTGCCGCAGGACTACTAGTGTGAATCAATTTACCTTTTCACCCATATTAGTCTATATCTAATTAAACAAAGGAAGGAGAACGTTCACATGGGCGAAGTCGGGCATGAGGGTTTGAGACAACTGTTTTTAGCTCACATGTTGAGCTATTGCAATCACTCACTTGTCCGTCTGTCTGTATGTCTGTCCGTCCATCTGTCTGTCCGCCTGTCAACAATTGGCCCGTTTTAAAACCTCTGTCAATAGGATTCCCGTTTTGAGTTATTTTTGTTCAACATCAATACAGAAAACTCCCATACGACTCCTGGTTCAAAAGCTCGCCTATTGTCAAAATGGTCGCCATTTTTGTACCGCGAAATTCACAAACAAAGCTTTGTCCTGCATAGTAAAAAGCCATGTCATTGTAAAGAGTAGTTGTATGAAATAATTTTGTTACAAAAAAACGGCAAAAAAATGTATCCATTTTAGCCATCATTCATTTTTGAGCAACCCCATGTAATCCCAGTACCCACGGTACTATTTTTTGAAAAAACATAATCTTTGATGGATTTGGGTCATATTTTATATGCTGATATGCTCTATTCAAGAAGAAATTTTCAAGATGGCCACTTATCAAAATATGTTCAGTGAGATTTGCTTCTCCGTGGAGTTGCTGTGTTTTTTTTCTAGTTACTCTACCAATGCGATTCCTTATTACCACTCCACCCACACGACTCATTATTACCATTCTACCAACTTTATCCTTTTTACCACATTGCCACTCGGTGGCCACCACAATCCCTTATTACCACTTTACCAACTTGCTCCTTAAACACATTTCCACTCGGCCAACACAATCCCCGATTATCACTCTACCAACTTGATCCTTTTTACCACATTACCATTCGGCCAACACAATCCCTTATTATCACTCTATCAACTTGATCCTTTTTACCACATTACCATTCGGCCAACACAATCCCTTATTACCACTCTATCAACTTGATCCTTTTTACCACATTACCACTCGGCCAAGACAATCCTCGATTATCACTCTACCAACTTGATCCTTTTTACCACATTACCACTCGGCCAACACAATCCCTTATTATCACTCTACCAACTTGATCCTTTTTATCTCTTATTATCACTCTACCAACTTGATCCTTTTTACCACATTACCATTCAGCCAACACAATCCCTTATTATCACTCAACCAACTTGATGCTTTTTACCACATTACCACTCTATCAACTTGATCCTTTTTACCACATTACCACTCGGCCAAGACAATCCTCGATTATCACTCTACCAACTTGATCCTTTTTACCACATTACCACTCGGCCAACACAATCTCCGATTATCACTCTACCAACTTGCTCCTTTAACTCATTTCCACTCGGCCAACACAATCCCCGATTATCACTTTACCAACTTGATCCTTTTTACCACATTACCACTCGGCCAACACAATCCCTTATTATTACTCTTCCAACTTGATCCTTTTTACCACATTACCATTCAGCCAACACAACCCCTTATTATCACTCAACCAACTTGATGCTTTTTACCACATTACCACTCGGCCAACACAATCTCTTATTATCACTCTACCAACTTGATCCTTTATCACATGACCATTCGGCCAACACAATCCCTTATTACTCAACCAACGCGATCCATTTTACCACATTACCATTCGGCCAACACAATCCCCGACTATCACTAACCAACGCGATCTTTTTTACCACATTACCACTCTTCCAGCACGACCACTTTATACCACACCAGCAAGGCGATTCCTTTATTAGTATTACCACTCTACTGACACGATCCATTCTTACCAATATACCCGGGCCAATATACAACAAACTTATTTTTATTTTCATTATCATTTATTTCATTTTACATTTCAAAAGCTAAAGCACAATGTATTACTTGTAACTTGTTATTTTAGGGCACTTTGAGTATACAACAGTATACAATAGGGCATATTGAGTATACAATGGTATACATAGTATATAAAACATTGAGTATACAAATAGGGCATATAACAATAGGGCACATTGGGTCTACAATACTACAATAGTAAACAGAGTATATAAACACATTGAGTATACAATATTATTATTTCCATGCCGTCAATTAGATACCATGGAACTAAAAATATATAGAGGTATTCCATGTCTCCCTGCTTAGAAAACGTGTGAAGAGTGTATTCACCGGCAGTGACGTCATTTTTAGTGAATACCACTATATATTCAATTAAAATGACGTCACATCACTTAATTCCCTGAAAGGAGCACGTAGGTTATCGCAAACAATTTCAAACGATTCTAACTTGAATTATGAATATTTTCTGATCATGAACATGGGTGTATCTTTTAGATCCATTCATTATCTTCAAGAAAAGTATATATAATGATAATTTAGTTAATCAGACCTAAGTGATATTGAAGGGGCAATGGACCAATCAACATACTTTTTCAAAAATGTTGACCTAGTTTTCACCAAAAATGCAACCCATTATTATATTGTTGAATCCATAATTAGAATGTGCTTTGAGACATGTTCGATTTTTAAAAGGAAAATTTGATTGCTCCAGGGACTTTAAAGATATTCAATTTGGATGACCAAAATGAACTGAAACCAATGGATAGCATGAGATTTTTCAATGGAATAATAACATGGGGAACACTTATCTTAATGCAATTAAGTTTTTCTTTTAAGAACTATTTGATACATCAAAATAAAGAATAGTAATGCATTAAAAATTGTAAAAAATGATTGCATTTTTGGTGAAAATGGCGTCAACATCTTCAAAATGGGGTCAAAAAGTGTGTTGATGGGTTAATTTCTAGTTAAATATCTCCGAGTTTGTTTGAATTTATTATTACTGTGCATAATTTTCTTAGAGATAATGAATTGATCTAAAAGATAAACTTGTCTTCATTCTCAGAAAATAGTCATAATCCAAGATATAACCTTCTGAAATTGTTTGCGATAACCCACGTGCTCTTTTAGTAAAAAGTATTTTCATCCGATATGACAGGCGGTGAAGTTGTATCAGGAAGTCCTCCCAAGAAAATGTTCAATACTGCATAACAAACGCGGGATCCATAAAGATTTTACAAATGCATTCAAAATGTCAACTAATCAAAGCACGAAGACTATGGACTTTAACATGGAAGATCCGAATCTAATTTTATATATTATGGTGTGACAGAGATGGTGATTTATAACAGAATATTGGCAACCGTTTGGAAGTTGAAACTAAACGTCATATAATAACAATATTGTGTACTTCTAACTTTAATACGGTGTGCTACTTTAATGAGGAAATAATTAAACAAATATTGAATTCTGTGGTCGTTTTATATCTGTATATATTTCTTAGGGATGTATTCACCTCGCCCTTCGGGTTGCAGTGAAAACACCTTCAGAAATATATACAGATCTCCACAGAACTCAATATTTGTATAGTATACAATATGGCATATTGAGTATACAATAGTATCTAGAGTATATAGAGCAACAAATTATACAATATACATGTAATCGTAAAATATTGTACACGTGTCATCTTAACTAACGTTTAACAAGCTAACTGTTACACGAGGGGAAAGTGTACCCGTGTATATACAACCTACCGCCGAGCAAAGACCCGAAGATGTCTGAAAATGTAGGGGATAAGTTAATAACCTCCTGTTTTATATTGAATTTCTCAAAATGAGAAATAGATAAAACACAGAATTGTTTGTAACCGATATAATTGTTGTTCCATGCACTCATGTTTAGAGAATAATGAGTACTTAATGCATATATTTACTATCAAATCGCTAAATTCAACTTCTAAATATTAGAATGATGTTTTACATCTTAAATAAGTAAGAACCATGGCTGTATTTACTCCATTTGATTCAAAGATACAATAGGTGCAAATATATTACATTTGTTTCACTGCCATACGTTGCATATCATTGAAATCACCGGTGAAAGTTGAAAATGAAAGACCCGATTATACCACGAGTACGATTCAATAAGACCCGATGCTACCGCCTGAGTATTCCGATTATACCGTGAGTAAAACCCGATGAGGTAGTGAGTAAGCTTTCGAATGATCATATAATAACGTGAAGTATATCACAAATATTCCTGTTAATATGATATAATCCCCGCAGCACTATACGTCAATGTCTGTGTCCCGCGAAGTTCTTTAAAACATTGAATTCATGCTTTCACTCGAATCACCATAATTTTCATTGTTGATGATATCACCACTTCTATTATCTGACTATGCTCATAATCCAATGAGTTTGGTACGTGTTATTTTGTATCTACCAAGACGGTAAACATATGAAAAATAGTTATATATTTTGATTGGTCTAAAATGTGCAAAGTTTACCAATTATGCTCATTCGATCTCAATATTGAATACAATATGATATCAGTAGAAAGGCTACTAAAATGAAAAAGGATTGACCAGTAGAGATTAGGAACGTGACACATTCATTTTTATCCATAAATATGGATAAAAATTGATTTAAATGCAATTCATTCGCTCTCAAGTTTGACTAAAATATCAGTACAACGGCTCCTAAAATGAAGAGAGATCATATTCATAATTGATTTAAACGCAATTCCGCGCTTTTCCCATCCTCCAATGTTGATAGCCTAATTTCTGTTGTGTCAGTCTGGGTCAAAATGTTACAATAGTATTAATAACGAGTAACCCTTCTAATAAAGGCAATTAAATCAAGGTTCAAAAACTCCCAAAAGTAACACTAACACTATTTCATCATCAGCATGTCATAGACTCGACGATATAATCGGATCTCAACAGATTTTACTCAAGTAATGTTCGGATTCTGAGATCATTTACTCAAGATATTTTCGGATCTTTATAATATAACTCGTCGATCACATCGGGTCCGATGTCCGATAACATCGGATCTTTTGGGACAACGTTTATGTTAAGATTTTGCTGTTCAAAAGTGCTATTTTGACCTAATATTTTGACACTTAATATATTATACATATGACATACATTTGCTGGCCCAAGTATGTCTTATGTATGGCTCATTATCAATTAAAGCGAGTATGAATGAGAAAAACAAATCGAAAACCATTATACGTTTAACTTATCTCTCAATTTGGACATAACAAATATATTTCAACTATAATTCTAGGCCAATTCCGCCTGCTAGAACATCTTAATAACGATTCTAACCATCCAAGGGAATCGATAGAGATCCAATATTACCTTTATTGTCCATTTTCCTATGAGATGTAGTTAACCAAACATTTGATAGGCGGTATATGCGTGTCTTGCTCGGCGGTGGGTTGTATATACACGGGTACACTTTCCCCTCGTGTGTTAGTAGAAAGCTTTCGATATAAGTAATCTTTGGGAAACCTTCCTCCCCAGTAAAAGTTGGAGCTAGTTGCAAAGAACTGCTGAAAACCTATATCAAAAGCTCTCTAATATTACACGATGAACTTCAAATTATTTAAAGCACACTGACTCGGTGATCGGAAATTCTAGCAGAAATTGCTTGCTCCCCTCTCTCCATCCAATTTTTATTTAACATATCATGCATTTAGCTCCAGTCCATTGTGACTGAATCTAGATCAACTGTACAATTATTTATCTATATCTGATCTCATCAGTGCCATACCATACAGTCATGTATCTGGTTATTTTTCTAGATGGCTCTTGTGTGTCCCTTGAATTTTGGCTTTTTCAATGCAATAAATTAGTTCATTATTGTCATCCATACGTATTGTATTATCTCTTGTTGAGACAGCGATCAGTGTTTTGTGAACTCTCTTCAAAGTGAACAACAATTAGAGTTCACAAATCCTTGCTCAATTTCTATATAACTAACTATACAAAATTCTGGTGGCTCTTGGGAGTACTGTCATTCATCATTACAAAAATACATCTGCCCTTCAAAAATGGCAATTGACCACCAAACTCTATTACCCGATCAATCTTTCACCTGTTGAAGCAAGTCGGGGAAGCTACTAAACGAAGTAACAATTTGTTCTTCACTGACAAATCCCTCTTTCGAAATCAGCCACCATGTTGTTTGCTGCGATCCCTGAAAACAATAAAATTAGTGAAAGGCAAAATTTTAGCGGCAAAGATTAAGTAGATTTTGCAAAATTTCCCCCAAATTCACCGATACCGTGTTTTTGTGAATCCTTGATGCATTATAATTGCAAATATGAACCAAAGCAGTATTCAAGTTAAAGTAAAAGTAAACAGATTTCAAAAGTCGACAGTAGTCATTTTGAGAGGGGACATCGATTTGAAAAAAAATCTTATAGATGAACATATAGAGGACATTCAGGATGATACTATTCTCTTATGTGTGCTTCTACACGCTATGTCGTAACATAAGATGTATTTATACAGGGTGTTTCATAATCACGGTCCCCACCTTCACAGCTAAGATTACGGCATCACAATCTATATAATATTATCATAAAGCTTTTTGGACTTGTTTGCCAACTACTGGTATGATTGATCATCGGGAACATAATTTGTCCACACTTGTTTGCTAAGTCACCATTACCCTAATTTGCTAGATTTATGGCCGCCTTTTGTAATGAATATATAAAAAGAAGAGCAGATAATTGTATGATCTATTGTAGCATTTATAATTCTTTGGGTAGTTCTTCAATTTTTCTTTCAAATATTAAGATACATCCTTAATTAGCATCTATCGAATTCTAAAGTTGGTCATTACTTAATATAATAGTGGTCTGACCCTTGGTTATCATTGCTTTTATGTTTTTGACACGTTACAGGGTTCACAGTTAATTTTTATAAAATTCGTCTGCTCGATTGCATGCCATCCATTCCATCAAAAAGTCACCCTTTGCAGTGATATGTAGCAAGCTGTATAGCTGCTGAGCTAATCAAAGTTGCTGCAATAATTTCAGAATGGAACAAGCTTCCATACATATGGAGAGATTGGTGAATGGTGGGGGGGGGGGGGGGGGGTCGACACTGTATACTAATTCCTCGTGAAATCCTTGGGTCCTTTTTAAACGATTCCAGTTACCCCCTTTTCAATTGTGCGTAATGAGTTTACTTGGTATGGCCACAAAACGTCACCACAGAGTTGATGAAGGAATAAGTTTCCTTGTCAAGTATGATATCCTCATTATTGATAATATTGCTTTTAAGACTGCTGCTTTTAGAGACTACTTTGAGAGAGTATTATATTCTATAATATCCCACACACATTTTTGTCACCTTCTTCGACGTGTCTTGGATTTCCAGCCCTTCTACGCATTACGGGATTTTACGCTCGTTTCAAGAATCCTTTCCATCTCATATAAAATCTCGAAACCATGTTTAGAATTAGTTTCATTTCTCTAAGGACATCATCAACAGTTGGTTTGGATTTAACACGTGGCCTCTCGGGGGTAACAATATAACATTGCACAGGATGATCCATAAAAAAGGTAACCCAAACAAATAACAACTCAGTCATTCAGTATAAGTTTAGTGTCATATTTCGCACAGTTAAACCTTCTTCAATGTTTCTTCATTCTACCAAGTTTATTTGGTCTATTTCTAATGGTCACGATTTTATGGCCTTTTTATTAAACATGCTTGGCGTCTTGCCCGGAGGTTAACTTGAACGTATCGGGCGTAGTTGTTCTTCTTTGACATGCATCTTTAACACATCAAATTGGGCGACAAAAATGTAGGGGAGTGGTAAAATTGTTTTTATTGTTAAAAACTTATTTGCCTCATATGAGGAAATTGTGAAGGCATAGCCATTGACATATACGAATATAGACATACCTTGGAATTCGTTTCTTCCCTCTTTTTCATTACATACATGTTGTTGGACCTCAAGAGAATGAACGCTGCTTCACTAATCTGAATCTCAGAAGCTGAAGAATAGAATGAAGTACATGTAGAATGCAATGATGATATGCAACATTTGGAAGAATATTTCATTTGCAATTTTCCATGAATAAGTAAACGATCGTGTGACATGCGTTTCATCATATTTGGTATTAAAGTATATTACGAGGGTTGTCCCATAAGTCTTGAAATTTTTATTCTAATTCATAGAATATTTGAGATACAATAATAAAAATTTCACATTTTGTAGCTTGGATATATTTCTATTATCTCTGAAAGTTTCATAGCATAATAAGCATAGCATAATTTGGCAATGTTACAGATGATTTAAAACGGAAAGTTGGAGGTACCCGGGGCAGAAAACAGGATATACTATACAAAATATGACATAAAAATCAAGGATTTGGGAGCACATCCCATGTTATATTTTATTTTTTTCTGCTCCTCTATCAGAATATGTGGACGAATCTAGGGGCTACCTTTGACATCCCAATGTCTTTCTCTATCACTCTGTGAGCAGTACTCTTACTAATATCAAAGTCTAGGGCGATCTTCCTACAAGAAGTTCTCCTTCCAGCCCTTATACTCTCTGCAATATGTGGTATGAGATCGTCAATCGATTTTGGCCTTCCACTTCTAGGGCTTTCTAGGTGCATCCTTCAGGCTCCATATTGTAGGTGCACTGGGAGTATACTGTCTATATACCTTTCCCATGACAGTTCTTGTTTGTGAAGGTGTATGCCCTAAGCAGGCTTGGTATTGCACAACTGCATGCAATGATTTAACATCTGGTGACAAAATCCCTGCCAATTTGATTTTCAAAATGCTGTGTCTCTGTACCAAAATTGAGCAATTGTGCTACTTTATTATGATATCGCAGAGGTATTTCTCAAGATTTTACAAAGAATATGGTGTTTTTGTCAATCTAGACAGGTGGTTCACAATTTAAGATGCATACCATCCTTTAAAATACCTAATACTTCCATGGTTTCATTTTACATTTTTACTCTATTTCATGACTGACCCACCCCCCGACTCCCCCGGTTACCATAGCAACCATAATAGTTACTCAAATCCTTAATTTTGTTATGAAACTATCACATGTTGAAGATAATCGATTGATCTTGATACATACCAATTTTCAGCCAAATTCATTAAAATCTTTTTGAATTAGAATAAAAATTTCAAGACTTATGGGACAACCCTCGTAAATAAACTTGTTTGTGAACGTGTTATCCCTCAGGCATTTACTGCTGCCCTTTAGTTGGTTTTCCAGGGACATGTAGGACTACAACCAAAAAGTTAAGGACCACGATTTATTGGAAGACAACAATGAAACATGTTTCAAAGCATCTGATGCACAATTTCATGATGAGAACTTATTAGACATGTTGTCCTTTTTGAGTAGTATAATATTTAAAAGTATTTTCCTTATACGTTTATACTATATTAAACTAAACTAAATTAAAAAAACTAAGCTAGATACTAGTATTCAATCGGACGACGGGGGAAGAACTGTAGAGGTCTATAATTCTACACATAATTCTTTCAAGAACGTGTAGCTTATCTTCCATAATGTAACGCAAAAATTACTTTACCCATTCCAGTGGACTCCATGATGGACGCAGTTCTGACGGTATCCCCAAACAAACAGTAGCGCGGCATCTTGAAGCCAACCAATCCAGCAACACATACGCCTGAAAAGACATTTATCAGAATTGTGAATATGACTTGAAAATAAACAAGACACAGTGGTAAGTATCGCACTTTGAAGAGCGAAATTTAATGGTTGATATGAGTGATAAATATCCCAATTTGAAAAACAAAATTTAATGGTTGACATGACAGTGATAAATATCGCACTTTGAAGAGCGAAATGGTTGACATGACAGTGATAAATATCGCACTTTGAAGAGCGAAATGGTTGACATGACAGTGATAAATATCGCACTTTGAAAGGCGAAATGGTTACATGACAGTGATAAATATCGCACTTTGAAGAGCGAAATGGTTACATGACAGTGATAAATATAGCACTTTAAAGAGCGAAATGGTTACTTGACAGTGATAAATATAGCACTTTGAAGAGCGAAATGGTTGACATGACAGTGATAAATATCGTACTTTGAAAGGCGAAATGGTTACATGACAGTGATAAATATCGCACTTTGAAGAGCGAAATGGTTACATGACAGTGATAAATATCGCACTTTGAAGAGCGAAATGGTTACATGACAGTGATAAATATCGCACTTTGAAGAGTGAAATGGTTGAAATGACAGTGATAAATATCGCACTTTGAAGAGCGAAATGGTTGACATGACAGTGATAAATATCGCACTTTGAAGAGCGAAATGGTTACATGACAGTGATAAATATCGCACTTTGAAGAGCGAAATGGTTACATGACAGTGATAAATATCGCAATTTGAAGAGCGAAATGGTTACATGACAGTGATAAATATCGCACTTTGAAGAGCAAAATGGTTACATGACAGTGATAAATATCGCACTTTGAAGAGCGAAATGGTTACATGACAGTGATAAATATCGCACTTTGAAGAGCGAAATGGTTACATGACAGTGATAAATATCGCACTTTGAAGAGCGAAATATTTACATGACAGTGATAAATATCGCACTTTGAAGAGCAAAATATTTACATGACAGTGATAAATATCGAACTTTGAAGAGCGAAATGGTTACATGACAGTGATAAATATCGCACTTTGAAGAGCGAAATGGTTGACATGACAGTGATTAATATCGCACTTTGAAGAGCTAAATGGTTGACATGACAGTGATAAATATCGCACTTTGAAGAGCGAAATGGTTGACATGACAGTGATATCGCACTTTGAAGAGCGAAATGGTTACATGACAGTGATAAATATCGCACTTTGAAGAGCGAAATGGTTGACATGACAGTGATAAATATCGCACTTTGAAGAGCGAAATGGTTACATGACAGTGAAATGGTTTGCATCTGTAAATATTTTAAGTTAAACGGAATTTTGATGCTACGATTGATGAAACAACTCAAAATGGCTAATTTATCAAAGAATTAAAATTGGGAGTCATGTAATTTTGCCAGCATACCCAGAACTTAATCATTGCATCTGTAAAAATTTCACCTAAGGTTTTTTCCTAACTTGCAAAATATGTCTCAAAACCATTTGGTGGACACGTTCAGGGAAGCCATTGCGTAATTAAATGTTGAGCTTGTGTATTCATATTTACTCAAGCTGTTGACAATGGATTGTTTTTCAATTTCCTATGATAAGCAGCAGCAACTCCATTCCCTTGAACAGAATTCTTGTATTCAACAGATCTTTATTTTATATTCGTCCAAATTTCAACTACTGCACTCTAAAAACGAACGTTTCGTTAAATTATAACTATCTTGCATATGCTCTCTATTGTAACTTTTTCTATGGGGACATGAAATGCCGGAAGACGATTTGTCCCAACCCGTCTCTTCATTGTATATTTGTTTGTATTTAGGAAATTTACTAAAATATTGAAGATAATACTTGACAAACCAAAACTTACAATGGATGGAAAAAGTTCCAATTTTTTGGCCCACCCTATACAGTAGCACTTTTTCAAAGTGCGATAAAAGCTAGAAAACAGCAAATATAAAAGCTTGCATAACAAAAGTAATGGAAAATATGAAACTACAAATGTGAAAATGGATCAATTTAGAACAGGTACTAGTACGGTAGAAAGTAAACAAGAACGAAATGTTTCCGAAAAGCATTTCCAGAGAATGATGATAGTACATATAAGTTACTACATATACTTTCAACGAATTCCTATCGTAGAAATCAGAACTTACCTGAATGAAATCCACTTCTAAGTTCAAGACGACTGTCCACCATATGTGGCACATCTTTTTTAGCAACAGCGCTAACTAAATCCAGTGCCATGGTAGCTATCTCCGTCACATGGTTGACGCCATTACGCCTTGGGACTCCAGATGCTACCATACATGATGCATCCTCTGAAGTTATAAAATATAGTTGCAATTAGATTTGTGCATCATTTTACCAGCCTCCTCCTCAAGAGCTTTTCCGATACCATTTCCTGGGCCGATGAATAAAGTCCATGGATTCAGATTCAGATGATAATGACATTCGATAAGATGAGGTCTCAGAATAGCTGTGGAAATACTTTGAAACTCCAAACTGTTGAAGTGCTCAATAGACATAGATTTGATTACGGTACGTAAAGGAATTAATATATTGATTATAAGTATTTTGATTGTGGTCAGCCCCCGAGGTCAGCTCTGAAAGCCATTCGACTCTAAGTAAGATATTCCATCCAACCAAAAATGTGTAAAGGTTATGCCTGCATGATATGGGATGGTACAAATGCTCGCAATTGATACAATACATTTAATAAAATTTGCAGCACATTATACTATTATGTCACTTACCCATCGTTTCTACCTTATAGACATCATACAGTTCCATCCTTGCGTCCAACGTCCGATGCAAGTTATTCAGCAAGGCTATCACCTGTCGAGGTGTAATTTGGGCAGCAATATGTTTAAAACCAACAACTGTACCAAAGTAAATCGTACAATGGTCGAAACTTTCAGGCTTGATGGGCAGGTGGTTCTTCAATTGATCAGCGACAGTTCTTGGTAGCCATTGACACATGAGAAAGTCTGTAACTCTCTTCTCTGCGATTAGATCTTTTGTTTGCTCTTTTAAAACAGAGGCGGTGTTCTGGATGTCAGCTGTCACTTTTTGAATAAAAAACAGAACAGTCGGACAAAGAATGCAAACTCCAGTCAAAACGAGAACGTTGACGACTATTGTAGTGATAGAGTCTTTCGCTTCTTTCCGTAATGTCACCACTATCTCGTGTGCCATATCATCTTGAATGGTTCCCATAAACGTGATCAACTTGGTCATGTTCAGGAACCAGTATCTCCCCTTTTGTGCAGACGGTCCAGTAATATTGTTTAATGTTATGTCCTCTCTCATGGATGCTATAGCAACTTTAGTTTTCGGGAATTTGTGCTCAATTCGAGAGGCAACGACGGGATTATATTCTGTGCATGTCTTCAAATATGTCGCGCCCATCTGTTTCCTTCTCTCGTATGAAAGATGGCCCTTCCTGTCAAGTCCGCCTGAAGAAAGTACTTATTAGTAATTAATAGTCGATATAGTTATTAAAGAGTGCAGGATGGGCAAATATTTCATATTTAACATATCATTTATATTACATCATGTCCAAATAATATTAGTAGTTTAATTGTAACCAGTGCATTGGGCATTTCTCAAAAAACAGCTTTTTTTCAAAATATTGAGCTTGATATAACATCATAATTGAAGTTTTATAAATAATATTTAAAACCCCGCTTCAATATCATAAATCCCCCTAATTAAATTAAGGCGGTAGACATGAATTGATGTACATGCTATAACTCCACTTGCGGATTAAATTATAATTTAGATTACACAATGATTATTACTTCTATAACATGACTGAATGGTGAGAGAAATAAAAACTATAACAGATTATATTCACCAGCTGCAAAATAAGAAGATCCCAAGGTTCTCTCCATTCCAGTTTGTTCTTTGCTTAACACTAACATATGGTAGGCAACCAGCGTTTTCCAATTCCCAACATCTTTTGCCTCGTTCACACTTATTCCGACCCATTTCAGCAATTCGTCGTTAATATCGGAATAAAATCGTATGGCGTCTGCAATGGTAACCTCCTGGTCGATCGCCACTCGCTCCCTAAAGCTTTGAATGTACAGCCGCTGAGCTTCAACATATTCAAAATGGTCCACTGAAGATGGATTTAAACTTGTTTTTCCTTTTAGGTGATGTTTCAGTTCCGCATCAGTTTCAAGGTAAGTTGCCGTTAGCTCCTTAAACTGAGAAGCATTTTTGACAGAGTTGAGGAAGAAAGCCGATGCCATTCGCTCAATTTGTAACAGATGGACGATTTTTCCAGTTTCTGTTGATAACACGATTTTATCACGGATATCGTCTTTTTTAGCTTTGTCATTGAATCCATCGAGCAGAACAACAAACGCTTGGACGCCAAGTACAATGATAGGTAGGGATGCCAGAAACAACATACGAATGACTTGTACCTTTTTTCCTTTCTTGGTGATCGGGTCATATGGCAATCCGCAGCAATGTCGTCTGCGAGATCGGATACTTCCAGAAGTTGATTCAGTGTCATCTGGAAATATTCTGTTCTTCGGAAAAAATTGTCGCTTGTTCTTATTCATCCTTAACACCTCAGTTTAACTCCGCAAACATCTTATTAATGTTCACCATAAGGAAGATGTCATTTGTATGATGACAAACACAATTTTGTAATTTATACGACGTCGCATAGTAATACGATGCCCAATAGCAGCTCTAGCTTAGGCCTATTATGACGGTAGGCCTACGTGTTCGGTGCTGATATACGTAGACAAGATCCTGATTTGGTGTGTCTGGCGTATTTGTCGTAGTCAACAGATATACAGGGTGATCCAAAAAATGGGACACTCGTATTTCAAAAATAAACATTGATTTTATTGACGGAAACATGTCATATTATATACCAGTGGATAGGGAATTTACATACATGTCAACCAGCGTCCATAATACAAATGACTTCATTTTCGTTTCAAAACGGGTTTTTAAAACTTGCAAAATCAAGTTATTTTGTCAACAGAAACAGATGTTCAATATATCCTCCATTTTGATCAATGATAGCCCCCAATATTGGCTTAAACTGATCAGTAGCATCATTGAAATGCTGTTTAAACAGGGAATTTCACTTCTAAACAATTCTGTCATTTAGAGACAGAAAAGATGTAAGGAGTTCATAATACACCAAGTTTGTTGGTTCTCCCCATAGCCTACATGGTAGTCGCAGACATTGGCCATGGCATCAGGTGATCCGGAGGGCCAGTGATTAGGGGGTACTAATTGAGGCACATTCTCATTTACATATTTTACTGTCTTGTGAGATCTTTGACTTGGAACCCCATCTTGTTGGAAAATGTAATGATATGAGATCAGGAATAAGTCCTCTGTGTAGGACATAATGATTCATCCCCCTAACCACTGGCCCCCAAATCACCCGATGCCAATGTCTGCGACTAATACGGATGAGGAGAATTAACAGACTTGGTGAACAATGAACCCCTTGCATCTATTCAGTCCCATAAAGACAGAATTGTTGTAGTATTGCTTAAAATACCCTGTACCCCCCCCCCTTTATCCTTCTCTCTAGGTATATTGCCAGGTAAAGAGAGTGAAGGTGATGGGGGGGGGGGTGTATACAGTCCTTGAGCAAGACTAAATTGTTGAGAAGTGGAATTTCTTATTTCAAAATCATATCAATGATAATATCAACAAGTGTATGCCAAGATTGAGTGCTAAATTGATCAGAATGGTGACCATATTAAACTTCTGTTTACGTTGACAAAAAAAATGTTTTTTGCAGGTTTTTGAAAAACTGTTTTGAAATGAAAATGACATCATTTGTATTATGGACGCTGGTTGACAGGCATTATAATAAATTTGAACTAATGTTATACAAAATTAAAGATAAGTAAATTCCCTGTCCACTAGTATATAATTAATATGATATATTTTCATCAATAATATCAATATTTATTTTTGAAATACGAGTGTCCCATTTTTTGGACCACCCTGTACGTACTATGACGTGGTTATTTTCATCAAAATGCATACAGACGTTAGGGGTTGACCATTATGCAGACATATTATCTCCTGATTGTGTATTGCAAACGTAGTTGCTGTAGTCAACATAATATGATAATTGTCAACTATTTTCAACACTTGCATCTCATTCCCATGTATCGTTTTAATATTCAAAATAGATTAAAAAATTGTTAAATGAACTCGAACTAATGACGGCGTCAACAGATATATACGTACTATGACGTGTTTATTTTCATCAAAATGCATAGCCTACGTATATCAGCACCGAACACGCCTAGCCGACTTGACAAATCCAAAAAGCTTGTTTCATCAGTCGATCTGACCAGATGGAACGGGTGAACGGTTTACTTTGATTACCTTCTGCTCAAGTTGAATGCAGTATAATAATGCCGTAGATATGCCAAATATCAAGATCGTATTCATGTTATTCAACTAGAATCAACCATCCGATACCAAAATGTGGAATTAACACGCACTGTGAAGACCAATTCCGAAGTAGACGATTTGTTGACATTTCTACGGAATAAAGCTGATCATTTTATGAAAAATGGGAACTTGTTGAAACTCCAATTATTGCAAGTGATTTCAACTGTCAGCGATGGGTATTTTAGTCCTACACGAACTGAGCAGATCAGTATCGTTCGTTCAACCAGGTAGTTTAGGGGAACTTAGACAATAGGCTATATCTGCCAGGTCCCTTAGAACGAGACCGCGCTCCAGTCGACAAAAACGAAACTGAATCCGATCGGGTATCTGAAGTAGACCAAGTACCATTTGTTTTTGTACACTCCCCTCCATAAATTTGGCAACCTTAGCTCCCCCATTGAACTACGTGTTAAAGCCTCTTTACGTCTGAATTTTTATTTACTTAACCGGTGATGACATAACTTATAATATTGATGGAAACGTAACTTGACTTTATTTCCAATACCTCCAAATTTTCTCAATTTTTTCCCTCAATTACAATAAGTCGAGAATTGATGATAAATTTGATGAATTTTTGAAAATCGTCATTTCCATGTAATCCAATGGGAAATGGAGGGTTCGAGGCAAACCAGAAATCAGGATATCTTTTCATTAAAAGATTCAGCAAAAAATATTTTTATATAGAAAATTAAATTGTCTAACTTTTTTGTACTGAAAATAATTTTTCGCCTCCTGTGTTATTTCAATGGGAGAGGTTTTTTGAAAAACAATTTTGACTTTGAAGCCCTACAACTTTGTTGATCCTGAAGAAACATAACAATTTTTTGTTAAATAAAGTTAGCAAATTCAATTGGCTACCTAACTCGTATTTTTGCAAGGACTCGGATGGATGGATAGTCTGTAATATGACTTGCGGCAAACCTACCATTTCCCATTGGTTAACATGGGAATGTCGATTTTCAAAAATTCATAAAATTTATTATCAATTTTCGACTTATTGTAATTGAGCAAAAAATTTGGAGGTATTGGAAATAAAGTCAAATTACATTTCCATCAAGAGTATAAGTATATTCATCGCAGGTTAAGTAAATAAAAATTCAAAGGTAAAGAGGCTTTAACACGTAGTTCAATGGGGGGAGCTAAGGTTGCCAAACTTATGGAGGGGAGTGTATGCGCGCTATACACGATTACTGTATTGATTCATTGACTTTGCGTTCACGGTTACGTTGTGAAAAACATCGCTAGCTTAAAGTCTCCATCATCTCATAACGCCAAGGGACATTTCATTCATACTAAAGTCATTAAAATATACTGTATGTTGAAAAAAAGTGATGGCCATTCATAAAATCAAAAATAGTTGTAGATACTAGTTGTTATATTGGATCGGCTTTGTTCTGAACTAAATGTGTTGTCCTCGTTAAATGACAACACCTAAACGATTAAAGGATTTTGATAAAGCAACATTGAGGAGAGAGAGAGAGGGGGGGGGGGTGTTGGGGGTACCGTTATGATTCTGAAGAGAGCCGTCAAACATATTTTATCTCGCTCCACAAATCAATCAATAATTTATTAACTCAGTCCCCCATCCCTTCACCAATTTCTAGATCTCTCAAATTTTGGCGAAGGATATTAGATGGACACTTCGAACGTTAACCCATTCAGAACTGAGGTGTGACCACATTGCATCAGAAACCATGGAATATCGAGTTGTCTTATTTCCGCCTCCCCCCATACTAGGCTATGCCTTCTCCCTTTTAAATATATTTTCTATTTTAAACCAATCAATTGATCATACTAGGCTATGCCTTCCCCCTTTTAGATATATTCTCCATTTCAAACCAATCAATTGATCTATTTTGCCAATATCATACTTAAGAAAATCATAATTGGATTGAGACGTTAAGAGCTTTAAAAACATTAACCCTCAACATGTAATCAATTAGTAATAAGAAAGTAATTAGAGAGGATGTGTTTAATAAAGACATATATTTTAACATATAACAAAACCGTGACGTATCAATTAAAAGTAATGAATCTTTCAATCTTGATTAATTTCTTAAAAGCCTTATTAGTCGAAATGTGATATTAAAAAGTTTTAAGAAAAACTTTTGTAGTTTATTTAATGAATGTCTCAATTCTAAGTCAGAGTTTTATTCCAAAGATAATTTGACATTAAACAGAAACAAATATTAGAATATTCCCCAAACATTGATAAATCACAATAGGAAAAATGATATTCAGCAATGAAAGTAGCCACCCCTTTTAAAAAGAGTCAAGATTAAAACCTTGGGTCATTTGTATCATAAATTAACAAAAAAAAAAAATTTCATACTTGAATCGTATGGAAGGTTATAAAAGTGCCCCTATTGTTAATAGACAAACAGACCATCAGACAGGAGATTGATTACCTAATCTCAGTTTACATAACAAAGAACTAAGATTTCATTTACATTTCATTATGTGTTACAAAATGTGAGAAAATATTTCAATGATATAATTCAATCAGAATAGCCGAATGAGCCTGGTGTCATCATGTAATGCTAAGGATAGCCTGGTGTCTCTATGAAATGTTCAGGAAAGTCTGAGGTACTTTGAAATTTTCAGGATAGTTTAATTTACTATAAAATGTTCAGGGTAGTCCAGTGTCAAAATAAAAAAAAATCAGGGAAGTCTGACGTACTTTGAAATGTTCAGGGAAGTCTGATATAGTTTGAAATTTTCATAGTAGTTGTTGTACTATGAAATGTTCAGGATAGCTTGGTGTCATCATGAAATGTTCAGGATAGCCTGGTGTCATCATGAAATGTTCAGGATAGCCTGGTGTCAACATAAAATGTTTAGGGTGGTCTTTTGTACTATGAAATGTTCAGCGTAGCTTGGTGCGCTGCAGATGTATCTGACTTGAGTATTTCTCTGATTGCCATAGTAGCATAGGTGGATGATGGAAGAGTGAACTCCACCTTCAAGGCCTTGTACTTCCCCCCTGCAAATTAAAAAAATGAATGAAAAACTACGCGGTTGCAATTGTAACAACTGATATAAATAACAAAATGTCAGCTTGGTTGCATTTGTTACACCCATCAAGCTTTAAAACCAAATCTGACATCTGTATATGAGTTATCAGTGATTAATTTTTGATAAAAGGTGGCAGCCATTTTTAAATTCATTGAGTGGCCTAATATTGAAAATTTCTTCCAAAAAATTGGACAATTTGTATTCAAGTTTCGGTATTTCATTTCAGTGGTATAATTACAATTATCTACCATTTCCATGTACAGGTAAGTGGCAACAATGAGGACTTATACAACAACTTATATTTTATTAGACATACCTTGTACAGACACATGATCAGCAGCACCATTCAGTTTATCTAAGTCACTATTGGCTAGTGGTATTGTGACATCATCATATTCATATGTTTCCCATAATACATCAGTAGGTTTCACTAGTAGACGTCTATATGATCCTGGTAAGGAGTAATCTCTGAATTGACACAAAATACAAGACATGATTAAGATGACATCTAGATAGCCTATAGGCTACTAGTCTTAATTTCAGTTAGTTGATGGGTGATAAAAAATTATTTATAAAGTCTGTGAAAATGCCAGTCATTTTGATGTTGTAGTCATTAAATCTATGAAAATCTTAAATCTTACAGTTTTTTCAAAACTCACCAAAATACTACTGTACCTATAAATGTGCCAAAACTTTGAATTTGAACTTGAACGATATAGGTCTTTCTCCTATGTCATTTGTTCTTCCAAATTACATAATGTAGTTTTAATAAAAATGTACTAGAATGTATATTTTTGAATTATAAGTAACACTAATACCATTATGAAATTGGACCCGTATGTTAGGGTGTCAATTTGCAGGTATCATAATGACCTAAGATTCTGCTGAAGAGTATACAGTGTAGATATGTATATTCACAATACTTTTAATAAATGAACAAAACCTTCCAATCAAGTGCTTGCTTAATCTAAACAAGTAGATATAGAAATTACATTAAGCTTATACAAACGAGAATTCCCAGTCCCTCTTAAGCTCCAAAAGTCTACAAAGTGAACAGCCTACAGGCAATTGGCTAAATATTATTACTTAAAAGAGGCATCCATTTTTTTAGAAGATATGATGACATCAAATATGAGATTATTATGGGATATAATTTTTCTAACCTGACTTTATGTTTAAAGCTGCTGATGTCAAACCCATCCACAGCTAGAAGTTCCTTATACCACTGACCAACTGAAACACAAAACACATGTGCATGTAATGAACATATTTACTATTTACTCAATAATTAAGTCAAAACTGTTATGAAAATAACATGTATTAAACAAGGTCAATATATTATACGTTAGCAGGACAATATTTATTACTATACCTTCATTGGAAGGGTATATTATATCAAAGCCTGGCAACGGCATCACAACATCAGTTATACTATAGCTAGACAATGTCTCCCCTGTTACAAGCTCTGGGGTCAACCTCTTGGGGATCTCACTTTCTTGCCCTTCTTCTGAAAGTAGGATAATTGAAATGAATGCCCACAGGGTCTAATTCTCATGATTACTCAGACACAGTATTGAAGGTACTAATTAAGGATTAAAATGAAGGTTATATAAACAGGGGTTTCATTTAGACAACATGCAAACAAATAATGTATAAAATCAACAGACATAAAACCATACATAAAAATTGTAACAGATTATCCATTCCAATAGTTTGATCTTTAAACAGAACTTCATCTATACTCTTTGAGTTAAATCCCATCTTTTAAATCAAGCAAGCTTCAACAATTAGAATACTGAGAAAACAGTTGATCAATATCAAGCTACCCAATCAAAATAGCATCCACTGAATGTTATGCTTTCGTAAGTATTTGGCACTTATTAAAAGAAACTCTCATTAAAGGCCATGATAAGTACTTTCAAGTTTATTTATCAATTACCTTTTCAGTTTCATAATTGTATATCCATTTCTCTTAAATGCAGAGTCTATCTAGCTTAGGTCTTTGTACAATCATGTCATTCCCTATTGCAGCTTATGTTTCAGTAGTACTTTGACAGTACTATTGAAGCAAAGTCTTGCACCAGACAGGCCCGTAGCCAGGAATTTGCCAAGGGGGGTTAACTTTTTGAAAATTTCCAGGGGGGTTCACTTTTGATATTTTTGGTACAAAAATGGCCCAAATCACTTAAAATGTGTTCAGAATGATGAAAAACTGCATGATTTTGAAAGAATTTTTGGCCGGGGGGGGGGGGTTCGATGGGTTCCAGGCTACGGGCCTGCCAGACAAATGATGAATAAGATCATGACTGTATTATGTAAATTAGCCTTAATTACCAGTGTTCTCTTGGTCTGCAATTGTGTCCTGTCTGAGCACCAAGTCACCCACTAGAGGTAAAAGGCCATGTTCTCTGATCCTCCTGGACACCAATGTATTCCAAATATAGCTCTGATAACTGTGGATGTACATCAGCCTTGTATTCCTGGCAATCTGAATGATTATATGATATATATGTTAAACAATTTAGAGTGTAATTCCCTTCTAAGTATTCACAGTTTCAACAAAATACTTCCACTACTTTTTCAGATATAGCTGAAAACATAGCACAGAAATGGCCTGTATTGAAAATGCCTGCTTACAAACCAAAATGTCACTGGAAATGTTACATGCTTCTAGGTATTCATAAATGCATTTCAAAGCATTTCTAAGTTTGTGGGCCATTCTATTTTAAAATTTCCTGCACTTATGATTAAATTTCTTGCTTAGTTTTCAACTGATTTTCTCATTTTTTCAACAAAAAATAGATTATTCATTTTATGCTATGGTGTAAATTAGTGCTTTAAAACAATTTATGTGCTTTACAACTAATATTTCATTTGAAATAAATTCCAAATTCCTTCAAAATCAACCTTTTCAAATTAAATTGAAAAGTGTCACATACAACATTTTGGTAGTATTGGGCTGGAACATAATATATGCCAACATTATCTAAATTTTATATGGGGCCTTTTAAAGATGTGCTACAGGTATAAAACATAGTTGCACATGTTATTTTTGCAATTTTTAAATTGGCTAATGCCCTATGGGGACTAGAACTGCACTGAATTTATGGCTACAGTGACACAATGACATAGTATGATAAAGTCTCCCCTTCATAGTATCTCAATGCTCTACAGTATTGATTATAAAGGTAAAATGAAAAAAGTTGTAATTCAGTCTCTCAAAAAAATTGAGAGGGGACAGTTTTCCACACGGTTATAATATTACGGTAGCAATATTACACATTCATGTTCAAGTTCTCTTAAAATGTGTAACTTAACATCTATTGCATGCACTTACATCTATTGCATTTACAACTTGTATTTCATTGATGTTCTATATCAATACAATTCAAAGAAAAGAAACTAGTAATTTGTTTAAAGGTGAACATGTTTAAAACAATACTTTGCCAGTATTAAGGTTAATGTGTACACAATAAATTATTGTACAGTTAAACTTTAATCTGAAATCTGAAAGGATGTGTCCGGGTATATGGCCTTTTGGTCCCTCAGTTAAATGTATGTGAAATATGTTTTTTATTACTGTCCTAGTTATATTTGAGAAGTATATTTACTTTTTCACGAGTTTTGATGCATAATTAACCCCCTGCTGAGAGTCAGAATAAGTATATTAACAAAAAATAAATAGTCATTATCATGGAAAAAACACCAATGGCAACATGTATGACTTACAAAGAAGAAATAGCTTAAGAACCATGAAGAATTTAAAAGAAAATCATATTTTTGAAATATATTTAAGGATTAAATTTTTTTTTTAATTTTTGAATTTCCCGCCAGTTTAATTTGAAGGGGGAAAAACAAGATGGCTGCCATTTGATGTAAGAAATATCAGAAAAAAAGTTGCTTCACTTTTAGTTTTCACAATGAGCACAGTTTTCCGGTTTAGGTTTTTTGACTGATTCTGACTCTTCATCACCAGGGTCATGTATAGAGATTATAAAATTGAAACCAAAATGTTGTGCTCAGCATGAATTTGACTGAAATATGTGTAACTTCACCAACACAATTGAAGTCTCAAATCTGGACGCTCAGTAACTTTTAGTGACTATAATCCCTTGATTACCCAGATAAATACCAATTCACTTATCCAGAAATACCATTCAATGTCTATACAAAGAAAGTAAGCAATGATTTGGGGGATATGTTTCAAACCTTTTGTATAAATAATTCATTTAATATTTGCCATTGATTTTTTTTCAATTCTGACAAAGATGCCAATATTCTTCATTAATTGTGATACAAATTGATATTTTTGTACTCTCAGAAGAAGGATAAGATATTGAAGTTTAATAATATGTGTGATTGAGTTGGTTTTACAGACATTAAAATTTTCAATATTTTCTAAGTCGATACCCAGACTCATTCCCAGACTCATCCTTTACATGATTCAGGATTTTGAAGAAATGTGAGCACATAATTAACAAATATACATCTCGCTTGCCCATAAAACTCTATAAGACTGGCTGATTTCTCAAAAATGACATTAAATGTTCAAAATCTAAGGTGTTCACATCAGAAACTTTTTGCAAAAGTGGACTGTAAAAGTCAGAAGGGAAGTGTATATATACAGGTTTTACTGTTCACATAAATACTAATACATTGTAATTCAGCCACAAGTAAAATGATCTCAAAAAAAGCCTTGAGTGTTTTCTTATGTATAAGTATTTCTATTAATGGTTTGTATCTTTTAAAGGATTGTTTTAGTAACTTTGAAATAAAAGAATCACCACAAAACATGAGACCAACTTGGACGTCACATGAATTTCGGAAAACTAATACTACTGAGATGAAACATGAAACCATAGAAACTAAAACAAATACCTCAACAAAAACGAACACATTTTTAGATAGTGAATATAATGAAATGAAAGGTTCACAAAGGAAGGAGCATGAACATTCCACAGTACAATCACATGACATAGAGTTGGTGTTGAATAAACGACGGCAATCAATGCAACAAGCATGTGAGATAACTACACCACATCCTACAATTGAGGGTCTACCTTGGTCTGAATATATACTAGTCAGCAATAAACTAAAAATGGTTTATTGTATGATACCGAAGGTTGCATCATCATCATGGCTTACTGCACTTCTTACACTGCACATGGGCATTGCTATAGAAGAACTGGATGTATGGCCCATATGGAAAGAAAATGTTCATCCACCACACCTCACTGATTATTCTACAGAGATTCAGAAAAAAATTCTAGGTGAATATTTTAAATTTATGTTCATAAGAGATCCTTTAGATAGGCTTATCTCTGCTTGGGACGATAAATTCAACCATACAAAACCTTACTACTCACACAGGTATGGCACTGAAATAATACAACGCTATCGGGCAAATCCATCAATCGAGGCTGTACAAACTGGAGACAATGTCACATTTAATGAGCTGGTGAGTTACATCACGGATATTGACGTGATACAGAGAGCCGATGAGCACTGGAGGCCTATGACTGACCTTTGCCATCCCTGTCTCATCGACTATGATATGTATGGCAACTTCTACAATGTAGAAGAAGAGAGTAAATTCGTCTTTAAAAACCTTGATATTAACGAATCCAACATGACATTGCCGCATGCAAATCTTGGGAATAATAATACAAAATCAATTCTTAATGGTTACAATAAAACAGTTGAAACAAGCAAATTAAAAGAATTTTATTCTCATATTTCACTTGAGAAAATAATCAAACTACAGGATCAGTACAAACAAGATTATGCACTATTCTCTGATGCACTTCAATTGAATAAGCTAGTGGAGGATTAGTTTGATGTTACTTACTGACTTTAGGGCTAAGTAGTGAAATACATGGAGACAACAAAACTAGTTTTTTTCCAGAGTGAACTTTTCGTTTCAAGAAATAATATTTCAAAATAGATCGTCACCTACAGATATGAGATACATTTGGGTTTGAAGTTGATGGGTGATCAGGGAGCAGTAATAAAAGTCAGAATCTCAATGAAATATGTACATACATTTGTATATGCACAAATGTCAAAGGTAAATGAAAAATATGCAAAATGTCACCATCTGCCATTTGTTACAGATGCTGAACCCCCAACTCTTACCACCATCCACAAAAAGTTGGAGACTACTGCAGCATATTTTCACTTAGGGTGGTGACATAAAAACTTCTAAGAGAAACAAACCCAAAATATCAGAAACTATGATCAAACTTTAAAGTATCAATGCCTTCTCCCCATCATACAGGAACCATTATTAAGATCCAAGACATCAAGACCATGGGATATTTCATTCATACTGATGACCATTTGATTAGAACAAATGTTGAAAAATTCCTTAAAATTGATAACCAATACTCTTGACATCAAAAATAGTTAGTAGAAAGTTAGAAACTTAGTATTCATACATTATTGAACCTTTATTTTTAAATGCTCTACTATACCTTGCATTTGGTGTTCATGAGCAACCCATTTGGCTTATTAGTAATGATTATGTTATTTGTTTCTATTTGTTCCTTATTAATGGTTTATCGGATGACTGTTAGGTGTTAATAAGGTACTTTCAAAATATACTAAACAATACAATTAGACAAACAGAGTATCTTATGCATTTCTAGGGGTTAGGAATAGTAGAGTGATGATGTGAGATAGACAAAATACTCCAGCATGGTGACCTTCTTAAGGAAACATCAAGAAATATTTGGAGATCAGTTTTTAGATTGGTATATCAGATATGTTGCTAACTTCTTGCACATGTTGGTAATTTAATACCCCATGGCCCCAATTACCATAAAAGCTATGAAAATAATACATCAACAGGTTTAAATTTAAAAGGGATAGAAACTTGATCAATGCAACACCTTTTCTTCCACTAAGGTTACAATTACAAAATCCAATATTAAAAACAAGCGTTGACAAAATGTTTATAAAGCAGATTAAAATTCAACTTTAATTCAAAAATGTTGAATATATTAAAATTTCCCTTACACATGCCAGAGCCATGACCTTGTTGCTCCCCTTTGTCTTCAGGCCATTCAACAGGTGTTTCTCTATGCAATGTTTGGAGCTGATTTTAGCTAGAGCAGCTGCGGCATCCTTGCTGGTTGCCCAAATATCTCGACATTCTTTCATATCCTCAGTGTCTATAAACATATGGGAATTAGATTAATGAGAGTTGTCATGATTTATTGTTAATTTATACCATGTAGTGTGATTTTCATAAAGCAATGTATAAACTGTAAGTTGTGTTTCACTTGTTTCAATCGTTTCAATGCATCCGTTCCTCCGTTGCAATGCTAACGTCATTTCAAGCATTTCAATTGTTTCAATCACACAACCAATTTAAGAAGAAACGGGCGAACGACTGAAAATAAAAACGAACACGAAACGTTTCTTGTTTTCTTGTTTCAAGCATTTTGCCCAGTAGGCTTTTCAACCATTTCAATTATTTCAATCTACATCTTTAAATTAAAATGAAATTGCAGTTTTGTTGCTTTTGCTTGTTTCGGCGTTTCAAGCATTTCAAACAATTCACCAGAGCTATTTCCAAGTTCTTTTTCATTTCAACCATTTTAAGCAATTTGGCCGTTTCGCCCACGATTCAAGTATTTCACCTGCCAGTGTATACAGGGCTTAAGATCATGTCTAAATAATTAACAAGGCATTAACATGCAAAATGTCACCAGCTGCCATTTGTTACAGATGCCTATCTCTGAACACCAAACACAGAACACCATCCACAATAAAGTTGGAGACTATATGTCACCACTTCTGGTCGTGGTGACACGATAAATTAAATAAGTCACTATTTTTGAAACCCATGGAAAAATATTTATTTTTTGCAAATTTTCACTTAATCATGGGATATCCTTCTACACCATCAGATACATAGACATTATGAGGTTCAGAATGTTGGGAATATGCAATATTTGCTTGACACTTAATGTTAACTCTCATACACACGATAGATATATTGAAATGACCTATACCTAGAACATTTCCCCTGTACTGTAAATATATCAAAGACTAAGGCCAAATAAGATATTTTATCCTATGCCAAGTAGAGTTTTAGGGAGATAAGTTGGTAAGATATATCCCGTATCCTGATTTTGAGGTTTCCATATGCAGAACCTCCATATCGCCATATGCCCCTGAAAGCTCTACTTGGTATAGGATAAAGCAGTTATGTACGGTCAGTTTGGATATTGGGTTCATCCCTCGTGAGATATGCACATCTACCTTCGGTCCCTATGGTCCCTCAGGTAGATATGCATATCTCCCTCTGGATAAACCCCATATCCAAAACCTCCCAGTACATAACCCTTATTTATCCCATACTTGGACGTGTTACAGGTACATAAAGCCGGTTTGTAAAAACTTATATTTTCATCAGCGGGCAGATATAGCTTTACGTCCCGCTCTGAGCGGGCAGATATAGTATATCTGCCCGCTACGTCATAATCGCCGCTCGCATATTTGTTCATAATTTGTAACGTTCGCGTAATGACTGTAAACGACAACGGCGATCTGTTTGATGGTTTAAAAAAATGGAAGGAGCATTCACTTAAAAAATTCGAGAAAATAAATGTGGGAATATTTGAGAGAACAAAAAAATCCGCCCACGGCCAAGAAAACAAAACTGGACATGACTATTCTAGAATATTTCCACGATTGAACAATGTGAACCAGATGACCAAGATTGGTATGGGATAAACATATAATCCTATAGTCGGTTCAGGATATTGGGATTATCCCTTGGCCAATATAATATATTTTCCCTCGGGACCTGCGGCCCTCGGGCAAATATATTATATTAGCCTCGGGATAATCCCAATATCCTGAACCTCATATAGGATAATCTCTATATATCTGAGTTTGATAAAATTATGCTACAGTAGCACCATGCACGAGTGTGGTACACTGGTACAGATGAACACAGAAATACTCCTTTCTGATAGTTTATGTACAGTGTAGTAGCCACAATCCACTATCTTCTGGCATCGAATGGATTGCCCTCCTGAGCTGCATGTGCCCATTTTATGAACCTAACTAAGAAGATTTTCCACTTACCAAAGCTGTATGTTCCGCCAGCTGCATGCATTCTGTATTTAAACCATGTTTGTAAGGAGATTCTATACATATAGTGCAGTTTTAATTAAATAATATCCTTACCTCCAGATCTGGGTTGGAGAATCAGATCAATGGCCTTGTCCCACTTGCTCTGTAGGAGGGCTCTGGAATGAAATAATTAGTTAATAGCAAGGAGCACATGTACATGTATGCATAAGGAAGGCTTTGAAATTAATTTTCCCAATGTGAATATAAGAGGAAAATGTTGGCCTGGTGACGGATAAGTAGAGGTTTTTAAGTAAAAACTGGAAATGACATATACCCAGAACCTATTCTTTAACTTGTATCACTAAATGAGCCTGGCCATAGGAAAACCGGTCTTATCACAAAATTAAAATTGTGCTACAGAGCCCAAAATGTGCCCAAGATTAAGAGGAAAATGTGCTAAATTCAAATCCGACTTTTTGGTCTATATATGCAAGAAAAAAGTGTTAAGACATAAGCAATGGCTCATTTGAAAGGTCTCTTTGTGCTTTTCAAGATAAACAAAATATCAGAATATTGAAAAAAATTGTGATAAGACCCCTTTTCCTGTGGCCTAGCTCAAATACAATTTCTGATGAGCATTATCACATGTCAACAACTTATCAAAATGTGGTGTAAAAATACTGAATAGAACTGGAGGTATTGTCATTTCATTGATGTATGTAAATAGAGATAGTAGTGCCAAAAGGAGCCTATCGTCCCGAAATGTATTACATAATAGGGCTCCATATGGAGCCCATCGTCGTGAAAGGGTTAATTAGTTTAATGGAAAGGAGCTCATGTATATGCATTATTTAACATAAGAGCATACATAGAAGAAAATGTCTCTGAAGCTCTTCTTTGTACATACAGTTCACTGATCCATTGAACACTAAGTACACAATACGTCTCAAGAACTATAGATAGGAATAATAACTGAAATACAAGTACATGTAGTCTACAGACTTCTCTTAATTTGTTTAATCACGAAGGGTTGAAAAGGTAAACTATTATTAAATCCCATTTCCTTACCAATCCAGACAGACTTCTTCAAATCCCTTCCCCGAAGGTGAGTTGAAAAGTTAAAATTACGAATATGACCACGTTCTTCCTTTTTTTTAATAAGATACGCTATCAATAAGCCTTTAGCACTGAGCAAATGTCTACAATCTATTTATAAGAACATTATTTCCTAGTCTAGGCTCAGATTTCTTGTAATAGATCTGATCATCATGATGTGTTTTTTAACAAAATTGTTATAATTAATGTCTGGTGACAAAGCCATTGTTTATTATCTAAACATACATTTATTCACACTTTACAATTATGAGAAACTATCTCTTATAGACCATGTTTTAATTTTACATTTTGCTGTTTGGCCCGGCTACTTGGAATTTATTTAATCCTTATACTCAGGCCCGTAGCCAGGATTTGCCAAGGGGGGGTTCAGTTTTCAAAAATTTCCAGGGGGGGGTTCACATTTGACAATTTTGGCCCAAATATGGCTAAAATCACTTGAGAAGTGCTCAAAATGGTGAAAAACTGCATGATTTTGAAAGAATTTTTGGCCAGGGGGGGGTTCGCCCGAACCCTGCGAACCCCCCCTGGCTACGGGCCTGATACTCCTATGTATCATCTCACAGAATGAAGTGTGTACGGATATATTGAGAAGGCATCCTTCTGTCCATTCATCCATCCATTTGTCTGTTCATCATTTTTTATATACAATGGATTAGATTCAAATTTTATAGGCTTATGCCTTATGGGTGTATAACTTTTGCTTGAGAAGGAATTTTCAATATTGCGACTCAATGTAAAATGGTCATTATTTTTCATTAAAAAATGTAATTTTTGATAACTTTAATACCAGTTGATAGATTGGGTTCAAACTTTATAAGCTGATGCAGAGGAAAACGTCAGCTCTGCCCAACAAGAAATTTTCAAGAGCGCCACTGAATATCAAAATGGCCATCGTTTTTCATAAACAAATGTGATTTTGATAACTTAAATACCATTTATGGTCTAAATTATGGAACTTTGTAGGCTAATATCTCATTGGCAAAATACCTTTGCTTAAGAGAGGCATTTGAGATATGTCTTCTTATTCAAAAATGGCCACCATTTTCATAAAAAATGTTATGATTTATAACTCGAATACCAGTTGATGGATTTGCTTTAGGAAATAGGCTTCTGCTCAAGGAGGAAGTTTCAAGATGGTCACTCAATTCAAAATGGCTATAATTTTCATGAAAAAAGCCAAATACCAATTATAGGATTTGGTGCAAATTTAATAGGCTAGTGTCATAGTGGCAAAGGATCTCTGCACAAGAAGGAATTTCAAACATTATCACTTCATTCAAAATGGTCACTTTCATAACTTGAATACCCTTTGACAGATTTGGTAAATGTTTTTATGCTGATGCCGAATGGACATTAAATCTGGAGTTGATATGTTCTAGTTATTAGTACCACCATCAGCTTCTCTATACCCGTACAAGAACTTTGATCTGTAGGATAAAATTTATTATCATTCTAAGGTATCATAAATTGTATATACAATATTGTATTGTATTGTGATGCAGTTAGTTGTATCGCAATGATGTTTGTATTGTAAGTTTGTACCTCTAAACGTATGGTTATTGATAAGACAAATTTAAGAAAGTGTCTTGATAGTAAAGAAATCTTACCTTCCAATGAAGTATGTTGGCACTGATGTTGTACCAAATCTTTGCATCCCATAATAATTGATGAAACCCACATCTCTTAGTGAACTCATTCCTTGATTCACTTGCTTATCTGAGCCAGTCATATTCCTTAAAAACAAACTAAATGTTAATAGAAAAGTGCATATCAGCATACCAGTGTAAGGTGAAAATTAGGGCAGCTATATGATTCTTTATGACCACATGTACATGTACATTAACTTATCTCTGTAGTTGCACAGAAAAATCAATACCATCAAATGTACATTATGATCATAGTTTTACAAAGTTTATTTTATTTCTCAAATATACCAATAAAATTCAGGTTTGGACAATTTAAAAAATCTGTAATTAGCTTCATATAATTTGATTATATAGATTTTGTTAAGAGATTTTTTCAGGTAGATATTCAAAATGGATATTTATTTGAGTTTTACCACCTCTTCAATTAAAATGACAGATTTAATCACTTTATTAATTTCCAATATGTGTAAGCATTTCTTGGATCCTAGATAATTTGGAAGAATTATGTTTTGGCAGAACCAAGTAAGAAATGACCATACCTTAATACAATGACAAAGTGGTTGCCTTTGAGTTGCCCAAGCTTCAGTTGATCTTTGCAATATCTAAAAAAGAAAGAAACATGTGTCATTCTTGTGTATTGGGTTATAATGAAAGATCTGTCCATCGAAGAACTCTTGTTTTCTAATGCCATATTAAGAAAATAATACATTACTCTAGGGTTACAAATAAAAGGAAGAACCGACTCTTCTAATAATATCATTGAATTCAATTTTCATACACTCAGTGAATAGTGTACTAACTATGCAAACCTGAAGTCTCCGAGAACTATTCCCCGAAGGCACTTATTCAGAGCATACAGCCTTTCTGCAGGGACCCTGAAATCAAAACCCATGTAACTAATTATCATTATCAATCTATAAGCAACAGGCTAGATGTTACTCACTTCGAGAGCCATGTTAGATTTTGAAACTTATGGCTCTCAAACGGAGAAGTGAACAGCTGATCAATAGTGACCTTTGAAATTGAATTAAGTCGATCCGCGGCTTACTTTTGGTCTCTAACTGTGTCTTACATCAGTATCATCAATTTGTGTAAGTATTGGAGCGCTGGAGTACTTCTTTTTCGATCAAGACTTGTAAATTGTTCATCGAGTTAAAGTTTTACAGACCTATTTCCAATATGGCGGTTTGCTAGGTGCGAGATACGCAACGAACGAAACGAATTTTGAGAATTAGTTAGGTTCGGACAACCTCCTCCGGAGATATACGAAAATGTCCGAGCAGAAACCGCCATATTGGAATTTGGCAGTAAAACGATTCACTCGACTAACAATTACAAGTCTTGATCGAAAAAGAAGTACTCCAGCGCTCCAATACTTACACGGATTGATGATACTGATGTAAGACACAGTTAGAGACCAAAAGTAAGCCGCTGATCGACTTAATTCGATTTCAAAGGTCACGATCATTGAGCTGTCCAAATGCTCCGTGGGAAAGCTATTATATCAAAATCCAAATAGCTTTCGCAGGAAGTGAGCTAGATGTTTTTACCTTCTTTTCAGATATACATGTACATGTATTCTATAGAACTATAGTATATGTTGAATTATAGTTAATTTTAGAACAGACAAAATTAGGCATGGAGTCCCTTTAATATGATATATGTAAACCTGTGATCAAATCTGCTTAGAGAGAAATCCCCTATAATTACTTGTAAATGGTTAGGTGTTGTGATGTCTTGGCCCTCTTGTCTTTGGTTCCTGCATAGGCAAATGTCCCTGGTTTAACTCTGAAAATAAAACATTTAATGTAAAAATGGTAGAATAAATCAGTAACTCTGACAAAATGTCTGACTTTGAAATGCATAAAATATACCGATCTAGTTCATTTTAATCATGCAATTGTATTGTATTTTTTTAATTAAAATAAATTATTTATTCTAAGTAAACACAAATTACAAAAATTATTAGAAAGGTGTATTCCTAGATTTACAATGAAACTTCAGTGTGAAAATTTAAACAAAGTTTTAATTAGTTTTTATTAATTAATTAGTAATTTTGGGTAATGAGTTCATGAGGAAGAACAGGTTATTTGAGCCTTATGGTCAGAAATGCTGAATAATTGCCACTTGATTTGACAGGATAATCCCCCTCTCCTTTTGCCTATTTTCATTCCACTAACACCCTTAGTATCATGCAGCTACTGATAATGGACCAGATGGGGGCAACAATGTTACCAGATGGGTGCAACAATGTTACCAGATGGGTTCAACATTGTTACCAGATTTGGCAACAATGTTACAAATTACCTATAACTTGATGTCTGTAAGATCTGATCCATTATTAAAAACTGTGTAGACTGAGGATGTTTAACATGTAAATCTAGATACCTGAGATATTTTGAGATGAGATTTACAGCTTCAATGGTGTCTTTATTTTCCTTGTACATTACACATTTACAGTATGGCAAACGATTCTTTGGCCACTTTGGTCCGAACCTGCCTCCTTCTGAAATAACATCAAGATTAGTAAATATACCATTGTGCAATTATGATTTCTAAGGCAAAAAATAAATGATTATATTTTCACATCTGTGTAGTATATAATATGACCACTGAATCATTGATACCAAGATCATACTGTCAAATTCTCCCAAAGTATTTGATAGATGTCATAATAGTTTTATATGACCAAGTTTTCAGCAATGAATACATTCATTTGACACACACACAATGAATACCTGTATTTTGTTTTAGTCACATGGTATGGGATCGACCAATGAGAGTCAAGAATGAGTGTCATATCATGTGATGAAATGTGATTTCTAATGTAATACCATTTCTTTTATCACCACCAAGTTTCGCCTGAATGACACGTTCCCCATTGAGCTCCACGGTTGAGCTTGAGAGTCTGCTGTTGACTTGCCTGATGGACTGATGAATCAACGTCCTTTGCTGTTTGTCTTCAGGTACCTACACATAAGGGTATTTTTTAGTAGTAGTAGTAGTAGTTCTTTATCATATCTTATGAAAATATATGTAGAATTTGCATTTTTTACTGTTACATTCAGTAAGATATTTTACCATTAAAATATTTGAAGCCTACCAAGTTAGTATGATCTTATTATCTGCTTTTTTCCAAGGATATTATAATTTTTAACTTGACTGTGCTTAAGGAATGATTTTGGTCAAATCTCTCCATGAGAAAAGTTACAGAATCATTGAGTTATAATCAGGAAAATGCTTGAACAATTTCAGTAAAACTCTGAAACTGCCATGAAAAGAAATAATTGATCCCTAAAATGATGCAAAACTCAATGGCACACAATAGATTGATTTTCATTGTACTTATGTAGACAATACAATTCAGATCATGCATTGGAGTTTGTATAAATCACGAACACCCCAAGTAAAGCAATTACTTGTTTGTGAATCATCTCCTTAGCAGATTAAAACTTTAAGTAATTTTATTGAAAAAACATACCTTTATATTGACCACAGAAGTTTTATCTTTATCGTTGACAAGTTGTTGTAGCTTTTCTATATCAGCTTGTTCTAGAACCCCTGCCTTGACCTCATCCTAGAAATTAAAAATTTGTTTTCCTTTTCTATTGAAGCCTTACAAGTTTCATACATATGTACCAGTAGTCAAATATTAAATGAATGAATCATAAGTTTTAATTGGGTGTAAAATTTAAATATGTATCTAGTGATTTCCCCAGGATATTTTCTTAGGTGGGTGCCAACTTTTCTCATTTTCAAGTTGGTGCAAATGGATTTTCGAGTGGGTGCAAGCCTATTTTCAAAATCTCATGTGGATGTTGCGCCCACAGTAGAACCTAAACCTAAACATCTTATCTAATAACTCAATGTGCACACTTTTGCTCAGTCTAAATTTTGGTATCTCCCACTACCATATTAAAAAGTTGAAAATGTGAACACCTGGTAGTCTTTAACACTTTTGGCCTGTACTACCTATAGCATTTGAATTAGACAGGTTTAAATTTATTCATAATACAATGAATAAGATCCCCCAGCTAAGTTGCAGAGATATATGGTATTTAGACGATGATCCCTTACTGCAGAGTCAGCCACTTGGTCTTTGTCCTCATTTGCTTCTTCTTCCTTTAGTTTAGGGTCAGTTATATCAGTCAGTCTAACAGTGTCCCCATCAGCATCGATCTCATTAACAATGAAGTCAGAGAACCTGTGCTCATGAAAATAAAAAATAAAAATTATCATATCAAGACATAATATTTTTGGTCTTGTGAGAAGGATGCTGCAGAAAATCTGGTGGAAACCAGCTGCCGTCTTTCATGATAATCATCATGAACATTACCGCTCAGCAGCTCAACATTTGGATTATAAGAGGGTAAAATCATCTAAATTAACTGTAACTGAAACTAGGACATGTCCTATCATGCATTCAAAACATAAAACATTTAAAGGCTACATTTATCTTACATCAAGTCACTTTCAAAATGAAAAGATTTGAGTACCTTTGCTTGATGACACCATTGAAACCTTCATGTTGACTTATGTATTCAGTAATTCCCACATCTCCTTCTTTTAAGCACTGACTTGATGAACTGTCCTTTATTTTTGCTTCATTAGGATCAGTAGATGGCACATTTTTAACATCTAGTTGCTCATCAGGGGTGGAAGTAATGCTGTCTTCACACTTTATACGTTTAGCTGGAGGTCCTGCAGCTGCTTCATCCCCTTGTGTACTCATTGTTGGGATGTACTTTATGGAATGTTTGAATAATCACCTACATACAGAAAACATCTATCTTATTGATATATCAATGTATGTCAACAGGCAAACTTTTAATTCCATTTGGGGTGAATGTAGGTACAATTTTACTTAACTTCCATAGCACTTTAAACGACTTATCAATGAGCATATTCCAAGGAAAACTCACACATGTAAGTGGAAAACTCAAAGTACACTCAGGATTACCACCAGGATACTGAGAATGATCCGACAGAAACAAAGACGATATAATGTTGCCAAACATTCGAATTCAATATTTCCAGGCCATACTCAGTTGCAGTCAAGATGATCATTGATCATGCTAAATGGTACATTTTGTACAGCTAATGTGAATAAATCAAATGGAATAGAAACTTGTTGAAATGAATGAAGGGTTTGTGTAAAAAACCGGGTGACCCGGTAACCGGGTACTTAACGTTCCTAGCAGGGTTAGGAATTTTTTTATTTATAACGTCTGATCTGGACGATACATGTACGTTATTTTGACGTCACGTTTTGAGGTTATTTCACATCGTAAGCACGTTTTGACAACGTTAACTTTTAACGTTAAAATAACGTCGGTAATGAACCGATTTAGTGAGAACATATTGACTTCTTTGTAACGTTTCCTTAACTCACAAATATTTTGAAACCATTTCCACAATGTTAAAATTCAACCATCCATCGACGTTTTGCTGAATATTTAAATAACGTCAGATCAATACGATCCAAAAACGTCATTATTGACGTCATGTTTTGAGGTTATTTCAAATCGAAAAAAACGTTCCGACAACGTTAAATTTTAACGTTAACAATACATCGGAAATGAACCGACTTAGTGAGAACACAAAGTTTTTGTCATGCTTTTTTCCACCAACAAATATTTTGATATTAAAATTTGAATTACGTCACATATGGACCAATGTAGTAAAAAATCAAACGTTCCTGTTTGTTATGTTTTCCACACTAACGAACTTTACGGACACGTTACAACAACGTTCTTTTTATACCATCAATAGATGTCTCATGTTTACGTTGCCTCGATGTGTAAAGAACGAAAATGTGCAACGTCTTCTAGGAACTTATATGCTACTTATGAGCAACGTGACATGGACGTAACTGTTTGCTGGATCTATTATCTATAAAGTGCTCTGTCTCGTATAGGGTAAAAATATCGAACAGCAGTGTACTCGGTATAGGCTCAATTCGTTACTATATATCGGGGGAAATGTGGAACTTTGAAAGTTGGTAACCCTGCTAGGAACGTTAGGTACCCGGTCGACAGGTTACCCGGTTTTTTATACAAACCCATGAATGAATGAATCAATGGAAGTCTATTTTTCAACATCTAGATCTAGCCTAGTTATTGAATTGACGCACACCATGAGCTGCAAAAACGATCTGATCGACTTATGCGGTTAAAAACGCAAATATGACATACCTTATAATATTCAGGCACATGGAAAACTCCTCAATTTTGATGAAGAATTTGAGAAAATCTACAAAACGTTTAAAAAATGGGCGCTGACATCTTTAATTCATGACGTCACTTCCGAGACAAATGAGCACATGCAAATATTGGATATTGCGCATTCAATATGTCTTAAAAGTCAGTTATATAAGATTCCATCATCATTATTCAGTTCTTCTTTGTTTATTACACGTTTAAATGATTATATGATATCTTTATTTCAAATTGTATTGAAATTGCCTTTTCTTCAACTTGTCAGGTTGGCCGAGCGGTCTAAGGCGCCAGACTCAAGGTGAGCCTTCCGCACTATGTGCGGGCGAGTGTTCTGGTCCACGTATGTGGGCGTGGGTTCGAATCCCACATCTGACAAACTTTTTTATTTTTTATGTCAGTTACCATGCATATTCGAGTATCATTGAAAAAAACATTTATGCCCTTCTGGCACACCCTCCCCTCTTCCAATATTTCTCCAATTTGCTCATACAATATTTAGTCTAAAACCAATAAAATACTACAAAATAGGCTGAGTGGCCCCACTATAGAGTAACTAACCCCAGGGGCGGATCTGGGAACCAACAAGGGGGGGAGGGGGGCCCAAATGTCAGGTCAGAGAAAAAACTTTTGGGCCCCTAAAACCCAAAAGTGGGCCCAAATTTAGAAACTTTGAGGCCCATTTTCTTCAAAATTTGGCCTGAAATTAAAAAATAAGGCTTTTAGAGGCCCAGTAATGACTAAAAAAGCCCACTTTTTGGGGCCTTTTTTGGCCCCCAGCCCCCCCCAGATCCGCCAGTGACCCCCCTCCCCCCTCTGACTTACGCGATTTGATCCACGCGGCAAAAAATTGACAATTTTATATTCTCTTTAATAAAAACGGCCCGCCCTTGGAGAAACTTAGTGTCTCACTGGCTTGATGGTACAAAAATGTAAAAACTGTGATTATATGACATGTGTGGGCAAAGCATGTTCGCTAAAAAGGGTGTATGGTTACGTTGATACACCCTTGGCTTCATTGTCCAATTTAGTGAATCTACTATCTCCAAATAATAAAGATTGAACATCAGAAAATCAACTACAGTTGGGGACATAAATAAATGACAGGTGGATTTGCTGAAGTGGGGATTTCCCATGTTAAAAATAAGAGAATTTACAAGAGGCCATAAATCAGTGGATGAGATTATACAAAATGTAAAATATACAAATTTTAAGGGATATGTATCTAGACAATATTGGAAATTATGGGCTTTCAGACCACCATAATTAGGAAATGGTGATCGAAAATCGACCTGTCATTTATTTTTGTCCCCAACTGTAGTAAGGTTTTCATTAAAAGTCCTGTTAAGAGAGCCTAGCTACGTTCTTGCTGCAGTAAAAAGGGCATTTTAATATAAAATAGCTGCTTGTCTGTCAGGTTGTCTGTTGAAGCTCAAAGTCATGCCGTTGTCACAAATGGCGGTAATAACCGTCGCTTCAACTGTTTAATCGCTTGGTCCTCATGCATTTCTTGGGATTTTATCGTCGCTAATTCTGTGCATGTGTTAAGCTCTTGTGATAAAGTATTATATCATATGAAATCCCATTTTCGATCAAATTGGGTCGTGAATCGCCACAATATAGAGTATTCGATATCGTTAATGACAACGGAATCGGAATTTGAGTAATGTAGAAAGACAACGGCATATGGTAATTACAGTGTCCGTTGTCCCGTATCTCATTTTGATCGGTTAAATCAAAGACTTTATTTCGATGGTAGAACATTATTAACTATACAATGAGTAATAAAACACTTTGATTGATTGTTCTTCCAAAGGAATTTAGTCTAGGTGCTCTATTAAACATACAGTTCATGGAAATCTAATTGAAGCGACGGTTATGTCCGCCATTTGTGACAATGGTATCTGACTTTACCGTTGTCAGGCTATTCCGGGGTTTAGTCCGAATCTGGCAAGAACTACATTCAGTATGACAAAAAGCTTTCCGATGGTGTGTTTAAATGGCGAGTCACCTTTGGTCCTGACAAGAGAACGCACGTACCATTACATCTTATGTTCAGTAATCAGATTACTTAAACAACATTTTTATTAGAAAAACGTGATTTTCATACAGGCACATGTTGAATATCAGTAACACATAGAAACGACAGGCTGGCAGGTCAGGAACCTAAGGCATTATAATTTAACTGAGAGCTTTGTTTGCTTGCCTTTGTTTTAACCTGAAAAGAACACAATGGGTAAAATGATAGTTCGTGGGATTACATAATCGTCCATATAATTCCTCTACGTGTTACGTAAACAGAGTCCAAAAACGGTTAAGATCTGCAGTTTTTCCGTTTACGTAACAATAGTGAGGTACTAAATCGACAATTTTGTTGTCTTCTGAACTTGCAGATTTTAAGAAATTACACCAACGGTCGGGAGGGGCTGATTATATTGAGCCATAATCGATGAAGAAATTTACTTTCGAAGAGTCTCACACTGATGAGTTTCATTTATAACTGAATGGAATTTTGATTTACATAATTTTTGTTCAAGGACTATGTCACACCCCATTCTCTTATTCGTCGTAGCACCGAAGTTTACGACGTTATATCCAGTAATTTCCGCGGGCGATTTGTAAGTATTTATTTATTTCGACGTTTTGACAGAATATGGTTCTTTCCCTTTCGTAGAAACATTGACCATACCATACCATACCTCTAGTATCACTACGTCTGGACATTTCGCCTGAACACAGTCTTACACTTCTTAAACCTTCGAGAAAGCACAATTGCTTGAAAAACAATGATAGCTTTTCACTAAAATCATCATAGTTTTAATACAATTTTTACATTTCATCCAGATACTTCAGTGTTCCAAATCAATGAAAGAATTCCGGGGAAATTAATTTTTCTTTGAAAGTGTACGACGACAACGGAGTACGACGTTCAGGGAATTAAAAATATACAATGAAATATATATACCCCCCTAACGTCGTATGAGTATACACTTTCAACGAAAAATTAATTGCTCAGAATTCTTTCATTGATTTAGGATACTAAAGTGTCTGGATGATGTATAAAAAATGTATTGCTAATCTTACCAATATTTCAAGATGACAGAGTTAGAATTCTAGAAACTATGATGATTTTTGTGACCAATGATCATTTTTTCAAAAAATTTATCCTGCTTTCTAAAAGGTTTGACTGGATGGATGTATGGATGTTGCTTGATATCATAAATCTCTGTGTGAGCTCTCCAAAAATTTCAAAACGGGTATCCTGCTCCTTCCGACTACCCATGCCAAAAATTTCTCAAAATATTTATGAGTTTTTCTTAACTAATAGCCTATGGGATGGGTGCAGAGCCATAAATGCTGTTGATGACTGATTGGTACTCTATTTGAATATCAATAGTGTCCAGATATTTGTTCCACCAGCAGTCACACTCATAAATTCTCACTTTATGGCCTTTAATGGGGTTAGAAGCATTTTGTTTTGTTTACTCAGCAAATGTGGATTCATTTTTAAATCATCAAGGTTAAGTAGGAGCAACTGAAACCTTCATTGGTAAAAACAATGTAACACATTCTTCTACCCCTCAGCCTGAATCACTATAAATCGAATGTAGTGGCATATCTTGAAACTATGAAACAAAACTCAGATGTTATGTAGCATCAGTATTTTACTATTTAAAAGATTGCAATTTACAGATAAAGGGAGTGTATAGAGTCTATGATGATTCCATAATGGTCTCTTCTGTGTGTTTTCCCTTGTCTGCAACTTGCCTGGACCTTGATTTCCTCTCCAGGATTGATTTGCGGTCCTTGTCTAGTTTAAGCTTCACGATCACCACCTGGAAAAGCACAAACATAAGATCTTTCAAATACATGTTTGAATATCTTAAAAACTACATCGAAAAATGTGGATATGCAAATGATTTGAATTTCAAAATTATTCCAAGATTTCTATAATAATGGTTACTTTCTACATGATGTACTACTAAAACACTGTTACACAGCTTTATGATGACAATTTCATAAAATTGACTAAAAGTTATTTTCCTGTATTCAATTTCCAACGATTGTTAAGTTTTCTGAAATTACTTAAGAATCGTTATTGACATATCAAAATCCCCATTAACATAACATTAAGGATCTTCGAAAACTGATATATTAACATGTTTTCTGTTGATAGAACAAGCTCTCTTTTTCAAAGAAAATAGTTTTGCTTGAATGGACATTGAATGACTATGTATCAGACCCCTGTACTTCTTCATGAACTCAAGGAATCTTGTAGTATATGAACTAGAATTGGGGAAAGGTGGAGACTACAGTCAATCTATGCCCTAAGATCTGAGAGCTGCTGGTCAAAATGGCACCACAGACCAGTAGCTATGTTATTTTCCCATACCTTGTGAAAAAATCAACTGGTCATTATAAAAAGTAACTTGATTAATGACCAGATGATCCACCCTCACTGGGGCCATACCCTGACTACAGTACAGAGGCTTAGAGGCTTGATGTATGATTGACAGTTTCAATAAGATGTGGAAGTTGTAAAAGTAAAACATGCCCATTATCCCCATTTCAAAAGCTCACTGCTTTTTTAATAATCACTTTCTCGTCTTGGAAAGATATTGGAAATTAGGATCCATGAGTAAGTCCGAGTAAAACACCTGGATTGACATTTATGTCTTACAGAAGTTGATGTAATAAAAAAATGTCAAAAATTAGGCAATGGATGAGATCTGGCAGTTCATATTAAGAATCCTCGTAGATATTTACTCAAGTTCATTTTTGGCACATTTAATTTTGGTGAATTTAGAGATTTTGTTTTCAATGGATGTACTGTATGTACTATTGAATTAAAATTTGAGATAACTTAAAACTAGAAGCAGGGGTTGAGCTCTCGCAAATAAATGCAATTCTACATATACATTTTGTGTTCAGTCTGATGTCAAAATATAAATTTCATTGTAATTGAAACCTCAGGGATAAAATTATTTGTTGACTTACCTTTGAGGGGTGGATACCAACATTTACAGATGCACCGTTGGCTTTTTCTCTCTGAATACGCTCAATGTGGATCACAAACTTTTTACGGTATACTTGGACCACTTTGCCGTACTGAGGCCCCTTGTAATGTCCACGTACAACCTGGAATTAAGATTTCAAAGTAAATGGAATGTACAAAGTATTTGTATAGGATGTGATGAAGATATGATGAACATAAAGTGGTGTTTCTCAAATTGAATATGTATCTAAAAACCTGATCTCTGTGTCAAATAAGCATCTGAGACTAGGCATGATTTACAATTGAATACTACATGTACAATAGTAGTTGAAAATGCCTGTGTTGTATCAATTTGCTTAACTAACAGGATTCTTGCCTGGGCATGCATTCACCCTAGAACGAAAAGGAAACCTGCATGTACCTTTTGAATTTCATAAAGGACCATGAAATTTGCCAATTGTATTATATTTCTATTATATAATTAAATAAATCACATCAACTCATCTGTTAACTTTGTCTTCAGTTCAACATTTTGAGTATCATATTAGCATTTGAAGACAAGTTTATATAATAAATTTATATATTTTAATGACATTACAGAAGAATTTGAAATGGAGCCTAATGTGTTGATGAAGTTTCTAATCAGTTTTGTTATTTGTCGGCCTAAATCAGTGTTCTACACACGTCTAGTAGGTCACTAAATGATACAGATATCTTCACTTGAAAGAGATAACTAATATTCAACCATTAAATACGCATTTTCTTTTCGTATTTCGAAGCAATTTGCTATTGGTTTTGATAAGACAGAAAATTTCAATATGGGCAATCTCTGCGAGGTTCCATTTATTAGTTCTGTTTTATGCGCATCAAATCTAGTAATTTGATTAGTTAAAATTATTAAGACGCATGCGCGATTAATAATCGCGGCCAATCATAGGACTCATACCAATTACCACTCGGTACTGTAGCAACTAGTGATTATCCTATCACAGGCCTTGTACTATTTTGATCAGATCTCAACTTCAGTAAAAGAAACTTCGAAAGAAAATATTGTATTTCTAATCTAAAATTATTTCAAAATAGAAGTAATTCTCATCTAAAGGTGGCAACTTGGTCAGGCAGAGGTAAAATGGAAGAAAATTTTTAGTGCAACGATATACAAACACGGCCTTGAAAGAAGGAGGTAAATGTACACTCCAGAATTTCACAAGATGCACATGTTCAATGGTCAAAAATTCTTTTCTCCCAGAAAAGTAGTCTAAGCAGTAGTAGAATTTTTATTGAATTTGAGATTCCTGTGGATATATGATAGCACATTGAAGCTTGCATGATGAAAGTCTTAAGGCGACGCTATATTAAATAAAAAGTACAAAAAATGACTGCCATATTTTTTTGATAAAGACACATGTTTTTAAAATCTGTTTACCTTGTATATGAATTGTATATCTTGACTAATGAAACATGTCAAAGTTAACATCACACATAAACGCATTTTTCCAAACTATGAATTGGAGGTGCATGGATCCCCAAAGCTAGCATGAAGAGTGCGAAGTGAGGCTAATTTTTGAAAGTTTCAAGGAGTAGCCTTGCAACAGTCACACATTTGCAAGAGTCTAAAATTTCCACAAATCATCTTACCTTTCCCAGGAACAACGAAGGAGCATGAAAATGTGCACTTCTTGCATTGTTAGAGTATAATAAAGCTCAAACCATTGTAAATTCTAAATATTTCATGTCCACATTTTGTTTGCCGGAACTACTTCTAGACTTCCTGATTAATCCTCATGCAAGTTTTGTGACTACACCAAGTGGCATGGATTATCACTTGTATGTTTTATCTATTACAGTGTAATTATCATGATAGATACATGATAGAGGCTTTATGAATGATAAACAATGGAAACATGAATGAAGATAAAAAATAGTTCCAGGAAACAAAATGGTGGACATGAAATATTTAGAATTCACAATGGTTTGAGCTTTATTATACTCTAACAATGCAAGAAGTACACATTTTCGTGCTCCTTCGTTGTTCCTTGGTAAGGTAAGACTATATCTAGAAATTTTGAATTCTTGCAAATGTGTGTCTGTTGCAAGGCTACTCCTTGAAACTTTCAAAAAATAGCCTCACTTCGCACTCTTCATGCTAGCTTTTGGGAGCCATACACCTCCAATTCATAGTTATAAAAAATGCGTTTAAATGTGAGGTTTTCTTTTATGTGTCTCTTTAGTCAGGAAATGCATTCACATACAAGGAAAACAGTATACAAAATCTTCTGACTTTATCAAAAAAATATGGCTCCCATGTTTTTGTACTTTTGATTAACTTAAATGTCACCTTAAAATAATTCACTCAAGATTTCCGATCCAAAACACCCACCTGAACTTCATCATCTTTCCTGATGGGGATGCTGCGGACATTGTATTTTGCACGCAGATCCTTAGACAATGGAGAGCTCATGATCTTCCTTCTGATGTGAGAAGGTGCGTTGAAATGCCTCTTTCGGTTCTTGCTGCGGGAACCGCTTACCATCTTGTTGAACTTCATGGCTAATCTGAAGATTGAAAACAATTTTGGTTTTGTGATTGAAATACTGACAAGTAAAATGGTTATGAAGTTGTGTCCTGTCAGTTGGTCATAGGTACCAAATTTTAGTGCAACACACACGAGAAAGCATGCTGAATTCGAAATAATTTGTAAAAGTGTACAGAAAAAAGATTTTACTGGAGCACCAGTTCCGTTCAAAGTGATTTTAACTAAATAATAAAGCTATTCAGGGAAAAATATGATGACACGTCGATGTGAATTATATTATATTACAACATTTTTACAGACTTGCTATAATCTATTCTAAGATTGGCTAGATATTCGGAGATATCAAGATGAAAATATAATTCTCATTTTACCAATTCAAAGATGGCCGACTAAAAGGACGAATATCCGGGACTTTTGGGGATATGTCATTTCTAATAAAATCGCACTATTATGCCAATATATCATTACTTCCAGGTTTGAATACTCTAAAAATCACAAAAATGACAAAATAAAAATTATTATCTGCGATGAAAGTTGTAAAAGACTTTATCATTTCTATTTGATGCATTTCATTAATTATTGCTCAAATGACAATATGTCAGTCCCGACTTTCCAACGAGTGTAAACTTTTGAACTTTGGAAAAAATATTTTCTCTGCTCATTTTACTTGTAATATGCTCTTTGAATGATAAATTAATATATGTTTTATGTGCATAGTAGTGGAAAAAATTAGGAGATAATAATGGCTGCTTCATGCTGCCCATCACATCTACATACATGGAAGAAATTAGGAATCTTCTCTGCACGATTAAAAAAAATTAAAAAGTTTTCAACAACTTCAAATTCAAATGCAAATCATGGGGGAGGTACATTGAAATCAAAATACGATGCTGTTATAATTGGAGGAGGTAAGTTTTAAACAAACTCTCTGTATATTCAGGCATGCTAATGCCACCCAGACACATACACATCAACATGTACATGTGTGTGCAAACTGCAGTTATTATATGTAAAAGTACAGTGCTGATATATGATAATAAAGGGTGCGTTTTCAAACTAAACAGAGTGCTCCTACCAAAATTAATTTGTCTACATACCCCTGAGACTCTTATCTGATAGATAGAATGCACAAATAAAACAAAAGTTTTGCTATTATAGGTGAGAATTTGTGATTTTACCTGTTAATTCTGTACTTGGTCAGCCATGTTGGCGGAAGTTTCACTGAAACGCATACTCCATTAAACGAAACGTCATTAGAAAAAGCCATGGCACACATTGTGCGCATGTGCAGCAAAGTTTAAACCATGGGCTTTCATATTTTTCGTGAAAAAAGCATCTGATTCAATACATAGTTTAATGTAAAAAATTGAAGGCAGTTGCCTCTCCTGCCTCATGCCATGCCTTTGGAGTTTGATCTTTTTCGTGAGCGAAATATATAAGTGTGACATATCCCTCCAAACATACTGTGTGCTCTGGTAACTGGTTATTAACTTTTTTTGATTTATTCTACGTTCTTTGTTTTGTAGGTCATAATGGCCTAGTGGCGGTAAGTTTGAATTCGAATTGACATGTTAAATTCTTTTAAAAGTGCATGTTATATACAATGTACAATATGTACAATATGTATGTTGAGGATTAAGGCTAATGAATTTTATTAAAAACCCTAACTTTATAAGATATAATAAAAGCAACATTTTTTTGAATCAGAATTCATGAAGCTCCATGTATGAAAAGAAAATTTTGTTGACTTATCACATATAATTTTAATTGAGAAAATCTTAAAATCACATCAAACTTAAGATCAATATTTTATAACATCATTGTCTTTAGGCTGCATACATGCAAAAAGCAGGACTAGATGTTTGTGTGCTTGAAAGACGTCACGTCATCGGAGGTGCAGCAGTCACAGAAGAAATGGTGCCAGGATTCAAGTTTTCTCGGGCATCTTATGTTCTCAGTTTACTCCGTCCACAGATCCATGATGAACTAGAACTGAAGGTAGATAAACTGTATGTAGCAATCAGGAGAAGGAGATAAAGAGTGAAATTCCCGAAATTTAATCGCTCCAAAATCATGTTTTCTCAGAATTTGCAAAATTAAAACTCGCAACATTAACCGGGAGAACAGTAGTGCCAGGCTTAACATTCTCCTCACATCACTCCATTTACAAATTCATGAGCTCCACCAAGACAACCAACAAATGATGCTAGACTTTTACTTACAATGTACAGTATATGAGAGGGTACCTATGAGAACATGATCTTTTTATCCTTTGAAAAATTCTCTCAAGTTTAGACCCTGTTAGTTGTACTATTGTTCAAAATATAAGAGTTGCATTTTGTACAATGTTGAATTAATTTCTAAATTTCTTACTTTTTAGAAAAATTTGCGAAAACTACAAATTTTGAAAACCAATTTTTAGCATATTTTAACTGTCTTATAGAAACATGGCTTGAAGGTCCATCTGAGGGACCCCAACTCATTCACTCCTCTTCGCGACCCAGGACCTGATGGCAAGTACAAGTCTCTAACACTGGGCAGGGATGAGAAGCTGACTGCTGAATCAATTGCTCAATTTTCTGTCAAAGATGCCCAGGTACATTGCATATAGAGAACATAACATTTTGTCAGATTGTAATATTAGAGGGACATACTTATAAGGATATCATGTACAGGATTAACATTTTCATATGCTGTATTATTGGGTGAATGAGAATATTCTGTATGAAGTTTCTTGTGAATATTTTGTTCTATTTGAATGGTTTAATTATCATATAACTATGCGAGTCATATCTGGTTCGAGTTAAACATTTTTTAAAGAAAGCTTTTAATATGATCTCATCAATCATGATATTACGGATTATTCCAAGCATATCATATTGCCCTGTCCATTTGAAAAAAGCAATTAAATTGTTGAAAATGTGTTGACATGTGATTGTAGAACTATGCCAAGTATGAAGAGTGGCTAAATGAGCTAGTGGTTGCCATAGATCCCTTACTTGACAACATGCCCATCAGTCCTGTACATGCTCGTTCTATGAGGGAGAAAATAGACATGTTGCCTGCTATAAAAGCACTTACTATGACAGGTAGGTTCAGGAATGGAAAATATCCCATGTGGGGATGAACGATTTTTATAAGGTGTTCATCAAAATAGGTGTTGATGTTTAAATTCAAGCAATAAGTGGCAGCTTTTTAGGAAATCTTTGTTAAAACATTAACTCCAAACAAATACTCCAAACTAGTTCAGCATAGTGGTACGTACAAGAAGCAAGTTTTGGAAATGCCATTTAGTTTTTGTGTCAAATACACACATTATATCTCTATCATATTGCTAATATTTCAGGCAGACTACTTGGTAAAAACATTCCTGGGTTCTATGAACTGCTTACAGCTCCTGCCTCAAAGGTGAATATTTATACCCTTGCTTTAATGAAAACACAGAATGAAACTCTGTGCTAGAAGCTCACACATAGTTTTTTTAGGCTCACATAAAGTTTGAACATATAGTTTTTATAGTTTTTAATTGCTTTTTGCATATCCAAAACAATGTGTCATGTGAAAACTATTTTTATTCTGTTTTATATGTTGTATATTGTGGAATCCCTTTGTCATTCATTTTCCCTGATTTGGGTTTGGACTAATTTTTAGGTGTTAGGTAAATGGTTTGAATCTGAGCCTCTAATTGCTACCTTAGCAACTGATGGTGTGATTGGTGCTATGATCAGCCCTGACACACCTGGTAGTGGCTATGTGTTGCTACATCACGTCATGGGGGAACTTGAAGGTACAGTAGAACATGGTATTGTGTGATAGAACAGTATTAATTGGGAATTACAGGACCATTCTAGTGAAATCCCAAAACACATTTCTTGTCCGCTATGGTTTTGATTCAAATTTATGTGTAAAATTCTAATTGATGTGGTGGATGATTCAGAGGAGCATAGCGATATAACCCATTCTTAAACTACATATTGTTGCAGGTATAAAGGGGGCCTGGGGTTATGCAGAGGGTGGTATGGGGGCTGTCTCACAGGCCATAGCTAACTCTGCACAGTCTCATGGTGCTAGTATTTTTACAGAAAAGGTTGGTATGACTAACTATAGTAAAACCTATAAGTGGAACACTTTTCAAAGTCCCACAATCTATTGATTTATTGTTGAATAAACCTCAATAATTTGAACACCTCCTGAGTGAAACACTTTAGAGGTATCACTGGTGTTCCACTAACACATGTTCTACTGAAGTTGCATCTTACTATGATTGTTCATAAGACAACATTGTTAACTTACAAATGCATAATTATTTTTATTTCAAGTGCCTTCAGTTTTTATGTACCATATGACATAGGAACACATAGAAATACATTCTATCAGCTTTGTTGCAACTTTTCAATTTTGATATATTATACATTTCTTTAAATTAAATTAGATTAAATTAAAAAACTCTCAAGTGTTGTTTGTTCTCTAATTGTTGTTTTATAAAGACAAGAATTAAACTGAGGTAAGCGGGGCAAGAGTATTTTATCTTTGATGTCATGTTCTTGGTTCAAGGTGGGTGAAAAAACTTATTTAAGCAAATGTATACATGATTCATTTGAAGTTCAAATCCTTGGTATTTCAGGCTGTAGATAGAATAGTAACTGATGCAGACAACCAGGCCACTGGGGTTGTCTTAATAGATGGCACTGAAGTAAAGGCAGATATTGTCATGTCTAATGCAACACCCAAGATCACATTCCTGGACCTTTTAGAAAAGGTAAAACTTGTTTTTCTTACGGCTGTAGAGACCTCTCCTTAATCTGCTTTTTAAGTTTCCACTGGCAGTCAAATTTTAAATTCAGAATAATATGTATTTAGACATAACATTTGTATAACTGTCACTGATGCCATTTCATTGACTGACAATTATAACTGGCAACATTAGCCTACAGTATCTATTATCGTATCGTGCTCTCACTTCAACTCTAAAACATCTGCTTTCAGAACAGCCTACCTGAGGAGTTCATCAATGAAGTGTCTGCCATAGACTATACATCTCCAGTCACAAAGATAAATGGTCAGTTAATACTTTCTTGATTTCATTATCTCAATCAATATCGATGAAAATACTGCATGTAAAAACTGTCTAATCTGAACGCCATTTGGACAAGTCAGAAGTGTTTAGCTTTCAAGGTTTCTTATTAATCAATAGAGGTGTCATGGGCCAGATATCTTTTTGGTCGGGTCCTGGCAGAAAAGGTCTGAAGAAAACAGAAAAATGAATTTGACTTGCTGTTTAAGCCTGCATTATTGCATATTATGCTTTAATAAAGGGAAAATGATAGAAACTTAGCATTAAATCATTCGGGAAGAACCATAAACTATTCCCCATTCGTAATTTATATGTATTCAAGAAATAGGCTAGCCAAAAGTTTGAAACTTTGCGTGAAATAGAAAGAATTTTACGATAATTTATGATAATTCTAAGTGTTCTGACCGGACCCGAAATTGGTAAGAAGTTGTTTGTGACCCAATCTGAACCTTTTGACCTGAGATTTGGGTTGACTTTTGGTCAGGGTTGCACTTCTATTAATGAGAGACATCAAAATTTGGAACATAAAATATGGTCACAAATAAGAGATGTTTGGATTAGAGAGGTAGTCAGATATACAAATTTTATTCAACACTTCACAGTATCATATCTCAGTTTATTATGCACCTCATTAAAATACTCAAATCTGATTGGTTCTTAGTTGCTTGTAATTTGGCAATACTCTGCTCTTTCCTGAAAACTGACGGATATTTTTTTAATATCTGACCCTTTCGAGAAAAAGGGTCGGATATTTTTTTCAATGTTTTTGCAACATTCCCACTTCAGAGTTTTATTTCTTAATAACTGGAGTACTACTTAAAGCTTACATCTTAAACTGGCGGAAAATAGAAGAAAGAAATGCACTTAATCAATCACAATTACCCTTATCATTCAAAAGTTACATATAATTCTGCAAGAACGTCTGAATAAATAAAAATTAAATTCCCGGGGCAAATATTTTTGTCCAGTGTAGCGAATATACTGGCCGGAAGTCGTCTGAGTTTTGAAAGAAAAAATAAATAAATGTACAAAATAATGTCAACTAAACGACAGTTTAAGCCTGTACTCCAGTAAGTACTCCACTTAACTTTGATTGGGAGGTGCATAATAAAACAAATACTGGATGATCAGGAGCTGGATATGGCCAGAATACCTATCCTCGGCGGCAGCCGAGCCCAATATTTTTTCTCGAATAGGTATTCTGCCATATCCAGCTCCTGATCATCCAGTATTTGTTTAATATGCGGTATATCATGGAACTCTGAATTTTTGAGACTTTTTCTCAGAACTTATTGATTGACCTGGTAGTATATAGGAGGATATTGATAGGTGAACATGTATTTGGAACATTATTTGGAGTCCAGAATAAACTCTTCATCATTAAGGAGGACTTTTCTAATTTCAGTTGCTGTCAATAAGCTGCCAAACTTCCTAGCCAAACCTAACATTGGAACAGAACCTATGCCACATCACAGGGCAACAATACATATGAACTGTGAGAATACTAGTCTCGTAATGGACTCATACAGAGATGCAGTTGATAAGGGAATACCTTCTAAGAGGTTAGTTGTTTTAAATTCATCGCAATACCCTATGAATTGAAAAGTTCTTGTTAGTAACAGAATGTTAACATTTTGATGAATAGAATGTTTTTGGGGATAAGAGGTTGTGTGTTATTTTCACGATATTTGTACAAAATTTCCTTTCCTAAAATTTGAATTTAAATATGTATCAAAATTGACAGTTTTGTCTATCAATATAACAATCCATTGGCTATAGTTTTTCCTTTGAATAAGTAGAAAACATTTTATGTTTGTTTCTAGGCCAATGATTGAAATGACGATACCATCCAGTCTTGATAAGACTATAGCACCCCCTGGCTGCCACGTGGTGCTTCTTTTCACACAGTACACGCCATACTCTCTCCCTGGGGGTGAGACCTGGACAGATGAGCGCAGAAATCAATACGCAGATACAGGTAAGTATCAATCTCAACAGGATTTTGGACATACAATGTACATGGATGCTGACTGGCAAATGTTCAAAAACAATTTTCATGAATTTCCAAGCTTAGATTTTCTTCATATTCCTTAGCATCTTAGAAATTTGTTGCTTAAATGTTCTGGAGATCAGAGATATTTACAGACAGAACAAGGAATATTAATTTTGTATCAATTTAGTGGAAGAAATAAGTGTAGATTGTTGATTGCAAAATTTTGTCGAGTAAGAATGTAATTTGCAACACAATTATTATCAGCATTTTGGGTGTTACAAACATAGAATTAAAGAGTTTTTTGTGCTGTTTGCAGTGTTTGACTGTATTGAGGAGTATGCCCCAGGATTCAAGGAGAGCGTGGTTGGTAGAGATATCTTGACTCCCCCTGACCTAGAGAAAACATTTGGCCTGACTGGTGGGGTAAGTGTGCTAAAATAACAGAATAGGAGGCCAAAGACAAATACATTGGTGGATATATATGATTCTGTGGTATTCCATGTCATCTATGTGTTTCTATAGCACCCCTGTGTTTACCTACAGTATATGTTGCTTTATTATCCCATGCTATTGATGTGTTTCTTTTAAGCACCCCATAATCTCACTGTATGTACAGAGATCGCCTAGTATTAAAAGTGGGTGATCAAAGACTCGACAAGATGCGCAAAATTCAAATATCTTGTAACGGTTATTTTTAAAAGATTTATTTGTGTTTATATTACACGCTACTGGTGATTCAATAAGGTTTTGTAGGCACAAGAACACCCATATGCTTTGAAAAATATATATCACTTTGACCATTTTTCGTATATAAGATTGATTTTACGATGTAAAGATACAAATGCGATATAATATGTGCTGTTTTATTTAAAAAGCTTTAAAATATCAAAAACAATAGAAGATTTTTACTCACTTTAATTTTTTATACTTAGGTAGGGTCTTGGGCTTCCATTTGACCATGATAAAGTCCACGTTTCCTCTTAAATAATATGGAATAAATATTTTAACACAGAAATGAATTGATCGGCCTATAGCGTGAGTTTCAGCAGATCATACACTATATGCTTTAAAGAGAAGAAAAATGGGGTTTCATGCAAAATGTATGTCCAAATTAAAATAAACATGTACATCACCGTTCATTGATTCATTCGATTAAATGGTCACTGTGTGCGTATATTTTGTTATTCTGTCTATGTTTGAATACAATATGATATGTACACTGTACACTGCTAAAAGACAAACCTCTTGAAGCGTAACACCTTATAAATGGAACAGTTTTTAAAGTCACATTTCAGTCCATTTATTTTACCCTCTGATTCCAAGGTATGAAAACTTAACACCTTGGCATCCAAGAAGATTGTCGAATTGTAATGCAAGAATTGAATAAATCATAAATGAAAATGTTATGTCACTGTATCATCCATTGTCATGATTGTGGTTGTTATGGACATGGGGTCTCATAATAAACTTATTAAATCTGAATTGTACACTTCCTATTTCATTGGGGAGTTAAATCATTCTTTTGCAGCAAGGTATCAATAAGTTATAGAAAAATGTAATGACCTTCAGTAGATGCCAGTAGTCAGTTCCCAGTTTCACCACGAGGTGGCTAACTTGGGTCATATGTAAATGATAGGTATAGGGGAAAGCTGCTCTATAGTTCAATATTCAGAAGATTTATTGATCAATTTTCAACTAAGGTGTATAGGTGATTAGCTTGAAAATGTTAAAAATTGTGTGTAATCGAATGCAAAATAAACGCCCAGTGGGCGTTTTTAGAGAAACAAAGTGAAATAAATACTCTGCTATTCTAGACAGCGTTATGTGGATGGGCTGAGGAAAAGTTCCAGTTTAGGCTTTGGTCATATGTACATTAAAGATTTGTTTGATTTATAATTTAAACCAAATCTTTACTTGTCAAGCTCATAAATATTCTAATCATTCTAAATTGGCCTCTATTTTCAATAATCTTTCTCATCTTCATCATTTCATCTTCATGATGTTCTATAAGGTGATTTATAATGTTTTGAAATTTAACAGTTCGTAGTGAAGGACAATAGAAACATGTAAATCAAACCACTCTGAAATGCAAAGAACATATCATTAGAATCCACATGGTAAAATCACTCACTTGGCTGATCATAAATTTTTTTTATAACATCCTCCTTACTCGATACTGAAGGGGGAGTTGGAACGTCTGATATGCATGTAATGTTAAGTTTTATGTATATTAACCATAGATGATATTGGTTTTGTGGTTTTGGCAATCTAAAAACAGAAAATTTTGTGAAAAATACATTTTCGTTCGACGGGGTTTTGATTTTGCTTCTTTTATCAACTCAGTTCAGGTATTTCGGTTGATTTAATCACTGAATCATGTTACCAAATGAATCTTGAGTCTCTTATACAGCATATGGAATACCATCTGTAGGTAAAATGACTTTAAACTGGTAAAGAGAAGACAAACAAACATACCTTTCCTCCGACATTTTGGATTTTGCGCATCTTGTCGAGTCTTTGATCACCCACTTTTAATACTAGGCGATCTCTGTACATACAGTGAATCTCCATATAGGAGCCAGTGTTATTCATGTGATTCTTTAGCACCGTATGTTATTCATGTTTTCCATAGCATCCACGTGACGTGCATTTTAACAGGCACATCATGTCAATCATATGTTTCTACAGCATTCCATATTTAACCCATGTGTTTTTAAGTTAAATAGACCTGTTAATGATTGTAGAATATATTCCATGGTGGTATGGCCTTAGATCAGTTGTACATGTGTCGTCCAGTGCCGTCCTACTGCAACTACCGTTCTCCAATAAAAGGACTCTACCTCTGTGGAAGTGGGACACATCCTGGTTAGTCAAGATATTCTTAAAATGTGATTAGATTAGTCAATGTAACCTAGTATTATTGTGTCACCACCACATTTAGTGGGGACATGTTATTATAGTCTCCAACTTTTTTGACGTTGTGACATTTTGCATGTTAATGCCTTGTTTGAATAATCAAACGTACATCCAACTTAATTTTCATTAAAAATAGCAGTAAAGTAAAGAAAATAAGATTACATTCTTCAAATGACATATAAAATATTACTTTGATACAAGAATCCTGTCTCTACCAATCATTAGTTATTTTATCAGTCAGCAGATTCTTTTGAGTATTGATATATACTAATAATTATACTAATACTATGTGATTCATGTAAAAGAATTTGAGGAAATATAAGCAAAAAAGCAAGCAGATGAAATGCTCATAAAATTGGTAACCGAAGCTCTTCATAACCATTTCAGAATTATTCCAAATTACAAGTTCCACATATATATAGTTTTATTATGTCATAGTCTTAGTATCAGTACGTGTGTATATAAAGTTTCCATAGAAAGTTGCATATTTATCACTGCATGCTGCAGGTGGAGGTGTTATGGGGTCACCAGGAAGATTGGCTGCTCTAGCTGCTGTGAAGGACAACTAGGAAATGTCATTGGCCACTACATCATCTCACAACCTAACTCACACCTCATAAGCCCTGTGAACATTTGACCTTGCAGTATATACGGGGTATATATACATACAATAACATGATGAGTTTGGTGGAAATCCTGCCTACTGTGAAAAATGTAAAAACATTTTTAGTTTAGTTATTTTCAGTCCCATAAGAATATAAATGACGTTGAAGAGCAAGTGATTTCCATGTAATATGTTCAAGTATGATATTTACCAGGGTTCCAGAATGCTTCAAATTATAAGGTGTTAAAACGTGTTGTCACAGCATTTTCTGATCCTTCACAGTCTTTTACTTTTTCTCTAAAATACAATATGATATTAGTAATTTAAAAGTGTGTATTGCGGGCCCCCTAATATGTATTATATAAATCAGACATTCATCGATTTTATAAGGCTGTGATAGCTATATTGATAACCAGTATTATGTGATTAATATACTCAGAGATTATTTACTTCACTGAGCTTGCGAACTTATACATATTGCAGTAATTACAGAATATATTTATATTTTATAGAAATGAATAAAGATTCAATTTGGTTTTATGATGGAAGAAATGGTTTTGTTCCCTGAATCTATCAGTTGTTCTGCGTAGTGCTCTGGTACCACATAAGGAGCATGTTATGCTCTCACGCCCCCTTAGAGTTACTGATAATGATTAACCTGAATGAATAAGAGTAGTGATACCTCATCGCGATAACTGGGCCCCTTTCTCCTGATCTTTCCAAAGCGGCAAATAGCAGATAAGAAAGGGTCTGGTAAACCAGAATGGTGAGACCTGATATAAATCCGCACTAATTTTAGTTAATCATATTTCAAAGAAAATCAAAGGCCAACAATTCGATCATGTTGTTCTTCGTTAACTGATACCCCAACGTTCGATCCTCAATCGTAATTTATTGATTTCTGATAAACCATGACAGTAGATCCACATGCGGTGAATAAAAACAACAATCGTTACGATTCACACCTAGAAATCACCCTATACAAAGTTCATTACCATATGGATACGGCATTACGGTAGAGGATGAGAAACGGTGACAAAATGTTTGATTATATTGGAAACATACAGTATGCTTTAATATCTGTCGCTTATAAAACAGCATACCTTTGGGATCTGATATAATTTATAATTATGGGCGACAATATTGATAATCACCAAGTGCTATACAGCTACGACATACGAAAGCTGTTGTGCTAACTGTTCTTATTTGATTTCTTGTTACCGTTTCTCGTCCCTTACCGTATCCACATGGTGCACGGTTCATGTCCGATCTATTCTTGTAGGGTGAACATATTCCCGGGACATATTCATTGCACTTTTCTTATTCAACACATTCGATGGCGGAGCCGGGGCCCAAAACTATCAAGTATGTATAGTTCAGGCAATCTAATCTCAACAACGAAACTCAAGCGATAAAATAATGAACAATATGATGAATCGAGTGGTTTCTGAACAAGTAATTTTCATGTCCTCACCGCATAGTGTGGCGCCATATTGTCGGCCTAGGCGCATCCGTCCGTCTGTCCGTCTGTACGCTGCAGATATCACCTTCAAATTTTCAGGGATAACTTATGAGTGCATACAGATGTGAACAAAAATTCTGCCAAATACTTCTTGTCGGCCATTTTGAAGTCAAATGCTAAAATCCTTGTTACTTCAAACTTAGGACATGTTGGCTAAGTCATGGTAGCCATTTTGAATGACGTAAAAAAGGTCAGTGAGCAATAGAGTCTAATACTTGTACAATATTAATATGGTGTTTTTGAGTTTTCATTATTTCGTAGCTTTATAAATAATTCCAGGTGTCCTGTATTGTAAAAGCTCATCTCATTGTTAATAAAAACTTCTATCTGTTTTTTTTATTTTTTATTGTCGGCCATTTTTGGATTTTCCGTCGTAAAATCTTGTCTGTAAAGTCTTGTCTACACGCTTTCAGGCGAACCGTTTGACGGATCAATTTCAAATTTTCAGGGATGATTCCTTGTATTAGTTTTTGGGCATTCTGGGTAAATGCTGCCATTTAGGATCTTTCGTCCTAAAATCTTACCTGTTAAGTTTTGTCTCTGTGTTTTAAGGCAAACCGTTTGACAAATCAATTTCAAATTGATTTTTCGTCCTGAAATCTTGTATGTAAAGTATTGTCTACGCATTTCCAGGCAAGCCGTTTTATGGATCGATTTCAAATTTTCAGGGATGATTTTTTTATGAAAATCTTGACCTGATTAGTTTTTTTAGCATTCTGGGTAAATGTTCAGGTTGCCATTTTGTCTTAAAATCTTGTCTACGTGTTTCCAGTTGAACCGTTCGATGGATTGCTTTCATATTTTCAGGGATGATTTTTTTGTATGAAAATCTTGAACTGGTTAGCTTTCGGGCATTCTGGGCAAATATCAAGGCCGCCATTTTGGATTTTTTGTCCTAAAACGATGTCTCTTCAACTAATTAATTATTGTTGGCCATTCAGGATAAAAAAATCTATTGGGATCACCCATTGGAGGGGAAATGTTGTACTATGGGCTTTCAACTAGAAGGAATTGAAAGCCCATGGTTGTGCACATTTGTGTTCTTGTCATATTTTTATTTCATTAAATCACTAGCACAGCACTAGCTGTCAACACATAAACATTGTAAATAGGATTAGTCTTTTACTTTAACCTCCCCGACCTTCTGAAGGTAGCTCCTCTTGAATCTCGGCATTCTATGGTCTGGTCTGCCATATCGTAGTATATCTTTCTTTGCAATAAACGACAAGAAAGACAACCAGCCAAACTACGGATATCCCAGAAAGTCCCCACAGGACATAAATCACGTACATCACAGCCTTTACGGCGTCATCTCCGTCTTTGTACCGACTCAGTTTATATTTGATCAGTTCTTCGTAGGTCATGTCGGTGGCAATGTTTGGTGTTGTTGTTACTATGGTTACATTCATATTTAGTGTCGATGCGTAAACCAGCTGGGACTGGGGAAACTGGATCTAAAATATGTCAAATAATAGTATAAAATAAGTCAGTCACGGTATGTATGTCTCGTTTGTGTATTTTCGTTTACCTCACATTGGCTAGTTTCCTCATATCATGTGGTCCTTATTTACTGTTATCTTGATTAACTACGTTTTGCACTGTACGTAAAATACTCACTTCAATTATAGTATATACTAGCCACATCTCCATGGTAACGCATTACATTAACAAACGTATTGTCAGTGTTTCATGTGTACAAGTCCTAGATAAGTATTCATTTGAGTTAAGATTTTTACTACAATCATTAAATATGTCATCGGCGTCCATTATCATCGGGTTCTCATGACACAATGATCATACATACATCCTGTATCTAAACATCGACAACTATAAATGTTGCTGGTATTATTGTATCTGGATTTACATGGTTTTAATGGCGTATTCATATAAAACAGCTGAATGGACGAAAACACAATGGGATTTTTATTCCGTCGTGCAATTCATTCAAACCAGGAACTTTATTATTTTAATCCATTGTTAGGCCTACTAACATTTTACAATTTATAAACACTGTCAATATGGATTGTCTTTAGGATTTTATCTTTATACTTGTACAAACAGTGTGATCATTGTCACTAAAACTGTAAAATATGCTTTGTTCAAGTATTCGTATACATTCGCCGATGACACATTTGAGGCAATACCAAAATTAAGATACTCCAAGAAATGGGAGAATTCTGTTACAGAGAGCTATAGATGGTGATGACAAAATAATAAAAGATAATTTTACAAAGCGGCGACTTCATGTCAAACGATTATTCAAAAACAGAGAAAAGCTAGGGTGAACGTATTAGTATAGTAGGAACAAGGGGTTCCCATGCACCCATAAGGTGTGAATAAGTTACGCACATTTTTGTAATTCCTAGGGTGTCTATTTAATGAATTCATTTGTTAACATTGCCAACTAATGTCCCATAGTACTTTTATGGGGGCATTCAGTTACCATGGTTACGCATCTTTAGACATCTTACCTTGGTATCTTAAATCATTTGTAGCTCTGTCATTATTTGGTCTATAGAAATGATATTGGTACCAAATTAAACCTCGTTAAATTTCCAATAAATTTCTGATATTCAATTATGCAAATTATCTAATTTGCATAAATTATGACGTCATCAATCTATTTTTGGTTCAGAATTTCCAACTATAGCAACGAATCTATTAGAACTGAGGCCGTATGGCAAAATTTCTGAAAGGTTTTGTCCTTTATTCTATTAGTAGAAGGTATAAGCAACATAAAAGTGAAAACAGATTCAAAATTGAATCAGTATTACGAAACTTATGTAACTTTCGAGGCAGCTATCTTGAATGTCATTATTTGACAATAATATACATTACGTCTTACCTTGGAGTCTTGAATCAATGTAGCTTCGCCATTATTTGGTCTATAGAGATGATATTGGTATCTGATTAAACCTTATTAAATTTACTATATGGTAACAATATTAAGTTATGCAAATAAGCTAATTTGCATTTATTGGGACGTCATCAATCCATTTTTGGTTCAGAATATCCTAGTATAGCAACATATCTATTAGAATTGAGGCCGTATGACAGAATGTGTGCATAGTTTTGTACCTTATTTGATGAGTGGAAGATATAAGCAACATGAAAGGGACAGCAAATCTTCAAAATTGGATCAGAATTAACAAAATTATTCAGCTTTGGAGGCAGCTACTGTGAACGTCATTGTTTGACAATTATAAAAAGAATATTAAATTAACAAAAAAGTAACAACCATAGTTGTTTCAATCTTATTGAGTAAAAATGTGCATCAATCTTTTTTTGTTAATTTAATATTCTTTTTATAATTGTCAAACAATGACGTTCACAGTAGCTGCCTCCAAAGCTGGAAAATTTTGTTAATTCTGATCCAATTTTGAAGATTTGTTGTCTTTTTTGAATGTTGCTTATATCTTCCACTCATCAAATAAGGGACAAAACTATGCACACATTCTGTCACACGGCCTCAGTTCTAATAGATATGTTGCTATACTAGGATATTCTGAACCAAAAATGGATTGATGACATCACAATTAATGGAAATTAGCTAACTTGCATAACTGAATATAGTAGCCATATAGTAAATTTAATAAGGTTTAATCAAATACCAATATCATCTCTATAGACCAAACAATGGCGAAGCTACATTGATTCAAGACTCCAAGGTAAGACGTAATATATATTATTGTCAAATAATGACATTCACGATAGCTGCCTCGAAAGTTACATAACTTCACTTTTATGTTGCTTATACCTTATACTAATAGAATAAAGGACAAAACCTTTCAGAAATTTTGCCATACGGCCTCAGTTTTAATAGATACGTTGCTATAGTTGGAAATTCTGAACCAAAAATAGATTGATGACATCATAATTTATGCAAATTAGATAATTTGCATTATTGAATATCAGAAATTTATTGGAAATTTAACGAGGTTCAATTTGGTACTAATATCATTTCTATAGACCAAATAATGACAGAGCTACAAATGATTTAAGATACCAAGGTAAGATGTCTAAAGATGCGTAACCATGGTAACTGAATGCCCCCATAAAAGTACTATGGGACATTAGTTGGCAATGTTAACAAATGAATTCATTAAATAGACACCCTAGGGATTACAAAAATGTATGTAACTTATTCACACCTTATGGGTGCATGGGAACCCCTTGTTCCTACTATACTATATCTTATTTAATTTAAATCTATTGCATGTAGCTATTAATTGATATGAAGCTGGTACGATGGGCTACTTGAGAAACATGATCATAATTGACTTTATGTACAAGGTGGTCCAAAAAAGCGAACCCCTGCAACGGGCCATATTTCCCTTATTACTTGCAGGAACTCTTTTATATTTTCATATGTTGCAGAGTTATTGTTATCTAAAGAAATGCTCTAAGCTTCTTTAGACGATAACATTTTCCAGTAAAATCGCGAACATACCCCTATATGATCTTGAAATGTCAAAATCTTCATAAACCATGAACCAATTCTCATGAAATATGGCTCAAAACATGGAATATTTGATTTTCTTTTGATTTTTTAAAGATATTTGATGAGGGGCTTCTCAGGTTCCTGGTCACAGGGAGCAACTTCCTTCCACAAAAGGCCCCCTCTAATGTTGGTGTAGGTAACATACCCCCGAACTGTTGAACGGTTAAAGGTGCTTCAAAATGATCAATGAAAGTGTGATATGTGTTTTCTGCTTAAACAGTGTCCCTTTTGTCAAATGGCAAGGTTTTAAATTTGTATCTCTAACTGATAGCTGTTTAAGATCATCCAATGTGTTTTGCACAATATTTAATTTTCTGGCATGTTTGTTAAACTCTTGTAATTTCTTCAAAATGTAAGACTGAGAATAAATTATGGCATCAATCAAAATGTTAGACCTTTCTCTACAACATGTGATAATATCAGTCTATTCATGCAAGCATTAAGGAAAATATAGCCTGTTGCAGGGGTTCACTTTTTTGGACCACCCTGAACTGTATGTTATTGAAAATGATTTATCAACCTGTTTGTTTTAATTAATAAGATTTCAAATCGACATTGACATGATTAGTGTAATCATGATATAGATCCAAATGGTAATGTGCAAGACCAAAAGATGTCAGTCCTTCGCATAAGTACTATCGGCGATCCGCCTCTAAGACATGATTTCTCCAAGAAGGCACGCCAAATATCCATGATTGGGTGATTTTGTTATATTAAATGATTTCCAGATGTCACTACTTTCGTCTTTTGATAAGTAAACGCTAGATCAATTTCTGGGCTTATTTGTATACAACGTGTATGGTACCATATGGTCGGTTCCCAAACTTCCATTGATCTTCTCTCATACCATAGAAACAGGTGCCATTGCTAGTCCTACCAATTCTACATGTTTACCAAACTAAAGAGGATTTCCCCTGGAGTAATGATGGATTTAAAGAAAGAAAAATGAAAAGTGAAAACTAAAAATGCAAAGAGGAGTTACATATTATGATATCACCTTCGTGGTGAAAAAGTTTCAAAAATAACCAGAAAATATGCATTCTCATGACAAAATGAGCGACATTTTTCCCGGAAGCTGAACATTTAGGATTATAATATAATATAATGGATATTTACTTTTAAATAATAGGAGGAAGTTTCTAGTATTTATGTACGTTATGATGGATGGGGCGGCGTTAGCATTTGGTAAAGACTCAACAGTACAAGATATAAAGGTAAATATCTATTATTTAAATTATCGGACCCGGTCCAAAGTTAAATCCAATTTGTTTATTGTCGTAGTTTTTCTTTAGAAATGTGGTTCTTAACTTCATGCAACATGTTTAAATTGTATTTCGAGATCATATCCGTGTACGCCTTTTATAATTTGCATTTTTAATAGAAATTTCGATTATCTTAAAGGTATGCACATGTAGCACAAATTCATTTACAGAGATCAATGGAAAAACAAAAAGTTAAACTGTTCACAGGACACAATGTAGAAACGTTCAAGAAAAACAGTACGAATAGATCAGATCCTTACCTTCGATAGGGAATTGTAATTTTAGGCAGTGCACATAATAAAGATGCGCTTGTTGAAGATATTTTGATAAAGCACCATGTATGATGAAGCACGTGGTTTCAGATGGTCATAACTGTGACCATGTATATTTTCTTGAAACAAATATGAAGAGAACTTATCTTTGACCCACATGATTCTCATTACTAAAACAATGAATTTCCTCCAACTTCATTTGAACTTCATTCCGATACCTTCACCATTCCCAGAAGTTAAAAATGTTTCGATATGTTCAAATTGGGAAAAAGAAGATCATTCAGTGATCAGAAATTATGTGACACTTACCGTGCTATGTTGGAACTATCCTTTAAACACAGGGGCAGTTTTTGGCACGGTCTTAACTAACGGTATTCTCCCAAGTCACTATTCATTTTGCAATAGAAATAGCTTTCTTGGATGGTACCAAAGCGGACCACATAATTTTGGGATTTAAAAAAGTGTGCTCCTGTATGCCTGAATTTGGTGAATAAAGGGGTAGGGGTAAGTACTGATCAGCTCCCATAACACAGGAAACGTGCTACTTTCTCAAATTGGAAAAAGGGTTTCTGTTTTCCAACAAAGATGTATTGGTTACCAATGGACCGATTTTATCTATAAATGATGAGGTTAAAGGGCTGCATTTGATTCTGCTTTTTATGTTTTAACATTGATTTTTGTGTGAGATACTGGTTAATACTGGTTAATATGACATGATTATAACATCATTTGTATTTAAGCAACCTGTTCATTCTAGCCAGGGTGCAGAATGACGTTGAACAGATGTGACTTTATTTTGAGGCTGATCAACATTCTCGTATTCAATTTTTGTTTCTTATATTCTTTCATCATATTGATTAGAATATTTGTAATAATAAATGGATTAAGTCTTGAAGTTTCTTTCCTATCTTTGCAAAAAAAGCAAGTCATTTCTAGATTTGCTTTGACCATTGGCATATCTAAAATACGAGTGATCTGGCTAAATCTGGCTAGCGTTTTGAAATGAGTGTCAGATTCACTAAATGTCCCAATGTTGAGGAACTATATTATTTCTTCGTTTTCACTTTTTGTAATATTTCAAACTTCTTTGACATATCGTACAATTGAAACGTACTCAGACAGAACACATGCCACTTTTTCAGAAATGTTTACCATCAAAAAGAGGAAAAACAAACCTTATTAAAGGAGCATCCAAATTGCAACCATCTTTAGGGACACTTCAACCATTTGAACCAATGCTTTTCATAGTACAGTGTCCAAATAGCATCGCCCCTCTACCGATTTAGAACTACGATCCCGACCTAAACCAATAAGACCCACGAAACATTCCACTCATTCTAAATCATCATTGCGATTTACTTTAAGGAAAACAAAACAATACTTTCATGTAATTGTGGACCCCCTTTAATTTATAAGCAATATATTGTAGAGACAGTCCAGTAAACGTTATCAATCGATAGAAGCGCCAATGTAGTTTCAGGAATATTTTACAATAGAATAGAACTGACCCCCTACAATAAGCGTTACCCGTTTATACAGTCATTTCTATATTTGTGCGTTGCTTAGACTTATAATGGGAAAGCATTGTACCATATAAGAAGCATATGTCATATCTTCTTAGGGAAATGTGATCTATGATTAAATACAAGAAACGAGACAATAAAAGAGATAGGAATGTCTTTGTCGGAAGATGTGTTTCGGTACACCCAGAGACATCTCATTAGATAGTGAGCGAGGGAGTACACGCCCATCGCACCTTGATCCTGTCTATATGTAGAGATGACCCCGTATCAAAGGTCTGCATGGAGACTGGATCAAGGTACGACGGGAGCTTGTTTCCCCTCTTAACATGAAGGAATTATCTAGAATAATGAATGCATAAAATCAATGTAGACCATTATTTACCAATATCCTATCAATACTCTTGATTTCCATTATGAAAGCGTAGTTGTTTGAATTAGTGGTCGTATATATATCATTCACTGCAATGCGGTCTACTGTTGTCTCAATATCAACATTTACTGTTAAGGGACTGCCATTGAATTAATGCGATAATGATTCGATTATAATTACTTTAGATTAATTTCAAGGTTTCCCATCTAAAGTACCTTCTGTTACATAATTATAAATATAACTAGATATGTAATGCCGGTGTAATAATAGCTCTACGTTACCCGAGTAATCCTCTACGAAATCAATGAAAACTGAGGAGTTATGCATATGATGTACATTATTTTGTTGTTCAACTAATAATAAATAGCCCATCATTACCATCGTGTTTCTATTATTATCTAACTCTCATATTTCAAATTGTGTTAATGTATTATTTTAACTTTTTTTCAGGAAAAAATTATCGAGACACCGACATTAACAAAGCTTGAGTTGAATGAGTGCATTCATATCAATGATACAGCCATTGCCGATGTTGCAGAGACACTTACCAAGGACCTTCAGTCCCTCATTGTCCGTAAAGGGATATTTACGGACAAAGGGGTAGAGTTTATTGCCAAAAGATGCCAGCAGTTGCAAAATGTGAAGTTCATAGGGTGCAATGCTGTCGGTGAAGATGGGATGAAATCTTTAGGGCGACATTGCAATGACCTTCGCACTGTTGCATTCATATACGAAGTCAACACCGAATGGCACATCATCGACAAATCGCTGAGTGTTCTCGCCAAAAGCATATCAGCAGAAATTAACTCAATTGCATTTGTGGGATTTGATGAGATCACAGATTTGGGAGTGAATTATGTAGCCGATGGCTATCAAAATACTTTAAATCAAGTGAACTTCAGCCACTGTGGTAAAATCACAGATGACGCCCTGATAACTTTAGCCAAATGTTGCAAAGGGCTTCGAGATATTGAGCTCAACTCTACGAACATTACCGACAAAGGTGTTTCACTTCTTGCTTCAAAATGTTCACAATTGGAGATAGTAAATTTTGGAAACTGCTTAGAATTATCGGACTCAAGCATAGAAAACTTAGCCAAAGGGTGCCCAAAACTAACTCAATTAAATGTAGAAAGCTGCTATAGAATAACGGAACTATCTCTTGCATCTTTAGCCAAAGGATGTCTAGAGCTTGAGGTGTTGAACTTTGATCAGACCTCTATCAGGACAATACCCGTGCTTATTGTTGGACTAAGAAAGTTGTCCATTTTGAGCCTCCACGCCTGTAGAGAATTGTACCATCCACCACCTGAGGTTATCGATCGACAGATTGACGGTCTTTTAGAGTTTTATAAGGAATACAGTCTTGCCTACAGGTAAGCAATTCTTAATTTTGGCGTTCAATAAGTATTGCTAATTTTGCTATAACTTTTGTCCTGTTTGCTTTTCTTCTTGAAACTTCCACAACATAAGATACATATATCTGACTTTATTCTATGAAAGTTTCAAGACAATCGAATCGTATCGTATTAACAAAGTTATGGTTACTAAGGTAACCAGTATCATGGATATGCGGGGCAAATTTCTGACGTCACTTTGGACGACATTTTGAGTGTTTAACTCTTGGGATATGCAGTGCAGTTATAAATAATCCATTCCAGAGTCACTTCATCATCCATATTAACTTCATGAGGTGCTCAAAATAGCCAGACACCCTTAGCGTCAATGCACAGTTGCTGTCTGGCGACCCACTCGTGGTACATATTTTTGAAGCCACCCTTAAAGTGTGTGGCTAGGGAGGTGTTCACTGCAGACATCAGCTAAATGAGATTCTGGTGCGATATTCCTCTCAGATCCCTTTTCACAGGGGAAAATACAATAAAATCAAGTGGGGCCTTATCTGGGAAATATGCTGCATGGGGCATCATACATATTTTTGAAGCCACCCTTAAAGTGTGTGGCTAGGGAGGTGTTCACTGCAGACATCTTGGACCCAAGACAACTCTGACCCTAGACATCTCTTACCCGAGACAACTCGGACCACTTTTTGAAATTATGATTTTTATCATTATATTTGGCTTTAATTATTTTTATGTTTATGTTGACATATATTATACAGGGTGTCAAATAAGTCCCGTCCCCCTCTACAGCCAAAACAAGGATATTTGGTACCAAGTGTGATGTATCATTGGAAAGGTCTTCCAAAGTTTCGTTGATTGGCATATATCTGACACATGTCAATCAATCTCATAAATTTTTACATTATATCAATTGAGGTTACCATAGTAGCCTAACAATTTGGTGTATTTGGCAGGATTTTAAGAATCGGGTATAAGAAAGGTCAAAGGACCAAAAGATGGCTAAATATGTTTATGGCATGAATTTAACCAATTTCTGTATAGGGTTAGATGTGTAGAAAATAGAGGTGCAAGGAAAGTAGTGAAAACCTTTTTGTAACAAGTGGAGTCCGAAAAATATAAACTTCTTGATATCTGTATTTCTGAGGTCATATTCTTTTCATTTTGACGCAAAAAGCTGCTTGAAGGAGGGCGCGTTAACCATAAAAGACATCGTGAAAATATAGGTAAATTTCATCCAAAATACTTTTGAGAGTTTGTGAGTTAACATAACTTTGGACGATCTTTCCAATGGTGTATCACACAATGTACCGTTGTTGGATTTTTAATGTTCTTTATAATTTTTGAATTTCGCGCCATTTACAGTTTTGAATGCATTTCGGGTAACGCCCTGATGTAACGAAGTTGGTCACTTCTTGTCTTTTTGTTAAAATCCATGGGACAAGAAATGAAAGAAAAGAAACGACAGGGCTACACGAGATACCAAAATAACGATTACAAAAATGAAGCATGGGGCTTATTCTAAAATGTGATAAAAGTGTGATAAAATGTAAATTGTTTCAAAAATAAAGGAATAATGTCATGGCAAACGAACGATTTCAAGTCGTTGTATAGAAACTATTCAAGCTTCATAGCTAGCCATAGATTGTTAAAGCGAAAAAATGAAGAGATATGGTATAATTCCCGAGTGGCTATCTGGAGGTATTATCAAAAGAAAATTATCAGAACAAAACATTTTAAAACAAAAAAGATTGAAAACCATTTCTCAGACCTTGAAAATACAAATATTTTGAACTAGTTATAGGATTGAATAAACACAAGGAGCACACTCGTCTCGAACTCGCAGCCTCGTGGTTACGGCTCCCAATCGCACCTAGCCCGAACGTGCTGCCGCTCAAGCCCTCTCGACCAACTCGACAACCCCAAAAAAGGCTGTTTTGTTAGTCGATCTGACTAGAGGCAGCTGATGTTAACGCTCGAACACACAAAGCTCAAACCTACAAAGTTCTAATTGTGATGTGTTCACGAATCAATAAATCCATCAAGTTGCACCTACAGTTTGTGTATACGTATTTCATCCCAGTAACATCGAAAATCTTAGGAATTGATCCGTTATTGGAATCGTGTAAAGGGCAGTATTGATTTTCAACCTCTGGGTATCATATCATGATATAAACGTTAACGTTTCTCCAATAGTAATATAATTACATAACCTTTTCATATATATTTCAGGTATTCATTTAATATTTATGATCCTATGGTATTTATTAATATTAATGATCCTATATTTATGAGTCTTATTCTTAATCTTATTCACAATTCGTTTAATTTACACTTATATCAGTTTCTTCAGACTTCCAGCAATGCTTGAAAAATAGTTGTTAATTTTCATTTTCCATATATTTGGTTTTGTCGATACTTCAGCAGGGCTTACTTAATAATTTGCGATTGTTCATTGAAAGACATGGCTTATGAACTCATGATAGACACCATATTCTGAATAATTGAGGATTTAGTTCATATTCCATGTCAGTTGCACTAGAGTCAAGGTCGACATTTAAAATAGTAAATATGAATATAATATTTATAAATATTTATTAACAATATCAATATCAATATCAATCACATACGCCAATCATATATTATGTAGATTTTTGAACCGTCATTGAAGAAAAATTCATGATGTGTAAGTGCTATTCTTCTGAATGATCTATACACCTGGCATGTGTTCAGTTACCATAAGCTATGCAAACTCCCTCCTTTCCTCACCCACATGAGCATGAATAAAACTAACGCCAGGTTAATAATTCGGAGTAAAAATGAGTAAATGCTAGTACACGTAACGTACCAGTTTACGTGCTTATTTTACCCCTGATATCAACACGTTGCTCGAGGATCGTTTTGGTTAAATCGTTGACGTGATCGTCTCATACAACAAAACATAATTATGTCATCATTTTCACAAGTCCTCAGTTGTATTATTTCAAATTCACATTTATCAATTAATGAATTGTATTACAATGTGGTGTTGTTCATTAGTTCCGTGTGGCGTTCAATAAACAATTAGAAGCCCTGTCATGACCTACTGCTGTTGGGTAATTTTTATATTCATTACCATATCTAGATGTTTTGTTCCTTTAACTTTATTGATTATGATTGATAATATGAGTTAATGTCTGCTATGCGACATTCACGTGTTTCTACTCATGACTGTTCAATGGGAAACAGAATACCGGATTTACCGCGGAATTATAGTAGCTACAGAGTAGCTAAGACAGCCTCTTGGGAATCATGTTATATCTCTGCGGCTATCCTTTCTCTAATTTCAAACTCTATTATAGTGTTTCTGTATCCCCGCCGTGCTAGTGAATGGCGTAATGTTTCAATGAGGTTTCTCCTCAGGTATCACTAAAAAGAACAAAAATCCAGAATATATTCGTTCTTTTTACCCCCTGCGATAAGTAGTTTGCATTTCCCCTATTAAGAACTCGCAATCTGATTGGCTGTCGCAACACTGCGACAAAAATCAGGTACTAGTCATTGTGCATAATTAGATCACGTGATTCAGTTAAATCGGGCGCTTCCAAATTGGTTATGGCAGGGGGAAGAAGGAGATGCGGATTCTGGAAACCTGCTTAGGAGGATGTGCAATGCTTATTACATGCTCATGTGTTTTCAACAAAAAAGCTCATTCAAGCGCAGTAACACTCACATGATTCTTTTGAAAGACAAAACGGTTTATTGCAATTGGTGTACTAGCGACAAGCGGGCGCGGTTGACACACGTGAGCAGCCGACAAGGTTGCCGGTGTGAAAGAAATTATGGTGCCCTGGGGATTATGGTCTCCTTTCGCCCTTACTGGCCCTAATTGTGGATACGATAATGAGGGAAAGAGTTGAATTTAGGTCACCATATAAATCAATGGATAGTACGACCATAATATGATAGGACCTCCTACCCTCTACCGGTACAGCGTAACTAGCGGTTTAAGTGCGCAAGGATGAACAGCTTTTGTTGAAAATGCGCGAGCATGTAATTTGCAACGCATAGGCTCATTGTTCTTTTTCGTGTTACCTAATACAGGGGGGGGGGGGAGATTTCCCAAAAATGACCTTTCGTATTGGCACATTCGAAAACAAATTTTATTAACAGGCCTCATTTGCCATTGAAAATTGAAATGGATCTCCAAATGTTCGCTGTAGTTTTATGAGTATTCTCTACACGTATGGATCGAGTAACTTCAATAGTGTTATCGTAGGTTTGAAATGATGATGTTGAACTGATGTAAAGCCATTTCAAATTTAACTTTGCGCATGTGCAGCACCGAGAGAGCACGTGCTCATGATTGTTCACGTGATCACATCCTGCAATTTGATTAGAGATGATGTGGGATATGACATAATGGGGAATCCCCGAATACGATAGAATATGAAAGAATTGTGGGAGCTACTCACTTCTTCTGACCTAATAGGAATTCTTATTATATATTATGCAATGCACTCGCCCGCGGGCAGTTCAAAACGCAGCCTATATCTCATTATAAAGCTAAGAGGATTCCTAACGAAAATTTCCATTTAGGCTCCAAGCATGACAGCTCACTGGAAATAAGCATGAAATGCAAAGTTTCAATATTTAGCATTCCATGGAAACAGTAAAGAGAATCAAGCTGAACAATACCAAATTCAAAACAAATAGATACAACTAATAAAGTAACATAATAAAGCAACACGAGGTCTAGTAATTGTTTATTGGTCTGTTGAGCAAAAAGGTGAACTTTGTCAGTCCAATGTACCATTTCCAAAAATAGTATATAGGATATGAATTATTATATAAAGATACTTTAACCCTGACAGGTAATAGGCATATACATGCACACCCCCTCAATAAGTTTGGCAACCTTAGCTCCCCCATTGAACTACGTGTTAAAGCCTCTTTACGTTTGAATTTTTATTTACTTAAGGTCAGGGTGCATGATGGGAAATTTTCTGCATTCCTCAATTGAGTCACATGTTATTTTGTGCAAACCTGGAAGATGTAGACAATGTGGGGAAGGAGTTATTCTTGTTGTGACTCAATTGAGGAATGCAGAAAACATGCACCCTGTCCTTTACCAGCGATGAAATAACTTAATATTATATTGACGGAAACGCAACTTGACTTTATTTCCATTACTTCCAAATTTCTCAATTTTTCCTCAATGACAATAGGTCGAAATTGATGATAAATTTGATGAATTTTGAAAATCGTCATTCCCATGTAATCCAATGGGAAATGGAAGGTTTGGGGCAAATCAGAAATCAGAATCTTTTCTGTAAAAGATTCAGCAAAAGATATTTATAAATAGAAAATTGAATTGTCTAACTTTTTTGTACACTAAGCGTTTAGCTTATTTGATGAATACTAAAGTTACAGCGTTTCAAAGTCATTTTTGAAAATAATTTTTCGCCTCCTTTCAATGGGAGAGGTTTTTTGAAAAACAATTTTGACTTTAAAGCCCAATAACTTTGTTGAACCTGAAGAAACATATCAATTTTTTGTTAGATAAAGTTAGCAAATTCAATTGCCTGCCTAACTCGTATTTTTTGCAAGGACTCGGATGGATGGATATTCTGTCATATGACTTGCGGAAAACCTAACATTTCCAATTGGTTAACATGGGAATGTCGATTTTCAAAATATCATCAAATTTAACATCAATTTTCGAGTTATTGTAATCGAGGAAAAAAATTGAGAAAATCTGGAGGCATTGGAAATAAAGTCAAATTGCGTTTCCATCAATAGTATAAGTATTTTCATCGTAGGTTAAGTAAATAAAAGTTCAAAGGTAAAGATGCTTTAACACGTAGTTCAATGGGGGAGCTAAGGTTGCCAAACTTATGGAGGGGAGTGTACCAACCCACCGACATGTTAATCTAGTTTTTATAATTTTTTGCAATCTTATATGTCAATATTTGTTAAGAGAAAAGAATCAACATTTTTTTGCAAAAAGTAATTTTTATTGTTTATAATTACTTATTACGCATTGTGATATTAATTGTCTTTTTAAGAAAGTGGCCCAAACGGATATGAGATCGAGAAAATCTCATAGTAGTTAGCGAGTTCACCATCTCTAATAATTTTATATATACTTCGTCAAACCATTTAATCTACATCGACAATTTCTACTGTTGTTCATTTCAGATTAAAAGTTTTTCTACTGGGTGACCAAAATGTTGGGAAAACGACATTAGCTAGTGCCCTCGTTGGGTCGCTACTCGGTGCAACCGAAGGACCTACGGAGGGTGTCAATATTGACCTCTGGCATCCTTTTGTTGACTCGCAAAATGGTAAGTCATTTTATTGTTTCATTTATAACTTTACGTCTATGTCCTTTTATTATATACTTGATTATATCTTGATGTAGCAGAATTATATCTATTATTTATCATCCCATTATAACATGGCTGAATAAATGCATACTGGTCTCATTGTATACTACAATAAACCCTGGAGTATAGTTCGAATTTTCCTTGTGTCTTTTTTAAGGTTCTATATTGATCGAACATAAACGTCCATTTTCGATATGTCAATAGCTAATACATCTCTGTTGAGGGGTTTGTAAATGTTTGATTGTTTGTTGTCGGTAAGATATTGTGTTATGACAGTAACAATGTATGTATCTCTCCTTCATATTCCAATTCACAGTATATACGCTGTAATATCAGTTGATATCCTGAATAACTTGTTTTGTTTGTATTTTAGAAAAATTCATCCAAAAACAATTAAGACAGGGAGAGAAGAATCTTACATTTGATATATGGGATCTTTCTGGTCGCCCTGTAAGTATCATTTCCTTACAATGTAAATAATGCACGTACAGTAAACTCAGATGGTATTACGGATAAAGACAACAACGTAATCAAGACTGTATTTTTGTATGTCCGCGGTGCTAGTGAATCGCGTCATATTTTAATGAGGTTTCTTCCCAGGTATAACTAAAAGAACAATAAGCCACGCGGCGCACTGCAGATTACATGTCCATGTGTTTTCAACAGAAATAGCTTATCCAAGCCAGGGGCGTAGGAAGGTGTAAATTCAACACTACGCCAAAAAATCCCGCCAAAAATATGTAACAATGGTGTCAAATCTTCTATATCAAAACGCCTATTTTATGCTCGTAAAACGTCATTTTATGGCAATAGAGATTTTAAGCTTGCCATGTTTTCACAACCTAAGTGAACGGAAATATTTAAGCGATGCATTTGAATGGGCGATTGGTCATACGTATAGGTTAACGTTTCGCTTTTATATGCAAGCTTAAAATCCCTGATACCTCTTTAATGTGCTTAAAATGTTCGAATGATTTTCATCATTTAAAATCACCATGGAAAGCCGATCTTTTAAATTTCGACACAAATCATTCTCACTTTTCTTATGTCTCGAACGATATAGACGACCAATTTCAAAATAAAAATGAGAGATTTTTAATCATTTTCGAATAATTGAATTGAGATATATTGTATTGTATGATTCCATCGTGTATCCTGCAATACAATACGTACAGATTAAAGAATCTAGTTTGGTCAATTGGTTTAAAGAAACGCATTCGTGATCAATGATACAATTGACCCTAATGTCTGCAACCTTTATAACACTAATTCGCAAGACCAAATAAACCTCTCACCACAAAGGTCAAATCGACGTCAACGTGATTAGGGGGTGCCAAAAATGTTATATTTCCTAAAACCATAATCTTTCAAATGGAATAAAAAATCTAGGTAATGGCTTTTCTAGAACTGAAATCAGTGGAACGCGTAATTGAATAATCAACATTTTCAAGTTGTTTTTGTCTTTAATTCATATTTCAAGAAGTACTACCAATAACAATTGGTGATTTAGTAAGACAATAGATAATTGCTGACTTAACTATAATTTCTGTCTGTAATTTTGCCTAGCAAGGGAATATAAATCGATATAGTGAAATTGAAAAATTGCAGGGTAGGGGAGAATAAAAAATGTACATCTAATTTAAAGAGGTTCATCATTATAATTAAATGATACCACAGTTTGCATAAGCATTATGGAACATGCACAAAAAAATTGCAAAGGTATTTATCAAGTAGTTTTCGAAAAAAAAATGTTTCTCAAATTCGTGAAGAGAATGCGAATCACGAATATTTGGCGAAATTGTATTTTAGTTTTAAAACCCATAAGATAGTCAATAGTGGCTCGATTTTCATGAAGTATGTTGGTAAGAGAATTCAATCTGTTAAATGATTATTTGCCAAACAGAGCAATAATGATTACTTTGCATTTTCTACAGAATTAGAACTGTAGAAACAAGGTAACTTTCAATATTTTTTTCTTCAAAAAGTGTCATTTATTTGTGGCCCAGGTTAGAAAAATAACAGAGGCACAAAAACCATGCAGAGTATCATTGAAAAAATCGAGCATATCATATGATATCCACAAAACATTTCTTTAGGCTAGTGTGCTCGAGATTACTTTTGCACAATACAATGAGAAAATATGACTAAAGAACATAAGAAAATTAATAAGCCTTTTTATTCTCACTTTTCAACACTACGCACTGGCGTTTTGGCGTACATTGTTCCTACGCCACTGCAAGCGCATCTACAATAACACAATTCTTATGAAAGATACCACAGTTTATTGCAGTGGAACTCCTGCGCTTCACTAGCAACAAGCAAACCCGGATAATGCCTGTGTCACATATGCTCCGATCCATCGGCCGGCGTCCGGCCGATTGAGTGTTTTGTTCAATATTGTATTCAATTTTGAACAAAATACTCAATCGGCCGGGCGGCGTAGTAAAAATTGGAACAAATGTGACCAAGGCATAACACACGCGAGCAGCCGACGAGGTTGTCACGGCGTAATTAGTTGTTTAAGTGCTTGGATGAACTGCTTATGTTGAAAACGTATGAGCATGTAATTTGCAACACACGGGCTTATTTTTCTTTTTCATGGTATCTAAGGTGGAAACTTATAAAATATTAAGCAATATACTTGGGCCGCGGGCAGTTCAAAAACGCAGTCCAAAACACAGATAAAAAGTAACATCTAAGAGTACAACTCGAGATGTTGAAACGAATCCTAAACATCCAAAATTTATTACACCATCCACGCGCCTCACACCTTCTCATCATCATAGCTAAACCATTATCATAATTCAAAATAGGGTAACCGTGAGAAGGATTATGAGCGTAATTAAAAAACATGTTCAAGAACAATTAAAAAAGGAGAGTTTTACTTCAGACAAGAATATTTATGGACACTGGTACTCAGGACACATTCGATACCATATGTTGTGAGATACACTCCCCTCCATAAGTTTGTGAAGTTGACGTTTTCATTTGTTACTATTGCTTTAGTGTGAATAAAATGCCACATGGTTTTAATTTGTAAAACATGGTTCTTGAAAGGTAGGATATAGAGCATTTATTCTTTTTTATAGTCAATTATTTTATATGTGCACTGGATAAAATAATTCATATAAGTGTAAGAGACTTTTAACACTATGCCATAGGTTGGGGTGTTCTCAGACAATTCTTGGAACAATTATAGACAATTATATACAAAACCTCAAAATTCGTTAAATGCTAAGTAGAAATCTATACCCTTATGTATATGAAACGCAATTATTTGAATATGACGTCAATGGAGCTTGATTTGAATGGTTCATCACAAACATAGTATCCATGTATTATAAACAGTAGCTAAGGATTTATGTGTGGAGATATCTGCGAGGTAAATAAAACAATGCAATCTAGAATGCGAAGTGTCTTAATTGGTGTGTTAATTGTTATTTAAGTGAGTCTTAATGTAATAGTAATGTCCCACAACTGTATCTTCAGGCCGGGATGTTAAATATTAATTTCATTTTAGCCTAAGTTTGTAATTATATTTATTATATTATATTACATTATATATTTTTTTAAATTAATTATTGATTATATTAGTGTATATTATATAGAGCAATCAGCTGAGTAAATAATTATAAAGTAACCAAAACTGTCTAAAGTGGTGTGTAAACTATTATTCAATTTATGCAAATATAAAGCTTTGTGATACTCCCTAGATCTGCTTGTTTTGAATCAATAGACAATATAACGATACGTTTTGGATGTAAATAATATTATATAATATATTTATTAAATTCACAAGTTTGGTGTATAAAACTGGCCATATGTGACCTTGACAATGTCATTTTCGGAGACATAGCTGAATCAGATAACACATCAAATGTAGTATAAAATTCATTCTGCATACTTAAGAATTGATTAATTTAATCCATTAATTAATATTAAGTGTTTCTAAATAAAATTACTCTCTTACTAATATTTCTGGAAAAGAATAACTCTTTTTCAGTATTTTATGATAAATTAACGTTTTTAACAATTTTTGTGTCTACAAATACAAATTAAGTACTTTTACACATATTTTCAAACGAGCAGGGCAGTCTTACAATACGTTTTAAGGGAAATTTTTGCAAGCTCATATCTTGATAGAGTAGCTATAACAATTTATTTTTCATCCATATTTAGTAAAACATAGGAAAATGTTTTGATATGGTCAAAATTGATAAACAATGCAGAAATATCTCTTTAGGTGGTGGGTCCTAAAAAAGCAGGATGTGTCAACGAAAGGAGGATTAAGGGAACTTAGGTATTCATCAGAATTTACGATGTTAAGAAATGGCACACTCACATACACATGATGTCTATGAAAAATCTATAATTATCATCTTTATATTGATAATATGTTGATTTTTATCTGATATGTGAGGATCATATATCCAATATATAAAAGTACAGAACACTTAGAATACAATTCAATACTCACGATGGTTATAAATGTTCAGTCATAGCCAAAGGGTTTGGTAATATTATACTTTATATATATACTGTCATGGCGATATATGTTTCCTGGTTATCGATATGAAATATTATCTCTTGTAAACAATTAATTAGTCAGAGACCCATGCCTCTATCTTTTCAAAAAATAGCTTAACGTATCGGTCTCTGTTAATTTATGGCATCCATACTTTGCCCTTGCAAAATCTCTCATTGGTTGCTCTGTATTGTAGCATTCCTTTACCATGGTTGTGCATCTATAGACATCTTACCTTGGACTCTTAAATCATTTGTTACTTTGTCATTATTTGGCCTATAGTGATGATATTGGTATCAAATTAAACCTTATTACATTTCCCATAAAGTAATGATATTCAACTATGCAAATTAGATAACTTGCATAAATTGTGACGTCATCAATCAATTTTTGATTCAGAATTTTCAAAAATAGCAACGTATCTATTAGAACCGAGGCCGTATATCAGAATCTCTGCAAAGTTTGATCCTTTAGACTATAAGAAGAAGGTATGAGCAACATAAAAGTGAAAACAGATTCAAAATTGGATCAGGATTCCAAACTTATTAAACTTTCCAGGCAGCTACTGTGAATGTAGTAGTGATATGTATACTATATTCAGACATCTTACCATGGAAGTTTAAAATGTTTGCAGCTTTGTCATTATTTGGTCTTTAGAAATGATATTGGTATCAAATTAAAATTTCCTGTACGATTACAATTTTCAATTATGCAAATTAGCTAATTTGCATAAATTGTGGCTTCATCAATCTATTTTTGTTTAGAATATCACAGTTTAGCAACATATCTGTTAGAACTTAGGCCGTATGACAGAATTTGTGCATAGTTTTGACCTTTATTTGAGAAACAGATTCAAAATTGGATCAGAATTAGCAAAGTTATTCAGCTTTTGGGGCAGCTACTGTGAGCATCATTGTTTGACAATTATAAAAAGATATTACAATTACGAAAAAAGAAACACATAGTTGTTTCAATCTTATTGAGTAAAAATATACGTGACTTTTACATATTTTTCCATTGAACTGAACATGTAAGTATGTGGAAATGTTACATGTATTTTGACTATCACGCACAGGGGTCCATATCGTATGATCTCGATCCTGTATTTTACACTCCCCTCCATAAGTTCGGCAACCTTGGCTCCCCCATTGAACTACGTGTTAAAGCCTCTTTACGTTTGAATTTTTATTTACTTAACCAGCGATGAGATAACTTATAATATTGATGGAAACGTAACTTGACTTTATTTCCAATACCTCCAAATTTTCTCAATTTGTTTCCTCAATTACACTAGGTTGATGATAAATTTGATGAACTTTTGAAAATCGTCATTCCCATGTGTAATCCAATGGGAAATGGAGGGTTCGGGGAAAATCAGAAATCAGGATATCTTTTCAATAAAAGATTCAGCAAAATATTGTTGTATAGAAAATTGAATTGTCTAACTTTTTTTGTACGCTAAGTGTTTAGTTTATTTGATGAATACTAAAGTTACAGCGCTTCAAAGTCATTTTTGAAAATAATTTTTCGCCTCCTGTGTTATTTCAATGGGAGAGTTTTTTTTTGAAAAACAATTTTGACTTTAAGCCCTTTAACTTTGTTGAACCTGATATTCTGTCATATGAGTTGCGGCAAACGTACCATCGACTTTTGTAATTGAGGAAAAAATTGAGAATATTTGGAGGTATTTGTTACAGATTTCCAAGGTCAGACACCAGATGCCAAACACTGTTTCAAAAAATGGAGATCATAACAATATTTCACCGCTTTGGTGGTGACATAAAAACAACAATGACATACATACATTTTGTGGTATAACGTCGTCAATTTGTACAAACAGGTCATGTAGCATGACCTGTTTAGCAACGTAAACAATATGAAGCCTATGAAGCAAACCAGTTAAAAAATTTATAGATTACATAACAGATTTTACCATACCATTTACCCGTTCACTAACTGATTAATCCATAACTTTCTCACAAATGTTACAAAATGAAGAAAAATGATTTGACCCCTGTCAATGATAGTCAAGATTACAAATACATGTATCATTTTTATACACCAACTAATTGACATGGTAACTAAGTGACATGGAAAATATATATTTTTCACTCAATAAGCTTGAATCCGCTTTGTTTCATTTTTTGTTATTTTAGTGTTTTATTTATGATTGTCAAATAAAGTAATGTTCATAGTACCTGCACCAAAAGCTGAATTTCTTTGCTGAATCATTTTTTATGTTGCTCATACCTCTTCCGCTCAGAGAATAAATGACAAACTATGCAGAAACTATGCAATACAACCTCGGATCTAATAAATATGTTGCTATACTTAGAGGTTCTGAACCCAAAATAGATTGATGACATCATAATTCATGACATCATGCAAATTAGCTAATTTGCATAATTGAATACCGTTACTGTGCTGGTTATTCAATTAGGATCAATTCGATACCAAGATCTCCTCTATAGACCAAATAATGGTAAAGCTACCGAACATTTCAATTCTAAGGTAAGACGTTTAAAGTTAATTGTTAAATGATAATGTTCATGGTAGCTGCCCAGAAAGCTTAATAACTTTGCAAGTTTTGATCCAATTTTAAATCTGTTTTCCTTTTTATGTTGCTTAAACCTTCTGCTCATAGAATGAAAGTCATAACATGGAAGAAATTCTACCGTACGGCTTCAGTTCTTAAAGATATATTGCTATACTTGAAAATTCTGAACCAAAAATAGATTTATGATGTCACAATTTATGCAAATGAGCTAATTTAATATTGTAATTATATGGGAAATCTATTTAGGTTTAATTTAATACCAATGTTATTTGTATATACAAAATAATGACAAAGCTACAAATGATTTAAGATTCCAAGGTAAGATGGAAGAGGTAATCATGGCAACGGAATACTACATTACAGAGCAACCAATGAGAGTATGCGAGGGCATCCGGCAGAAAATTGAACCTCAAAGTGTTACCTTTCAAAACAGTATGGATGCCATAAATTAACAGAGAGACCGATACGTTGGATAAACTTTTTGAAACGATAGAGAGACAGGTTTCTGACTAATAGCTGCATGTATTAATAACACAAACGACACATTTCAAAACATGCATCCTTATATGCACCAGTTCACCACCTTTTTATACCTATAGCTCTAGGCTAATCAAGAAGCAACATAAATAGGTTTGTAAAATGTGAAATAAAAAACTGCTCCTCCAAGCTGGACAAAGCATGAAACATTATCTTTTTTATAAAAATCATCAGGATCTCATTAATAGCTCCAGAGTTATGCTGAAAAAATATATACATTATGTTATCATGTCACTATATCATGCTTTTAAAAAGTGAAAAAAGAAATGGTATATTTTAGAGTAAGGTACTCTGGCGCCTTTTCAGTAGCTTTTACTCCTAGCGTTTTTTATTGGACTTCAAACAGAAGTAAAGGTTATCCCCAAATGATATACTTATTGCACGGAGTAGTTAATTCTCTTTGGTATATATAACGAAACATATGAGTTAAAAATAATTTGTAAAATTTCTTAGTGTTTTAATAAAAAATTGCATGCTCCCCCAAGCTGGACAAATCCTTGATGACAACCCGTGATAGCAGTGCTTCATTTTTTCCAGGTGCTCCAAGGTGCTCATCAGGCGTACATGACCAATGGCGCCATCTACATTGTAGTATTTAATCTCAGCAGTGACGCTAGTTGTAACAGCGTGGCTTCCTACTTAGATGCAGTGCAAACAAAGGTAAGTGCCAGGAAATCATCTTTGTTTCTCTGTGAAACGGAACATAGTTTAGGAATATTTCCTAGATTCTCAGGGTTTGGCAGTGGCACCTGTTCTTACAAAATCAGATCACGGCTTTTTATCAGGGTCTTTCCATGTGGATGGCTCAAATGAATTTTTAAGACAAATGTTAAAATGGCAATTTTGATAGCCATCTTTGTTCATTTCATTTTGCGAATGCATGGATGTTCAAACTCAAATGCCAAAGGGAAAAGATCAAAAACTGTAGACCTAGAACACCAAAGGACTTTCAGAAATGCTATTTGGTGTTTTCTGTTGAACATAATAATTCAAGAACATGAAGCATAAAAATCTCTGGATGACATAAATAATGCATATTATATTTTTTTGCATCGAGCATTCATGTCTCATCCTTTAGCCAAAAGGTGGAAACTTTCTCTTCAATCAAATATATCAACGAATGCCGTTGAATAGCATACATCAATGGGTGCACTGTGTTGTTTGAAGTTGTTTTATGTATGTATAACACAGAAACACACACTGCAAGGGAATTCATTACACATTGTGTGATGCGCTAAAAATATTGGTAATCCAGCATAATTTTACATTTAGAGTAGATTCTTTTGACCAATCAAATCGAGGGTGTCTGTATCACGTTCTCACATGTGGAATATGTCATACTCACACGTCGTACTTATATTCCTCAGCTAGGTATTCACTGAATCTGGCCAGTGCAATTAGTTTTAGTTCAGGATGATGAATCTTATCGAATTGTCTCAAATTCTCTTGAAAGTACTTACGACTTTTCACACTTTTAACAATCAGTCAAAAAGCATAAAGTACGGATATGTGGAAGAGGGGATCGATGTAATTTCATTTTTTGATCTTGAGATGAATGGTTTATTCCTCTCATATCGTCTCGTCTTTGACGGCATTTTACTTAGCAGAAGCATCGATAGACGGGGGTCGTGAAATTCAAGGTGTCCTTCTCCTACACGGCACAATGATCCATACTACATTGATTATACATTCTTGTTTAAAATTGATTTTTATTGTCTCTCTGGATGCACTTCAAAGCGAGATATGACATTGGTAAGGAGATGTTGGCTTGCTTCTTGTTTATTTTATTTCTCGAATGAAGGATGAAAAGATCAACGACCTATTTATTTATCGAATGGCCTGGTTATAGATCGTACTGTGCCTTAAATGATATCCATTTCAAATGATAAACAGGAAATCAAAAGAGAAAAATAACTTCATTGTCAAAATCAAGAAGCAGTTGTTTCATTTCAGGTTATGGACATTTTTTAACGGGTCTGTTGGAATTATCGAAAACCAAGGTCTTATTCAAAATTAAAGTCAAACTTGAATTTCTAAACACAAAAAACAAAATATTCTATCCACAATGTAGAACACAAATTGTATTATCAAGAAATCGCTTTTGATTCTTTGGGACACTCTGTACTTTCCTTTCATGTTCTAATGACTCGAATTGGATTATTAATTTCAGAAATGGGAAACAATTCACATTGATTGTAATAAATCATAAAATTGTCATCTAATAGAACTCGTACTTGGGGCAAAGACAGATTTCTAGGACAGTGGAAAATTACAATTTCATCAGTATTCTTGTACCGTGTCAGAACAACATATTACCACCAATATTACATTCATACAAAGGTACTGCATTTTTTCCTCATGCTATTTTGTCTTCAAGATACAGCGTTGATCTAGATCAAACCGAGGCATCAAAATAGCATTACAAGACTAACACTAACAAGACACACTAAGAAAAGGAAACACCAATGAGCTCAGCCAATTGTGAGAAAAACAATCCCCCGATATCCCAAAACTCTGTCCTAACTCATAAAGTAATAATGTTGAACCCATTCAGGAATGAGTATCACAATCTAAAACTAAGAGACTATGGTTCCTTGACTTAATTCATACTGACATTATGGGAGTAGTCAATTAACGAATGTTTTTTTGATGTTGGACACACCTCATCATTTTCATTTTCATCTGGCTCGAGCCAGGAATTTGAGGTTCGTAACAAACTTAGGTTCGCAACTTCGTGACAAAACAGATTATTTATATGATTTTCCAATAATCAAGGAAATGCCAAAATACCTGTATGTATGTTCTTTCAGGTCGCTCTTAAAAATATTATCAAAATTGAAGAACCTTTCCACCTGGTTAGGATGACCCACATTTCCAGTTTGTGTCTTGGAAGACGATTGTCCAAATTAGTGTCTGATTCATAATTACTGAATAATGGAACCTATCATTATCAATAACAATTACACACGTTCATGTATTGTCATTGTCCATAACCTTAAAGTGATTTTTGATGAATATCGTTCACATCTTTATTTCAGGCCCCGGGGAGTCACGTAATCCTTGCTGCAACGCATGCTGATAAGTTAAACAGCGAGGATCAGAGGAAAGCTAAGATCCAAGGTGTGTTGCTTCCAATTCAGGAATTAGAGAAACAGAAGGTCACTCTGCTACAAGAGGAAATAGACAGTCTAAAGTAAGATTTTCATTTGGATCATAAAAAATCATAACCTTAATGGCACATCAATTTTTATGAATGGAGTCTCACTTCGAACAAGTTGAAATTAACTTGAGTTCGAAAAAATTAGCTTCTTTTATTTTGTAGGCGTTTATCGCAATTCTGACATGATAAGTTGCATGTTTTATAAATTAATATTATAAATTAGACAATTCCGTTCCTCATGTTAGAATTATGATAAATTATGAACATACCTGCTGCTGCAGTTAAACTGTGTATACCTTCTTTCAAATTTGTTTATCCTAATTCTTAAGCACATTGTTCATAAAAGTGCATTAGAATGTCAACATTTCCTTTTGACAAAACCATTTTAAATGTGCTCATTCTGCTTTTAAGGAGGAAATACGACAGGTGATGTGATGTAGAATTAGCTATCTTCTTAAAAAACACCTTTGTTAGTCCTTATAACCAAACAACTCCGTTATTCGTTATTACCAAACACTTCAGTTATTCGTTATTAACAAATACTTCCGTTATTCGTTATTAACAAACACCTCTGGTAATTTTTATGATACACTTGCAAATCCTTATTACCAAACACTTCCTACACTTCTATACCTTATTACTAAACACCCAAGCCATTCCTTATTACAAAACACCTTCGTTATTTCTTATAATTATTTACTGATGATTTTCTAAGACTTGTTTTACTTTTTATTTCAGAAAACATAATATGTAGCAAGTGCTCTCACAAGTGAAATAACACCTTAGTACCTCTCTAGAATAATTTAATTCACTTTTAAGTTTGATCATCCTTCCCACTATTTATCCCACCGAACGAAATTCTTAGGAATATAAAAAACCGCCCGTCCATGCGTTCGTCCGAGCGTCCGTTTGTTCGTCCGATAACTGAAATACCAGATGACGAATTTGATTCAAATTTTATAAGCTTATGCCTTATGGTTATAAGACCTTTACCCGAGGAAGAATTTTCAACATGTTCCCTCAATTAATTCTAGGTCAAGGTATACAAGCTTAAGAAATTCTTTCTGGGTTTTACTGAAAAATATACTGTAGGTACACATTTTCAAATTTTTCCACTGGAGATGCTGATTGATGTTGGAAAAGTTTACGAAATTGGAATTGAACTCACAATGTTTTCACTTTTATGAGTACTAGGTATCTGCACCTATTTTTGATTTTTGATTTACTCTTCAACATGTATTACTAAGTATAACTGACTTCAGTATGAATGAAATATCCTTTGGTGTTCTGATCCTTGATTGTGATGTTGGCTCTCGATTGGAAGCGGAAGGGGAGGGGGGGGGGGGTGGAGGGAGGAGGGAGTTGAACATTTTGTCTTTTCATGTGAGATCATGGTGTTGGGATAGATAGGGTCTGTTTGGCTTATTACAGTTTCACATTTAGAATTTTTCTCGCTAGGTTTCTTTACAGTTTTGGTGATTTCCTTTTGGCACGTGTGTTTATATATCTATACGATGCTTAGGGACACAGGAGCTCTGCTTGAGAAGGAATTTTCAAAATGGCTGCTGAATTTCAAAATGGCCGCCATTTTTCGGAAAAGAACATGATCTTTGATAACTCAAATACAAGTGGACAGATTATGTTCAAATTTCAAGATGGCCGCTATTAATCAAAACATGTTTTGTTCGGTGGGATTTGCTACTCCGTGGAGTTGCTGTTTTCTAGTTTTAACACTCCTGATATTACTATATAATGTGCCAATGTAATGCATTTAAAATTGGAAAATGTGTAAAGAAATATTAATTCTGTTATTTTTTATTTTGAACGCCTTTATGAAGGATCTGTTGCATTAGCTTTTGATAGAATTTATCGTTTTCCACTGCTATTTTCACATGCCAACACTCGCACATTATTTAGTACTGACTTAACCAATTCCATTTCTTCCATGCATGCATTTGAATGATGATGTTTTGATTGATATACATTCTTTTTAGGTTTATTAATGATACCTTTGTGTGTAGAAATAACTACCAAATCGTTAGGATACATTAAGTATTCACTTTCATTATACTAAGATGGAGATATAGATAATGATTTTCTCTCATTTGAATCGTCATTACACATAGTTTGAAATAACCCGTAGAATTGCGATTTACTAACAGTATTAATTTGAATCATTTTTCATATTTTCTAAATGTTTTTTTATTGTATAAATATATTTTGATAAAGTAAAATGATATTAAAAATCTCAACATAATAATAACATGAGTATATTGTATTTCTTTCTATTTAATACAAGAAAAGATATTCACTGTTTGTGATTTTACACCATGGGATCTTTGTGGAATCTCCCCGACCTAGAAGTAACATTTTCAAAGAAAATTAAATTCCAAACAGTCAGGTTCAGTAATACTAAGTCAACATTCGAAACTAAAAATCTCAATAATTTGTACATATTTGATTTCCAATATAATTTGTGAGGTGGTGATAATGCACATTTTAACGTATAATTTTGAGTACATCTCGAATTCCTTTTCAACAAAGCGTTCGCGAAAAAAGTATTCGAAATGTTTGAGTTCGGGGTGATAAAAGTACGTTAAGATATACCGCTCCTTAACAAATTAACAAGATATAGAATGAAAACATATTCTTCTTATTTACTCACTGACACATGTCAACGAATGTTACTTATGTTGATATCTCTGTTTTAAATAATTTTGTAAACGTTGTTATCACAAAATTTAGCCTTTATATCTTGCTGGATCACTAAAAATGCATGTACCTTTCAATGAGATGATATGTTTTTAAATTTAGAAATGTAAGCTATTAAATCGAACAAAAATTCAAACTACCCGCTATTATTTGATTGCTCGAGACGAAATTTCCATTCCCGGGGAGCCTTTTGGTAACTCTTTGAAGGAGGATTCTTGAAAAATCGTTCGAATTTTCACAAGAGGTTTCATGCATTTTCATTTCTTTGTATATATACATTGAATGAAATTGATGTAGTCATCACTAGTTTTGTGATTTTACGAGATATCTACTTGTTGCGCTTTTTTGATACGCCCTGTATACATCATTTGAAGTAGGGGTAAATAGGGGCATAGTGGAAATTCAGAAATTCAGGCCATATCTTCAAGATTGCTTCACCAATATGTAACAGAACATCAACATTTTCATTTGCACGTTTGCTGATAGGTATATTGAAAATGATAAACCTGAACTTTACTTCAATTGTGGCACCATTCACAGTAAATATTGATGAACATACGAATTTCGAATGTTGACTTAGTTACTGAACCTGACTGATAAACTCTTTTTAGAAACACATTTCTAAATGTAATTTTAAATGTAGATTTCAAATATGACATCAGTTTGACTGAATTTTGAATTTTTTATGACGTAAATCAAGATTATTTCTACTCGCACCTAGTCTATTGAATTTTGTCCTCGCCCGTTGTTTGTCAATCCTCAATGGATAATTGATATTTGCGGCACTTTGAATGGAAATAACGAACATACAATTCGATAATTACATTGGCGTGAATCCTGTATACAATACAAGATACTTATTATTCTGTTCAATTATTTAATGACATCGCATTGACCTTTTCAGAAAATATTTCACATAGAATTATGTAGTTTTATATACACTGTTCCACAGCTGGATGACTCTAACTGGCAAGCTTCATTCAAGATGGTTGCCGAAATTCTTTCCTTTTCGATAAACCTCCGATTTCAGCTAAACTAAGTTGAATCTGGATTCCAAATGTTTCGCCATGCAAATTCATGAAGCTATAATGGTAAATAACTACAAATAGATGCCCAAACAACCGCGATATTGGAGAATTTTAAAGAAAATGGCTTCACTTAAAATGACTCTGACTGAAGATGATGATGGCGTGATGATTTTATAAATAAAGAAACATGTTGGAATAATTTCTCTGCCTTTATTTTGGATTATTTTATAATATATTATAAATAAATGACAAAATATTTCACTTGTTATTTTGTAATTTTAATAAATGAATATATGATAAAATAATTTTGTATTTTTTTTCACAGGAATATGGAATTCGTCGTACTTGATTTTTTGTAATTTATTCACCTTTGCACCGTGTTAATATACACTCATCTTCATAAGCTTGGTATTTCCCCATTAAAATGGCTTAAGAAGAAGAAAATTGATAATGGCTTTTAAGAAAGGTTTATATACAATCGCACTACAACCTGGACAATTTGGTCATTTTAGTACAGTTCGGTGTTACATTAGCTAATCATCATTACGATGATTGAAGCAACTTTCAACTTCATGAACAATACTGTTCGATAAGAGAAACTAATTGTTAGAATAATTGATGAGTTCGATCATATACAGATATACTAGTATTTCCCAAGTGTACGTGTAGGTAGCAACTATTGCGTCATTGTAAGCTCACACACCCATTTTTAGATTCCAAACCGATTCGTGTAAGAGGATATGAAGGGGGATTTACTCGACTGAGGGCTCCCTCAATGTAAAGTAAACAGATAAACAATCATCTTCATAAGCGATATAATAGCCTTGAAAGAACTGTAAATCTTAATTGATTTTCGTCATATGCCTGAAGTATTAGGTCTGTCGCCCAGAAACAAGCAATATCATTTCAGCTAAATGATGTAATGTGAAAGTATATTAATATATTAAATTATATTTGTCTTGCAATGTATTTAACATGTTTGATTAAGTAAAAATGAATACATGTAAATGCTGGTGTTTATGTATGAAAATGTCTGACTGGGATTCTTATTTCAATCTCACACTTTTCCCCCGCATCACTTCTTTCCTGGACAAAGACTCGTAGTTGAAAAAAAATATTTTCAAATTTTCAGACAATTTGGAAAGGAGAATGTGTTTCTAAAACGCATAGAGGAAGTAAAGTATGTCTTGAAGCACCAACTGAATGTGCCAAATAGCGTAATATCCGTTAACGCAGCCACTGGAAAGGTAAGTTAATATACCTATACTGTAAGAGTTATTCTTTGCCTAGGGATATCATATTATCCCTTTATGTAAGTATATACTGTATTGTAGATTAACAATACATGGCTGGATAACACTTACATTTTCTTGTGCTTGTATTAAATAGAATGGACTGGTAGATAATCGTTGAGCGAAATACCATATGGTACAATTATTCTTTTGTTTATAACAAAATAGTTATTTCTACAAGCTAATAAAAACACAAGTCAACTGTTTTTCCAGGGTGTCGATGAGATAAAGACTAAACTATTCACTAAAGCCCTCGACCCGAAGACGTTTCCCCATCTGATTCGGGAGATCAAGCCCGGCTTGATACAATTGTATGATGAGATACTGAAGCTGCGCCAGAAGGGCACTTTGTTGATGACGTGGAAGGAGTTTAAGGAGATGGCCATGTGTGAGGAGCGCATCCCCCAGGAGGAGATCTTAGAGGGCGAGATAGAGTTCCTTCACACTGTTGTAAGGAAAAAATATATTTAAATTGTGTCCTCTCTATCTTAAGAAGTATTGTCTCTATCAATTTATTGTTATTCCCTTTTTTTATAAAATCATATTGATGGTTTATTGATTCTAAATTGTTCACTAAGAAGAATATAAAGTTAAGTTAACAATTCTTTTACATCCACTTACTTGTTACACATAAAGTCACAAAAATCAACCACTTTGCTTTCGTTTCAGGGTGGGGTTTTAGACTTTAAATTCTCTGAGAATAGGAACCCGTCTGACCCCCGGGATCGAGTCATTTGTATTTATCCTTATGCCTTCGCTGAGTCTATCTGTGCCACGATTGTTGACAATGACAAACAAGCTTTTCGATTTGAAGGTAGGTTTTCTCTACATAAAACTTTTATATAGAGAAACAGCTGAATTATGAATGATTTTAAGAATTTCACATTTTAGAGATATTAATTATTATGTATATCTACTTACTAACTGTATTTTAGTGAATGAAATATCATTAGCGTATATAAATACATGTATGAAGTGTATTTAAACAACAAACGTGCAGTTGCATGAACCTATGAAAACTTTAAAAGTTCAATTGATTAGTTCGCGTATTTTAAAAATGACCCATGTGTGAATATGTTAATATTTATCAACTTGGTCATTTCTGCAGCTCGAAGATTCTGGCCTAAAGAGTCTGGCTATCCCAAGCCTGATCCTGCTATCTTAGTGAGGGTTCTTGAAGAAATCCCTCTAGAGGGGCTTGTTAGGATGTCACTGCTGCCTCTCATATGGCAGGTAAGAGCTAGACTAAGTGTATATCATATAAGATGCAAATTACATTCTTATCTTTAAAGTGCTAATGTAGAGTGGAGTAATATTACATACAGGAAGAATACTCATTTAGATTTTGGCATATTATGTTTTTGCATTTAATTTTTGGTTTTTCTCGGTCTTCATCAACACCTTTATGTAAATGAAATGTGAAACAATTTATGAATACTTTTTATAGGATTTCAACATAACAGATGAGCAAGCTGTTCTGATGGTGGAAACTCTTGGGAGATTGAGTCTGTTGTCCAAGGCTGAAGCTTCAAAGACTCCCACCAAGGGCTTGGCATTGCCCCATTTCAAGTCTCTCAGCACACAGTCAAGATATTACATCCCTCTCATGAACCTAATGCCAGATATAAAACCTGTAAGTTGATTCGATACCCTCCTCACGAACCTAATGCCAGATATTAAGCCTTCAATATATCCTTCTCATGAATATAATACCAGATATAAAACCTGTAAGTTGATCCAACACCCCTCTCACGAACCTAATGCCAGATATAAAACCTGTAAGTTGATTCCCACTGCCAGATATAAGACCTGTAAGTTGATTCCCACTGCCAGATATAAAACCTGTAAATTGATTCAACATCCCTCTCATGAACCTAATGCCAGATATAAAACCTGTAAGTTGATTCCCACTGCCAGATATAAAACCTGTAAATTGATTCAACATCCCTCTCATGAACCTAATGCCAGATATAAAACCTGTAAGTTGATTCCCACTTCCAGATATAAAACCTGTAAATTGATTCAACATCCCTCTCATGAACCTAATGCCAGATATAAAACCTGTAAGTTGATTCAACATCCTTCTCATGAACCTAATGCCAGATATAAAACCTGTAAGTTGATTCAACATCCTTCTCACGAACCTACAGTAATGCCAGATATAAAGCCTTCAATATCCTTCTCATGAACCTAATACCAGATTTAAAACCTGTAAGTTGATTCAACATCCCTCTTACGAACCTAATGCCAGATATAAAGCCTTCAATATCCTTCTCGTGAATCTAATACCAGATATAAAACCTGTAAGTTGATTCAACATCCCTCTTACGAACCTAATGCCAGATATAAAGCCTTCAATATCCTTCTCGTGAACCTAATGCCAGATATAAAGCCTTCAATATCCTTCTCGTGAATCTAATACCAGATATAAAACCTGTAAATTGATTCAACATCCCTCTCATGAACCTAATCCCAGATTTTAAACCCGTAAGTTGATTCAACATCCTTCTCATGAACCTAAAGCCAGATATAAAACCTGTAAGTTGATTCAACATCCTTCTCATGAACCTAATGCCAGATATAAAACCTGTAAGTTGATTCAACAACCTTCTCACGAACCTAATGCCAGATATAAAACCTGTAAGTTGATTCAACATCCTTCTCATGAACCTAATGCCAGATATAAAACCTGTAAGTTGATTCAACATCCTTCTCATGAACCTAATGCCAGATTTAAAACCTGTAAGTTGATTCCCACTGCCATATATAAAACCTGTAAGTTGATTCAACATCCTTCTCATGAACCTAATGCCAGATACAAACCTGTAAGTTGATTCAACATCCCTCTCACGAACCTAATGCCAGATATAAAACCTGTAAGTTGATTCAACATCCTTCTCATGAACCTAATGCCAGATATAAAACCTGTAAGTTGATTCAACATCCTTCTCATGAACCTAATGCCAGATTTAAAACCTGTAAGTTGATTCCCAATGCCATATATAAAGCCTGTAAGTTGATTCAATATCCCTCTCCAAATCTTATCCCAGATATATAGAGATTATCCTATATGAGGTTCAGGATATTGGGATTATCCCGAGGCTAATATTATATATCTGCCTGAGGGCTATTGACCCCGAGGGCAGATATTTGTATATTATATTGACCACATTGGGCAAAAACAGTTCGAAATTGCCTTAAATATATTGCAGCAACTGAACTGGACACCGACGCCATTCAAGGGAGATCTTCAAATTGGTTGGCGCTACGACTTCCCAACAGGGGTGCCACCCGGCCTGCTGTTGAGGGCATTAGCTAATGTGAAGCGTGCCAGCAGCGAATTTTGTAACTATCAACATTGCTGGAGAAACGGAGTCTTGTCTAGAATAGACGAGGTTAGTAATCATGTGTTAATTGTACAGTAGATGAACTTTGTATAATAAATCCCTCTATCCATCTCAGGGAAAATTCAAAATGGCCGCCTGATATGGGATTTTGCAATAATTTCATGATCTCTTCAAAGTATGGCTATGTTCAAATTAGAGTTAAAATTCGCTATAACCCTTCATTTGGTTACATTATATTGCATAAGATCTCAAATACTGAAGAAATTAAATTTATGACTTTGAAACTCCTGACTGATGAACCAAATGCTCAATAGGTGGAACTTCTGATATATCTCCAATTTCTTTTATTATTTACAAATCAAGGACAGAGTATAATTTACATCAGAAATTATTAGTTGATTGCATAGGTATTTAAAAAAATATTCCAGTTTTGAATTTATATATATTTGAGTCGGCCTTTATTCCAAGTAAATACACATGCAATGTAAATATCGCATTTCATTGTACAAATGAAAAAGTCGAAGTGACATGAACCTTGACCCCGTCTCCCCTTTCCCTAGGTGTATATGCTGTTTCTTGGACGATGGGTCATTCAACATAGCAGGGCGAGCCAACGCGGAGGACGGAGAAATTCGCCAGACTGTGGAGCTTATCTGGGTAGAAATGGCCCTGCTTATAACGGCTGCGGAGAAATATTTCAAACAATGGAAGGGACTTTATGCCCCAGTGAGTATCATAAACCCTCTTGTAGTTGTAGCATTCCTTGTGAGTATAATTAAGAAGACACTTGTAGAGGTATCATTATTTGTATCTTAAAGAAACTTATACATAAGTGAGTATCAAAAGGTACAGCGATGACATTCATTGTTAGAGTATCAAGGAACTTTTATAACCTCAGAAAATTTATATATTACATTAAAGATGGCGTCTTGTATATAGACTGTACCCTGAGATCATTACTTCATTTATTTGCACCAAGTTCCATTGTCCTTATTAAAACATCAACTCGTTCAAAAGATGTCGCTTTTTCGGTGGACAGTTTTAAGTGTTTAAGATTGTCTTTCTCTCTCCAAGTGTGCTCCTATCAGACACTGCCATTCTTGAATTGAAATATCCCACTGACTTAATTGTTGTTTCATCTCCCGCCTTACAGATCTCCATTGTTCCGATGGGGAAACATTTCTTCAAGGGAGGAACCGTTGATGGAGTTCATTATTTTCCAATTTACAATTGTTTGGCGGCACTGAGAGCCAAGCAGAATATTACGTTCTTTCAAGGCGAGTCAGAGCGGAATCTCACCACAGAGGTTCTTATGCCTTTTAAGGGTAAGTGAAGACAATACTATCATCAGGCATATAGAGAGTGCATATGAATGAGCGGATTGTTCAACGGATTTGCATGTAAATAAGGGGATATCAAGGGCTTGGCCCTTGAAAACGAGGCAAATTTTTTATATGTAAGGCAATTTCAAATTGGCGAGGCAATTTCAGTTAAAGGGGAATAGTATGAGGCAATTGCATCGCCTGCCTCATACTTTACCACACCCATGGATATGTATTCATGTCATGAGATAATGCTAATAAGATAATGGCAATGAGATAATGACAATCAATGAGAAAATGACAATGAGATAATGACAATCAATGAGATAATGGTAATGATATAATTACAATCAATGAGATAATGGCAATGAAATAATGGCTATGAGATAATGACAATGAAATAATGGCAATGAGATAATGACAATGAGATAATGGCTTTTAGATAATGACAATGAGATAATGACAATCAATGAGATTATGACAATGAGATAATGACAATGAGATAATAACAATCAATGAGATAATGGCGATGAGATAATTACAATCCATGAGATAATGAGAATTAAATAATGGCTATGCGATAATGACAATGAGATAATGACAATGAGATAATGGCAATGATATAATGACAATGAGATAATGGCAATGAGATAATGACAATGAGATAATGACAATCAATGAGATAATGACAATGAGATAATAACAATCAATGAGATTATGACAATGAGGTAATGACAATGAGATAATAACAATCAATGAGATAATGGCGATGAGATAATTACAATCCATGAGATAATGACAAATAAATAATGGCTATGCGATAATGACAATGAGATAATGGCAATGAGATAATGACAATGAGATAATGGCTATGAGATAATGACAATAAGATAATGACAATTAAATCATGGCAATGAGATAATGGCAATGAGATTATGACAATGAGATAATGGCAATGAGATAATGACAATGAGATAATGACAATGAGATGATGACAATCAATGGGATAAGGACAATGAGATGATAACAATCAATGAGATAATGGCAATTAGATAATTACAATCAATGAGATAATGACAATGAAATAATGGCTATGAGATAATGACAATGAGATAATGGCAATGAGATAATGACAATGAGATAATGACAATCAATGTGATAATGACGATGAGATAATGACAATCAATTAGATAATGACAATTGAATTATGGCAATGAGATAATGACAATGAGATAATGACAATGAGATATATATATGATCACCTCTGTGACTCACTCAGATATCGCTTCTTAAACAATATGACTTTAAATTATCGTGTCATGTTTCAGCAGTGTCGTTACATGTCCTCAAAATGTTTGGTCTCTCTGCTGTATACAATGTAGTACTCCTTCGTAGGAACCATTTTTGTGAAAACATTCGCCAAGATATGCGACACCAATTAGGAAATTGTGACTTGCAACAGCAATCATTTCTCCAGTTAACCTTTTACTTATCAGTCAATAACTGTACAAACGTGGACATTGTTCGAGTCATTATAAATCGATATTCTCCTATTAACCAATTCTAGCAGCCACTTAAGTTCAAATACCAAGGAAATTAATAAAAAGAACATTTGTTTAACACACAATGTGTCTCATGCAGAGTTTAATTTTACTCAATTTTAACTCTTTCCAATGTGCTGTATAATTATATACTTACGTTGGCATACTATATATGAGAGCAATAATTGGAAAACGTAGAGTTGAAGACAATTTCGTATTTAATACTAATGCATTGAAATCATATGCATAGATAATTTCTAGTTTAGCAATACACATAGAATATATCCTGTTATGGCTGTATTGTATTAATGTGAGGATAACAAACACGTGGGGAAGACTCTTCCGATGGAAATAACATATTTTTGAACTCGTGCTAGATTACAGGGTAAGGTATATTTTATGGACTCGTATATGTACCAATTATATGCACATACTCTGGGTATGTATGTCCTTTTTGTCAACGGACACCTCATATTGCGGAATCGTACTGTATTACATGGAAGGGCATATTCCACGAATATGTTCTAATTGTCAACCTACATAGGACAGGTCATTATTTCCTGTGCTTTGTTTTATCGGATAGAGCATATTTTGTTTATTAATTGGATTAAAAGAACATGATATGGCATATCGTTTCAAACAGATTTGGTACATTGAACGATACAATTTGTCATATAAATATTTGGAGATACGAAATACTGATCAGGTAACGGTGTTGTTACGATACGATACGATATCTAAAAGTTCGCAAATAGTCAGTGGACTGAAACATCGATATATAAAACAATATCTGTGAAACTCTATTATAAAGGATAATTGTTAACGGATATGCTGAGTGAAAATTGTGTTTTACTATTGTTCCATTCAACTGAATAACAGCTAGGCTGATGATATTAACATGCATGTTTTTCGAGAAATTTATTGAAATTGCTTTACATTTCATATATTTCAGGGTGACAAAAAGTGATACATAAAATGTTAAATTTTCAAGAGAAATATTTCTAAAGATATTGTAGATATTTGAAATGTCAAACATCGATTGATAGATAACTTTTGTAAAAGTGAAAGAAGTTGACATTGAGGTTCGAAATGTTTCAGGTGAGGACCTATCTGATCTGAAGAGTTTCATAAAGTTGATGGTGCTGAAGAGGACAAACGTCATAAACAGCCGCAAGTTGATCAACGACACGACTAATAGTCAGATAGTACGGCTACAGAATAAACGACAAAGCAAGCGAAAGAATCACATGTCAAAGAAGAAAAAGGTAGATTCTTTTGGATTCTATAGTCAATAAAAATTAAAGTTCTCAAACGTACCGAACACGAAGGTAAAGTGTATGTCCCATATGATTAATAACCAAATCATAAATTAAGTGTCTTTTCCTATTTTTTAATCTAATTATTTTGATGCTTTGCTGGTAACTGGAATTACGGCAATTGATAAATGCTTACATACTAAAATGTTGCCCGAGAGATTAGTAATTAACATGTTTGTTTTTAGTTTGCGTAGTCATATTACGCTCAGGAATTGTTTTGGTTCTAGATTTACAGAGCCTTTGATTATAGATCGGTTGGTGATGAAAGCGTTTTCTATCAGCAATATTTAGCTGAGATAATATTGTAAAAGAATGTAATAAAATACAAATATTTACCATATTTCACAACATTGATTGGCATTTTCTCCATCTGTTAGGTAAATGTTGTTGGGTGCCTGATAGCAGAGTCCATTTTCTGAGTCAGCTAGAGATTTTATTCATTTACATCAAGCGAATGTAAAATAAAGAACTTCAATACAAAATGTTATGCTTTATTTCACCAGTAAATGATATGAATGATCATTGTATCCGATTGGAGTCATTTGTGTGTAAAGTAAAATTAAAATAAGATTTACTTGCACTGTACGAAAAAACACTCGAAACATGCCTTTTTTATTCTCATTTTAGGAATGATCCAGGCAGTTTTTCTAGAATTTCAAGCATTACATACATGTAGCAATATTATTTTTCAACGTTTCCTAATATATAGTCTACAAATGAATTCAGGTCATCGATGTTGAAAAGAACTAAGCTCAAGGTGATCTTTTAAATTAATCTGTTGATTCCAAAGTAAATGAACAATGATAAGGTCGATCAGTTTTATTGATCTCACTTGAATAAAAATTGTTATTCACAAGATATTAAACTGATGAAATTGTAGACATAGGTGAAACTATAGACATAGACACAGGTGACGGACTTAATAAAATTCAACTGATTATGTTGTGCTTGATCAAGGAGTAGATTTGTGTCTGATATATTATGGAATGGATCACAAATTAAATTACACAAAATATATCGGGGAAATAAATATATCAAGGAAAACTCAGTGTATTATAACTGCTGATCAAATAATAACTACAATACCACAAACTTTGCGATTGTTTATATGAAAAGAATGTATTGCGGTTCATGATTTATGACAATTGCGATATTGTGTCTGATGTGTTGCTTTATTGTATGGAAACAATGCCAATCAATCTTAAATGAAATAGATTACTGTTATGTTATTTGACAGCTCAATAAATATTCCAACTTTTTTTCATAAAAATACAAAAATGTTGTCCGTTAATCTCGCAAAGTAGATTCACATTTCTAGTGTAATCATTTGGGTTTATTCACAACCTGGATCATCTCACACAATCCAAGCTATGTGTACCAGACGAGTTCAGCTATGTTGAAAACTAATGACAATTATGTCCATTTGCCAATGTTAATTGTTAATTATGGTTACGCGCCGGATCTACATTACCTGGACAATGCTATAGCTCAGTTATGGACAAGGCATTCCTTATCAATGCAATAAACAATTAGCTAGTTCTTTTCACCTTTGATTCGCAATATTTCTGGCATGATCATTATTGAAGTTCATATCTCCCGTATGTTTTAGAAGGTGGATATTAAGTGGAACATAGATGGAAAGATAACAACGGACTCTGATGGCAATAAGGCTGAAGCCACCAAGGGAAAGAAGGATGATGACGATAAGGACAAAGACTCGACACAAGAAGGGACCCTCGTAGCTGTTGGTAAATATGCTTTTATATGTTTTTGCCAGCTAAAGCTATAATCTGTGTACGTCTCTGTAAACCTTTCTAAAAGACCAAATTTCTCCACTGGACACCTTTTACTTTAAACTGTTCATTTGGAGAATTCATTAAGAGTAGGCTTATACATATACTGTACATATACAGCACAATAATTTTGATGAGCTTCCTTTGGTGAACATATGATTATGGGCCTTTGTGATTGAGTTGGTTACCCCTTTTTCTCAACAAATCGTTCATGCTTACCAAAAATAATGGAACAATGTCCCCGTAAAATCAACATGCATTGAAAATGTCTATTTGGGCGACTTCACCATGATTTCCTAGCAATAGTATGAATTCATTTTTCTCGATCTTTAATTGTTTCAATTGTTAATATTCTTGTATGTAGGATCTCGTGTTATGTCTGAAGAAGAGGAAACAAGAGAAGCCACTCGGATTGCGTCTGCCTTTGTGGCGGCCATCTTGGCTAGCGGGGTAGCGGAGTATATCAAAGTTGGTTATGACGATATGAACAGAGGGGACGAGGTCATATCAGCCGCACAGGTAATGCACCTATTTTGCAGTTTAATAAACCTTTTAAATGTTTTGCACGAGGGTTAATTTAAAAGTGCTTCACCATTATCTTTAAAACATTTTACTGTTCAATTTGATATTTTGCAGAGAACATGATTTCACAGGTCAAAAGTTTCGTAGTTAATTTTACTGTCGAAGTAAGAACTAAAAATCAACATGGTAAATCCTGTATTTGCCATGCTTGTCTGTCCTAGCATTGATATATTTCAATATTCCTATTCAACCAATGTATCCCCTACATATTAAACATCATAAGGCAATGACTTACCGCCAATGGGACTTGAACTTCAGGTTGAGGCCGCAAAGGTAACCGCTGGAGCAGCTTGGGCCACACAGACAGGACAGATAGACGAGGCTGCCAAAGCTGTGTTTGAAGCTGCCAAAGGTGTTCAACAGGCCCTCGACAAAGCGCAGGAAGAGGCGCATCGTAATGGAAAGAGCAAAACATGTACAATATTATGAGACGAAGCAACTTGTGTGTACATGTTGGTAATTTTACATATTTCAGATCTCGAGTTATCTTTAAATGTATTATTATTAAACGTTGTAGTGTGCACTGTGTTTGACTTCAATACTGTAGGATTATATTCGGATTACATAAGGACAAAACATGGATTATGACACGAATATATATGGGATCAAATCTGGATTATGTCTGATTCATTTCAGGATTATGTATATAGCGAGTTTACAATCAAAATAACGAAATATGGAAAAATTGGAAACACAAAAATGTAATATGTGGTGATATTGATATATTTTTGATATAATCGGAAACATCCATGTTCATCAAAACCTGGAGGAGCTATATCGATATATACCAATGCTGAACTAAATTCTGTACTGATAGTCCCATGATGCAATATGGTTCATCAGGGTTGTCACGTGATCTTTCTGTGTCTGTGACCCTTTCTGTTCTACTCCTGAAACCATAGTTTCAGACAGAAGAAAAAAGAGACTGGGTCGAGATGGTTCTATACACTGGCAGGCTTTATGACATTAAAACGTAAGGACTTGTGATGAATTTAAGATGAATGCTCAGTGGGGTGTCTCAATTGATAATGCACCAATGTAAATATTGTATATAAAGTCAGCATTGTAAATATAACAAAAATATTTTTTGCCTTTATCTGAGATGATTATTGTAACTGTATATATAGGTATATGTTAAACTTAATTTGATTTTAGCTCAGATAACAGACATCCCTTTAATCTCGTTAAAAAGATTAAACGACCTGTGCCTGAGAGCACAATGGAATAAATGTATATATTTGAAATTTATTTTGACAAATTAATATCATTGTATGAAAATATTAGGAACTTTCATATCATTGCTTCATAATAAAAAGTGTCTAAAAGGCTGGACGCAAACTACCTCTTAGGATCATTCAGTTGACTTACTTGCATGACATTTTACTTTTTAAAGGGCTCTTAGCTATAATTCTTAATAACTCTTAATTAGAATATTTTGAATTCATAATGCATAATAATGGATAACTTACACAATCAATTGACTTACGACTATAAGCTTTCTTTTCTTGTGGAAGCTTGAAACAATAGAATATGTGAAGAAAATTTAGTCGTTTTTGAAATTGAAAAAGATGCAAGTCAATATAGGTCATGCATTTTTTCAAGCTTTTATATATTTTCAGAGTCTATGTCCAAGTTTATATTAATCATGTTACGTATCGTTGTGAATTTTAACACACTTTATGACTATTTTGGATGATAATTGCAGCTATTGGCCCTTTAGCATTCTTTGCTATTTCATACATGGGATACTGCACAATTACGTTAACTACAACCTCTCCTGATCGGACTGAGGTGTACTGTTCAAATATTAATCAAAGTTTGTGCAATACGCGTACGTGTATATGTTATTGTAAAAATGATAAATTATTGGTATTATGTAATAAATAGATATGAGAGAATGTCTTGTTGGGTTAACTTGAAGTAAATATTTTTTGACCCTGGAAGTCGGTCTCGGTATACATCTAAAATAGTATATGTATTACCAAAAGTTCAAAAAGTAATACTCATTATTTTGAGTGAAAATGGAAACCAATAGATTTGTGGGCGTCTTGAAACATTTTTTTGCATAAACTCTACCAATATACATGTTTGCACCAATTATGAAAAAAATCCATCCACTAGTTATTCAATTATTTTTCAGACGAACGGACAGAGGGTCTTACTATATCCGAAACAAAGTTCGGATGGGGATTGGTATAGGTATATGGGGGAGGTGGGCAAATGATTTATGGAGTGAACTATTATTAAAGTCAGTCGTCGATTCTTGTCTCTATTATGTCTCTATACCGTCTCACCATCTATTTATTACCATAAGAATTCACAGAAGCACAGATAGTTGAACGGTTTAGTTGAATTAAGACGTAGTTTCTTCAATATTTAACATATTATTTATTTCATGGATGAAGGCACGACATATCCATGCATAATTTAGAGCAACAGTCGGAAGTGTAGTCCTAGTTAGGATCTGGGAGGTAAATTCAAACTAAATTTTAGTCGAAAAAGTCTGACTGAATATATATTTCTGTAAATTATTGGTGGGGTCGTGCACCTCGTATGCCTCATTAGTGGCTACTCCAATGTTACGTAAATACGTGCTACATTGATAGATGGCAGAGTAGTTTATTTATATCAGAAAAAATTAAACCATATGCCAGCTTCCTTTCTTGATATAATGTAAGCTTATTTATGTAAATAAAAAGATTCAAGACCCTGGACCCCCATTATCTACTTCATACCAGGGTGATGTGGTGGAGTCTTGGAGCAAGACTATTAAAATACAACATTATTGATAAAATTATTACAAAAAATGTAACGTGTGTACTGAATAGAGGACGACTGCCTTCTCATTCTGAGTCGATTCAGCTCCATCACCGTAAAAATTTCATGATATTTTCTACGCCACTGATAGACATAACGTAAACCCACTTCAGTTGAGATAATTATTTTTGGCCTTTGATCTGAAAAAGTTATTTACCTATTTCGCTTAAGTAAGTCACTATCTCTTGTGGAAGGTTAAGTTGTAAAACATATGTTGAATAAGTGCATAGTACATAAATACGCTACAAAGGTGCCTGATTTGTACTGTTGATTTTAGAAGGGCCAAAGTCAGCAGACTAGATAGAGGTATTTAAATTGAATTTGAAAACTGGGGATTATGGCGTTTACTTTGGATAGCAGATGCCCGGCGAAATTATTCATTCTTATTCTACTATGGCTCACGAACGTTGTCATTGTGAAGTGCCAAAATGAATTCAACCTCACCTTTATTCCGAAAGAAATAGAGCGCCTCGTTGAGGAACAAGAACGCATTATAACAGTTGAATACCCGTGTTGGACAAGCGGGCATGCTTTAACATTCAAAGTCGACAATGAAGTCATTGCGAGAGTGATGAAAAATGCAACTGTGTTCTTAGGGAGTGACCAGCTTGGTGAAAAGTGTGAAGAATACCGTAGATTAAACGCGTCAATAACAATTCGAGGGGTTCGTCTAGGACGTACTACCCTAACAGCCTACCACCAGTTGATCAACAGGACGACCTCCCCAGGTGTAGCCGTGCATAGGAACTACCGTATAAGCGTTGTTCGACGCACAAGAACTCTAGACACCGTATACCGAGCCATTCTAATTCCAATTGTAATCATCCTGACGCTGTGTATGGGGTGTGCATTGGACCTTGACGTCATTAAAGTGATCCTGAAGAGACCCATTCCACCTTTCATTGGTTTCTGTTGTCAGTTTATTCTAATGCCATTGGTAGGTAGAACCAAATTTAAAAATCTTCTTTTTCTGTTACTCTTTTGTCGCATGTATAGATTTTTTAAAAGTCAATATAATTTGTCCAATATGTCATCTTTTGATTCTATCACCTTTGAAAGTAGTTTAATTTCGAACTAGTGCCCCATGCAACCAACATTCAGGTTCGTGGATAGAGTGGTAATTATAGCAGAAAAGAACCACCTTCCCAAATTAGTTGATGCACACGTAAACTTATAAATGCCATCATAAGTGATTATTGATTGGTAAAAATGTGGTCAGCTACAAAATCAAAAATCAAAACCTTGACAATAATGTTCTGATTTTTGATACTTTGCGTATCAGTGTTCGAGTATATCAACTCAAGACTGATGAAATACTTGCAATGTAGTGTATTAATTACTGTTGACCATGAAGTTTGACACATTTGAAATCATGGCGTATGTTTTTGCAAATATTTATGTACTGTGTTATCGTCTAGACAGTAGGCCAGGATTATGACTTAATCTTTATTCAAACATGACCGTGCTCTATTCGAATTTCTCAACCAATCAGAATGCAGCATAGCCAATATAGAACGTTCTCTAATGCTCCATAGATGCACGACCATGCTCTATTCAATCTGCAATTTGCATTGTTTTGAGTGACGTCACATCTCAGCTGCACATCTGGGGCTCTGTCAGGGGATAGCTTGACGTATTCTTCCTTCATGCCCGTTCCACAGACACGGCTTTTACTAATTTTTATGTTTGAATCGGAATAAATAATGATAGGCCATTCAATATGGTGAAATTCAGCACGAGTTGGACAGAATGTTGTACAAAGCACGAACCGAAGGTGAGTGCATTTGTACTAACATTCTGTCCAACGAGTGCTGAATTTCACCATATTGAATGGCCTATCATTATTTATTCCTTAAACATATGCCTTATTAATGAGGTGGTTGCAAAATAGTTTTAAATACATGCACGTTTTCGAGGCCAAGAACTCTATACGTGGATTAACATTGAAGAGGTGAACCAATCAAATATGAGACATTTTGCATGTTTGGTACGTGTTTACGGTCGAGTGTCAATTATTGTCAATTAAGTGTAATGATTTCTTAAATACATCCTATCAACACATTTTCATGCGCATAAACCGGAACCCATGGATGATAAAATGATATTAAGGTCGTTACACAAAATTAATCAATTAAATGTGTCCACTTTTCGAAAAAAAACATTGAGACAAAATCATATCTTGAGCATTGAACCGCTGATAGTTCCAAATTATCACTCAATTAGCCATATCATATCGAGCAATATTATAAGTATAACCATTGCGAAATGTGCACACCAAGAAATTCTCTGTACCAATTAAAAATAGTCTGCGAAGCTGTACCATCTATTGTTGCGTCTATTCATAACTATGTACATGTATAAAGGTGTAACATTAACCAAGGACATTAACAATGAAATAAATCAATAACAGGTAATATCCATGAATATCCAGGTTTTAGAATAATAACTAGATATCTAGCAAAATGTGGCACGGGTTATATCCATATGTTTCCAATTTATCAATCGTTGTTGCTTTATTATCTAATATGGTTATTTTAATTAATTTCCAGTTAGGATTTGCAATCTCACAAGCATTCCGCATGGAGGCGGGACTGGGCCTTGGGCTACTGGTAGTGTCGTGTAGTCCGGGAGGGGGCGCCAGCAACGCTTGGTCCGTACTTCTCAGGGGCGATATCAACCTCAGCATGACCATGACTTTCATCAGCAAAATATGTGCTCTTTGTAAGTTATACACCAGTTTTGGAAATAGTATGTGACGTAACTCTAATCCAAATAATCAAATCATTCCACACAAAGGAAATTATTACATTTTAAGATGAAACGAACCGTTTCGGTAACCAGCGTTACGCGGAATATGGCATACATTCATGGTTGCGCGGTATTTGTGATACGGGTGAATATGCCATATTCACATGCGATATATGGCATATTCACCCGTATCATATATGAATCCTGGATTGATTGAGTAAGTTTATAACGTTAGATTGGTGAGTAATACGTCAGCATAAGTTGGTATATTCGATACACTGTACTGTTGATCCAATAATCATTATAATAATTTACATTTAATCGATGCAATTGACGCGTACTTCTGTATCAAGTTCTCATTGGTTAGCATGTATGCCATATACCGCAGCTGAATCTGTCATACACCGTAAGTGAATATGCCATATTCGTTGCGGTATATGACATATATTTGTATCTTGTTTACCGCGTAACAACCAGCGTAATTGAGTGGATCAATTAATGAATTATTGCTTATATTTCAGTCATGATGCCTCTATGGCTTTTCACGTTGGGCCGTTTCTACCTGGAACAAAGGATCGGCATTCCTTATGTCGATATCGTTCTCTCCCTCATCAGTCTACTCACGCCCATCATCATAGGTGTCATCATCCGAAAAATCAAAGCATCTATCGCAGATTTCCTCACAAAAGGAGTCCGTGTGATGTCTCTATCTTTGATCGTGTATATCCTTGGCTTTGGAACATACGTAAATGTTTATCGCTATAGAATGATGGGCTCGGATCCGTCTATAATCCCATCAGCATTTTTACTCCCAGCGTTCGGCTTCACAATGGGAATGGGCTTGGCTAGATTACTACGCCAAACTCCTCGTAACTCAGTGACCATAGGCATTGAGACTGGCATACAAGACATTACCATATCTCTCGTCGTCCTTCAGTTCACATTCGGGCAACCGGAAGCTGACCTCGCGGCCGTCATGCCAATTGCCACCGTTCTCTTCATGCACATCCCTCTTATGATCGCCTACGTGATACTAACCATCTATGCACGCACTTGTGAGAAAAATAAAAAGGAGAAGGATGGTGAACTGGGTGCCATAGGGACCGACAATATCACAGAGAAGGAAGATATCCCACAAAGCACTGAGTCTGTCATCGATACTAAACCAGGGGTATATTCGTTAACATGGAAACCTACCGAAGCTGGACCAATATCCAATGGTACTGCCAATGGAGTCGCTAATTAAGTGGTCCATGGGCAACTACATGACCAAGTTGAAGAAACTTTTGGCAAAAAGGGACTTTGAAGTATGACCGCAAATTCGTTAATTAATGAGACTGTAAATTGTGTAACCTGATACAGTTTCTCCTCTATAGGCTTTGCAATCAGCTTCCAAAATTGTACTGTCATTCAAATATTTGTCTTTAATTGAAATTGTGATGAGTTTCCAGTTTGTAAATGAGGTCAGAGAATCAAAAGTCAGACTTCTTGAAATTAAACGAAACCATACTTCAAGTGTCTCAGATCGCAAGTTGCTCATATTTAATTTAGAGTCAGCAACAGATTTTATTATTGAAAACACAAAGTTTTCTTATCAAAACACAATTTATATTGACAAAGAAAGAAAATAGTGACTTAAGTAATAAACTAGTGACACATACTGCTACTCTGACCATAAATGTCTGTTATGTACAGTAAAATGTTAAATTGAAACGCTGAGCAACGGCAAGTGTATGTCCCCCGAAGCGACTTCACTAGATAAATTGTCGTCCTTTTTCTAAACTGTACCATAACCAAGTGCACGTGTGTTTGATTGATACTTGTATATATATTTTGAGTTCTTCAATAATTATGCGGATTACAGTATTTATATTACTACTAGGAATATGTTACATCAGATGCCAAGGTACGTTTATATTACATTTATAGAGGTATAATATTTCAATCAACAAACTCACATGCTGGTCTTGTAATGGTTATTATTTATTACAAAAGGCGTTACCACGTGGTAACATTCAATTTGTATTTATATTATTTGATATAAGTAGATGAAGACAGTCGTGTCATTAAAATAAACACAAATCTACTCATGAATGCAACACTGCATACAGGTTTGGTCAAAAACGTCAATATTTTTCATTTCGATACAACCTTTCTGAAAATGCATGGATTTCAATATAATTTTCACATGGGGATGCAGGAATCACTCTAACATTCTTTCTAAAATGGAATGTAAGATTGCATGTTCCTTCGTTAAACGTTATTATTCAAAATCTCTGAAAGATTACTAAAGTTGTTCATTTCTTTTCAAGAACAAAAAAGTGATTCTTGAAATCCATGTATTTTCCAAAAGGTTATATTGAAATAAGTTTGTTAGGCCCACCCTGTATAGTGGAATTAAATAGAAGTTTAGAGGTCTTTGAAACAATAATTGCCACCTAACAATGCATTTGATTTATAAAATATGTCAAAAATTTGGGTCGGATTTTTCTGAGACCCAGGTTTCCAAAAATCCCCATCATTATAAAAAGTACCAAATTCTTTTTAAAAAGCCAAAATAAGGCCAACCAGTAGACTCCGACTGCAAATGTATCTCAATACAGTTACAAAATAAACCAACAAAAAATCAACTTTAATGATATGGAAAAATGTGTACAGATACATTTACTTTTAGTATTCCAAACCTTGTGCGTTTCGGTCATGGGATGAGGGAAATTCTGACAAATTTGTTCATACAACATTACAGAATAAATATTTAAACTATGCTATTAATATAGATGATGATGACCGCGAAGACCCAAGACGTGCTGGTATTAGTGAGGCATGTACTCCCATACTAGGATGCGAAGACCTCTATGCCCAATGTGTAGAGGGGGATGGAGAGGGTGCAGGACTCGTATGTAAATGCCAAGTTGGCTACATAGAGGTGAGTTTGCAAAAATGGGATTATAAAATTATTTTATGATGTACAAATAATAAATCGAGCACCACAACACCATTTAACCATAAGCCATAAGTCATTGTTCATCAAAAGTTAGACAATGGTTTTTGGGAATTGTAGGTTTAAACTGATTTAGAACGTATTAAAAACTGCTTATGAACGAGTTAGCAAGAATATAGCTACCACACCAAACAAGTTGCCACTACGTTCTTCAAAACTGGTTTTAAACTGTGTGCGAACGGAATGAACGTAGCTGCAACTTTCTAAGGACTATTTAAGAACGTTCTCAGACGGGAAGGTGATTTTATTCGATGGCGACCATACCGTTCTGTAATCAGGTCATGATGACCTTCTCGACTAAGGGACGCGTTATACGACGTTGCACACCGACGTGGTGCGACCTGAACGAACTGCGAATGAGATGGACGTATTGAAGACTGTTTATAAACGAACTAGCTAATTATTTTAGACATATTTCCCGACCACAGCCAGATTGAGCGTTTTCGTAGGACTGGCAAGAACGGGTAAGAACTAGTTTGGTGTGATAGGGGGGTTCCCAACACGTAGAAACCATCATCACAATCCAAAGCCAACAGACATATTGGACAGTTCAATCATTCATACCAAAGTCGTTACAATACATGTCGAGGAACAATAGGAACATTATTTTGGATTAAAGTATTTTGGATCAATGAATGTTTAGTCTTCTACATTAACTGTCTTTGAACAAAGTAAATGTATGTGGGTGGACCATATAAATGAATAAGTACGTGTTATAAGTGAACCGGGATCAGTTGTGATTTTCATAACATTACTCCAAACGAGTCTCTATCCTTTACCACCTGCCTCTCTCGGGGACCTATCTTAACGATTGCGAGTGTCAGGGCAATAGCCTAATTTTCGCCCAACCTATAAACACTCTTATACGTGATTCTAGGCAAGTGGAAAATGCACGAATCTAGATCAGACTTGTGCTCGTGGCCAATCACCCTGCAGCGATCCCATGTCCGAATGTGACTCTGAGAGCAACACATGCAAATGCTCCGAGGGGACGACTAACGTTAATGGCGTTTGTGGTAAGGGAAGAGTTAACCATGTGTCAAATAAAATGTGGCAATCAATTTATGATTAATCAAGGTTCTCAAAGTTCATTATAGAAAAACATATATTTGTCTTAAGGGAATTCGAAGCCCAATGACTAATTAAAGAATCATGATTAAAGAAGCACTCATTATACATCCCGCCGTCAATAAAAGTAATTGGTAATACACTATAAAAATAAGTGAATCACAATGAATGAGGCCCCTGGCAACTCGTAAAATAATACACGAGTATCTTAACCGACTATAGAAAATGATCTAATCGATCTACATCACATGCCCTATTATCCTTACAGTAAAGGATGACGTCACAAGCTTTGATTGCCGTCGGGCAAATGTTGGTTGCAAGGAGGGAGGCCAGTGCAACATGGTAACAGGGCGATGTGATTGTATGGACGGTTACGACATGTTCGATTGTGGGCTTGAGCTCTCCTTAGTCGACAATGGTGAAAGGGTCCTCGTCAATCCCGGCACAAGTATGAGAACTACTTCTAAAGTTAAATATGTAACAAGCAATTTTTTGAAATGTTATGTACAGTCATCTCTCACATAACCTATCGAAATGATAAAAATGTACGTTATATTTGACCCCCAGGAGAAATGGTGAAATAATACCTTAGTTCACAAACGTTTAAGATCACAATTGCTTGCATTGTTACAGCCATTGTCTTTATATTCCAGATGACACAACGACTGCTATGCAATACGCTTGTGATGACTTTGGAGGATGCCAAAATGGGGGAAAATGTTACACACCACAAGGAGGCCAACCCATGTGCTACTGTGATTGCTCATACTTTGGAAAGACCTGTGAAAATACGAGAGGTACTTTAGTGTTCTTCTTTTATTAAATAATCAGGAAAACACAGCAATCTATAACATCAGCTACAAACTATGAATTTACGCATGCACTTGATCATGCTCAAAACGTTCACCAACTGAATTGACTTGTGTCTATTATAATCCTGTAGTTATGGCTGAATGTTCTTCTACATCGATGACCATCTACGCCTTGCCCCATGGTAACTTCAAGGGCAACGTCTACATTATGGGCGACAGTGAGACATGTAAACTAGAGGCGGATGAGCTTGCCGATGAAGACTTCCAGGGTGTGAGGATGATCAAATACCAGCATAGAAACATGAAGGCACCAAGATGCTCCGTATCACTGAAAGAAATGCAGAACACTCCAAAAGTATGGTGGTGTCTTATGTAGTCTTAAAGCAAAACAAAACATCGAACTGCTCGTTCGTAAATTATATTGTTGATTTCAATTGAGGGCTGTCTTAAGTAAAACACTAATTTCAACTATGGTTATAAATATCAAAAGATAACCCAATAAAACATTCCAAGGGTGGAAAACTAAAAGAGATGCAGCCTTTTCTTTTGAAACCATTCATTCTTCCACCCAGTGTTACATCAAAGTGATGTCTTATGTTTTATAGAAAGGAGACAAGACTTTCTACCAAGATATTATCATAGAGTACAGTGACAAGTTTGTTTCTACACTGGATGCTAGATACAGAGTGTACTGTGTGCATTCGCAGGATAAAGTTGTAGGGGGTGTAGTTGGAGAAAAGGTCAAGGTCGACCAGGAGTAAGTACGAAAAAATCTACGAACGCTCGTGATTTTGTGATTAACTTGTAGATTATTGCAATATCTCATCTATTGACCAGATTCTCTATCGTGTACTTAATAAGATGCAAACAAAGAAGTTGTATGATTGATTTGTAATTAATCAATTTAGGAGCTTGGGAGGTCGAAAACAACTTTAAATAATTGATGAATAGAATAATCGTGATTCCATGTCTGAAAGACTTGTTATAGAACAGCACGATACATGTAAACATATAGAATTCCTCTTTTTGTGGATTATAGCAAAGACCTTCCACAGGGACACAAAGCTGACGATTCATACTCTCCTCTTTCAATGGAAGTCCTGGACGAGGCAGGCAACCCCGTAACCCATAAGACAGCTGTTGATCTTGGAACACCCCTCAGGTTAAAGTTTGCTCTTGATACAGGATCTGGACCCGGGGGTGCTGTCTTCACCAAAGCCAGAATAGAGATGGTCTGTGCCTTCGATAGTTTGGACACTGAGAAACCAGACACAAAGCACATCGACTTGGTTGTCAATAGGTAAAGTGTTTATCCCAGCGCCGCGCCCAACTAAGACTATTGGGATTAACATTGTTGAAAGGTTTATGTTTTAATCTTAATCGTCTATTTCACGTCCGTCCTATCCTTGATCAAAGGGTATTTCAATTCTTCCCATGGCTGCGATAAAAAAGAAAACCCAATCTTGAAGGATGGTATATTCATCAAAGTATAATGTAACCAGAAAATTACACTGACAAGCGGGACTCTATTCCCTTTGAGGTTTGGCAACCAGACGTAGCCTTTTAGACCGCAAACCAAAGTCTGTTTATTAATCGATTCAAAAAATTCATCAAAGTCACAATGGAAATGTTGGAATTAAGGAACAAAGAGAGAACAGAGGCTTTATCAGTGCTATCCAATGAAAACTTCCAGTTGTCAAACTAAAGGAGGGGAGTACATTATGACCACCACTAGGGATACTATAATAACCTGAATTCAAAGTCAATCCTTACCGTCAACCGCACAATTTGGTAATTCTTGGAAGGTTACGATGCATGCAGGTTCTTGATTTTTTTGTATTTTGAAATGTAGTTGCCCGGACACGCAGTCAGCTGGTGTGGTTGATATTCCGCTCTTAGACATGCAGATCAATATGAAAGCGTTCAAGTTCCAAGGTGCAAGCGAGATGGTGAACATACTGGCCAAGGTGAAACTCTGCCAAGAACAGAACGAGAAAGAATGTGAGCCGGTATGTTGACACAATTACATGCAGAAAGACACCCATTTAGAAAAATATAACCATACTACACTTCATACTAATCTAATACATTTTGATCCAGACTCCATTCTACAGAGATAAAATGGGGCATTAATGTGTCATAACTTTTCACCTAAAATATCGACTCATGCAACCAATGGACAAAGTAGTTCTAGTACAATATGCAACGCAATAAATTCCATCTACGAAGGTATCACAACTCTAAAAGCAAACAAGCATGCACGAGGGTATAATTAGGTAGTGTAATGGGATACTATTCATAAATATATTGCATCCAACTTGCAGAGGGACTGCTCTGATGTACACACAGGAGGTGAAAACTCTGGTTTTGGTCGCAAGCGTCGTGGTCTCAATACTTCTGAGCTCACTGTCTCCAGTTCCTTCATCGTTGTGGGACTCAAAGACGAAGCCAATAAACTAGATTCGTCATTAGGTAAGGCAATTTCTCACCATGACTTGTTTCATAATGTTAGATAGGTTTTTCACAGATTAAAAGGCAACGTGGGAAATCTACACTCGCGTTGTCATTTGCCACAAATAAAATCAAGAGTCTGCTATTTCCTAAAAAATGTGCTGAACTTTTCATACGTTAGAAAAATATAAGATATCCAATAAATTGTGAGACGGAGCACTAGCCTATTATTTTATTTTGATTTCAGAAAAACCAGCATTAACAGTTGAAACTGGGTTAGGTTCAGTGACTCCAACAGTTGGCTGCTTCCAGAGTATCGGGTTCCTTGTGACTGTTGGCATCCTGTCGTTTGTCCTCCTCATGTCTCTCAGTGTAGTCCTCTTCCTCTTTCTGCGCCTGCGCACTGAGCAACGTTTCCATAGTGATCACATGATGTACCAGGCAACCGCCTATGAAAATGCAGCATACCCAGGAAAAAATTAAGCCAAACCAAAACGACTTTTGAACACGAAACTGTAGAATATGCGTAGATAAACATAATATATCATATTCACGAACAGTTCAATTTCAATTTATTTCCATCCAGTCACAGAATGGTAGTTTAGTCAATGTAAGCCATTGTGGTGAAAAGTGAACTTGTAGATGATTTGTAAATATCTTATTTAGTAATACGTTAGTCGGATTTTATATGTGATTTATTTAATTTATCATATTTATGAAAAGTACAATGTGAGCCAAAAAGGCAACCAAAATAAATGTAAATAACTCAGTCATCCGGCATGGGTTGGTGGAACTGAGCCCTGTTCAATGTTCTTTATATTTACCAAGTTTCATTTCTGCTCCGAATGGTCACGATTTATGGTCATTTTACAAAACATGCTTAAAGCAAACTTAAACGCGCCGGGTGAAGTTGTTCTAACTACCAACTCACATACATGTATTATGTTTATTATTCCCGTATATCGTATAACTTATGAAGCATTTGATTACGTCATCATTTGTTGCGCAGCTCTACACATCCTTAAGTTTGATTTTCTAATAAATCGTCGTCTATTCGTAAGAATATCACATTTATGGCCGAATAGAGCTGCGCAATAAATTATGACGTAATCAAACTATCATTAAGTTAAACGTTATACGGGAATAATAAACACGCTATAAGTGAGTTACAAAATCTCTCCATTATCTTTCAAATAGCCCCAAAGATGAAATTCTTGGTGTACATATTGGTTGATTTTGGCACGTTTCGGCATTTGGAGCACATTTTGTAAAATGGCCAATAAATGACCACTTGGAATAGACATGTGAATTTTAGTAGAATGAAAGGACATCGAACAAGGTTAAATCTTGCAAAATATATATGAATTATATGAATATATGAATGAAACGAATGCTGGATGACTCCGTTATTAACATCTGTTTTGGGTACCTTTTTTGGCTCACCCTGTATAACATGATAGCGGTTTTGGTAGAACCCGGGACGAACAACTTACTTTACGCTTCAAATTATGATATTAACGAGGTCAAGCAGTATACAAAATACTTTTGGTTAGTTATATCAGGTCAATAACAAATAATGTAGATTATTGAATTTCGACTATTGTAAATAAAGGTCAGTTGCAATTGTTTTATAGAGCGTTTAAAATTGAAGAATAAAGAAAATATTTGAAAATTGCAAATTGAAAATTTTGTTATCATGCATGGAATAGACAGCTATTATCATTCAAATAACTCAAACTAAGTAAAAGGTGACATATTTTACCAACAGGTTTTCGTAATAAATTAATTCATTTTTTTTTATATTACGAACGTCATGAGTGGGCGGTTTATTACTCTACACACATGGCTATGTTCACTTCTTTAAATGCAGTGTATCCCTTCCATTACATTGGTGGTAATCCGTAGGTCCCATACGTAGGTCCCATAGTCTAGTTATAAAGGCGAATGAAGCTCTCTTTTAGGAAGCGAAGTCGAACGAATGCAAAGGGTATCCCATGCAGGATCCCATATAGATATTTTGGATTGCGTGATAATAGCCAAATGCATGGATATATCTTGTAGGCTATTTCTGAATATAATTAAGAACATAAATAATGTAATTATTTCTATGTTCGTGTTTTGCCACTAATTCTATTGCAAATATTGCCTGATACACTATGATTGAGTAATCATTTGATCTAGACCTAGAGCCCATCTGCTATCTAAAAGATTCAGGTGGTTGATCTTTGATCAAAAAGCAGCGCTGTCGTCCGAGACGATCGAGAATCCCATAAACAAACCCCAATGTAAATTCAATACTCACTGGTGATCCGCTCGATTACGCAGGTTACCGAAATGGTTCGTTTTGGTAACAAAATGTCGGAACGTCGAAGGTACGATTTTTCTTTTTTCCTTATTTCACGCGTTGTAGGCAGAATCCCAACGACGTTTTTTCTCACAAACGTGTATCAGCATTATATGTTTTAGAAGATGTTGCAAAAATAGCTCAGAAGACAACAGAATCGTCGATTCCTCACATATGACTTAAGTTACATGAACGGTTTGGGTAAAAAATGCAGATCTTAACTGTTTTTCGAAAAACAGTTTATGTAACTTAAGTGAGGAATTAAATCGACGATTCTGTTGTCTTCTGAACCTTAAGTGTTCCGCAAATATGTACATTTTCTTAAACATATGGTACTGATGCACGTTTGTATGAAAATGTCGTGGGAATTCTGCCAACAACGTGTGAAATAAGGAAAAAAGAAAAATCGTACCTTCGATGTTCCGACATTTTGTTACCAAAACGAACCGTTTCGGTAACCAGCGTAATCGAGCGGATCACCAGTGATACTGGTAGCTGCTGGTACTGCGGCCGAATGCGATGATGTACTAGTAGTGTGCACAAGATTAGCGTACATGTACATGTACATCATCTTTTAAAGAAACATGTTTAACCCAGCCATGTCAACAAAATTCAATGTAAATGCCAATAAAGCTGGATTAGAATACTATAATCGCAAATCCATTCTACCGCTAATCGCCATCATCAACACAGTGTGGATTAAGAGATATATCAATGCAAATATATTTGAGGGGGTACAGGACCAATTTCAATTCATTCCCTTGTCCTCAATCTAGTTTAAAACTAAAGTCCATGATTTTATAAAGAAGGAAATATTATAATAGGAAAGAAGTATATGTTATGCATGTGTACGATACAATCATTGCAAGTTCTTTGTGTAAGTTTATGAAAACTCAGTATTCTTCTATGTATGCTGTACCGGACGAAATGCAAACATTCCTATATAATAATTCTCAAATCCTAAGATATTGTTTTACATATTGAGTGTATAATGTATACGACTTAATATTATTTACTACTTCTACAAAAATATTCCATGGTTGTCAGATTCAATTGAAGGTTATTATCAAGTCTTGAAAAATATGCTTATACCAATATGCTTTTTATATTGTAAATCGATATTGCAAAAATTATTTCAAGACATTAGTTTTATTTTATTTATATTGTTCCAGTTTTGAGGTCTACACATGAATGTATTAAATGGATTAATTTATAGCGTGCACTTTAGGGTCACCAAGCTTTTTATTGGATGGTGAGGTCTCTGTGTTTGTTCTAAACTACTTTTTTAAGGTAACCTATAGTATAGGTTTGTTTGTTTTCTACGTTCGCTTAAACAAGGTGAAATATATGTATTAGAACAGCTTTAACGTGTTTAACTTCTTATCATCATGAGTGTAAAACAAGCAGGACGTATAATATATATAGAATAATCTTTAAGAGGATTGAGGAAGGACATAGTTTTTTGTCATATTGAAACACAACCTAAGGGAAACAAATGAGGATAACTAAAATTGAAACGAGATGTTGACACTCACCCTTACACGACATATTTAGACTTTCAAACTGATTACGTGTACTTAACGTTTGATAAAATGTGGTAGTGATTTGGACCGGCATTGTCATCGGATATCGTGTATGTCAGGTACTCCAAAGTTATAAGAAAGTGCAGTCCAGACACGGGTAAGTCATTTCAAGTAAAAAACAACTCAATACTTTAATTTGTTCTTTAGCTTTCTTATGGTTACAAGGATTCCAATGTAATCAACTGAACATGATGAGTAACGTTGACGTCGGTCACTGGGAGCTCATACTTTATTCAAGAAGTTCATGATCTAGGTTAACGTCACAAAACTGGAAGACATAATGTCCCTAAAAAGCTGCATCTGAGAACCGTAAAAAACATTCAAAATGGTCGCTGTGTCAATTTTCCAAATTTCTTCTCCAACTTTCACATCATTTTCGTTTTACCTAACATTAGATGCAAAAAGGATGCTTTTAGAAAACCCAATAAGGAAATGCACCTATATCTTCTTATTTGGGGGAATGTAATACTTGGGTATACTTCATAACATGGACAGGTTGTAGCATTTAAAAATGTCTCCAATTTACCTTATTTAGTGAACTTATATACTTTTCGATACGTTTCGATGAAACTATTAAAAAGGTGGCGTTTAAAGGCTGGGTGTAGCTCGATATTGTCAAAGGAACAAAAGTCAGATAGTTATGGTGTTATGGGTTTCTTAGAAAATGAATCATCCGTCATTTGTGATTCTCATTAATCGTTGGCTCAATACTGCGTTGAACATCTTAACGTTGCATTAAAATTCATGTAAGCACATTGTACTATGGGGACTTTTGGACTCTATTATCTCCCATATGTAAATAGTGAAATTAATTCTATTTATACCAACTTTTATTTAAATATTAACTTGAATTCCCTTTGGCACCGAGAACAGACTTCCAGATAGAGATTAACGGATTAAAGGGTCATTCTCTCTAAATACAGAAATTGATTAAAGGATCATATCCGTCATATATAGAAATAAACTTATTAAAGGATCATTCTTGTCATATGTTTGGTTAAACATATGTACATCTGTACTATGGGTGCAATCAGTTGTTTTATGCTGGTTTTAGAAAAGGTAACTAGAAATGCTATGTTTCCATTACTGTATCATTAAATTCGCCACAGTTTGCGTTGCCTCTTTATCGTAGATATGAAATGAATCTATATCACAGGCCCGTAAAGTCACAGGGGAACGTACAACTAAAGTATCACTCATCGTCGATTCTCGCTGAACATAGGTGTAATATGTAGCCATAGCGACCATGCTATACAATATTAAACATCGATTTGACTGTAATTGTCAGGTATACCATTCGTAACCTCCGAGTCTATAGATCTTCAGAGAAATACAAATGAAGAGAACAGAACAACTCAATATTTAACAGTCTATAATTGTATTGAAATCAAGAGAATCAGAAGATTTCAGGAAAATATTAAAACCTCACGTGGGTCGTTATATAGCATTGGATAACGTTGTTGGATATAGGTAAAGGTTACTACAATACCTCTCAAGGTGAGATAGTCGTGAAGATGCACAATGAACGAAGAAGTTTATGCGATCACAGGTATGTTTTGTATACATCCACCTTAGTATGTCCTAGAATGGAGTATTTTTTCAGTGTATGTACGTACTAACATTAATAGAATATCATCTTTGATTAATTGCAGGCCATTAAATCTACAATCCCATAAAAGATGAACTAAAAAAAGAGAATCGATCGATACCGGTGGGGAGGGGGGATATTGGTGATATTGGTGTCAGAAATAGTCATTGTAAATTGCGATTAATTGGACTAAAAAACTCAAGGTATACACACCCTTGGTATACGCAGCTAACGAAAATTGACCGGTACGGGTCAAAAGCTGGACCGGTACGGGTTAACGGTTTTATTTGAATTTAAAACAGCCATAACTTGCTCAATATTGACTTCCTCGTGTCTAATTTGAAATATATGATGCCTCCCGATGCTTTAAAGTACCCCAATTTTTTACAGATTTTTAAACAGACCAAAACTCTCTAAATGCGCATTTATGCTCTTTTCTCTCGAGAACGACTGTCTCATTTTCAGGATAACTTTTATTTAGTACTTCTAACATATAAGATCTATTTTTCCCCATCAAGGTATGATGTAAATGACATGCTATTTACATCTTGTGAGTTTCAATGACGCGCGTTTTATTTTATAAAAAATGCCAAACTTTGTGACAAAGAATTTCATCCTGCTTGCAGCGAGAAGACGGACTGGTCCGGGGCAATCTGCTTGTAGCGAGAAGACGGACCGGTTCGGGGCAATAGCTGATTTTGTTAGTATAATATGTATTTTTCATTTAATGCTGCAACAAGTACAGACGTACCAAAAAGTGCCACGCCCACTTTTCCCTAAAAGCAGCTATGTGTGACTATATGTGATAAATATTATTGATTTATAGGATCATTATGAACACTTTTCAGTGTTTAAATGTTAAAATATACACATTGATACAATCTTTGACAAAGTAGCAGCCATAAAATCCAAACAGATTTGCAAATATTTCACTTTGAGAACAAAGGGACACATTTGGGAGGGGGTCAAATTGAGAATATTTCGAGATATAAATACTGTTTCTATGGTAACCATAAAAGTTAGAGATTGGAAATTTCTGGCACTAACTAACCATAACATGCCCTACCCTATATAAAACAATGAATATCTGACATGCATTAGTATTCTTTTTATTGGGTGGTATTAAAGTACCCCCATGGTTTTTTGGGGGTAGGGGTATAAATTGGTCTGAGGGCCGTCTGCCACCCCTATAGAAAGTCCAACTACCCAGAAAGTGTCTAGTATCATCATACAGATGGTTTGAAATATGTTGGAATGTGTAACCTTTCATGTAAGGAAGGAGTTACAATTATCAGAGTGGGCCGTAGTCTATAATGGAAACATAGACGAATGAAATATTCTAGAAGATAATGTACTGTTTTTACACAGCTGTGTTATGTTAATCCTTAAGTGTCAATTGTGAATTAATGTACCATTGTTTTAATATGATAAATATCACTCTACTATACCTTGCATTTGGTGTTCAGAAACAACCCGTTTGGCTTATTAGTAATAATTATGTTATTCATTTTTATTTGTCTGTTCCTTATAAATGGTTTATCGGTTGAAAGTTAGATGTTAATAAGGTACAGTACTTTCAAAAATATACTAAACAATGCAATTAGACAAACAGAGTATCTTATGTAATTCTAGGGGTTTAGTATACTCGTAGTAGAGTGAATATATCCAATTCTTATGTACACTTTGTGCTAATTTTTCAAAAACAAACATTCAATATTCTGACAAGATTCTGTTTACCAGTATCGTCTGCCTTATCTGATGGGATAAGAGGAAACAGTGGTCTTACTTGATGTTTAGCTTTGAACTCACGAGGCTTGCTTTATCGACGGTTAAACAAAACCAACAATTGACATTTAATTAGCATCTACTTATGTTGTGTAACATTGTAATATGTTCATTATCATTATTAGACACTTTAAATATTTTATATAAGTGTTATCCTGACCCTTCCCTTTATCCCTATATGCTTCAAGGTGGGCATTACCAATCGTGTCAAGTTAACATTTCTGTTTGATTTATTTTTACCATAGACAAGGTACAAAAGCTTTACCATGAGTACTGACCTTATTAGGTGCTAAACTGATGAATGGATAGGTAGATGGCAGCACTTGTGCTGGTTGGACTACACGCTAGCATCTACCATAGACACATATTGATTTACCATACTTGTTATTTTGGATTAAAGTAAAACTGCTTTCGCATCAAACTTAATGAGATTCAGATTGTGTTTGAAACTAGATGATCTTCAGATTTTGTGTGAACCTTAAATTCATGACAATCAAAAGAATTCAACATTTAGGAAGTCAACATTAAGATTTTTAACATCGTCTCAATGAGAATTTAGCACAACCTTTTTCAGAAAGTTAAAGATCATAGAAAATTGAACATAATCAAAGTTCCTCAGTAGAACATTTAATCTCCTAAAATCACATTAAAACTATATCAGCAATATTTCCAAGCTAAATAGTATAAAAACTTCTATCACATCATTTGCAACGTTTTCATTATTCGATAGTTCAACCCTATATGAATTATTGATGATTTTAAAAGTGCAAGGAATCTAAATGAATCAGGGAAGCCAGTGATATGTATTTGCCTTATTAATTGTTGACTTATACAATGAAATAGACTTAGATGCAAGTAGAAATAATCTTGCTTTACATCATTAAAAATTCAAAATTCAGTCAAATAAGTGATATCATATTTGAAATCTTCATGAAGAATTACATTTCTTCATGCAATAAGTTAACCTTTTAGTGAGTAGTTGTGACTAATGTAATCATGCACTTATATAATTTGTCAGTAAAAGTTATTTATCCTATACTTAGTGTTATAGGTAAATAAAATGCATGAATATAATTGATACCTTAGGTGAGTGGGGATATACATGTACTGCATATCCCGCTGTATCTCATACTTGAGTGGGTTTGGGGTAGATATCACCCGGGAATATATATCGTATCTGAGGAGCGGGCAGGATATATTGTATATGTCCCGCTCCAGGCCAAATGCGGGCAGATATAATATATCCATCCCGCTCCCGGGAATTTTTCAAAAATTTAAAAAAGTTTAAATATCAAAACTTTTAATTTTTTAATTTTAAAATTAATTTTTTTTAAGTTTAAATGTTACAATTTCATTGTATTGAACAAAAAGAATATTACGAAAATGTTCAATATAAATATCTTGTCATCTGAAAAAGGTGGAAAAGGTTATATCTACCCTAAACCCACTCAAGTATGAGATACACCAGTTATGCACGGTCGGTTTGGATACATGGAATATCCCTTGGGATATACAATACATCTTCCCTCGGTCCCTTCGGTCCCTCGGGAAGATATATTGTATATCCCTCGGGATATTCCCTGTATCCAAAACCTCCCAGTGCATAACCCCTATTTATCCCATACTTGGTCGTGTTTCAGGTACATAAAGCAGGTTTGTAAAAACTTATGTACTCATCAGCGGGCAGATATAGCTTTACGTTCTGTTGCGAGCGGGCAGATATA